CCCCGAGCCGGCCCTCCAACAGGCTAACTCTCAACAGGGTGGGGGGGCAGCTAGCACACAACAGGCTAGCACTCCCCAGGCCAGCTCTCAACAGGAGGGCGCACAAGCCTCCATCACCGGCCAAGCTAGCCGCGACTCGACCCCAGAGGAACGCGCATGCTTCCCACGAGGCATCCCTCCTTCCCTGGTCGATCGCGTACAGACATTCGGCGCCCTCACCACACACCGCGAGATCGCCCACGAGCACATCGAAAGCGTCCTCATCGACCTCCAGCACCATGGTCTCGACACGCCAGACGGCCTCTTGGCCATCTACCTCCAGGTCGTCACATCCCGCAGCGTATATACACCACTGCCTGGCAAGTGGCAGCGGTCGATGCGCAAGGCGCTGGACGGCCTGTGTGCGTACCAAGTGCAGCATGGCTCACCTATCGTGGAGCTCATGATTTTGCTTCTGCCCAAGCTGGGCGTATTTCCCTGGCTGGATGGACGCCTGTCGAACGAGGAGCGCGACGACAAGCTTGCGAGTCTCGAGGCGTATCCTGTGCCTCAATGGAAGGCGCTTGTCAGGCAGACGGTGGACCGAGGGGTGCAAACGATCCTGGCCGACTATTAATGGGTGGGACGTGCAAGATGAGACCGAGGCTGAAGCCTTTGTTGACAGGCAAGATACCGAGTCAGGGCAGCTGGACGCCTCGTCAGACCTGTCAGACCTGTCAGACCTGTCAGACCTGCCAGACCTGCCAGACCTGCCAGACCTACCAGACCTGCCAGACCCCCCTGAGCTTGGATGGGACGAGGCGTCGGGCAGGGAAGACTCAACAGAGGGAGAGACTGACAGGGCAAGCACGCCCGACTTTGAACATGCCGCCCACGGGACACCCAACGAGGCCACCTTGTTCGAGGGACTACTAGCCCTGGACCTGAGTGTCTCACAGGCAAGCGTGCGCTCTGAGAGCCCGCTCGCAGAGAGCCCGCGCGCACAGTCGCCGGAAGCACGCTTAGCTGCTCTGGACCTGTGTTCAGTGAGTCCTCTACCAAGGGCGTCGAGTCCAGTGGGTTCACCACATGGGCCCAACGGCGAAATGTTGACCGTGGACGTCTCGGCTGAGGCCTCCTTGGGTCCACAGTCGGAGGTCAGCCTTGGTGAGTCCTACGTTGACGGCCCCGTTGGCGGGTCCTTCGATGGGCCCTCCTTTGGCGAGTCCTGCATTGAAGGGTCCTTTGACGGCCCCTGTGGCAATCGAGGCCCCTTTGACAGGTCCTTCCCTGGCCAGTCAACGCTTGCCCCCCCAAACGAGGCCCCATGGACACCAGCAGGCCTCTCATCTCACCGCCTCGTCCCATACAACATGTCCCACGTCCTCCAGCGCACCGGCCGCCAAGGACGCATCCGCGAAGCCACTCGCATCCTCGAGGGCCTTGTCCACAACGAGCGAGGCGAGGTGGCCCCTGCCACGGCGCAAACCCAAGCTGAACTACTCTCTCTCCACCCTGCTGGCGAGCCTAGGCCATTCGTAGGCACGGCACGCCACGCAGGTTACCGCCGCATTCGCATCTCCATGGACCAGATCATCGACACGGCCAAGCACATGAGCACGGACAGTGCTGCAGGCCCGTCTGGCTGGACGGTTCTCCTGTGGCGCGACATGCTCACGATGAAGCAGCTGGGTCCTGATGCGGTCCACGAGTATGTGCAGCAAAAGGCACGCGAAATCACCCAAGACACGGGGCCTGACCAACGCTTCCTATGCGGCGCACGCATCACCCCTCTCCTCAAGGCGAATGGGCGCATCCGGCCGATCGCTGTCGGCGAGGTCCTGTACCGCTTGCTGATGCGGACCATTGTCCAGCACCTCAAGGCCGACATCCAGTCGAGTCTCGGGCCTGGCCAGTTTGGCGTGGGCCAGGCGGGCGGCGTCGAGCCCATTGTGCGCCTTGTCGAGCACGCCGTGGCACGGCCAGAGCTTGGGTACACGCACCTGACCAAGCTCGACTTTTCGAACGCGTACAATTGCGTGTCGAGGCGAGTCATGGCCGAGGCATACCGGGCTCACTGCTCGGTACTGTACCGTACGGCGCGGTGGGCATACAAGCAAGCGACGCCGCTCGTGGCCATGGCGCAAAAGAGGCGAGCGGGCGCTGCAAGTGGGCAAGTGCCTGCTCTGGCTTTCCAATCTAGCGAGGGCGTGCGTCAAGGCGACCCTCTTGCTCCTATCCTCTTCTCCCTTGGCATGCGTGGTTTTCTCGAGGCGCTTCAAGACCGCCTTGGGCCGGAGCACCTAGTCATGGCGTACTTGGATGACGTTGTGATCCTGTCCAAGATGGGCAGTGACTCAATGGAGAACAGCACCGACACAGTAAGCACCGCGGCGGAGGTCGCAGGATACGCGGCACCAGGGCTCCACCTCAACGTGAACAAGAACTCATGCACGCCGCTGGCCGACATCCGCACATCCGGCACGGAACTGCTCGGCACGGCTCTAGGCAGCGCCGCATTCCGCTGGGCGTTTGGCATGGCCAAGGTCGAACGCATCGAACGTGTCCTGCCTGCACTGCGTGAACTACCCAAGCACTTGGCTTGGCTCATCCTATCCAGGTGCCTCGCTGGACGGAACGCACATCTCCTCCGCCAACTCGAAACAGCCGACCTCGTCACACACGGCATCAATCCCATATGGGAGCGTCAAGACCGCGGCCTCGCATGGGTCGTGCGACACCTTCGGGGCAGTTCCATTTCTCTTATTACTGACCCGATACTGTTCGCACTACCACTGCGTCTGGGCGGCCTGGGCCTCCGAGGGTACTCGTACGTGGCGCCGCTTGCGCGACAGGCGATGGGCACCATGGCGGACCACGAGTTGGTCCGGCGGGGGCTCGTCGACGGCGAGCTACTAGGCCTAGGCGACTTTGGCACGCAGAGTGACGAGGAGCAAAGAGACGCCATGGGTCGACTGCCCAAGCAGGGCATGCTGGTCAACGACATGTACAAGCGCATGGCGGACCATCTAGTACTGCATGCACCCGACGGCGTAGGCCGTGTGTTGCTGGAGCAGAGCGTCCCACTAGGCCGACGGTGGCTCCAGGTGCTCCCCTACTTTGGCCGGCTGTCCTTGCAGGATTACGACGTGAACATAGGTCTGCAACTTCGGACCATGTGCCCACCGCACGCGGCAGGGTGTCGAGCCTGCGCGGTAATCGGCGCCCGGCTGAGCCACGGCGAACACTGCGAGGACCGGTGGTACCGTGGAGAAACACTGCGACACGATGGCATTCGAGATGTGCTGTACGAGCATGTGCGGCGGAATGTACATGTCGAGGTGGAGAGAGAGGCACGGATCGTGGCAGACCGGCAAGAGCGAAGTGATTTGCTAGTGCGAGGTCGGCACGCAGGCCCTGGGCCCGAGATGCACTACGACCTGTTCATCCGAGAGGTGACAGGGTCCAAGGAGGAGCGGAACGGACGGCAAGAAGTAACACTGGTGCCGACGGGCCGACCGCACGAGTTCGCATGGGAGTGGCAAGCGTCCGAGAAANGCTCAGCCCTGGGAGGGGACCTAAGGGATCAACATGGGGGAATGATGCGATGGGCCCTTTGGCCTGGGTATTTACCGGGTACCTGGGTTGACTGCACACGGCTGACTCAGCCGAGGACCCTGACAGGTGCCTGTGGCCCATGCGCGGATTTCTCCCATCTACATTCACCACCGACTATAGCTGCTAGATTGTCTCGACCCAAGGAATCGGATCCCCCTCCCTCACCCTGACAGGTGCCTGCTGTTGCCTCATTGGTAATAGAGGCCTCCACTGAGTGGCCCAAGCGCGGATTTCTCCCATCTACATTCACCACTGGTACTATAGCTGCTATATCGTCTCGTAGCCAAGGAATCGGACCCCCCCTACCTTCACCGCTCTAACTATAGCTGCTAGATTGTTTCCTAGCCAAGGAATCGGAACCCCCCTCAAAAGACATCAGGAAGATCCTAGAGGACTCTAAAGCCGCATCTTTTGATGTGTAGTAGAGTCCCGTTCATATGGCTTTTGTATATAGAATCCTCAAAAGATAGCTCTGAGAACCGAGTGGAAAAGGCACTCATCCCCTAATTGAGTCAGCCAAAACCTTAATACATGTAGTTGTGTAGGAATCATGCAAACTGATATGCCTAAAGGTCGGTAAATTTGCCATCAGAGACTGCTCTCTACCCAGCAAATAGGACCTTCCCCCTTAGGGTCATGTCGCGTAGTCTGCCAGCTAAGGTACAGTGCGGCCGAAAGTGACCCCCGATTCCCACGTGACACAGATTACGGACGAGCAAACATGAGCGAATAAATCCGATTTTCGTGTGTCCGGCGCGTGCCAATGCATAATAATTCACGCAGAGTGGAGGATAGTCATCACATACCAAAGCTTCGCAGTCTCCGCGACGAACACACTAGCGAACATTTTGTTTGGTCAATATGGTCGTTCCTAGTCCGCGTCGCGTAAGGTTAAATTGTGCAACGACTCGCGTACCGGCTACTTGTTAGCCTATCCGCGTGTTCTCCAGCTACGTCATGGTCCCCGTGTTCCTCGTTCACTGCGCACTGCTATTCCTGCTGGCAGACACCTCGTTGGCGCACGTAGGACGTGGAATCGTTCTGGGGAAGCAAGAGGATGTCTCTCAGCACCGTCGTTTCGCGCGGTCGCGTCTTCTCGCGCGCGATGAGCCGCCGACCATGTCCTCATGGGCTCAGATTAAGGGGAACAAGCAGGAATGCAAGGACTACACCCTCCCAAGTACTGCGAAGCTCCAGAAAGCCTATCCCGCAGACTGGAAACTTGCCAAAATTGTCGATGGCGACAGTGAGGCCCAATCCGTCTGGAAGGAGATTCAATCCTCTGGGATCATCCCTTCGCATGTGAAGGTCAAGACGGGTACCAACGACCACATGGGCATCAAGGACGATGGCTACGATGCGAACTCGGACCCTGACTGTTGGTGGTCGGCGAATGGTTGCACGAAGCCCAAGGCGAAGGGGCTTAGTGAGGACATCTTCGAGTGCCCGGAGCCGCGAACTTGGGGCCTTACCTTTGACGATGGCCCGAACTGTGGCCATAATGAATTTTACGACTTTTTGAAAGACAAGAAACTGAGGGCTACACTCTTTTATATTGGCTCTAATGTGCTCGACTACCCGCTCCAGGCCCAGCGCGGCCTGGGAGATGGTCATGATGTGTGTGTCCATACGTGGTCGCACCACTACATGACGACTCTGTCGAATGAGCAGGTGTTCGCCGAGCTGTACTACACGGCCCGCATTATCAAAGATGTTTTGGGCATCACGCCGCGTTGCTGGCGCCCGCCGTTTGGTGATGTGGATGACCGTGTCCGCGCGATTGCCACGGCGCTGGGTCTTCGCACGATTATTTGGAACCATGACACAAACGACTGGGACATTCAGCCCGATGGCAACTCGCCCACCCAGAAGATTGACTCCAACTACCAGAAGATCATTGACCTTGCGTCTCAGAACAAGGTTAACGACAAGGGTGTCATTGTGCTTAATCATGAACTTAGTAAGAACACCATGAATGAGTTTATGAAAATGTATTCCAAGATCAAGGGCGCCTACGATAATGTCGTACCTCTGACCGCCTGCATGAATGCGACGACGCCCTACGTGGAGACTAACATTTCATACCCGACGTTTGACGAATTTACGTCAGGCCAAGTCGGTGCAAAGGGCTTGCCTGACTTGGACTCGTACCAGATTCCCGTGGCCTCTAAGCTGAAAATTACGAAGGAAACCGACCAAAAAGGTCCAGGTGGCTTTTCGTCCAGCTCCTCGCCGCCATCTCAGAGCAATTCAGCGCAGAGCAACTCGTCTGACGACAGCACGTCTCAGTCGTCTGACGATAGCACGTCTCAGTCGCCTGACGATAGCCAGTCCGACTCTTCTGACCCTAAAAACTCGTCGGCGCGTGCCCTTGCTTCATCGACTCTGAGTCTCATTCTGGTAGCTGTGCTATCCACCAGCTATCTCTTGATGTAAATTGAACATCGCTAATATATAAATATATATATATATGTTGATTTTTAGGTACAAATTTGGCGATGCTGCGCCATTCCACCTACTGTGCGACCGCTAGTAGCGCTGAGACGCCTGCGCAATAACCCCTTCTGCATGCCTTTTTACCTCCACTTATGCAAGTTCAATTTGAGTTTCGAGTTTTCTGATGCTAGTGGCATCGATTGGCTATCCAGGCCAGGACGGAGATGCCTCGGTGAAAAGCGATCTTAGGTCTCTGTGCTCTCTATCTTTACCGACCACATCCATGAAGTTTGTATATTCTCTGCTCGCGTTTGGTCTTCTCGGCCTCGGGGCACATGCCGCTGCTACCCCCTACAAATGCGAGTCTGTGTCCAAGCCAGCCTACCTCGTTTCATTTGGTCCCATGGGGCAGAACACTTACCTTAAAGTGGGCCAAAACCAGACCGAGCAGCATCATCCGTTGATAGTCCAGGCGGGCTCGACGGCGCACAATGCTGACAAATTTGTTCTCTACACCTGCCACGCACACGACTCTCGTCTTCCTGCTAAGTTCAGCCTCGTCCGTGCGGCCAAGGATTCGAGCCAATGCCTCAGTTTGAATGGCCCAGGCCCCAAGAAGGACGATACGACACCTGTCTCCAAACTTGATGCTCTTAGCAATTCCCTAGTGGTCAAACCCTGTGCGTCGTCCGTCCACAAGAAAATCTACCACCAAATCTTCACTGACGAGCAAGAGACCTCCTTCCCGATGCTGCTTGAGCAAAAGGGCACCGACGACTATGCCACACGCAGCACCATTTCTTACAAAAAGGGCCTCGTGATCATGTCGCCGAATACGCCTCCTGCAGCGGGCTCGCCCACATATGTCACCCGCCTCTATCTGAATGATGAATAAAAACCGGCATTCGTGTACTCCCACATGGGCCTCTGACCCATGCCGCCTACATTAAATAAAGGGTCTTGTTGTTCATAAATACATATCACTCGTTCTGTGTCATGCATCGTGTATAGTTCTCACTGCGTATGCAAGAGCATTAGATTACTGTGCGAACTTTTTGCTCGCGGTCCCAGAATCGCTGTGCTGCTGCATCCAAGAAGGAGGAGTCAAGCTTCGTGATACCAGCGTCCTCTTCCACGCCTGCCTTCTGCAGGAGCGGAGCTGCAGCCTCCGAAAAGCCGATGGCCTTGAGATGAGCAAATGCGTCCATCACAAACTGTACGGCAGCCACCTCCTTCATGATCGCTTCTGTGCCCTCCTTGGACAACACCAAGGCCACTGCATCAAACAGGGCTGATGGCGCTCCAGCCAGAGGTGCATCTGCTTGGATTTGGCTACCATCGCTCAGTTGAATGCCCTTCAGTGTGGGTCCAATCACCACAGGCGTTGCCTTGGCCTGGCGAATGCCCGTGAGGAGTGAATCAAGCTGACCCTTGTCAGTCTGGTTCGCTACCAAAACGCCCACACTGCGGCCCTCGAGCGTCTTCTTCATATTCTTGTGGATCGACAGCTTGTCACTCGGTTTCATATCGAGAACGGGCGACAGCGCCTCGCTCTTGGCCGGCAGAGGCATACCAATTCCGCGGGCGACGCGGCGGGCGAGGTCTTCGTCCACGTTCAGCAAGTTACCCAACATGCGCCCATGAACCTGCGGCATCGTCACATTGCTGAGCTCACAGACAAATGCGCCCACAATGTGGGCTTGCTCCGTAGGCGTCTGTGAGTGCCAGAACAGGCGGGCCTGCGAGTAGTGGTCACGGAAGCGCTCGTCACGCGCGCGCAGCTTAGGGCCAGAAGCGCGGGGACCAAGCGGAAGCGACTGCGTGCCGAATCCAAAGGGGCAGGCGCGGGGCCCCGTCGGCTCCTTGCTCTCGTTCAGGCTGTTAGGCTGGTAGTTCGCACGGCCCTTCGGTGCATGGCGCTGCATAAAGCCGTCGCGCTGGAAGTTGTTCACCGGGGCACGAGGTGCATTGACCGGCAGCTGGTGGAAATTTGTGGTGCCAAAGCGCGACTTTTGTGTGTCTAGGTATGAGAACAATCGGCCCTGTAGCAAGGGATCGTCGGAAAAGTCGATGCCAGGCACAATGCTCGACGCGCAAAAGGCCGCTTGCTCCGTCTCTGCGAAAAAGTTATCCGGCCACTTGTCGAGCACAAAGTGTCCGATGATCTCGACTGGAATCTCCTCTTCGGGAATGAGTTTGGTCGCATCCAGCACATCGTACGGCTGCTTCTCGGCCCACTCGCGATCAAAGACCTGAATGCCAAACTCCCAGGCAGGGTATTGGCCGTTTTGGATCGCTTCGAATAGATCGGCGCGGTGGTAGTCGTTGTTGGCACCCTGGAGCTTAGTCGCCTCGTCCCAGGTCGTCGACTGCAGACCCTGCTTCGTGCGCCAGTGAAACTTGACAAAGTGTGTCTCACCTTCAGCATTGACCAGCTGGAAAGTGTGCACACCAAAACCATCCATCATGCGCAGGGATCGCGGGATGGATCGGTCAGACATGAGCCACAGGAGCATATGCGTAGCCTCTGGCAGTAGCGAGTTAAAGTCCCAGAATGTGTCATGAGCACTTGCTGCCTGAGGGAATCCACGGTCCGCCTCCATCTTCAAAGCGTGCACCAGATCAGGGAACTTGATCGCATCCTGGATGAAGAAGACTGGGATGTTGTTGCCCACCAGATCCCAGTTGCCTTCGTCAGTGTAGAACTTAAGCGCAAAGCCTCGGACGTCCCGGGGCGTATCAACTGACCCGGCGCCGCCGGCCACTGTGGACATACGGGCAAAAATCGGGGTCTTCTTGCCCTTCTGGAACACAGCCGCCCTAGTCAGGTGCGAGATGTCCTTGGTCGCTTCGAAGTAGCCGTACGCACCCGAGCCGCGTGCATGGACAATACGCTCAGGAATGCGCTCATGATCGAAATGGAAAATCTTTTCGCGCAGGAGAAAGTCTTCTAGGAGCGTGGGTCCACGCGACCCACTTTTGAGACTGTTCTCGTCGTCCGCTATCGGCACGCCCAGGTTCGAAGTCAGGCGCCCTTCGCCTCCACGTTGTTGCGTCTCATGACCGTGACCCCGCTCCGTCGATACGTGTTCCGAGCCTGAGAAGATCGACATGGTCGTAGAAGGCGAACGGCTCAATTAAGGAATGCCTATTTAGACTCAAGGGCTTGCGCAATTGCCACACCGCACGCACCAATTTGGCCGCGCGGGTGTCGCACTCCGCGGGCTTTATTCGTCGCTGCCCAATCAAATGGAGAATCCCCTCCGGACGAATGTCCGTGCGTCGTGCTCTATCAGGAAAGAAATCTTTGCTCGTTGCACAAACTTACAGCTATCCTCCTTTCTGATTGGCAAGCGCATAACCAGTCAGCGAGCGCCCTCTCATCACGATTACCTCACCATGACTCAACCTGACGACACTTTTTGATGCATGCCAATGCTATATGCTTCGCGTTGAGTGGAGGAATGGCACTCTGGCACTTGTTAAACATCCACATGGCATCATGGGTAAGCGCTATTGGTGAAGTGAGCGAGGCGCGTCTGCATATGCCAAGACCTCATTCCATTGACGAGAGTGCCTTGGTCAGGAGCGTACACGGCCAGCACAGGTTCTCTTCTAGCTTCTAGATGCTGGCTCTCGAATACTGCACATTTGCGCTCCTGCTGGCAGGGACAACCACTGCGCACATTGGACGTGGTGTCCCGCTCGTGTCTGAGAAGCATGTCGATCAGCACCATCGCTTTGAGCGCCTTCATGCTCGTGATGGGCCGCCGACTATGTCCTCATGGGCTAAGCTCAAGGGTGCCCAGGAATGCAAGGACTACAGTCTCCCCAGCTCGGCGAAGCTGCAGAAGATTTATCCTCAGGGGAATCAGATTGCCAAGATTGTCGATGGTGACAGTGAGGCGCAGTCCGTTTGGAAGGAGATTCAGTCCTCCGGGATTATTCCTTCTAATGTGCAAGTCAAGAAAGACACCGACAATCACATGGGCATCGACGATAATGGCTACAATGCCGGATCGGACCCTGACTGCTGGTGGTCGGCGAGTGGCTGCACGAAGCCCAAGGCGAAAGGGCTGAGTGAGGACCTGTTCGAATGCCCGGAGCCGCACACTTGGGGCCTTACCTTTGACGATGGCCCGAACTGTGGCCACAATGAATTTTACGACTTTTTGAAAGATAACCAGCTCAAGGCGACCCTCTTCTACATTGGTGCCAATGTGCGCGACTATCCGCTTCAGGCCCAACGTGGTTTGGCTGATGGTCATGACATTTGCTTGCACACGTGGTCGCACCACTACATGACGACTCTGTCGAATGAGCAGGTGTTCGCCGAGCTGTACTATACGCTGCGCATCGTCAAGGATGTGCTGGGTATTACGACGCGTTGCTGGCGCCCGCCATTTGGTGATGTGGATGACCGTGTGCGTGCGATTGCCACGGCGCTCGGTCTTCGCACGATCATCTGGGACCAGGACACGAACGACTGGGATATCAAGCCCGATGGCACGAAATCTACGCAGCAGATTGACTCCAACTACCAGAAGATCATTGATCTTGCGTCTCAGAACAAGGTTGACGACAAGGGTGTCGTCGTGTTGACACACGAGATCAACTCAGATACGATGAACGAGTTTATGAAGATGTTCCCTAAGGTGAAGAAGGCTTACAACAATGTGGTTCCTCTGACGGCCTGCATGAATGCTACGACGCCTTACGTGGAGGACGACATCAATTACCCTGCCTTTAACGACTTTATCAGTGGTAAGGTCCAGCCGAAGGGCCTGCCTGACATGGACACGTACCAAATCGCTGTGGCTTCTAAGGTCGACATTACCAAGGAGAGTGACCAGACATCCCCTGGTGGCTTCTCGGCCAACTCGCCGCAGGCGGCGTCCGCTTCGGAAGCCTCGGACGACGACACACAAAATACTTCTGATTCCGACTCGAAGGATGAGCCTCCATCTTCCCAAAACGCCTCTGAGCGCCTCCGCGCGACGCCGACGGTAGTGCTCGCGCTTGCGGCATGCCTCAGCGTTGCACTGTGGTGGTAATCGGCCTCCACGTAGATCTTGTACTGAGCTAATCTGTACATAAGCATCACTCAACCCATGCGAAGATGGTGTCATGATGGCCGCTAGCGGAGGTCGGAATGGCTTGTCAATTCGTTTCTTGCACTGCCGATGAAACAGCGCGTAGCTGTCATCGGTGCTGGAAGCGCTGGCTTGGCCATTGTCCAGCAACTGCAAGATGTGGCCCCCGAGCGTATGTAGGCCCCACTAACTCGGCAGGCTTTGAGATTGTCGTCTTTGAGCGCCGTGACCAGGTAGGTGGTCTGTGGAACTTTGAGGCCGAGCCCGGCAAGTGCCATGTTGTACCTAGCGCCCCGACTCCCCACTCAGCAGGCTCTACTGTTGTCAGCAGTAGTGGCTACGCCTACAGTGAGCCCCGCGCGCTCCACGAGGCAAGCGCTATGTACGAAGGTCTGCGCACCAACATTCCCTCGGACCTGATGGCGTTCCGCGACTTTCCCTTCCCGGAGGGGACACGCCTGTTCCCAGAGCGGGCAGAAGTCCTGGCCTACCTGGAGCGCTTTGCCTCCCACATCGGCATGGAGCGCGTTACCCGCTTCGGCACGCGCGTGACCGATGTGCGGCGTCTCTCTGTAGCGCCGTCACGTTGGCAGGTCACCAGTGAGTCGCAAGATGGCTCTCGCACAGAAACCTTCGACCATGTTGCGATCGCATGTGGTTGGTGCACTGTGCCACATATCCCCTCCATTCCGGGACTCGAGCATTTCCGTGGCACACAATGGCACAGTGCGTGGTACCGCACGCCCACCATCTTCCGGAACCAGCGAGTGCTTGTTGTCGGAAACTTTTCATCTGGCACCGACGTGGCGCGCGAGCTATGCGGTGGTGCAGTGCGCACGTTCCCCGGCTCAGAGCAATGGAAAAAGGAGGCTGCGCAGGAGCCGCCCGCGACAGGCACGTACGTGTACCAGTCGTATCTTCGCCCTGACCTACCTCCGCCGCTCGACTACGATCCTCGCGACCCCACGAGTCCAGACTGGTGCCGCCGCATCCATGTTTTGGGACCGATAGATCATGTCGAGGCGGACGGTACACTCGTTTTCCGAGACGGCCAGCGCCTGTCTGTCGACGCAATCGTATGGGCCACCGGATTCTGGCGCTCGATCCCCATGCTCGATCAGACGCTCGCGCCCTTTGACAAGTGTCCTCTCGTGGCACCACCAGGTTGCAGGACCGCCTCGTCCTCGGCGGCGCCGATGCCCATGTGCTCCAACCTCGATGTGCATGGCACATCGAGCCTGACGAACCTGGATGACTGGCAAATCTTTTATGAGCCAGACAATAGCCTCGCGCTACTGGGCGTGCCTACTCACGTCATCCCTTTCCCTTTTGTACACGTCCAAGCTCGTGTGATCGCGCACGTTTGGGCGGGCTTAGTGCCCAAACTGCCTCAGCTCGACCCTGCGCTGCAGCCTGGCATACCGGAAAAATGGACCTCCCAACGTGAGCACAGCCCGCTGGCCGCGGGCGTCGAGCCTGTGAGCCACTTGATCGAAACTCCCTCGGAGGAGGCGTATCTCGATGCCCTAGTCGCACTGCTGCCCGGCCCTCAGGGCTCTACGCGACCGCCGTGGGACAAGGATGGCACATCTCGTGGACCTGAGGGGTGGCACCAGCTCTCACACTGGCGGCGCGAGCGGCTGCGCGACCGCATCCTTCTCCGTCGCCAATCACTGGGCTACTAGCCCTTTTTGTAACTATCCGCTTTTGATAGCCCCACCTCCACTCTTTGTTAAAAAAAACCACACCGGCTCTCCTTATCGGGTGACATGTGGGAGCGGGTCGGCCAGGCGGTCGCAAGACTCGACCAAGCCGTTGCACGCTCATTCATGGGCTCTTACTTCCGATTAGAAGGATCAGGACACCCATTAGAGCGCAAAGGTGCACGATTTTCCACAGAGTTGCGTGCAGGCGCCGTGACCTTTACTGCGATGGCTTACATTCTCGCGGTGAATGCGTCGATTCTCTCTGATTCAGGTGGGCCGTGTGTATGCCGGGGGGGAGGTGATGAATGCTCCAATGATCCAGAGTACCTTTCATGCCAGAACGATCTGCGGCGCGCGTACGTTGTGGCGACCGCAGCGGCTGCGTGCATTGCTTCGGGCCTCATGGGCCTTTCTGCGAATATGCCCCTGGGCCTCGCCCCGGGTCTTGGGGCGAATGCATACTTTGCATACACAGTCGTGGGCACTGCTGGCTCGGGCACAGTGAGCTATTCGCAGGCCCTCGCTGTCGTTTGGCTTGAAGGGTGGATCTTTGTCATCCTTTCGATTCTGGGCGTGCGCCAGTGGCTCGCGCGTGTCCTGCCCAAGTCGCTGAAACTAAGCACGGGCGCGGGTATCGGCATTTATCTCGCACTCATTGGTCTCGGACCCGGTGGTCTGAACGTCGTGGGCCTCGACTTTGACAACCTGCTCGGCTTTGCTGGATGCCTGCCGCAATACCGCGATCCGGAGCACAGCAATGCGTGCTTATCGCATGTGCTGCAGGATCCCCGCATGTGGGTAGGCATATTCCTGGGTGGTGTGCTGATCACGCTTCTGCTCATGTACCGTGTGCGCGGTGCGATGATCCTGGGTATCCTGCTAGTCTCGGTTTCGTCATGGCCGCGTGGCTCGGCGGTGACACAGTTTCCTAACGATGCCCAGGGCAACGATAACTGGGACTTTTTCAAGCAGGTGGCAACGTGGCGCAGCATCAATCCGATCGGCCCCCACAACATCGACTGGCAAGGGTACAACACGGGGCATGCGTGGCTCGCGCTCATTACATTCTTGTACATCGACCTGCTGGATACTACAGGCACGCTGTATTCGATGGCGACGCACGCCGGTCTCGTGGATATACGCACGGGCGACTTTGAGGGCAGCTCCATGGCGTACATCTCGGATGCCGTGTCGATTTGCACCGGCAGCTTGCTGGGCTGCTCGCCATGCACAGCGTTTATCGAGAGCGCAGCGGGCATTGCCGAAGGCGGTCGGACCGGCCTCACAGCGCTGACCATCTCTCTGTTCTTTTTCCTGAGCCTATTTTTCGCCCCGATCTTTGCGTCGCTGCCCGCGTGGGCGACGGGCAGTGTGCTGGTCATCGTCGGCTCGATGATGATGTCGTCTGTCGCAGAGGTCAACTGGGACTACATCGGCGATGCGGTGCCCGCGTTCCTGACAATCATCGGTATTCCGTTCTTCTACAGCATTGCCTACGGCCTCATTGCCGGCATCCTGTCGTATATGGTGCTCAACGTCATCCCGTGGGCGATCGCGAGGGCGACACGGGGGCGACTCGTGCCCGATGGCTGGCACGACCGGCGCGAACCATGGGGCATTGCACCGCCCAACACCTTCCTGGACACGTCCACGAAAAAGCTCGCGCCGTGGCAGCGCGCCGTCGTGAACCACAGCCTGCTCCCCCCGTGGGTCAAGAAGCTATGCATTGGCCAGTGGCGCTTCTGGGTCATGACCGAGGCGGAGATGGCCGACATGCTCGAGGGGCGACGTCTCTCTCAGATCTACCGTGAGCAGCTTGCAAAACGCCGCGCCGAGGAGCGCGAGCAGCAGCGCCGCGGCTTTGCGCCGCCGACCGACGTGGAGAAGGCCAGCGTGGAGCTCGCCTCCCTCGCGCCGACCGCGTGAGGACCTTGTAGATTGTTCACGTGATTGCCATGCATCGAAGAGGCACTTGCCAATCGCGCCTTCGAGGGCATGCGCCTAGCGTCGCTCCGACGTTCGTTCGCCACCAGCCTTGCCTCGAGACGCTGGGCGCCCTGCATGGTTAGCCAGGAGGCCGACGCCACACAATGCGGTCCGTTCCGCCGCCTCGCGCGCGAGGCACTGCCGTATGCTCCCGACATGGTCGTGGAAAAATGGCGCAGCACACAGTCCGGGCTCACCGTCCTGTGGGCGAGCTTTGACAGCCCCTTGCTGAACGCGTACATCACCCTTGCCACGGAAATCTTCACAGACAGCGGCGTGCCACACACGCTCGAGCACCTCGTGTTCCTTGGCAGCCAGCAGTATCCCTACAAAGGTGTGCTCGACAGCCTCGCGAACCGCGCGTTCGCGCAGGGCACCAATGCGTGGACGGCCAACGATCACACAGCCTACACGCTCACGACCGCAGGTGCTGATGGCTTCCTGCGCATGCTCCCCGTGTACTGCGACCACGTCTTCTTTCCCACGCTCACCAAGGCCGGTTTTACCACCGAGGTGTACCACGTCAACGGCCAAGGCGAAGACGCCGGCGTCGTGTACTCGGAAATGCAGGGCCGCGAAAACTCGAGCGCGGACCTCATGGAGCTCAAGACGCAGCGCATGCTGTATCCCCGCTCGTCTGCGTACCGCAGCGAGACGGGCGGCCTCATGGCTGCCCTGCGCGTCCTGACCATCGACGACATCCGCGCGTACCACGCGCAGTACTATTCGCCGCACAATGCGGCGCTCGTGCTCTGCGGTCCCCTCGACCGCGCAGCGCTCTTCCGAACGCTCGAGCAGATCGACGCGCGCTTTGTCGAACAGCAGCGCGCACAGGGCGAGCAGGGACCGCCCGGCTGGCGCCGCCCCTTTGTGGAGACGGCGAGCGCTGTACCGCCTGTCATTGACGCTTCGCGCCTCGAGGTACCGGGCGTCGAGGATGCCGCGCCGCCATTGCAGCCACTGCGCCGCCGCGCGTACGTCGAGTTCCCTGAGAAGGACGAGAGCGTTGGCGAAGTGCAAATCTCATGGGTCGGCCCGCCCATCACCGACGCACTTGCACTGCAGGCGCTCGACGTCCTGGGCACCTACCTCACCGACTCGCCTGTGAGCCCCGTACAAAAAGCCTTTGTGGAGCGCGACGATCCCCTCTGCACGGACGTGTACTTTGGCAACAGCGAGCGCGCCGGTGCCTCGGTCCTCGGTGCATGCTTCAGCAGCGTGCCGACCGCGAAGCTCGATGACCTCGACCAGGCGCTGCACGCTCTCTTTGTGGACGTGGCACGCGACGGTGTGGACATGGTGCGCATGGAGACCGTCCTGCGCCGCGAGCGTGAGCGCCTACTAAGCCAGCTCGAGATGCGGCCAGCCGACTGCTTCTCCGATGTGCTCATCCACGACTTTCTGTATGGCCACCGCGACGGGCACGACCTGGCGACGGCTCTTGACGATATGCAGCGCTTTGATGCGCTGGCGCGCTACACCCAGGAAGACTGGGCTCGCGTGCTGCGCCGCTACCTGGTCGACAATGCGCGTCTCGTCGTCGTTGGGCGCCCCTCGGCAGCGCTGGCACAACAGCTCCAGCACGAGACGCAGGCGCGCGTCGCTGCGCGCCGCTCCGAGCTCGGCGAGGCCGGCACACAGGCCCTGGAGCAGGCGCTGACCGACGCTCGGCGCGCGAACGATGCGCCATTCCCGCCGCAGGTACTGAAAGACTTTGCCGTGCCGTCCAGCGATACGATCCAGTGGATCTCGGTGGCCACGGCGCACAGTGGCCCCGATGCGCCGCCCGAGTCGCTCGGCGAGCTCAGCGCGGAGGATGCGCAGCTACACGCCCATGTACAGGCGGACGGCGAGCCGCTGCCGTTCGTGATCCAGTTTGATCAGATCCCCTCCCAGTTTGTCCTCATCTCGGCCGTGCTCAGTACCGAGGCGGTGCCGACCGAGCTGCGACCTTATCTGACGCTGTACCTTGCGATGCTCTTCTCCCTGCCTGTTCAGCGCGCCGACGGCACACGACTCTCGTACGAGCAGGTCGTCCAGCAGCTTGAGGACGATGTCCTGGACTATGACGCGGCGATCGGCGTCGGCTCGAGCTTCAACGAGAACCTGGCCGTGGAGCTCAAGGTGCCCGCGTCGCGGTACGTGCAGGCTGTTGGGTGGATGCGCGATCTGCTGTGGGGCGCCGACTTTTCGCTGGAGCGCGTGCGCGTCAGCGCCGCCAAGCTCGCCCAGTCGCTGCCAGAGCAGAAACGCGATGGCCGTATGGTGTCGTGGGCACTCTTGCGCTCGCTCCTGTATGTCCCAGGCCGCTCGGCGTGCGAGGCAAACAGTGTGCTCTCCCAAATCCAGCATGTGCGCGAGATCACCGACGCTCTCCAGCACACGCCGGAGCAGGTGCTCGCCAACTTGGAGCGCGTGCGCGAGGCGCTCTTGCGCCCTGAGCACATGCGCTTCAGTGTGGCCGGCGATATCCTGCGGCTTCCGGCGCCGCGCGTGCCGTGGCGCACGGTACTCCCGAGCGTGCCGGCGCCGCGCGCGCTGCGTCCTCTGCCGTGGGCGAGTGACGTGGTGAACGCCCTGGGCGCACGCCCTGCGCGCGCGGCGCGCCTGTGCACGGTGCCGGCGATTGAGAGCTCCTATGCTGTGGTCACCGCGCGTGGCCTCACTGGCTACACGGACCCCGACTATGCGCCGCTGGTTGTCACACTGACCATTCTCAATGCGATGGAGTCGTTCCTGTGGCGCTACATCCGCGGCGCGGGTCTTGCGTACGGAGCATCGATCCGCAATGACGCCGAGGCGCAGCACATCCATTTCCTCCTGTACCGCGCGCCGGACGCGGCGCGCGCCTTTACGGAAGGACGCAAAGTGCTTCATGCGCTGGCCCACGGCACGCCACTCGACGATGGATCGAGCGCCGTGATTGACGAGACGATGCTCGAGACGGCCAAGTCGAGTCTGCACTTTAGCGTGGCTGAGGCGGAGGGCACCGTCGGGGCGGCTGCGCTCGAGAGCTTTGTGGATGTGCGCCTCAAGCGCGTGCCGCGCGGCCGCGGTCGGCGCCTACTCAAGGACGCGAGTCGCGTCACGCTCGCCGAGGTCCAGCGGTGCCTGCGGCAGTACATTGTGCCGCTGTTCGATCCGGCGACGTCCGTGTGCGCCGTGGCAGCCTCGAGTGCCAGCGCCGAGAGCATTCGCGCACAGCTTACGGCCGTGGGCTATGACGTGGAGGACGTCGAGATGCCCGTGGGCGGCGACGAGTCGGATGCATCCGACACGGAGACGGCGTCTACGGCGTCCTAGCTATAGGCTCTTCTGGAAGGACAAGAAGAGCAGCTCGTAGCCCTCAAACTCGTACAAAATGCGATCGCGCTTCGCATAGCCAGGCAGCGTAAGTGCCCGCAGCGCCGTCACGCTGCTCGGGTCGTCGGTCGAGACAAAGAGCGTAAGCGTAAAGCTACCCGGCTCAAACATCTGCACGACGCGGTGCACGAGCGCCGGGACGTGCGTGAGGTCACCGCCCTCGTCGTCCATGCCGCCCTCGCAGTCGAGCGCCACATTGGTCTCGAACGAGGCGTAGCTGCTACCGGGCTCTGGCGTCACGTGCACCGTCCAGTAGCCTGCCGAGTGGTGCGGCGAGGCGGGGACGAGCGCATTGGCGCTGTAGCCGCACGGCTCAAACGCAAACGCGTCGAGCTGCGTGTGTGCAAACAGGTCTGCGAGGCCCATGTTGCGCGAGAGCTGCGCGCCCAGCTCGTGCGCGCGGTCCGCATTGCAGTCGTCCTTCGCATCGAAGAAGAAGCTCTGCGAGACACGCGGCGACAGGTCGGTCATGAGGATCTCGAGCGTCGAGTCGTCGCCGACCACGCGAGTGGCGCGCGGGCACACGGGTGCCTCGTCCGGATCCGTGTGCTGCGCCATGTACAGCAGCCAATGGTCGCCATTCATCTTGCCGACCGTGTACGCCGCGCCGTGGTCAAAGTACTGGTCGAGCCACTGCGTCTCGAGCTCCCAGTCGCGGTGCGGCCCCTGCTGCTTCTCGGGGAACATGAAGCTCTTGCGGCTGTAAAAGACACGCTGCACGTACGAGCCCAGCATCTTGCCGTCCGCCTCGCCAGCGAGGGCGGCCGCCAGCATGGTGCTCGACACACTGCTCGACTGCAGTGATAGCGACTCCTCGTCAAAGAGCGTTGCCTTGGCAATGCGCAGCAGGCGCTCCAGGCCCAGCAGCAGCGTCGTCGTGCCGCACGTCTTGAGGACGACCTTGTGGGGGTATACGAACATGGACGACTCACTCAGCAGATACGCGTCGACGTCCGCGTTCGTCACAATACTCAGCGTCTTACATTTGACAAGCTCGAGCATGCTCTCCCATGTGCTCTTCGGCACCCGCCGCAGGCCCAGGCGCCCGCCGAGCGTAACGTGCCGCTCGGCCATCGCCCGCTGGCACTCCGGCAGAGCCTCAACACTCGGAGCAAACCACAACTCCAGCAGCTTCTCAGGGCCCTCAAAGGGTCCGCCCAGATCCTTCATGTCCACAGCCGGCACCTCCATGTCGTCCCATTGCCGCTCGGCCGCCGCCGCACTCGCTCGTGCGTCTGCGTCCATGACCATGGCCAAGGTTCACGGCCGAGACGACGAAAAACGCCGGTCCTTCCCCTCCACCTTCGAAGACCCCGCCTCCCGCATGAGCCAAGGCGCAGCCTCCCTGCTGCTCGCCCACAAGCCTCACGGGCGCATTCTCCTTGTGATCGGCGAGGGGAAGCTCGCGCTCCAGAGAGCGCGAGCCGCAGTCGACGCAGGCATGCGCGCTGTCCTTGCGTGGCACACGCCCCATGACCCGACGGAGCCCGGCATCGAGTGCGTGGCGATCGAGCGCGATACCCTATTCCCTGCGCCTGCGCAGGAAGCCGCCTGTGCAGAGGCATGGGCGCACCTGCTCGATCGCATTGATACGCCTGACAAGAACCTCTTTGCCGTCTGCGTCACAGACACCCTCGCCACTGTCGTGCCCGAGGCCCACGCGCGACGCGCCAGGTGCGAGGTGCTCGCGCACGCCTGCCGCGCACGCCGCCTCCCCCTGAACGTGACGGACGTGCCGGATCTATGTGACTATGCGTTTCCGGCGACGCACAGTTTCGCGGGCGCGCACGACTCGCCGTCTCTACAGATCGCTGTCACCACCAACGGCAAGGGATGCAGGCTCGCGGGGCGCATCCGCCGACACATTGTCAGCTCACTACCTGCGTCGATCGGTGTTGCCGTTGACCGCATTGGAGATATGCGCGAGCGCGCCAAGTCGGCGGCTGGCCATGCTGTCGACGCGGGCGAGCACGAAGACGAGCCGTCGCTGGGCGACACACTGGGCTACCACGCGCCTATGGAACCCATACCGGCTCCTGACGCCTGCACGTTGCAGCGGAGGCGCATGCAGTGGATTGCACAGATCAGCGAGTATTGGCCCCTGGACAAGCTCGCGGCGCTCACGCCGAGCGAGATGCAGGCCCTCCTCGAGACGGACATGCCTCTGCGCAACAACGCCTTGCCTGACCCGGACGAGCGTGCATCCAAGCGCTCTCGGCACGACCTCACCGTCGAGCCCCAGTCCCGAGGGCGCGTGTTCCTCCTGGGCTCGGGCCCAGGACACCCAGGGCTGCTGACTGTGGCGGCGCGCGACATCCTGACGTCGCCCACGACCGACCTGATCCTCTCCGACAAGCTTGTGCCTACGGCCGTCCTCGCCCTCATCCCTGCGACCACGCCGCTGGTCATTGCGAAAAAGTTTCCAGGCAATGCAGAGGGCGCACAGTCCGAGCTCATTGCGCAGGCGCTCGAGGCCGCACAGCAGGGCAAGACGGTCGTGCGGCTCAAGCAGGGAGACCCGTATATCTACGGCCGAGGCGGAGAGGAGCTCGTCGCGTGCCAAAACGCGGGCATCGAGTGCACCGTGGTGCCGGGCATCTCTAGTGCCATGGCCGGACCGCTCATGGTCGGTATCCCCGTGACGCAGCGCGGAGCCGCGGAATCGTTTGTCATGTGCACAGGCGTTGGCCGCGGCGGCAAGCGTGTGCGCCTGCCGGGCTACGAGCGCTCCCGCACGATGGTCGTCCTCATGGGCGTCGCGCGCCTCGCGGCCGTCGTCGATACGCTGCTGGCCGACGAGAGCGAGGGACGCGCCGGCCCGGCCTATCCCCCGTACACTCCCATGGCCATTATCGAGCGCGCGAGCTCAGAGGACCAGCGCATGATCGCGACGACGATCGAGCGCATCGTCGATGTGATGGAGCACCACATCTCCGATGGACAGCGCCCGCCAGGTATGCTGGTCGTCGGCTGGGCCGTCCTCAGTCTCACGGGTCCTGTCGCAGGCGCCCGCGTCCTGGACGACGAGTCACGCTGTGCTGCCGAGCATGCAGACGCTAGCGCGGCAGCGCATGCATTGGCCGCCTGCGACCGCGAGCGGATCGATGCGTGGCTCGGCCCGTCGGGCTTCCGCATCGTCGAGGGATTGCCCCCCGGCTTTGAGCGTTTCCCCGCATCGAGCGCACTGCGCGCAGACGATGCCACACCGGCGCCGCGCTCCGCCACGGGCTGGGCTGCACCGCGCTACGACGCAGCGCCGCGCGCCGTAGGATGCTAGTCACGTGACCACAACACCCACGCGTCGCGCCGCGACCCTGACCGGTGTGCTGCGATGTCGAGCACGGGCGGGGCGGCGCCCTCGGCGCACCGCGTGTCGCGCTCGATCCCCTTCACGCCCGGGCGCACAGCGTCGAGTCATGGTGCTGCGATGAGCGCAAAGCAGTACGACCGCTACTTGCGCCGGCTTTCGGCTGTGCAGCACTCGACCCGGCGGGCCATGCGCACCCTCGACGACTCGGTGCAAGAAGAGGAGCTCGAGGCCGGCGAGGAGGCCACGCCTACCGCACACGTGCCACCCGAGCGCACACGCGCGCTCCCGCCTCAGATCCGCCAGCTTGAACGGGGCGGCGGCGCGCCGGCGGCGGCGGCGGCGCCCGCGCCAGAGTCGTACCTGCAAGAGCCGTCGTTTGTGTTGAACCCCCTGAGCGGGCGCCTACCGTCGATGACGCCCCGGAAACTTGCGCGGCCGCGCGCCTATGATGTGGACGACCCGAATGCGTCGACAGAGGGACTGTCAGCCGCCGAGCGGCTCATCACGCTCGACACGCTGGACGCGACGCTCCAGGACGTGCTGCTCGTGGAGGACCTGCTGTATATCCTGATCGGCATCGAGGGGAACTATGTCCAGTTTGCGCCTGACTACCGCCCCGACGACCTCGGCCACCGCCTCAATGGCGCACGCTACGTGATTGATGCGGCCCTCGATGCATCGCTGCGCGAGCTTGTGGAGCGGATCCTGCCGCTGGCCAGCTACTACACGTCCATCTATGCGTTTGTCGAGTGCGAGTCCGGCCTGGAGTACGGCACCGTGATGCATGCGCTGTGTGCGGCGATCCGCACGCAGCTGTGCCAGTACGAGGACCTCGTGGCGCAGATGGAGCAGCGGATGCTCAGCTCGCCGGACTTTACGCTGCAGCAGCTCTGGCGGGCCATGCACCCCATGCTGCGCACGTTTGGCCTCGTGCATGCACTGACCTCGGACATTGCAAGCATCACGCATGCGGATGTCCTGCCGCGCCTGGAAGACGAGAACTTGTCCGAAGGGTCAGATACGAGCTTTGACAGTGATGCGTCGCAGCTGGAGCGCGACCGCCGGGCGCTCCTGGGCCTCGACGAATTCCAGACGGAGGACATTGCCGGCGGTATCGTCAAGGGCGGCGAAGTCCTGTCCATGCTGTGGGACCGCTTGACCCAGCTGGGCGGCGATCCCGTGGCGCATGCCCTGTACTTGCAGCTGTTCCGCGAGGCATCGCAGCCGTATGCCCGCACCCTGCTGCGGTGGATCACCTCTGGCGTGCTGCTCGATCCGTACGAGGAGTTTATGGTCGTCGAAGACGCCCGAGTGACGCGGGCCTCGCTCGAGTCGGACCCGACGGACGAGTACTGGGAGCGGCGATATATGCTGCGCGATGAGCGGTACCTGGCCCAGCGTGAGCAGCTGGCACGCGAGGGCGATATGCTGCCCGCCGACGATGTCGACGAGGCGCGTGGCGAGCTGACAGGCGGCGCGAAGATCCCCGCATTCCTGCAGCCGTGGAAGCACAAGATCTTGCTCGCTGGTAAGTACCTGAATGCGATCCGCGAGTGTGGGATCGACGTGTCCAATGGGCAGTCGGAGCGCGTCCAGACCCTGTTTGGCCTGCAGGACGCGCATGTGGAAGCCTATCTCGCGCTCGACGCGAAGCAGGAGCGGGTCGTGATGGACGACGAGGCCTTTGCTACGTGCATTGAGCGCGCGTACCAGCGCGCGAACGCGGCGTTGCTGTGCCTGCTTAAGGACGACAAGGACATCATTGCGCGGCTGTGCTCGCTGAAGCACTACTTTTTCTTCGCGCAGTCCGACTTTCTCCAGACGTTTATGGACCAGTCCGGCCACGAGCTCCGCAAGATGGTCGACCCCTTCCGCGTCCGCGAGACAACCCTGCTCCGCCTGCAGACCCAGCTGGACATGGCGCTTGGCAGCTCCGACAGCGTAGGCTTCCTCGACCCGTACCGCGAAGATCTGCGCGTGGATTTGGCGAAAGAGCGCGCGTACGACCAGCTGCAGCGCATCGCCGATACCAAGGGCGTCGTGGAAGTCGCTAAGCTACGCGCTAAGCAGCAAGCGGAGCGCCAGCAGCACGGGACGCGCGAGGTCGTCATGTACCTGCTGCAGTTTGACGTGCAGGTGCAGTTTCCCGTGTCACTGGTCATTTCCAAGAAGAATATCCTGCGGTGGCAGTTCATCCACCGCTGCCTCCTCTTGTTCAAGCAGCTGGAGCGCGCGCTCACAGAGGTCTGGGTCGAGCAGACGATGCCGGCGTGGCGGCGCAAGGACCGGCGTGCGCACGCGGCGCCGATGGAGGCGTGGAAGATGCGCATCCATCTCCTTCGCCAACGCATGCTGCTTCTGGTGCAGCAGCTGCTGGCGTTCTATACCAGCGAGATCATCGAGCCCCACTGGCACGCACTGGAGCGCCAACTGCATGCCGCACGCTCGGTCGACCAGTTTATGAAGCACCATTTCGACTTCCTCAACACCTGCCGCAAAGAGTGTATGCTGACAGACTATCGTTACCTCGAGTGCCACCGCAAGCTTATGAATACAATTACGGCATTTACAGAAAGTCGCACGCGCTTTACGGAGCAGTACGAGGCCATGCAGCGGGCGGTGGACGACTGGCACAGGCTCGCCGACGACACAGCACCACCGCCCGTGCTCCTCGACGACCGAGATATTCTATCGAAAATCGAGGCGAGTTGGAACAAGCACTCACGTGTACGTTCATTGACTGACCCAGACCTTCCGCGACGTCGTCAACTTCTTGTCCACCACCGACAATCCCGCGGCCCTGCCGCTGGCGTATCGGCTGCAGACGCTGCTTCCATAGCCCAGGCTGTGCCTTCGGCCGAGCCACGCCCCAGGGCGCCAGCGCGAAGCCAGGTCCGAATCACACCACCGGGGTCACCATCCTGTCCATACGGCTCTGTACTCGAGTGCACTGAATTCGGGAATAGCATCACCTATTCTTACTGCTCCCTATGTCGTCTAAACGTACGTATGCTCATGCGCTCATGCCGCAGCGATTCACGAGTTTGACGCCAAGCTCCTAATCAACTACTGGCTTCCCCGCTCGGCAGACGCCAGCCCCGAGGCTGTGGCGTCGCCGTCGTTCCGTGCGCCCACCGCTCGCGTCGCTCAGATCGCTTGGGATGCCAGCACGCAGAGCCTGACACCGGACGAGTATCTGCCGTCGTGGGTCTTTACCTCGAAGCTCGTGGCCAAGCCAGACCAGCTGATCAAGCGCCGTGGCAAAGCGGGTCTGCTCAAACTGAATGCGGACTGGCCCGACGCCAAGGCGTGGATCGCCGCGCGGGCCGGCCAGCCCCAAAAGGTAGGTGTATTCACGCTCACGCAACAGGTGGAGGCTGTCACGGGCCGCCTGACCCACTTCCTGGTCGAGCCCTTTTGCCCGCATGCACCCGAGACGGAGTTCTACGTGTGCATCAATTCGGCACGCGAGGGCGATTATGTCCTGTTCACACACGAAGGTGGCGTGGATGTGGGCGACGTCGATGCCAAGGCGAAGAAGCTGCTGATCCCCGCGAATCCCCAGGAGCCGTTCCCGCCGCGCGAGCAGTGGACGCGCACCCTGTTGCCCGAGGTCCCGGAGAACAAAAAGGAATTCCTGACAGACTTTTTGGTCCGCCTCTACAGCGTGTATGTGGACCTGCACTTTGCATACCTTGAGATCAACCCCCTCGTCGTGACGGACGACCAGGTCTACTACCTGGACATGGCAGCCAAGCTCGACCAGACGGCCGACTACCTCTGCGGTCCCAAGTGGGCCATTGCACGCGAGCCGAGCGCGTATGGAGAGGCCAGCGCCCCGACGTCGGGCGCCCTCACTGAGGACCGCGGTCCGCCCATGGTCTGGCCCGCGCCGTTCGGTCGCGAGCTCACCGCGGAGGAGGCGTACATCTCCAAACTCGACGCGGGCACGGGCGCGTCCCTGAAGTTGACGGTGCTGAATGCAGCAGGCCGCATCTGGACAATGGTGGCAGGTGGCGGCGCCTCGGTCGTGTACAGTGATGCGATTGCCGCCCATGGGTTCGCGCACGAGCTGGCGAACTACGGCGAGTATTCGGGCGCGCCTACCGAAACGCAAACGTTCGAGTATGCCAAGACGCTGCTAGACCTAATGACGCGCGGCGAGCCGCACCCTGACGGCAAGCTGCTCATCATCGGCGGTGGTATCGCCAACTTTACCAATGTGGCTGCGACCTTCAAGGGCATCATCCGTGCTCTGAAGCAGTTCAAGCCGCTGCTGGTCAAGCACCAAGTCCGCATCTTTGTACGCCGTGGTGGTCCCAACTACCAGGAGGGTTTGCGCGCGATGCGCCTGCTGGGTGAAGAGCTTGGCGTGCCGATCCAGGTGTACGGCCCTGAGACACACATCACTGACATTGTGCCTCTTGCCCTGGGCCTCAAGCGTCCCGAGGACATGGTCCTCAACGAGGCGGGCTCCATGGCACCTGCGTCTGTCCAGCAGGAGGCGCCAGCGCAGGCGGCCCCCACGGAGTCGACGACGCCGAACGTCGGCGCTGTGAACCTTGTCACCGGTGAGCGGATTCAGCCGCAGGACCAGATCGTGCACTTCCAGACGGACGACTCAACGAAGCGCCCCTGGTTCATGCCATTCGACGAGCATACGCGCTCTCTCGTGTACGGCTTGCAGCCCCGCGCGATCCAGGGCATGCTCGACTTTGACTTTGCGTGTGGCCGCGAGAAGCCCTCGGTAGCGGCGATGGTGTACCCCTTCGGCGGCCATCACATCCAAAAGTTCTACTGGGGCACCAAGGAGACGCTCTTGCCTGTGTACCAGAGCTTACAGGAGGCCGTCAAGAAGCACCCCGATGTCGACGTGGTGGTCAACTTCGCCTCAAGTCGCTCGGTGTACTCGTCCTCGCTCGAGGTCCTGGCCATCCCGCAGATTCGTGCGCTGGCGTTGATCGCTGAGGGCGTGCCCGAGCGCTACGCACGCGAGATTCTGTGGCGCGCGAAGAATGCGTCTGTTCTGGTCATCGGCCCTGCCACTGTGGGTGGTATCAAGCCGGGCTGCTTCCGCATCGGTAACTCGGGCGGTATGATGGACAACATCGTCGCCTCGAAGCTGTACCGCGCGGGATCGGTGGGCTACGTGTCCAAGTCGGGTGGCATGTCCAACGAATTGAACAACATCCTGTCGTTCACCACGAATGGCACCTACGAGGGCATTGCCATCGGTGGTGACCGCTACCCCGCGACCACCTTCATCGACCATCTGCTGCGCTACGAGAACGACCCGAACTGCAAGATGCTCGTGCTCCTGGGCGAGGTCGGCGGCGTGGAGGAGTACCGCGTCATCGAGGCCGTCCAGCAGGGCCGCATCACGAAGCCCATCGTGGCGTGGGCGATTGGCACGTGTGCCAGCATGTTCACCACCGAGGTGCAGTTCGGTCACGCCGGCTCGATGGCCAACAGCGAGGCAGAGACGGCGAACGCCAAGAACGCGGCCATGCGCGCTGCCGGCTTCGTGGTGCCGGACACGTTCGAGGACATGCCGACCGTGCTGTGCCGGACGTACGAGCGCCTGGTCCAGAACGGCACGATCAAGCCCAAGGCTGAGCGTCCGCCGCCGCCGATCCCCATGGACTACAAGTGGGCGCAGGAGCTGGGCATGGTGCGTAAGCCAGCGGCCTTCATCTCGACCATCTCGGACGAGCGTGGCGCGGAGCTGATGTACTCGGGCGTGAAGATCTCGGACGTATTTGGCTCGAACATGGGCATCGGCGGTGTCGTGTCCCTGCTCTGGTTTAAGCGCCCGCTGCCGCCCGTGTGCACCAAGTTTATCGAGATGACACTTATGCTCACGGCGGACCACGGACCGGCCGTGAGCGGTGCCATGAACACGATTATCACGTCGCGTGCCGGCAAGGACCTCATCTCGTCGCTTGTGTCGGGTCTGCTGACCATCGGTGACCGCTTCGGTGGCGCGCTAGACAATGCTGCGCGCGAGTTCTCGTCCGCCTTCGACCGTGGCCTGACGCCCCGCGAGTTTGTGGACTCCATGCGCAAGGCCAACAAGCTGATCCCCGGTATTGGCCACCGCATCAAGAGTGTGTCGAACCCCGACTACCGCGTGGAGGTGGTGAAGGACTACGTTCAAAAGAACTTTGAGTCGCACAAGCTGCTGGACTATGCACTGGCCGTGGAGAAGGTGACGACCGCAAAGAAGGACACGCTGATTCTCAACGTGGACGGCTGCATTGCCGTGTGCTTCGTCGACTTGCTGCGTGGCTCTGGCGCCTTTACGCCCGAGGAGGCCGACGAGTACGTGCAGATTGGTGCGCTCAACGGCCTCTTTACGCTGGGCCGCACGATCGGCTTCATCGGCCACCACTTGGACCAGAAGCGTCTCAAGACGCCGCTGTACCGCCACCCAGCTGATGACTTCCATATTGAGATGGCGACGCCGTCGCGTGTGGTCGGCAACTACGACCCGCACCACCAGTAAATAGGGGAGACCATGAAGTCTACACGACTATCGTAACAAGAAGGACAGAGTACCCTTAGAGCATGCAAAGACCCACAGTCGAGGCCGCCGTGGCCGCCAGCACCGTGTAGCCCGCGAGGTACGAAGAGCGCAACTGCAGGAAGAAGCCCCAGTCCCACGAAAGGTGACGCAGTCCGTTCAGGCAGTGGTACGAGAACGTCGCAGCAAGCGGCGCCTTAATAGCAAGCTTCGCCCACACGGGCATCTGCGAAACAAGATCCACGAGAGAACCCGAAGACAGGAGTTCGCCCAGGCCGGCGTGCGGCGCAGCCAGGTAGGCAATGGCGTATGCATAAAGACCAGCGCTCAAACCAACACCAGTGAAACGGTGGCCAATCGAACTGAACCAGGTCAGCTGCGGCTGGTAAATAGTCAGGTGAGGCGAAATCGGACGCTCGTTGCGGCGCTGGTTCAGCTGCTTCAGGTCCTGCTCCTCGGACAACGAGACCACCTTGGCCGGCGGCTGCTTCGACCAGGTAAGGGCACGGGTCACAGACGAGGTGTGCAGGGCACGCTGAGACAGGCGCATGGGCCCAAAAATACCCTGCGTCGATGCCAGAGGCGACTGCACAAGACGCGAAGCCACAAACAGACTCATCCTGGCTGGTCGCGGACGATGAGAGAGAACCGCTCGGTGGGCCACTAGCACGGCCGGCTGGGGCCAGCCGGGTTCCGCCAACCACCTCGTGGGCATTGCATGCACCCGCTCGGAAACAACCGGATTGGCCTGGGCCCACGTAGGCTGAGTCAGCATGACCTACCCTCCACGGTCGCTCAGCGCTCCATCGCCCGGTCGACGTGGTGCGAACATGGCCTTTGCGGTGCCTCCTCCGTACGCTACGTCAGTGCGAGACCGCACATCCGAATTTCACACGGCGCTCAACAAGTATGGGACACAGGCAGCTCCAGCTCCACAGACAAAGCGCCTAACAAGCGCTCACGCGCAGTTCTCCCAACGTGCCCATGCTGTGGCGCGCGATTTGACGGCCACCACGGCCAAGCTCGACCGATTGTCGCAGCTCGCCCGCAGGAAAACCCTGTTTGATGACCGGCCGGTCGAGATCTCCGAGCTGACATACATTATCAAGCATGACATTGCGGGCCTGAACCGCCAGCTGGCAGAGCTGCAGCAGCTGTCAGGCCACGCGCAGAGAGGCAGTAAAAATCGGGCTGACGAGCATCGCAGCAATGTAGTAACCATGCTGCAGTCGACATTGGCCACGACAACGACCAGCTTCCAGGAGATCTTGGAGGTGCGTACCCAAAATATGAAGGCATCGAAGGACCGCTCGGAGCAGTTTTTCCAGGGCGCGGCGCCTGTGCTCTCCGAGCAGCGCTCGAAATCGCCGCTCTACACGTTAGCGCGCGCACCTCATGGTGAAGCGAACCCAGGCCTTGGTGCCGCCAGCCGGCCTGCGGCCTCCTTGTCAGCACCGTCTGCGTCTGCACTTACGCACCGACACCCCTCCAGCGCGCAGATCCTGCCGGACGAAGAGTCGCGCAGTACAGACAAAGGCTTCTTAGCGCTTGATATGATGGAGACAGGTGCGATGCAGCAGCAGCAATTGATGCTCAACGAGTTTGAGGACCAGCAGTCAAGCTACTTGCAGCAGCGCTCGAATGCGATCGAGTCGATTGAATCAACTATCTCTGAACTAGGGCAGATTTTCGGGCAGCTCGCACATATGGTGGCACAGCAGGGAGAGATGGTGCAGCGCATCGACGACGATGTACTGCAAGTCTCCGACAACGTTGAAGGGGCACGGCGAGAGTTGCTGAAGTACTATGCGACGATCTCCAACAACCGGTGGCTTATGTTAAAGATTTTTGGCGTCCTTATCATTTTCTTCCTACGTACGTGGCATGCGCTTACCTGTTTCAGTGTTTATCCTCATTTCCTGAATGTCGAGGGATGCCTGTATACCCGCTCCGCCTGGAAGCCCGTATGGTACATTAGCAAATAATTTAGTAGTCGTCTGGCCAAACGCAGCACTACGCGTGGCCCCATAGAATCTTCGTACCCCCACTATTTGCGCTACTATGGTGGATGTGGTGAGAGCGCCTTCTATGCCCCTGTTGTATCCTAATGTACCAACAGGCGAGGGCATTCCACCCAACGTCTCACATGCCGTGTCCGTCTCGTTGCCTCGATGGCAAGATATTGTGGACTACGAAGAAGGCCGCCTCACCGACGCGATGCAGACGGGCTACCCGCGCTTCTTCATTCATCGCTCGATTCAGAAGGTCCGTTCATAAATCTAACGATCAAGCTTGCCAAGATGATGCGTGACAAGTTTGCCCGGCCCGACGAAGACTGCATGCTGTTCCCGTCGGGCACGAACGCGTCACAGTGCCGCGACTTTATTCGCGGTATGGAAGCGCGACGCGTGCCAGCGTCGCCTCTTCCTCCGGTGCGCATCGTGCGCTTTAGTCTCATGGCGCAAAAGTCGCAGGACAGCCTGTCTGATTGCGTGTGCATGCACAGTGACTCGTGTATCCGCCTTTACATCGTGCTATTTCCTGCGCAGGTCATGGGCATTGCCAAGCAGTTTTGGCAGCACACAGGCGTGGGCATCTCAAGCCGCATGGCCGAAGAGTGTCTCCGCATTTTAATGCACAACGAGTCGTTGCTCATGCCCCGTGGCGATCTGGGCGCCAAAGCGCATATGACCAGTGGGCGCCGCGGATCCCACAATCCCAACGGTGCCAGCGGCGTTTCCGCACGTGGTGGTGGCTTTGGGCGCGGCCGGTACTCGCGAGGTGTAGACAACCTGTGGGCAAGTGATTCCGCCAGCTCTAGCACCGTCCAGCCTGACGCAGCGAGTGCATCAATGACAGCCCCCGACGATGAGGAGCTTACGATCGAACAGTCTGTGTATGTGGAAGAGCGGTTTGGGCGTAACCTACCCTTTGAGCTAGCTAAAGACGCCCGCATTGCGCTACGTCGGCGAATCGCCGGCACGCTCGTCGGTGACATGGCGGACGAGCCCGCAGACCATGCAGTCAGTGCTCGCCAGGTGAAAGGCATTACGGAAGAGGATGTGTACCTGTTCCCATGCGGCATGTCCAGCATTTTTCATGCGCACTTGACGATCATGCAAGAGCGTGCATGTCTCCAGCGCGGTGAGCCGCTGACCCCTGCCTCTTGTGCCAAAGCCATTGGCAGCATGAAAGACCCCTCATTCATGTACGGTCCCTACACAATCGGCAAGTCGGTGTGTTTTGGTTTCCCTTACACCGACACCCTGAAGGTGTTGCAGAAATGGGGCCCAGGCTGTCACTTTTTCGGGCATGGAACGGACGCAGATCTTAACCAACTGGAAGAGCTGCTCGCCTCGCAGCCGGCCAACGAACCGCGCATACATGCCCTGTTTTGTGAGTTTCCCAGCAATCCTTTGTTGCGGTCGCCTGACCTGGCCCGCATTCGTCGCCTGGCAGACCAGTACGACTTTTGCGTGGTCATCGACGAGACTGTGGGCAATTTCGTTAATGTGGAAGTGTTACCCTATGCCGACATCGTGGTATCCAGTCTCACTAAAGTATTTTCGGGGGAATGCAACGTCATGGGTGGCTCGCTCGTGTTGAATCCAATGGGCCGGCACGCCGACTCCTTGCGCGCTGTTTTGTCTGCCAACTACGCGGACACGCAATGGGTGGAAGATGCCATTTTCCTAGAGCGCAACTCGCGCGAGTTTGTGGCGCGCATCGCTCAAATTGACCATAACGCTGAAACGGTTTCGGACTTTTGTCATAACAAGAGTCGCGCAGCAGGGTGCGACGACAGCATGATACAGGCGGTATACTACCCCAAGTATATCACGCGGGAGCACTACGATGCGTGCCGGCGGAAGCAGCCATACACCTCGATTGGCACGGCGGCGCGGCAGGGTGGCTATGGTGGTCTGTTATCCCTGGAGTTCACAACACGCGAAGCTGCACAAGTCTTCTATGACAGTCTGACGTGTGCCAAAGGCCCCTCGCTCGGCACCAACTGCACACTTGCGTGTCCATACACCCTGCTTGCACACTACGCCGAGCTGGACTGGGCGGCCGGGATGGACGTGAGCAGCAATCTCGTGCGAGTCAGTGTGGGTGTCGAAAATACCCAGGCGCTCTTGGCTGACTTTGCCTCGGCGCTAGCAGCGGCGGAGGCCACACGCTGAACACAACGACACGTTTCAACACACGTGGTATAGAGAGCATTCATAGAATTAAGCAGGTTTGGCCTTGGGCTTGGCATCTTCCGTCGCCGACTTGATGTGCAGAAGGACATGGCCCGGTCCACCGGCGCCGATTCCCCCGACTTCGCCAGCATCGGAGCCCGGATGGTGCGCATCTTCCATATTCTCTGCACCACTCGCAATGACGAGCACACTACCATCAGCGCTGAATGAGGCCGTGCTCACAGGTGAAGGTAGCGCATACTGCCGAATGCGCTTCTTGGCCACGGGGTCCCAGAGAGCACAGTGAGCATCGCCACCGCAGGTCGCGAATGTACCATACACAGGATGGAAGGCCACAGCATGAATAGGGTATACGACATCAACACCATCGACCTCCTTGCGATGACACTTGAACGCATATTTCTGCGCTTGTGCTGCCTCGCTGGTGTCTAGAAATTCCACCGCGACGCGCCCCTCCACGGATGACGTGACATAGCCAGTCCCATCCGGCGTGCTCTTCACATCTCGGAGCATGAACTTGAGGCTGCTCTCGCGACGCTGCTCAGGCTCACAGGAGTCAGCATTTGGCCCATTCAAAGCAACCTGCAGCTTGGACGTATTGTACACATGCACAGCACGGTCACTCATAGCCACGACGAGCTGCGCTGGCAGCGTCGCCGAGGGCGGCGACACATCCATGGCAAATACCTTGCCAGGCATCGTCAGAGTGGCCTTGAGCGCATCTGCCGGCTCTCCATAAGGATCCCATACCTTGACAGTGGCATCCCAGGAGCCTGAAAATAGCAGCTTCGAATGGGGATCGTAACACACGCGGCACACGCCATTGTCGTGTTTACCAAGTATCATCATCTGGCCTGTCTCTATGTTAAGAAGGCGCACACGTCGATCCAGACACGCACTAGCGGCTAGATTTTCGTGGATCCAAGTCACATAGAGAACAGCAGCCGGGTGTTCAAAGGATTGCAGCACCTGTACCGCGTCGGCTCCATCCGCGCACCGACTCAGATCGTACAGGCGCACAAATTTATCCCAGCTTGACACCAGTAGGTGGTATGCTCGACTGGATTGTACATTTGGCAGAAATGCTAGAGAAGAAACTGGCTCCTTGGGCGGTTGGGGAGCGCAAAATTCGGCAAACGGTGGCTGCATGGACGAGCAGGTTGCGACAGGGAAGGAGCCGCCGCAGCGCGTGGAGCTGGTGTTGCTTATGTCAGCGAGTCGTACGCAGAAAAAAGTGCCGAGCCTCGCTGCAGCTCGTCCAGGGCAACCCCTACGAGACGATGAGCCAGGAGATTCACAGCCAGTATGACTCGATACTGATTCTGGACTTTGGGTCCCAGTACTCTCATCTCATCACACGTCGTTGTCGTGAGCTGAATGTGTACTGTGAGATGCTTCCTTGCACACAAAAAATTGCAGACCTGACTTGGAAGCCCAAGGGTATCATCCTTTCGGGCTCACCCTACTCCGTGTACGACGACGTGGCACCCCGCGTAGATCCCGCCGTTTTTAATTACGGTGTTCCTGTGCTTGGTATCTGCTACGGCCTGCAGGAGATGGCGTGGAACCACGGCGGCAGAGTCGACGCTCATGACACCCGCGAGTACGGACATGCCACAATGGACGTGGTGCAGACGGGCCATGCTACCAGCGATGCCCTCTTCGCTGGTATTGGAAATGGATTGACTGTTTGGATGTCCCACGGCGATCAGCTGTCCAAAATGCCCGAGAACTTTGAGGTCATTGGTCACACGTCGACAGCCCCCTACGCAGCGATTGCACACAAGGAGAAACCCTTCTATGGTGTTCAATTCCATGCGGAGGTGACGCATACACCCTGTGGCACCGCTATCTTTGAAAACTTTGTGGATCGGATCTGTGGTTGCAAGCGCAACTGGACGATGGAGACATTTATTGACAAGGAAATTGCGCGTATCCGTGAGATTGTCGGTCCGACAGGCCGTGTGATTGGCGCCATTTCGGGTGGTGTGGACAGCAGTGTGGCGGCCAAGATCATGCACGAAGCGATCGGCGATCGTTTCCATGCAGTGATGGTCGACAATGGCGTGCTCCGCATGGACGAGGCGAAGCAGGTGCACGAAATGCTGTCGGAGCACCTGGGTGTGCAGCTGACCGTGGTGGATGCGTCGGATATGTTCCTGGAACGTCTCAAGGATGTGGAAGACCCTGAGCGCAAACGCAAGATTATCGGAAATACGTTCATTGAAGTGTTCGAGCAGGAGGCTGAGCGCCTGGAGAAAGAAGCTGAAATGCAGGAGGCTCAGGCGGCCCCTGGTCAGAGCAAGGGCAAGTACGAGTTCCTGCTCCAGGGCACGCTCTACCCGGATGTCATTGAGAGTATTAGCTTCAAGGGCCCGAGCGCCACAATTAAGACACATCACAATGTGGGTGGCCTGCTGGACGTCATGAAGTTGAAGCTAATTGAGCCGCTGCGCGAGCTTTTCAAGGATGAGGTGCGCGAGCTTGGTAAGCTCATGGGCATCCCTGAGCACCTGGTTATGCGCCATCCCTTCCCAGGCCCTGGTCTGGCAATCCGTATTCTTGGCCCAGTCACCCGTGAACAGGTCAAGCTTTTGCAGCAGGCAGACAAGATTTACATCGAGGAAATACGCAAAGCGAACGTGTACAATGACATTAGCCAGGCCTTTGCTGTGCTGCTGCCTGTGCGCGCGGTGGGTGTGCAGGGCGACAAGCGCACCTACGACCAAGTCATTGCGCTCCGGGCCGCAGCGACGACGGACTTTATGACCGCTACATGGTATCCGTTCGACTACGAACTTCTCGCGCGGATCTCGAACCGCATCACCAACGAGGTGCAAGGCGTAAACCGCGTCGTGCTGGACGTGTCGTCGAAGCCGCCTGCCACGATTGAGTGGCTGTAATACAAGTACAATGATGGTAGTGATAGTGCTTAGCGAAGCTTGGTAAAGGAGGCTTGCAGCCCATGGTCGTCCGCCCGGTCGACAGTGTCGCGGATGGGTGTATTCAGATCCCAGAATCGTAATGTTTCGTCGCCGGCACCCGTGACAATCGACTTGCCGGAGGGGCTCATCGCCAAATACAGCACACGCATCGTGTGCCCCGTGAGTGTGGCTACTTGTGAAAGGCTTGGATATCGCCACACTTGGATTTGGTTGTGAACCAGCCCGCTCGAGTAGCCGTGTGTGCTGACAATTTCGTTGGACGTTTTGTTCCATGCCAAGTTACACACCTGACTGCCCGTGTCGATCACGGACAAGGGCGACCCAGTCTGTGTGTTCCAAAACCGAATTTTCATATCCGCGGTACCACCACCTGAGGCAAGAAGCCCCTGCTGATGTGGACTCCATGCAATAGCCTTCACAGCAGCAGTGTGCTCCGTAAACTTGTGCAGTGGTGAATCATGAAGCCCGTCCCAGACAATTAGTTTGTTGTCGTTGCCTCCCGAGGCGAGCTGATTCTGCGCTAAATTCCATTTGAGTCCACAGACCTCCTGTCGATGTGATAAAAGTGTCTTGATATGGTGGTCGGGAACCCGCACATCGCGATGATAAATGGCACGATCACGCGAGCCGGTTGTGAGAATATGGTTGTTCCACGTCAGCGCGCCGACGCGCGCCGAATGGCCCATCATGGTGCGCAGCAACTTTTGCGTTTCCACGTCCCAGATCTGCACGAGACCAGATTGAGAGCCGACAGCCAGAAACTGACCGTGGTTGGACCAGCTCAGACCCGTTATGCTGTCTTGTACACCCTGCAGATCGCACAATTTGGTGACGCTCGAGGACTTGGCAGACCACAAATACACGCATTTTCCAAGACCCACGCTCAGCATATCTTGACTAGACCAGTCCACTAGGTTTAAATAAAAGTCATCAGCTAGATCTGGCGCATCCAGCACCTTGTATGGTACCCTGCTGATTAGCCGCGTGGACTTCCGTGCACCGAGCAGCAGACGTTGGCTCTCGGGCTTCACGGGACTCGTGCTAAAGGCAGTGTGGACAGGAGAGTCCACCTGCTCACCTGGAGAGAAGAGCCCCGAGGCTGAGCTCGATGGCGATATGCCTGGGCTTCCCAATTGCGAGAGCCCGGACGCAGTTGGCCCATACGGACTTTGGTCGCCCTCCCGCGTCGTAGCTTCGAGAAGACGGCTTGAGGTAAGTTGAGAGCCTGACATGCGGTAGTCACACAGGCGATGTGGCGTAGAAGACCCGGATTTCAGGCTGCGGAAGTTTAAAAGATTCTTTTTAGGAGACAAGGTACCCAGAGAGTCTGAACGGAGTGTTCGATGGCGCGAGGGTGAGTTTGTCTGTGACGTATATGCATTTCCACGGGACGGAGACATGCTGGTATATGCATGGTGAGAAGATGGTGATGATCCAAGCTGCTCGTTTCCAAATAGCTCGGAGCTCAATAACTGAGAATAGGCCTCATTGGCCTCTTCTAGATGGGTAAGAATAAGTTGACGTACCCGTCTGAGCATCAATGTCAGGATCAGTTCTCCGTCTATGACGCCCACCAGGCGTCAGCACTTGATCAGGAATTAGCTGGAAGGCGGCTTGGATATCTGTGCCGTCACGGCTTGGAATAAATCTAGCACAGTTAGATACTGGCAGGTAAACACGCACCTATCCCCATATGTGTGGGTGGATCCATGTGTCCTGTTTTTTCGAGGAGTTCGAGGAATCTCACCTGCTCGCGACGAGCGCGAAGTGGCTCGCGATACGGCGGGATCTAAAGAAGGTTCTCTAGAACGCGATGGCCCAGACAAACGATCGGAAATGCTGATATCATAAGATGAGTCGTAAGCACCACGAGAAATTCTGGATGAGTTTATATCACCCTGCATCTTTTCGAGGAAGAATACGCTTGCACAGCCGAGCGAACAGTCCACACAACGCTCACACTCGCACCCAACGATGTACATGCGATCGGGGTAACGGTCAACACAACGACTTGGTCACGTGATGATTATCAACCTCTCGTCCACATCAAGTGAGCACCATGAAGATGCTCGGTCTTTGGGCACCTTCGAGGATACCGAATATTGGGCCCTAACCACAATAGCATCATGTAGAAATCGTAGAAACAAGTATACTTTCATTAGATATGAGACTGTGTAGCTTAATTGAATACCCATGGTCCGAACATTGAGTGGTGCATGTATAGGCTTCGCTGTTGAATAGCACCTAAAATGACAGCGAAGTCCCTTACACCCCATTCGATTTCCAAATCAGAGACTTTTACGGGAAAGCACGGGAAAAGGACCCGGACTTGGGCATCCGCCCGATGGCATTATCGCCCTGGAAATAAGGAGCAATGTCATTGGTCATAATTATATCACGCGGGCACGCGAGGCATCAGGCCAAGGCATCGGAGAATATGATACAAAGTTTGCCATCCTATTAGGTAATGTCAGACAAATACGCGATGGCCCTTGAGCTATCGATCGCCTAGTTTGTTGTTGCTTCTTACTACGAGTAATGGCGCGTACTAAGCAAACTGCCCGCAAGTCTACTGGTGGCAAGGCTCCCCGAAAGCAGCTTGCCACCAAGGCGGCCCGCAAGTCGGCCCCAACGGCCGGTGGCGGTATGTACTATGATTGCAGTTGGGTACTAACACCATCCAGTGAAGAAGCCTCACCGTTACAAGCCTGGTACGGTGGCGCTCCGTGAGATTCGTCGCTACCAAAAGAGCACTGAGCTACTGATCCGCAAGCTCCCGTTCCAGCGTCTTGTTCGTGAGATTGCGCAGGACTTTAAGACGGATCTGCGTTTCCAATCATCGGCGATTGGTGCTCTGCAGGAGGCTAGCGAGGCCTACCTTGTCTCGCTGTTCGAGGACACCAACTTGGCTGCAATCCACGCCAAGCGTGTGACCATTCAGCCCAAAGACATTGCCCTTGCTCGCCGTCTCCGTGGTGAGCGCTCGTAATGGAATCCAAGTGATGTGTTATATTTTTGCCACCAAGATGTATAACTTGTGCTACTATATGTTTCCTCGCTCTGTGTATTGACGTATTGATTCTATAGTGAAGAGAGCGTCGTTATAACATAGACGTATGATTTCTACGAGTGGATATCAAGTGCGGCATTGTTGCCACAATGCCAAAAGCACGGTTGATTTGCCACACGCCCAGCTGTGGGTATAATATGAATTGCGGGCCCGATATGATTCAGCCCCGACGACTTTGATTTTTCTGGAGCGTCTCGCGGATGTTTTGGAAATACGTGTCTTCAGCATGCCCTTTCGCCCCAAATCCACCCCGGGGATGAAACGAAGCGTTGAATTGCAGGCGCGTGTTGATGTCATGAACCCAATCGTCGTAAATGATATCACCTTTTGTGGCCGTAGATCCTAATCCACTCCTGCGTTCGGTGTTTATTTCAGGCGTGAAACTGACGCACGGCAATGGATATTGGGACATGTTCACCTGAACTGATTCCTTGGGCGATAATGTGAATACCGTTCTCCCATCCACATGCACTTCAGCAGGAGACCTCGAGCTAGGAGAGACAAATAATTGGACTTGCGCATTCCCTGGCAAAAGAATGGTACGAAAACTAAGCGAGCGGGGACTAATAGGTGTCATTAACATGGTAGAGACAGAAGGGTGTACAATGGGCCCCCCAGCAGAAAGCGAATAGGCAGTAGATCCAGTTGGTGTTGATACGATGAGACCATCCGCGACAGTTCTTGTGAGATGTTCTCCATTAACAAACGCATCTAAGGTAGTCATGTGTGGCTCGCGACCACGGTGCAATACCACCTCGTTCATAAAATGTAGCTCGCGACACCGCTGCTCACCAGGAAGCCAAAGACAGTGATCTGGCTTTTCACCCCATAGGGTCATGCACATACGCATGCGGAGTTGAAGAAAGAAACGCGAATGAATGACATCGGCAATAGCGTCTTGGAAGGACGAAATTTCGTAAGGAAGGAGAAAGCCGAGTGTCCCCATGGAAAAGCTTAGAACAGGGGGCACAGGGTGCTGATCAAAAAGACTTGAAACATGCAAGATAGATCCATCTCCTCCAACAGTGATCACAAAATCAATTTTTCTGGATAGCAAACTTTGTTCACCTGTGATCAGAAGTAAGTTCAACGTACTTTCCTGGAAAGGGACTAGAGAAGGAAACTGAGTGCCCAATAGTTCCCAAACGTGGTACTCAACGATAATGTTTATCTTTGGGTATCGCGATTGCATATGCAGGATAATATCACGAACAGAATGGGTAACCCTTCTGTCACCTTTCTTCTGGACAATAAGCACATTCTTTGGTGGATGAGCCCAAGTGCATGGGTGTACGCCGCTGGTATCAATATAGACATACACGCACCATTTCTTGATCCTATCTGATGCAGAAGTAGATGTTGACGAAGTTGGAGGGAGCTGTTGAGACTCGCTGCTACAGATCAGAAAGGAATATACATACGCTGAACCAGGCCAAAAACGGATGGGTGACTTTTCAGGCAACGCCCGAAGCGAGGACGATCCTGTAGAATACGGTGCCAATGACCAACTAGCTTTTGTCTTCTTGTTTATGGAAGCAGCAGTTCGCAGTACTCTGTTACTTGATGCGAAACGCTCGCAATGTCCCCACATTTGCGAGTTGTCAGTCAATTCTGGGGGCAGCAATAAGTTTCGACCGATTGGATTTTGTAATTCCGGCCGATTTAACTTCTTTTGCCTCGTGCGATCTGACACCGCCAGGGCCATGGCCAACTCATTGATACCCTGGTGGCCAAAGACCTGGAACCCGTTCTCACGGTGGCACACCGCGAGCCATTACGACTATGAAACGATCCTGTCCTCTTTAGCGGAGGAAATCAAACAGGTGGAATCAACCCTCCTAGATATCAAAGCGCGGAAGCGTCGTGCTATCCACAACGTTCTCCAGGTGATGCTCACATTATGGATTGTATCTCTCGTCATACTTTGGATTGTATCTTCCCTCTTCTGGAGTAGAGAGTGGGCTATGTCGAGAACCATCCTAGTGATTAGTCTCTTGCTTGGGACGCCACTGTTCATTGCGGTGCTCCATCGGTTGGTCACAGCTTGGTTTCGGCGAATGGAACGCGCGCAAGAGCAGCATCTAGATGCCCTTCGCAAGCAGCAGCGAACCAAAATAAACGAAATCAAACGAGCTACAGATTTCGATCATTTACGTGCGCTGCTCGACACATACGACACCGACGCCAAGCAGGATACAAGTACAGTCTCTACTCCATCCACACCTGTTAGTCAAAATAACCGACTGCTGTCGCGGAGATCAACTACGTCGCTCCGTCGGGCCGCATCGAAGGATGTGCTGCGGCGTCATCGCAAGGTTGATTCATTGCAAGAAAAGCCGAATCTCGAGGAAGAGGATGTGGCTCCATCGTTGGCCCCAGCAATTACGGGTCTTCCTATTCTTGGTGTCCAAGATGGACAATGGAATCCTGAGAGTCGCCCTACTGCCAAATTACCGGACTCTGGCACACACTATCCTCGAAGCTGGATGGATAAAGTGGCCGATATGATCCTCGGAACCGACCCATACGGAGCCACTCTAGAGGACCAGCAGTATGCCCTGGTGTGTCGCCGCTGTTTTCGACACAATGGTCTTGTGCCGAAGAATGAGCTGAACGAAATCCGTAAGTTCCTAAAGCTAACTCGACAGAATACATATGTCCTCATTGCCACACATTCAATTCACGCCGTCCATCCAGCCGTCCCGTCTCGTCTCCTTTTGCCTCTACTCCTGACACTAAATCCAAGAAAGAGACAGTGCCTAGCATGGAGCGTACTATCACAGAAGAAAGCGAGCCTGCATCAGAGACGAAACACGGGGCGGATCTGTCCCGCGGTACGAAATTATCGAAGCAGTCTATGGTCGATAATCCAGTCGACGAGGCCATGCAGCTAGACGAATAAAGTACATAGTCCCCATCCCCAGCCATGTACGTGCATCCATAATGTTCCAAGCGTGGAATCCATGTCTTAAGCTACAAGGAAGTACTATCATGATGGATCCGAGCAGAGGGAACTCAGAGTAGCAAGCTTAGTGCTCACCACCGTGAGCAAGGTGGCCTGCCTTAGAGTTCACGTAGGCACTCTCCTTGTTACCCCACGTGTAGATCAAGTAGCCCAGAGCAAAAGGAATACCCGAGTATGGCAGGTGCTTCACGGCACGGCGGAAACCATTAAACATGTAACCCTGGAAGACACCGGCGAAGGGGTTCTGCTGGAACGGAGAGACAGCTGTGACATGAGCTGAGCGTCAACCTACCGTACGACTTGATACCCTTCTGGACGGGACCACCAAAGGCACCCCACCAGCCGATCTGCATGTTAACGAGATTCCTAACAGGCGATACGTACCCACTTGGGACCGGTGGGCATACCACTTTGAACAACGCTGCTGGGACGCATTATGGCTGATGTGCAACAGAAGGCGCCTGCCAGGCCAGTGGGCCGCTCGGGGTTTTACGGATTACCAATCTCCTTGCCGTGCCTTCCTTTCGGCCGAATATGCTCGCGTGCGGCTTGGTCGTCATCGCCCAGCCCAGCGGCAGCCGATCGTCCCTGCTGTCACACGTAACCTAAAGGTACCTGTGTGAACCTATCACCCTCTGTTGGAACGGATCGAATAAATAATGGTTAGCATCTACAATGTCGGTGCCCGCTTGGCAAGTTAAGAGGAGTATGGCGAGTGTTGGCCGCACATGCCACTCTCTAGGACCGGGACAGACAGGAGACGACCATTGCTATGAAACCGTGGTATCTTTCCACGCAAGAGGGTGTTTATTCGAAACTGCATGCTCTTTCGTGGCTTAGAATACACCGGCACCTTGCTCTGTTGTGCACAAACGGTGGAAGATCCCCACCCATGCCCCATGCTGAGGCTTGGGAAGAGTACACCATAGCATGTTTTAATGCATGGTTGCTGGCCTTGTTTTCTACCAACACCCGTGTGTTTGATAACATGTATGGTGAAGGAGCTGCGGCTCTCTAGCAACGGCCGCTTTCATATATGCCCGGTCCCTTGTCTGCGGGCCCGCACCAATGCGATGGAACAGTGTGCTTACATCTCGTTTTGTTTATGTTTTGAACTGACCCTATACAGTCGTCGAACCTGGATAAGTGTTAGTAACACCATCTCACACCAGCGCTGGACGAGATTATCTCGGCAAAGAAGAAGCAGAACCCTCGACCTCGCCGCAGCTCAGGCGCTCGTCAGTCGAGTACTTCGAGGGGCAAGGGCGCAAAGGCTGCCGCTGTCGGTGGCGCAGCGGTGGCAGCCCAGGCCATTAGTCAAGCTAACCGCCAGCAGCCCCCTGTCGTATTCCCCCCTAAGGGTGGTAAGGGCCAAGGCAGCAAGGTGATTGTGAGCAATCTGCCTACCGACGTGACAGAGGCGCAGGTCAAGGTATGTATAGCACGCTGACCCCAGGAACTGTTCTCGACTACAATTGGTCCTTTGCGCCGTGTGCTGATGAGCTATCGTGCGAATGGCCAATCCACGGGTGTGGTGACGGTCGAGTTTCAACGTGCCGACGACGCTAACCGCGCCTACGCTCAGTACAACAACCGCTTGATCGATGGCAGTGAGTATCGATATTCTGACTTGCAGAACGTCCACTCAAGATCGAGGTGGTCGTGGACCCTGCGCGTGCTGCTGTGGCGGCCCCCCCGGTTGGTCAAAACACCGCCGCGAAGCCGGCCCCTGCCGGCAAAGCCAAGAAGTCCAGCCGCAACAAGAAGCGCCGCGAAGCTCGCCCCGCAAAGACGCTTGAGGATCTCGATGCGGAAATGGAGGGTGTGTATGCTTCAGACTAATCTAGACTATTCGAAGCAAGCGAACACTGCTGAGGCCCAGCCTATGCAGGATGCGCCTGCGGCTTAATTTTGCACATAATAGCGCTTGAAATAGTATGGAGGTGTGTGCCCTCGTCAAAACGCCCGTGCACAGAACACTTCGCACGTTGCTCAGTGATGGCACGCGTCCTGTCCAGCGGCAGGGATGCGTCCATCAGGCAGCATATGGACGGTGATCTAGCCGTGCGCGAATCGCTCATGCGAGCACAAATGAGCTCACCGCTCATGGATGATCCTGGTGATTGTCCTTGGGATACCGCCTCTCACACTCTACCGCAGGGAGTTGGCGACCAAGGCACTATGCTCATGGACCTTCTGTCTGAGATACAAAATACCTCTCCGGAGAACTACGAGACAATCTACATATTGGCAACTCGAGTGTACTCTGTTCTTACTGAGAAGACAGGTCCTAATCGCGTATATGAGCTATTTGGTGAGCAAGGAGGGTTCTTGATCGTGGGACAACTCCTTGCTGCCATCCAACGCGGGCGCGATTTAACTGATGAAACTTCATGCGCATGGATTTCTCGCCTGCTACTACTCACGCTTCAGATTCTGACCGATGCGATTACTTGGAGCCGCCGCAACTTGCTTTCCTTCGAGCGCTTGTTGGGGTGGGATAGTCTCGTGGCAACACTGATGGAAGCTGTGCCCTCGTCCTTGCCAAGTCGTGCCATCGCTATGCTCTTTGGATTAGCCCTGGGCCAGGTCACCTCTGGCATCGATCAGTTCAGGCTGGTGAGCGAAGCAATACGGGACGGACCAACATCCAGCAGACTGACACCCTGTTTATCTATCGTACACCCGCCTGCCATATATGCAGCTGTCGCTCTCGCTGAAGAAGACCACATTAAGCCAAATATACGCGATTCTACTTACACGCTACTTCATGACATCTTGGTTGCCGACGAACGCAATACCAGTTTGCTTTCGCGAACCCGTGTGCCTTCCCTGCTTCTTCGAGCGTGGCTGAACGGCAAACATCGTTCGAATGAGGCATCCATTTTGCGCCTGCTCTGGCAGGATGGCATCAAGCGTGCAGAAGATGTACGCACCATTTTTAAGCACTTAATGCATTCTTCCCTCGATAATGAATGCGAGTTACTTCGTCTTTTATACGATGTGGCTGTCTCAGCTCATCATCCTGCCTCACTTACTATGCATGCAAAAGCCGCATCCAAGGACTACGGTATCGCAGGCATCCACATCCGAGAACTGCCCCGTCCATTTCCTTCCAATGATCCTACCTCGGCCGGGTTCTCTCTGGCAATGCTGTTTCACGTCGAGCACACTATTTCTAGTGCTACGCTGGATCTATTTCGTCTCGAAAGTGCACCTGCGCAACCCATGCGTCTTGTCCTCGACATGACTTCTGGTACTCTCATGTACGATCCAGGTGGTCATGCCCAACGGCCATATTCCCTTCTTCGCGCTCGACTAAAACAGGGTGCCTGGCATTCTGTGGTACTCACACATTCCAGATCTATGCCCCGCGTCGCATCAACTGTCCATGTGTATCTGGACGGGAAGCGGGTCTGCACCTTGCAAGTGCCTTGGCCTGGCACCTTTCCGCATCCTGCCTCTGTGTGCCTAGGTGGGGCATCCGTTGTCGGTGAGGGCCAAGCGACATGGTCGCTTGCCTCTGCATTCCTCATGGATGGCCTCATTGCGCCGAGTATTCCTGCGCTTTTACACGAACTTGTCCCATCCTACACGGGCAACTTTCAAGCTCCTCTTGCACGGTTCCTTCCCTATGCCGGGCTAGCACGAATGCATGCGCGTCTTAGCGAGCTCGCTGAGGCAAGCAACCCGCGCGGACAGAGTCAGACTTATCGTGCTCTGAAGAATGCGCTACATGTGGCAGCTGCCGATGTTTTTCCGCTGGACCATTTCTACCTGCACTTTCAGGCGGACCATACCCTCCGCTGCGGAGCCCAGGTCCTTATCCCTAACCAGGCGATGCCCCATCTGTTGAAGGACATACGTCCGTCTGAGAGCCATGGCATAGTGGTTGGTCTGCCCACACTGCGCCTCCCCCACCGCTTGGATGAGGCCATTTGGTCTCTGGGTGGCTGTGTGGTGCTCCTGCGACTGGTGGAGCTTGCCAATTCCTCTGCATCGCTAGAAGCTTGCGTCTGTTTGTTCTTGCGCCTCCTGTCATTTTCCTGGCGCCTAGCCGAAGACGCCGAACATATTCGCGCCTTTGGCATCCTAAGTGCATTACTGCGTACAAAGACTCGTCTGATCACGCTACCAATCCTGTCTGCTCTACTAGAAGCTGCAGCACCCGCTGCAGGCTGGGCGAACGTGCAACTGTATCGGGCCGTCCTACTCGATACAGATCTCTGGGTCTACACGTCCGACACAGTGCAGCTGGCCTATGCCAAGCACTTTCAACAGCTGCTGCCGCTGGGTGGACGTGGTCTTGCTGAAGTACACCTCGTGCGCCAACTTATCCACTATGCAATGCGGGCCTTCTGCGTCCCCATTCATGTTTTGAATGAAGCTATGCAGGCGGCTCTAGAAGGTCACTTTCGAGCGCGCAACATTCAAGCGCTGGTGCAATTTTTGGCTATTCAACTAGGTAACGTGGCCCCCGATGCTGCCTCACTGGGTGTGGCTCAAGTGCGCACGGGCGATTCGCTCTTTGTCGCGCCAATGGAAGCCAATCAAGCCATGGTGCCGACACCGCCTACACAGGATCCTCGTGGCTGTGAATTGGCGCGGCTCTGGCTAGCCACACTTCTTCGAATTCTTGCCTTGGACAACGCGCATGTCAAGTTGGCCGCAGAAGCTGTACAAGCCAAATGGCTCCTGGTGCTGTTGCGTCCAGGACTGTTACCTCAGGATGCCGAGCTCGTCTTGCCTCTAGTGCAGCAACTGCTCTCTGCGTCACCCAACTTAGCACACTCGTTCACTCGAATGGGTGGTTTTCGGGTGCTGGAAGCGACGCTACCCTCACTGTGGCATGTACCCTCTGTCTTTCCATGGCTGTGGACGCTTTGTCTCGGACCACGAAAGCGCATGTCATCTTTGTTCGAGACATTCTCAAAGCTAGACGACGCTCCATTGCACTTTCCACAGGCACTGCGTGTCCTGGTCCAATGTATTGGAGCTGGACTCCAAGAATGCCGCCCCATTCAGCGTCAGCGACGTGCATCTGTTCCCATGGTCTCGCCTGATGCGACAAGGCTAAGGTCACTAAAAGAATCAGTGTCTCTCCTCGTGTTACATGCCGTCGAGCCCAAATTCTACACTCTACTCATGCTTGCCCCGACTTTGGTTTGTATCTTGCGTGCTACAGCTCCGCGCTATATGGATGCACCTTGTGGCGAACCTGTGGCTTCTCTCTGTGATGACCTCACTGGCATGCTAGCTTATTTGATGGCTAATATGACGCTACAATCTCATACCCTCACCCTTTTGCACAACATGCATGGGGCTATGCCGACGCCCGACCCACTCGTCCAGTCGCGTTTGTGTGTGGCCCTTTATATACCTCTGTTGGAACAGCTAATGCGGCTGCTCCAAACACGGCCTCTGGGACGCCCGTCCCTGGACCTCGTCGCAGATATTTTGGAGCTGACATCCAACGAGTCTATGCGAGACCCTCTTCTGCAAAAGCGCATTTTTGAATTAGCGGACATTCTCGTTGGTGCCCCGACACGCATTCTGTCATCTCGTGCGCAGAGTCAAGCTACTGTGGCATTGGAACGCAATATTCTACACGGTTTTTCCGTTCCACAAACTCTTCCGGATGTTTTGCGTTTTTGTGAGCGTGCCAAGCATTTTGTACTGACGGAGAACGCTGACGAAACCTTCTTGCGAATTGTAGTTTATCACTCCTACATGCACCACGAAAGAAACTTACATGCGGCTTTATGCTTGGAGTATATGCGCAATCACTGGCCAAATCTCGTGCCTGACCATGACGCAGACCTAGCCGATTACTCGACCCTCTGGGAAAATGTAATGACCTCACAACGTTCATTTCTACATCGTTTGACACATGAACACTGGCGTCAGTGGCAGTGCAAGCCGAGTCCACGAGCTCTGGCTATGCTAATCGTACACAAGCGCCTTTCTGCTTGGTACAATGCCCTTGTAGAGCACAGCACGCTTCGTAACGCTCGCTATGCTCAAGACACTCGCGAAGATATTACGTATCTTTTAAGAACCTGGTATGACTTGCGTCAGAACAACCAACTTACCGATTTGAACACTCGCATTTGGCAATTGGATCCAACGGAAGGCCCATGCCGCGCACGTATCAAGCTATGGTCTGTGCCTGACCATAACCCATCAGATCCACTGACACTACGTCGAACACCCTCCCCCCCTATACATACTTCGGAGCAGGATGCAAGACTACTGCCAGAAGAGTTTGATGTCGGAACCTCATCGCAAGACGAGATTTCTGCGCCTAACGCGTCTTCGCTGCGCAATGGCAATGTGCCTGAAGTCGTGGTGGATGAACTGACGGAACCTGTTGAGTACTATGAAGACAAAATTCGATGGATTCTTCGGACACTCCAGGCAGGTGATACGGTGGAAGGCATCTTCAATACCGCGCGCGTTGTTGGTGTGGATGTACAGCCCAGTCTTTTCCTTATCGGTACTCACCATCTCTACCTCTTGGATAATTTTTTTTACCGCCCAAATGGAGAGATTGTCAATTTTGCAGATGCCCCCCACGAAGAGCGAGACATGTTGATTCTGGCTGCGGGCATGGCTCTATTGCCTGATGTTAATGAACCTGTACGCGTTTGGCGTTGGGACTTGCTGAAACATTATCTTCATCGTGCTTGGCTGCATCGGCGGACGGCACTGGAGTTATTTTTCACAGACGGGCAAAGCTGCCTGCTGGTGCTGCCTTCGCACGAGCACATATCCAGGCTTTCCGATTTGATTCGTCTGAAAATGCCACAGGCGCATGCTGCCTCCGAAGCACTCATTGAAAGCATTACCGACTTGGCTACAACATCAACTCGTCTGCCTCTCCGGCGGCCTTTTGGACGTGCAACGACGGCCTGGCAAGAGAGGCGGCTATCCAATGCCGAATACTTGATGATTCTAAATACCCTTGCTGGACGAACCATGAACGACCTTGCACAATTTCCTGTCTTTCCTTGGGTCCTCGCTGATTATGACAGCACGGACCTGGACTTAAAACGACCGTCCACTTTTCGACAACTCGACAAACCTATGGGTGCTCAGCAGGCTGAACGTCAAGCTGAATTCATCGAAAGATACGAGCAACTGCAGCAAGTGCAAATGGAGCCTTTCCACTATGGCACGCACTACTCTACAGCTACAAGTGTATGTGCTTTTTTGATCCGAGTACATCCTTTTGCCAACATATTGAAAGAACTTCAGGGCGGTAATTTTGATCTCCCTGATCGTTTGTTTGCTTCTGTGCGCGATACATGGATCTCTGCGAGCGAGCGATCTTGCGCAGATGTCCGTGAGCTGATTCCCGAATTTTATTTTCTTCCGGAGATGTTCACGAATGCCAATCATTTTGTTTTTGGCACCACCCAGGCGGGTAAAGATGTCGATGATGTTGAATTGCCGCCGTGGGCCCACGGAGATCCTTTCTTATTTATTCAGAAGCACAGAGAAGCTCTCGAGTCGGACTATGTAAGTGCCCATCTACACGAATGGATCGATCTAATATTCGGTTACAAGGCAAGTGGCCAAGAGGCGGTAGCCTCAACGAATGTGTTTCATCCTATGTCCTATGCCCATGCAGTTGATCTAGAGGGTATCGACTCCCTCCTCGAGCGCCAAGCTGCGGCACAAGTTGTCCACAACTTCGGACAGACACCCGCACAGTTGTTCAATCGGCCCCACCCTCCCCGTCTTGCCGCACGACCTTTGGAACCCTGGCAAAATGGTGCAGATATGCTCCTGTATCCCCGACTTTTAATTCAGAGCCGAGCTCCGGTAGCTCATGTCCCTGGACCGGTCCATCGAATTGACGGGCCTTCCGACTCGTTGTATGCTTCCACACGCGAACATGTCCTGCTACGCGAGGCGGAGTTGACGCTATCCTATGGATATATGGACAATTCCGTGCGCTTCTTGAAATTGGATGGTCGACCCGTGGCCATGCTGGAGCATGCCACTGTCGGACGTATCACTTGTATGGAAGCACTCCGTCACATGGTGGTCTTTGGATCTGATGATGGAATGGTGCACATGTATTCTTTGCAGCTACCAAATCCTCGTCTTGAAATACGAGCCGCCTTGAATGGGCATACAGCAGCTGTTATTACCATGGCTACATCAACCTCGTGGAGTATCATGGTGACAGGCAGCAAAGACCACACTGTAATGCAATGGGATCTGAACCGCTGTCGCTTTATAAGACAGCTAGAGGGGCCAGATCAACCTGTGGAACACGTCGCCATTGACGACAAAAAGGGATGGATTGCTGCCGCTGCTGGTACTTCTGTGTGGATATGGTCTATCAATGGTGTGCTGCTAGTCCAACAGAGCACACGGAGTGCTACATACCATCCTCTTTCTAGCATGACATTTATTTGCCGCGATTACCACATTGGAAAACTGGGTGTTCTTGTTACAGGCCATTGTGGTCTCATTGTGTTGTGGGATATTGTGTCGCAGCACGAGCGTGCTTTTGCGCCACGATGGCGTCTCTCCAAGCTTGCCATATTTCCCATGCGCGATCAAGAAGAGGTTTCCATTACGGCTTTGCGGGCTAGTAGCTCATCCTTGCTAAGCGTCGGCGATAGCTGTGGGCGGCTCTATTCTTGGAATTTACCTGGTGCTTCTGTGCCTCTTGCCATACCTGACGATAAATGTTACGGAGGGTGCCAGCGACACTTTGGCTTTCTTGACAAGAAAAGGACTTGCCAGGGTTGTGGTGGATGGTTCTGTCAACGCTGCTCATCCAGCTATGTTGGTGGCCAGTTACGGCTTTGCTTGAATTGTGCAGGATTTTTAGGATCTAGAGGCATGAGTCTGTAATATACAAATTGTTTACTGAGTCGTGTGACGTTTTTTCTTCACTTGCTTCTGGATCTGGTTGATGATGTCCAAATACGCCGTACTTGCTGGACTGTCTGGGTACTCTTCAACAAAACTCTCGCCCATGTCGCAACACTTGGCAATGCGCGGGTCCAAGGGCACACTGCCCAGAAAGGCAAGACCGAGTTCTTCGCAAAGCGCTTTGGCTCCACCTGTAGATGGATAGAAAATATCGGATCGGCCATGACAGGCGGGGCATACGAACCCTGCCATGTTTTCAACAATGCCTAGAATGGGCACATTCATTTTTCGACAGAAAGAAATCTCCTTCCGGACATCCTGCAAGGATACTTCTTGGGGGGTTGTAATGATAACAGCACCATCAATACCTGACTCTCGCAGAAACCCCACAATCGACAGATGCTCATCAGAGGTGCCTGGTGGCGTATCGACAAGCAGGTAGTCAATGACTGTCTCTTTACCCGCTGCTGGTTCAAGGCCACCAGACCAATCCACATCTTTGAGGAACTGTTTAATGAGGCCATTCTTCTTAGGGCCCCGCCAAATAATGGCTGCATCACTGGAAGGCAGCAAAAACTCCACTGACATACAAGCGAGGTTATCAGACACGTATACAGGTGACCAACCAGCAGAAGACGCATGGATATACTGGTTTTTCAGACCCAAGATGGTAGGGATAGATGGCCCGCAAACATCGATGTCCAGCACAGCTGTTTGAGTACTAGGGTTGCTAGCACAAGCCCATGCCAGCTGCGAAGTAAACGTGCTCTTTCCCACACCCCCTTTTCCACTTAAAATCAACACCTTTGCATCGACACATCTCATGCGCTCACAAATCAGGGGCAAGTCTGGGTCAGGGCCCTTTGGCGCTGTTTGACAATGATCCTGATTAGGACAGCCTTGGCAGGCACTGGCATGCCCCGCCAAGTCCGAGTCTACTCCCGGGCAAAATTCTGGAGCATTTTCCGGGAGGTTGTCTGCACGGGGCCTTGCCACTATTTCATTGCTTACCGATGGCAGCACGTCCACCATTGAAGTAACAAGTGTGGCAATTTCCAGTGGGGATTCGACGTCGTAATCATATACCTCCACACTACCGAAATTACACAGCCGCTAGCCACATCTCTACCGTTGAAGCAAGTAACGGAAAAGAATGGAACTGGGCAATAGCAAGTGCGTGAGAAAGTCGCTTGCTAATATCCGACTGGGTATTCTTCTGCACCCAGGCGCCTGAACATGTACAATAAGGCGCCAAATTATTGGTATTGATGCATCCACAGCGCGAGCAATGCAAGTCCTGGATAACGTGCTGTGCAATCTGTTGTTGGACCATTGCAATTAGTCTTAATTCAATGGAGGCGCGATCATAGAGCGTATGACAACGTAAACAATGCCATTCTTTTTGCGGCGCACTCGCGATTAAGTCTGCATCTCGGCAAAGGTCGAGTGTACGGTCATCGTTGCAGAATTGACAAATGACCCAGGGCAAGCGGAATGATAGACATGGGTTTCGCCACTCCGCCGCAGGGGCAAATTCTCGCACCCCAATTAGGTCCAGCAAATTGCGCTTGCAAATTTGTGCTTCAAGGATGGCTTCTTTATGCAATGACAACACACGCGTTACCGACTTGATAAACTCCAAGGTGGGATTCTTAAGATCAAGATGTGAGCCAGGTAAATGCGGGAAAGCCCACTCCTCAGGGTTTGCCTGCACTTTCCACTCTCCATGAATCTCATTCACCATTCGCAGCAGGCGCTGTGTCATAACATGCGACACAATGTACTTGGCATTATCGACACCAGTGGAATCTTTCTCTTGAACGCTAGGTGCCTGGGATGGCGTGTTTTGTGATAAGGGGCGCATTATTGGACGCTCTTGTTGGCGCGCCACTGTATGGCGTTTTGCATGATATAATTCATAGATAAAAAGTCCCACCATCTTGGCGAAACGTTCCTGGATCGCCAGCGGAAGGAACGACTGCATATTCCAGGCCATCTCAACGTCCACATCCTCAGGCAATTCGATGGCTTCAGGGTCATGAGCAATAACACCACCAACATTGTTCATATCTAGAAATACAAGGTATTCCCACACATGCACAATGTTGAGAGTAAGGTGACGGAATACATCGGGGCCGGTAGCCGTGCCCATCAAATAACGACCGAACGCTGCTGCACTTCCTGCTGTCGGGCGGTTGGTAAGTAGCAACAGCCGTGTGTAGCTTGCGTAGATAATCTGAACGCCAAGACGCCTAAACTCTGCGAGCAACTGCAACAAAGTCTTGCGCATCAGACGCTGCAAGAAACGTTGCAATGCTGGCTCAAAGAGCGCCGCTTTCGAGCTGCACGCCCAACGCCAGAAATTATCTGCCAGCAAAGACGCACAAGTCGATAGACCACGCGTTTTTTCCACATGCCAGGCCTTCACCATGCTGCGCACCGTCGCAAATGTTTGTGAAGTGAGTACAGCATCGCCCAAATCTGCTGTGGCAGGGACTCGGCCATGCGCATATTCTTCGAGAGAATGTGATGCAGAGTCAAACGCCATGGATGCGGCACCAATACCTTCCATCGCATGGACATTAGCATTTTGCAGCACGCAATTGAGGGCCAAATCAGCCACCTGTACTTCGAGACAGATACTAGAATAGGCACCTGGATTGGTAATTTCGAGCATATCCAATTCATCGACCGTGCCAGGATTCATGTCATCCTCTCGACCGCCCAAGTCCGGCCTCGGTCCCTCTGACCACCATAACACCATGTCGCTTTGCTGAAGGCGACGCGCAAGGTCTAAATCTGAGCCAAACATAGCAAAGTCGCGAGGCATGTTACCCAGCGGTATATCCAGGTGCGCCGCCAGCTCAATCCAGCGCACGAGCCACAGTGAAGTCCGAAGATAGCAATTCACCATCCTGCGTGCGGCGTAAGGTTGCCAGCCCAGGGCTGGCAGAGAATCCTCCGCACGAGCGGCTGGTACCATGAGAACGGGCATCTCCGATGATAAGCCCATTCGCGAATCATAGTAACTCAATGGACGCGAAGAACATAAGGCTAGCAACGGCGCCCCCTGTTTCCCTGACCGAGCTTCTCGAACATCCTTCATGAGCGCCCGGAACGCCTTGATCTCATTTGTATGGATGTGGACCTGCGGTGAAAAGGTCGCAGGGTACTCAAAGGCTCCTTCCCCATCGTGGATTCGCCCAGCATTGCGCAGAGCCTGCAGCCGCTCTTGATACATGGGCTCCAGGGAGGGCCATTCATTCAGACCCGCTGAATCCACTAGATGGACATACACGTGGCCATCGCTGTTAACGAGTACCAACACATGCCGTTTCTTGTCAGATGCGTGGTATAGGTACACAGTACGCATAGCGCGTCCGTTTCGAAGATACATGGAGTGTGCATGAGAGGCATGGGAGAGATCGCTCAAGGCAAGACCAGTATCCATGGCATGGCTCAGCTTGGCGCCTGGGCGTAACTTGCACGAGGCGCCCAGCTGAATAATGGCACGAACGTCCAAAGGGACCTGCATCTCATAGACACCATCCACATTTGGGTGATTTAGCAGCGCAGAAAAGTGGGCGTCATCCTTGCGGAATTCTTCTTCCGTCACAGTGATGTGCATCAGGTTTCTTAGGGGAGAGCCGCGTGGCAGGACTCTGGTGACAGCCTCGACACGGTATGTATCTCGAAGAAGACCCGGCTTGGGCAGCTGTACAAAGTTGACATAAAACTGCCGCGGGACCATAAGCTTTAAGGCATGAAGTTGGCGGTCCACAAGCACCCATAATCGAAATTCTCCGGGTCGCGATGTGGGAGCTAGTTGGACAATGTCCCATGCAATGGAGGCCATAGCTGAGCTACGCTGCTCGAAAAAGCCGCCCAATGTGTTACTGCGCTTTTCCAAGCCGCGTCTTTCAGAGCGTCGCCGACGCCATCGAACTCGCATAGCCGAAACCCATCCGGGATAATCATGCTCAATGGGTGGAATGGGTGGGTCAGCAGGTGGCGGCACTTCCTTTACGACCCTGGGCTCAGTCGCGGGCGGCGGAGCCATGCGAGCTTTCACAGGTGCACCTCGGAATAGCTGGTCTAGCTTGACCTGAGACACTTTGTCATCGCGCGCCGCTACACGCTTCATGAGCCAATCAGGGTGTCGAACACGCGGTACAGGATTGTGCACCTTTTGCATGGCGGCAGGGATGGTGATTAATTTTTGAATCACACCGGCAAAGCGATCAATGTAGTAGTTCCAGTCCAAAATATTGCGCAGGTCAAAATCATTGAGTGTGCTGTCTTTAAGGAACCGCCGCAAAAAGTGCGCCTTTATATCTGGCTCTGCATTGAAAATGGCGACGGGCACAGCTCGATCCGTTACAGGTGCACCATAGGGCTTGGCAGACACAATAAATTTACATGCCAAACCACGATCCTTCACCACTTGGTTGCCCAGGATTTCAGCAAGACGCCGGGCTGTTGTAATGGCTGTCGACTTTTGCGATCCGTATTCGCTGAGCAACTTGGTCATGCTTTTGTTTTCAGCAATCAGGTCAATGAGCTCCTCGTCATGCAGTGTGGATCCTTTGCTGTACAAGACGTCGAGCCATTGGTCAGCCACTTGAGCCGCTGCTGCATAGCAGCTTACCAGCGAGTCTCCGAGTAAGAACTTGCTAAAAATCTGTTTCTGGAAGTCCTTGATCAGCTGCAGCTCTCCGCGGCGTTTGACCTCGAAGCCTTTTAGTTCGGCGAGGGAACCATCGTCGTTGAACACGGCGTACCGCTTCTTCAAAAGTTTGTCTTCCTCTTTGCTGGAGGGTAAAATCATGGCGCGATAAGGCCCATCAAGCTCAAAGAAAATACTGTTCTCACTGTGCACTTTGTACGATCCCGACTGTGTATCCAGCTCATGGTATTGGTGATTCGTAAAGCGCTGGTGCACCAAATAGTTTAGCATCGTGCAGGGATACGACACGCCGAAAGATTTTCCGTTGCGACACTTGAAGTTGAAGTTTTCCGGGAAGGTGCCAGGAAGCATACACCAGATACCGTCAGTGTCAAGTTCCAGTGGTCGACCAATGCGATCCACGAGCTCTTTGGCCATCTGAATAATAGTCGCCCCTGTCAGGCATGTAATACCTGCCATTTCCATGGAATACCAACGTGCACCTTTGCGCATAACATAGCCATAAAAGGAATTCAGAATACACTTGTGGGCCAGCTGTAGTGAATCATACAAAACGATCATCTTTTTTGCCTCTAGTACATCATCCAAGCCGCCACCTTCTACGGCCTTGTCCAAGTTCTTTTTCCACCTTTTGTGAAGGCCTTTGTACTCATAGCGACGGTCACGGAAATCACGTACTGTATTGATGTAGAATGGATTCTCACGCTGACATATGATCGCCTCACGGATAACGGTCTTAGTATCATGCACTCGTTTGTATACTTTGCGACTGTAGTCTGCCAGTCGTTTTTGCAAGAGGGCCGATTGCTCTGACGGGCTCAGATCTTGATAGGAACGCGTTTTTTGACCATCACGTCCCGGAAAGGATTCCATGTCCAGTGCATGACGGATCATATTGATTTCATCTCGCTTGGCAGGGAAATATTCTCCTCTCCATGCCCATTTCATGCGCCGATCACACGTCATGCCAGGCCGATTGTAGTCACAGGACGCACACAAAGCTTCTTCGACGACCGAATCTGGTTGCAGTCGATTCGATAACATGATATTGGGATACATCGCTGCCACATCCAAATGGTAGATCAATGGTTTGTCTTGACGCACAGGCTTGTCTCGTAAATTTTCCAGCATAGAACAAATCTGCGATCGAACTTCGTCGTAATTCTCGATGTCACTCAGGGTCATATGTCCTTCTTCCACGATGCTGAACTTGAGCGAATCATCGAGATCATCAATCAGCTGCTGAATAGCAGCAGGCTCAATGTGAAAGTCTGTAGGGATATCACTGCGAAACACGCCTGCTTCCAATGCTTCCACATGCCCGCCAATATAGGTCTCGGACTCAAGAATATGGCCCTCAAAGGTGTTGTCAATCGGATCGACGTGACGATTAGGCATCAGGATGTTGCTTTTATAGGCCTGAACCATCAGTAAAGTTTCGCACAGGGTGCCGCTTCCTTTACGCAGGACTTCATCAGGATTCAGGGGAATGATATTGCAAAGAGAGAAAATGAATGGATGAACATACTTCATGTACAAATAGTACGTGGCGACGGCATCTGAGACAGAGTACTGTGCCAATGTTTGCGGCTGTTCAGAAGCGTACGGTGTCATCAGTTCCGGATCGAGCTCCATCGGATCGTAGCCTAGCTTGGCGATTGTAACAGCTTTCAGGCCTTGACTTCCTTGAGGAAGATAAGAGTCACGTTTGACCCACCGGAAACAGTCCAGGTGCGAACAATGGCGGCTTTTGTACTCGTCATCCGAGTCTTTCGAGAATCCAATTTCCTGGCGCATATCAATACCATGGACTCGAGCCCGCGTATCGACGAACATGAAGTCGAATGAGTCACCGTTGTAGGTTGCCATAACGGTGGGACGTGCCTCCTGGATATGTGAGAAAAAGCGACGTAGCAAGGATACCTCGTCAGCCTCATTGAATATCATAAATGGTCCCTCATATTCGTCTTTGGGCGTGTATTCAAAGTCTTCAATATCCTCGCTTATCACCTCACGGTTTGTAATGAGAAATCCTTGTCCATCGATCATATATGATATCATCATGATAACATCAGTTTCAGCGTCTGGGAACTTGAGTGGCTGCTTTGTCGTCTCGATATCGAAGGCCATGACGACAGGATCAGCTCGCTTGACACGCTCAGGCACGGCACGAAGTACCACAACTCCTTCGTGGAAACTCACATCATACCACAACCCAACACGAATATCATTGTCGATCGCCACTCGCAGGTAGTACGGCACGTCGTATTCGTACAACGAAATCACACAGTCTTCTGGATTCCTTCCTCCAATATTTGCGCTTATGTCTGCCCCTGCCTCATCAATAGTCATACTCATATGGAGCTCGGGTTCTGTGGTGCTAAAAGTGTCTTGTAGTACATGTGTGTAGGCATCAATGGCAGAAACTTTCTTTTGTGCTTCTAGCGCAAGAGGAAGCAGCTCTTTTCGCACGGCCAGAAGGTCACTTACATTCATAAACTGGAGCTGTAATACGGTACGCTGATTTCCGACAAGATGATTTGGAAGCTTAAGATCTTCTTTACGTCTTCTCTCAACCGAGTTGAGAGTACCTTCAAATTTCCGCCGAAGCCACTCCTCTACGATGGATTCAGTTCCTGCATAGCATGCAAGCAAGAAGTAAGGCTGGTAGAGGACAGTGACTTTAAACATAGATGCGTCATCTTGGACAAAGTAATAGTCTACACCGGACCGACCGGTAGGATGCGTCTCATCGGACAGCAAGGTGGGATGCATATTCACCATCCAACCCTGCCTCGTTTCACCCTGCTCCAAACGCTGAAAACCCATCCGCTCATCAATTGCGTCATCTTCTCGAGCGGCAGCAAAGCGATCCTCTAGCATGGTGGCTGCATTGTCCGCTGATTGCGTTTTACCCGCTGCACGGGATCCGCTACGACCTGAGGCGCCACCTCCGCGACGACGAAAGGTACCACGACCTCGGCTACTTGAGGTTCGCGAAGGGACTGAGCCCAACGTTCTCGGTGGCATGACCGTCGACCTCCTCAAGCGTGCGACAAGACTCGAGACGCGACGCGGTGCTACGCGGCTTACATACAATGGAGGCGTGTTCTTTAAGACACGCATTTCGAAGTGCCGCGTTCTCCTATAGCATGCAGTCCAATGACAAGCGCCATGCCCTTAAGTTGATTCCCAATGATCCATATTCCAAACAACAAGCACGAAAAAAACTGCGGGATAAATGCTTAATGCGTATTCAGGAAGAACGATATCTCAAGCGAAATGCGTCAGTAATGCACGCTCGTGAAACGTGGCTTAACGCTATGGTCGAGCAGGAGGTAATGAAGATGGGCCATATATGGTCAGAAGAGGTACGTTGTCTTTTCCTTACCCAGGATATTGGGCATATCATCCGAGAAGAATACTATCATGCTATAAATATATATGAACAGCAATGCTCTGTTGAAGTGGGACATCTAAGTTTAGACCATCTGCTTGCTATTGAGCAGGAAATTGCTAATGAAACTACACATTCTTGAAGTTATAGGGTTCCATGGTTGGTTAATATTGATGACCTGCGAATGCCATATTCCAATGTGCTTGGAAAACTTGACAAACCACTAGTACCGGCCGCCATAGCTGCCGCTGTAGCCACCACCGTAGCCACCACCCATGGAGTTACCCATGCCACCACCGCCGTAGCCACCACCCATGGAGTTACCCATGCCACCACTGCCGTAGCCACCACCCATGGAATTACCCATGCCGCCACCGCCGTAGCCACCACCCATGGAGTTACCCATGCCGCCGCCGCCGTAGCCACCGCCCATGGAATTACCCATGCCGCCACCACCGTATCCATCGCCCATGCCGCCGCCCATGGAGTGGCCGCCCATGGAATGGCCGCCCATAGAGCCACCACCCATGCCGCCGCCCATGGAGTGGCCTCCCATGGAATGGCCGCCCATAGAGCCACCACCCATGCCGCCACCCATGGAGTGGCCACCCATGGAGTGGCCGCCCATAGAGCCGCCACCCATGCCACCACCCATGCCGCCGCCCATGTTGCCGCCCATGCCGCTACCTTGATGGTTATGCCCTGTGAAGCCACTGACGAGATTGTTAACCAGGTTGCCGCTGCCACCTGATCCACCATTCATACCATTCCCCTGATGATGGCCACCACCTAAGACGTTGCCAATGAGCTCGTTGACCATGTTGCCGTTACCACCGCCCATGGATCCGCCATTCATACCACCGTTCATACCACCGTTCATGCCGCCGCCGTTCTGTTTATTGAGAACTTTCCCAAGCAGCTAATCATGTTAGATCTTTAGAGTCGTTCCATACCTTTTTGCCCATGTTCATGAGCTGTCCTTTATTCTGGAAATCGTCCATCTTGTTTGAGGGTTTTGGTTTGTTTCAACGCGTTCGAATGTGTGCATTCTCTGATTAACTCCCCGGGCAGCCGCTGCTGATCGTCCAATTAAATACTCCACACAAGAGTTCGTCCACGTTGGCCCTCTATGGTCAGTGCGGATCGGCGTGACCAGCAGAGCGCATCTCAAAGAACCCGCGCGAAGGGCACGGGAAGTGGTCGAATTGCTACGCCACAGGAGCTCTCCGATTTTCGATCCATTATTTCGTCTCTTGAACATTTCGACACTAGTCAGATCAGCACGGAACTGAGTGATGACGCCCGGAATCGGCGTGGGATGAATGAAGCTCTTGCGCGGGCCATTGATTCGCTGAATGGTACCTCAGAAAATGCAACTTGGAAAAAAGACCTTGAAAAGAATGCTTACAAGGTACTACGGAGGCATTCTCACGTTTTGTGGCCACTTCCCTGCCTTGACGTGCCAGCGCCTACGGAACTTTTATCCGATGAAATTGCTACGTCTGCAGAGAAAATTACACCTATGTATGAAAACGCGGCCCATATTTCTAGCCTCAATGGTAGTGAGCATGGCCAAATTTGGATGGCTGTACAGGCGGCCCTATATCGTGTGCTCTCTTTGCTTAGTTGGACATTTCCCTCGCATTTGCCTACATCCTCATTACAAAAGGAAGTCGAGCGCCTTACAGCGAATGCAAAAGGCTATAAACCCGAAGCATTGCGTTCTGTTTTATCCTACTATAATTGGAATATTGACCGACTCCCACGCTCTCATACTATCGCTTGGCGCGATGTACTGGCTGTGGCTCTGAGCACAGAAAATCCGGCTCTAATTGGCGCTGCAGAGAAAGCACTATCATTATTACAAGAACTATACAATGCACAGCCTGAAGAACCCAAGCTTGAGAAACGCACATGGTCGCTTCATTCGAATGCCCCTCTTCTTGAACGCACTCGCATGCTTTGTGAAGCGCGTAACAATTGTGCCAAATATCAACTGAAGGATTACATGAATGAATCCATCGATACCGACCATATCCTCTCTCCCATGGAGTCTGACACATCCGTTGTGCCGAAAGGAAATGATATGTTACTCTCGGATCCACGTGAGCAGTCCTGGCTCTCCGGCGTTGATGAACTCTATGCCTCTTTAATGTGGGAGGGGGAATCTGACGATGTATCCAGCGATTCTGATGTCAATGAATTACCCTCGGATCTATATTTTCCAGACGAGTCGCCGCAATCTTCGGATTCTGATTCCGAATCAGAGGGCGAAGATGAGGACTCTGGACCAAGCGACAGTCCATCGTCGTCTTCTAGTTCATCAAATTCCTCAGGATCTAGTACGGAGTCTTCCGAGAGCGAGACTGGTACAGACTCCGAAATTTCAGATGAAGAAGAAGTATTGTCTACACACAAAAGACAAAGTTCGTCGCCCTTGCCAGTCCCGAAGCGCGTACGGACAGATAGGCCAGCTTGACCTCTAATTCATACTAAATTGCCAGACTTGCCTGTTGACAATCATGCGCGGAATTCCGCTGGAACATCCTGTCCCCCCTCTTCCTTGGTGGGACGACGGCCGTGATAGTTGACAAAAGATTCTTCCCATTTCACATATTCTTTCCAATACTCCCGCATCATTGTCTCTTCGTCTTCCTCCAATGCTGGCGCAGTAGACTCTGTCGTCGAATCTTTGGGAGGTTCAGGATCCTCTGGTGGCGCGTCCGTGGGTGGAGGAGCTAAAGGTAAGTTTTCATACGTCAACGTACGCGGAATGTCATCCTCTGGTGGTGGTGGCACTTCGGCACCTTCTGGGGGCGGAGGAGGTACCGCATCCTCTTCAGGTGGAGGAGGAGCTTCGCCTTCTGGCTCAGCGGGCTGAGACTCCGCACCACGATTCAATGAGGCTTTCGCCTTGCGCCATTCTTCCGTGACTGCATCAACCAAATCCATGGCCATTAACTTTGCGCGGTGAACCTGAATAGCCTCAGGACCAGAGAGATGGATATGCATCGTCTGCTCAAGCTCTCGACCGGACTCTGACTCCAGATAGCCTGAACCTTTGCCTTTGATCTGCACACGGACGCGTGTTTCGTGTTGGATATATTTCACGAACAAACCAGTAGGGCCAACGATCTTGGCACGGACGTTAAAGTTACGCAATGGTTCCAATGTAATAGGAACCATAGCCTCAGGCCAGCCATTGGCCCCACGTTGGTCACTTCGATGCAGGCGATCGTCTAATAGCGGCGGCAAATCTTGAACCATGAGGTCGTTGATTCGCGCAACACAGCGGTCCAAGCTTTCCCGTGTGTCCGAAGTGACATGCAAATAAAGAGGCGGTTCTCCAGGGCGCGCTTTGGTCCGGTCTGGGTACCAGGTGCCGCGTGTGTACACACGTGCACCTGTTTCGTTTCGAAGTTCGTCTTGGGTCTGACGCTTCGTGAGCAGATATCGATTACGTTGATCATTGATTTCAATATCATGTGTGTAGATACCATCTGGGCCATCATCGTCAAAGTCAGGATGGCGCATAAGAGCGCCCGGTCCCGTAGGGTCAGCAGCACGGGAAAACTGCGCGGCTATCTTCGCAGCAGCAGCGGCAGCAGCTCGAGCCGCTGATGGTGAGTACATAATACGTACCAGGTCGGGTACTTGTGGTGGTTTCTAGGGCCATATTTTGGCCAGAAGAGCCCGGCTCAGCAGGTCGATCCCACTTACTCCTGCGTTCGGACATGCTCTGGATAAAACGGCAGGATTATTGCGACAACCTTAGAGAGTGACAGCCTTCGCTTAATTCCACAATGGTCAGGTTAGCAACGTGACGTGGAGTTGACGTGCGTATATCCTCGGGACGAATGCACGGATCTACACTTAGATTAGTTTCTCTACCGCCACATTAAACATCATGAACCAACTCCCTGTCCATGAGGAACTCCTGAATCTTGCACAGAACAATTCCATTAACTTGAAGCAGGCTTTCAAGGAAGATTCCGAACGCTTCTCCAAGTTTTCCACGCACTTTGAAACTGATGCCAAGGATGTGTCGATTCTGCTGGACTACAGCAAGAATCTGATTGATGAGAAGATTTTCGGCAAACTCATCCAGCTAGCGAAAGAGTCTGGTGTAGAGAAGAAGCGTGACGCAATGTTCAAGGGTGAGCACATCAACAACACTGAGGACCGGGCGGTACTGCACATTGCTCTGCGTGACCTGCCTGGGGACTTCCCGGTGTCTGAACCCGGTGTAGAAGAGGTCAAGCCCGAGCTTGAACACATGCGCCAGTTTTCGGACAAAGTACGCTCCGGCGAGTGGAAAGGCTACACCGGAAAGCCGATCCAAACCGTTGTGAACATTGGCATTGGCGGCTCCGATCTCGGACCTGTGATGGTATGCGAGGCGCTCAAGGCGTACTCGAAGCGTGATCTCCAGCTGCATTTCGTGTCGAACATCGATGGTACCCACATGGCTGAGGCTTTGCGTGCGTCTGACCCCGAGACAACGCTTTTCATTATTGCCAGCAAGACTTTCACCACCATCGAGACGATCACAAACGCTGTGACTGCCCGTGAGTGGTTCCTTCGTGCAGCCAAAGATAAGTCGCATGTTGCCAAGCACTTTGTGGCTCTCAGCACGAACGAGCCTGCAGTGACAGAATTTGGTATTTCCAAGGAGAACATGTTCAAGTTTTGGGATTGGGTCGGTGGCCGCTACAGTCTTTGGAGTGCCATTGGTCTCAGCATTGTTCTCTCGATTGGCTTCGACAACTTCAAGGAAATGCTAGATGGTGCCCATGCCATGGACCTGCACTTTAAGAATGCACCTTTAGAGAAGAATCTGCCTGTGATCCTTGGTGTTCTCGGTGTGTGGTACAACAACTTCCACGGCGCTTCTACTCATGCATTACTGCCTTATGACCAGTACCTGTGCAAGTTTGCTGATTATTTCCAGCAGGGAGACATGGAGTCAAACGGCAAGTTTGTTAGCAAGTCTGGTGTTCCTGTCTCGTACCAGACCGGTCCTATTATTTGGGGTCAGTCTGGAACGAACGGCCAGCATGCTTTCTATCAGCTTATTCACCAGGGTACCAAGCTTGTTCCTTGCGATTTCATTGCTCCTATTGAGACACAGAACCCACTAGGCGAGCACCATGATATTTTGCTCTCTAACTTCTTCGCACAACCCGAGGCCTTGGCCTTTGGCAAGTCGGAGGAAGAGGTGGCAACGGAGTTGGGATCCAAGGCTTCCAACCAAGCTCTTCTAAAGAGCAAGGTGTTCCGTGGTAACCGCCCCACTAACAGTATTATGGTCCAAAAAATTACTCCTAAAACCCTTGGTGCTATGATCGCCATGTACGAGCATAAGATTGCTACTCAAGGGTTTATTTGGGACATCAATTCTTTCGATCAGATGGGTGTTGAACTTGGAAAAGTGCTTGCCAAGAAAATCCTACCTTTGTTGAGGCAGAAAGACACTTCCAAGGTCGATGCCGATGGTCACGACTCTTCGACATCAGGTCTAATCAAGTACTATCTGTCGAACCAGAAGTAGTGGCTGCATGTCGAGCAATATTTGCAAAGGTTAGAGGATCTATAGGCTTCATTTTAACCTTTCCATGCGTTTATTATACTCTTCCTTATCAGCACGGGCCTGCTCTTCAAATGGCTCCTTCTCCTTGGCACTGAGTGCCTTCCATTTAGCGCCCGCTTCCTTTGCAAATTCATATACAGGCTGTGTTGTCTGTGAGTTTGCACGCAAATGCTGCGCGAAAAGGAAGAACGCACTCAATGGGCGCTTCATATTATCGGGCACTGGTATGTTCCGACGCACAGCCTTTTTCCCCATTTTACGCTGGTAAGCCAAAAATTGGTTCTGACGCTGAATGTCGTCGGGAGTCAGACTCTTTTGCCAAGCCTTCAAGTCTTTTTCATACTGAGCCACATGCTGCTCATAAAGCTTGTCCACACGGGCACGTTCTGAGTCCGGAAGCTTTTTCCATTCAGCACCGATAGTCGAAGCAGCGGACTTAATATCAAAGACTTTGTTTCCGTCTTGGTTTGCCTTGCGGAACTCAGGCTTTTCTTTGAGCTCTTGTAGACGCTCCATGAAAAAGAGAACAAAGCGAGGACGTTTGGTCGGCTTACGATCGTAAGGAAGCGGGATTAGTTCACCAGATTTAGGGTCTCTACGTTCCCACGGCATATCCTTCTTTGCTGGCCCTTTTGGTTTCGTTGTCTTGGTACCGGCAGACTTGACATGTTTGTCGCTTGCCCTTCCTTTTGAGGAACTTTTGGCGGGTGACAGGGACGAATACGATGTAGTCACATATCCGGAAACAGAGCCGATCAATCTCTGCTTTAATGCTGGAGGGGAGAGCAAAGGTACACCAATGTATCGCACACTCGCCAACATGTTGATGGTGTCAAAGAGTGGCGTGGAGAAATGACCTAACTGCATGCGGGTTATTGGTTTCGATGCTCGGGCAATCGCGTCACGTGAAAACAACACGCTCACACGCGCACAGACGTTGGGGCCGTGCTACTTGGGATACGGTGATGTCGCAAAGGGTTACAATTCCTCTCTTACATTTTAATGAGTTAGTTTAATTTATCCAATCTGACATGAAAGTGTTTACAGAGTTCGTCAAAAGGTTAAAAATTCTTCTCAAGTACTTAGCGCTGATCAATTCGCAGCCTTAATTCTTAGGTTGCGGAAAGGATGGGGCGAGAGCGAACAAGAAAATCGATTATCAGCTCCTGAAGAGCCCTTTGTCTGGAAGTCTCATCAGAAGCGCGAGAGAAATGGCTTGGTTATTTTTTCTGGGGACTTGTTCAACCCGAGTGTCGAAAGTAGTGTTACGCGCGGCTCTCATATGGTGCCAGTAATCAACTCGATGCAGGTGGATTGCGCCGTTCTAGGAAAGTAAGTTTGTGCATTGTAACAGTAGTCATGACTGGGACTTTGGATATCCTCACCTCCAGCGCTTGCTTAGCAAAACAAATTTCCCTTGGCTCTTTTCCAACGTTGTGGATGCCTCATGGCGGCAAGATGAGCTCAGCCAGGGTTCTGAGAAGCCCAATGAGCATGATGAACAAATTGAAGCAACTCTACCTTATTTTGTATTCGAAGTCAAGGGCATTCGTGTAGGATGCATTGGGCTTGTGGAAAAGTATGTATTTTTTCCTCATGATCCAGAGAATGGCTTGAGACAGTACCAGGTTTTCCCAAGGAATTTGAATATCGCGACATGGTGGAAATCGGACTAAAACTTTCACATGAACTTCGCCAAGGACCTGAAAAATGTGATCTCATTTTAGCCGTCACACATTGCCGCCTACCTAATGATATCAAAATTGCCAATTGCCTAGGAGCTATGTCTAATGCTGATCCGAACCAACATGGTGTTGACTTAATATTGGGTGGTCATGACCATGTATACTACCTAGGTCGCGGTATTAACAACTTCAAAGGCGCCGATTTTGATCATGATATGATTGGATCAGAAGATGATAAAAGTACTCTTATCGTGAAGAGCGGTACTGATTTTCATGACCTCAGTGAAGTGCATATTTCGCTATCAGAGCCTCACCCTGACACTTGTGTTCGCCGTCGCACTATTGAATGCATTACAGGCACGTTCTTTCCATGATTGACATCAGTAAAGCGACACCAGCTTAGTCCAGAGGACCCCTCTCTGCCCGAGCTTCAAGTCCTTTTGGACAAGCTTATGAAGCGTATCTCGAAGTCCACACAGCAACCAGTTGCGCTATCCCTGAATGAGTGGGATGTAACATCCAAAGCTGTCCGGACTGATGAGTCTGGTTTTGGCGACTTTGTGGCCGACATTCTGCTCATGTCCATGGAGCGCACACTGCGAACACAGTCACCTGAGCAAAACGAAAATGCCGTTTCTGGTGGTTATCGTATGGCAGATTGTTCCATCATCTGTGGTGGTTCACTGCGAAGCGATAGCACATTTGGGCCAGGCGAAATCACTCTTGGCAACTTGATGGAAATAATGCCCTTTGAAGATCCAATTGTTGTCAAGGAACTAACCGGACAAGACATTTGGGATGCTTTAGAGAATGGATTCAGTGCATATCCCAAGCAAGAGGGCCGGTTTCCTCAGGTCGCCGGAATGCAAATTGTATGGGATTCCCGTCGAGAGCCCGGCCATCGTGTTATTAGTGTTGATTTTCTTCATCAACCTTTTGATGGAGAGATCACTGAGGGGAAAGATGTGTTCATGAAAATCCGTGATTCCTATTTATATGAACCCGATCATTGCTCTAACAATGAGCAATCTGTCATGGTACACCGAGCCATTCCTAAGGTTAAAAAGCCACTCAAGTTGGATCAAACGTATTGGGTCGTTACTCGCGAGTATCTGGCCCAAGGAAACGATGGGTATTTAGCACTCAGACGAGGCCGCTATATTATTGATGATGAATCGGGTCAATTAATGTCCGCTATTGTTCGCAAGTTCTTGCTGGGTGCGACATACATTTGGCGTTGGAATCATGTTGAATCTCGCAAGCCACATGTACCTACAGTACCTGACTCACCATCCGCTTCTGATTCCAGCTTTGACTCCAGTTTCAGTGTACAAGCTCGCAAAAGACGCCGTACATCTCTACTCACTCACTTATTCAACACCTCACTTGAAGAACCAGTCCATTTGTCACTAGGCACTAGCGAGGCAGTTCAACGTGCAAACGAGTTACGTCTACGCCGATCGAACTCATTTCGAAAGGAACAAGCCAAGTCAGGATATGTGTCGGATTCCGATACTGAGAAAAGGCGTGATCCACTTTTCGTGGACTATAGCCCAACATCAATTCGTGATGCCCTATTTGTTGCATCTCATGAGCATCATTCTCACTATGACACGGCCTCACGAATTGATACAAACCTTGTCCTGGAACAAGGATGCAAAAAGGAGGACTTGGCTGTCGTTGTGGCACTTCCTGATGGCCGCATGAGTGACCGTGGACGGCAGTCGTAGAAAATGGCTGTCCATATTCATGCCGTCTTAGTTACAATCATGTAATATAGGCCCATCATTGTCCTGAGTATAATATATATGGTCTGCAAAGGGCTTCATTCTCTTCCCTTTTCAACATCCTACCCCAAGGAATATATATATATATATATAACGTCGTTAGTGTCTGGATACCAGGATGATTTGATCTGATCTGTTGATATAGGCACCAATCAATACAAGAATGCCATTCTATGGCAAAGTTCTTGATTGTATTCTGATTCATAAGCTCGGTTCAGGTCTGACGTGCACGTTTGGTCTATTCAGAGTCAGCTAACCTTGTAGATCATTCATTTATCGTAGGCCACCAATCCGGCTTCCACGCATGCAGCTGCACAGGCCCATTCGCGGATTCGCTCGAAAGGACAAGATAAGGCGTATTTTCTGGACTTTGGATCTTTTCTAATTGAGCCAGACGAATAAGACCTAGGCCAATGTTGTGGATACCATTAAGAAATTTACCAGCCGAGCGTGAACGAGCTGTCTTTTTAATTCTGCTTTCACCGTTCTCATCTTGTTCTGTCAAATATATATCCGCACCATGCGCAGGTAGAATGTTGCTTGCATCCCGGTCGACCTCAATTGTCCCTGAACGATTTATAGTGGATGCCGTTAGCATAATGGGAACGATGCGTTTACGGACTAGACCCGTGAAATAAGTCCTTGCGGTGAGTTCTTGTCCAATATAACAACCCTTATGAAAATCCACTCCGTGCATATAATCCATACAACTTTCCAATGGTAGGCTCGACCCCATTATAATTTCTGACGCTCCTTCTGGGACACCTTGCAAGTAGCGATGGATCTTGTACTCGTCTTCAGGCAACTGCGTCAATTGTTGTAAATGGTTTGCAGACACCTCCTTGTGGACAAGAAAGCGCCATCCCATATTTGGTGCACGGACATCACGGTACAATAAAGTCTTGTCCAGGCGTGGTATACAAAGTTCAACACCGTCGCCCCATGCTTGATAGACACTCCATTGATCTGATACATCCTGGATTTTGACCTTAGAGCGAAGTTTGAAGCGACTAATAAACCTGATCAATTCTTTGGAAATGGTCTGATCTACTTCAACCAGAACCGATTCGTCATGCTCTGACGGAAGCCAGTGGATCCACGCGTCAGCCATAATGCGGCCCTGAAATGAGAAAATACAAGCGTACCTGAGGGTTCAAGAACCCTGTATAGTGTCCATCCATGCCATGATGATTCGGCGCATTTCTATGGATGGTCTTGAATGGTAAGATATTGTTGGTAGTATTACCTTGAAGGAACTTAAGCGTGTCGGGGCCACTGAGTTCATAAATTGATCGTTGACCAACTTTGCTTATGCAAGGGCCATATATAGATAGGTTTCTTGCACCATGTGCTATTGGTATGCGCGGTAAAGAGCGAAAGCTCACGCGGTGAGCAACTCGGATCATCCACAGCACACAGGACGGCAATATTGCAAAGTGGACCTGGCTCGCATCTATTTGAAATCTGACTAACCATGACATAAATACATTCCTCGTCTCCGGAGATGTGCAAGGACTTGGCAGCAATTTTTAGGGCTGCAAGCGGTCGCTTGCGGGAATCGGCGCACAAAATGTGCAGCTGGTGTTTGCCACTAGTACAGTTCAGACCTCCACGGAGACGTCTGAGCTCGCATATATCTTTCCCCCACCATGGAGGAAACGGGGCCAGTCCTGCCGGCTCCATCAACTGAACGTCCTAGATCTCCTAGGATGTTGAAGCATGGAAAACACATGTTTGCATCTATCAGTCAGCTTGCTGACAATGTTGTTACCATGCGATCCTTCTCAGATATATCGCGCACCGATTTATTTGACCGTGGTCCTGGGACTCCGGATGTCGTCCTTCATCAAGCGCGAAGACCTGGAAGCGGTGCAAGGTCATCTTCGAATGTGGGCGGTAAGTCAACACCACCTATTGTCCCTATTCCACTCGAACATACACCCGTCAGTTCATCGCCGTCTTCACATTCCTCTCCCTTGTCCTTCGATGATCATCACTCTCATTGGCGCAATAAATCTTTTCCAACTCACCTAGTTATGCCTTCCGCTCGTCGCGCCTCGACTATGGTACTAAATGATCAGAGCCCTCCTCTGTCACCATCGAATGGCAACGAGCTGGACCCACTCTCTTGTGGCATTGCTAATGGACCTTATGAATGTTCACCGATCCCTTCTATTTCATTTGATGGGGAAGGTATATATCCTTCAAACTCGATTTTGCGAAGCGAACCCCATTCTCCCGAGTCTAAACTGTCAGTGATTAAACCGCCAGCGGGACAATCGAGTCCACCCAGCAGCCTAGAGTCCTATGCCCCGTCTCTGACTTGGAGTATCCAGAGTTCAGACTCAGACTTTTCACCTCAAATGACATTACATGGACCTCGCCAGTCTGACATGTCCTTATCATCCAGAATTTATCAGAAGTTGTTCTCCTCTACCACTACTACTGTTGAACGTGCTGATATTGACCCTTCAATACGCGGCTGGTCTTGGTCACTGCTATGGCCACATATGTCAAAACTTCTTTTGCTAGGTTTGACTTTTTTGATTGCGACGGGACTTTTAGGGCTTTGCCTTAGCACACTCCCGCTGCACCTACCCAAACATCTTGCCCAGCTAACATTAAGTGAGATCCGTGATATTTGTGAAAGTCTGCAAGTGTACTCTCACAGCTCATTGCTCGCAATGGTCCATGTGTTCTTCGTTCTTTCTGTGTTTTTCACTTGGAAACAGGCCTTCTGTGTTCCGGGCAGTCTTATTATGAACATTGTCTTCGGTGCAATGTATGGTTCCTATGCAGGTTGTTTCCATGCATCTCTTTTGACCGCGTTTGGTGGTGCATTGTGTTATGCTCTGGCGTCCCCCTTCTCTGATGTTGTGGCGTTGTTCCCGAGAATTGCGCGGCCTTTGTATTCTATGAGTAAGGCATTGCAAGCAATGAACGCACCGAGGACCACTGAAGGGGCAGAGCATGCATCATCAATTCGTCTCGATAAAGATCTGTGGACATCCTTGTTGACTCTCAGACTTCTCCCTATTGTACCTTACGGCATGATGAATATTGCTTGTGGCGTGCTTAGTGTTCCTATTATACCTTACGTTGTCACACTGGGGGTGGGAAGTATTCCTTGGAACTTCTGTACGACCCAGATCGGCGAATTGCTTCTGGGCGTAGTGACTGCGATTCAAGCAAGTGCGGCGGAAGCAGCAGAAGTTAATGGGTCGACAGTAACGTCCGCATCTGGACAAGCTAGCGTACTGGCATCAGGTGCAATGACAATTCTTCTGCAGCATGTTTGGACTTTTGACATGATGATCAAACTGACCCTTCTAAGCATCGCCAGCTTCCTCCCCATTCTCCTCCATCGTTTCTTTGGTTTTAAAAAAGACTTGACTGCCCGTATTGAAGAGGGTGAGTCGGAAGACAATGAATGTATTTTTTTTTTTTTTTTTTTTAAGAAATGTACTTCTAGCTCTGCTACAGTTCATCGTGTAAATCGCCACGGTCATTTTCTCGCTTATGTATTTGTTCGGCCAATGCAGCCACCTCGAGATCCAGTTCTGTCCATTCAGGGATTTGGCGTCGCGCACGATCCAGTTTGGGTTCTTTCGTCTTTGGATTGCTGCAGAGGTCAATGGTTTTAGCTTGAGGAAGCCATTCTTTCGAGCACCATGTTTCGCACCATAGCCATGTTTTGTCTAAGGTATAAATCGGCAGGAACATTTGTACTGGTGTCAGTTCCAAATGAACTTACGATGGTTTGGCAAATCCTGGTCAAGATTGGCCAAAGAATTTTTGTCAGCGGTGAGCCGTTGATAGTGACGACGTAAAATATCACCGGCACCCACATAGCGGAACCTTTTTAAGTCCACCACATAAAGTGCTGATATATGGTAGGTCATTCCCCGAAGGAAAGATTTCCAATAACCTTTTTTCCAGAAACGATATCCATCCATATCTTCGCTGTCATCGCCCATGGGGGGGTACCCATAAGGTGCGCCATGAAGATCCATATCAATCAACTCCTTTAAGTCTGTTCGGACAATTTGATCTGCATCAACGAAAATCACACGATCCAGATCTAATGGGAAAAGTACATCCAAGAAAAGGATCTTATATGCCCAAATCATACGTTGTTTCTCAGTCTGCTCACGAAGCCAGCTAGGCCAGGCAAAGGTAATCAACTCATACTTGAAGTGATAAGCGTTGGCTAAGTGAGGAATATAAGCTTTGAATGAAGGCGACAGGAAGTTTTCGATAAACCAAAATTTAACTGTGCTTTTTGTGTGCCGTAAAACGCTGTCGTTATAAACCCTAATACATACCTTAAAATCATAATATAGGTCATGCGTTCATAGAGATGACCGCTAGCAATTGTGAAGATATTGATATCGGCATGTAAACTTCTTCGACCAAGTACAAAAGATACCATGTCATTGACTTTAGCTTTAACGTGGTCCTTGAAACTCACATTCTTAAGTTCGTTAACCTGGGCCACTAGGCTGTCCATCTCTTTACCCAACCGCTTGCGCACAATTGGGAAAGTCAAAACTCCGGAGAGTTGGTTAAGCACAATGTAAGAGCCTGTCACATCAACTGAGGGACTTTGCCATCCCCAGGCCCCAACAGACTTCATTTCGTACAAATCCGAGCTAACTCCAGGTCTGATGGATAGTTTCCAACGACCCGGCTGACCACGGAATTGAAAATACCCTAGCGTCTCCATGACAATAGTATCCAGAGACGAAGAATCATCGTCTGTCGAAAGTGATAATTGGAGTCCACTAGGTGTAGGCTCTTGGTCGGCTCGAGCATGTCCCTCAATCAATATGCTGTTGACTGAAAAAATAGCTTCCACTACTCCTGTCACATCAGAAAGTCGAAGGTTATCCAAGTCGTAGAGTGCTTCTTCTGCCATAGCAACAATTGAGCGAGGAGTGTGTAATTGCATCGTCAATACAGATCTCGGCGGAATGCCCGTAAAAACAGTAGCAGGTGCAATTTCATATCCGTCTGAGTTGAACGCTGGTGTAACGCGCATGTTGAAGCGGGAGAACTTCTGCAGAGGAAGTGAGGTAACGCGTAAACTAGGGTTCATCCTCACAGTGAAACGCACACCGCTCATTGATGATAGCATTCGCAGAGTGGAAGCAAAATATGAAGCTTTGGAGTCAAGAGGATTCAGTACACCAGTAATATGTACAGAACTGGACGGATCCCCTTGAGTAATGCACAGGTCTGCTCCAGCTTGAAGAGCAAGAGAAACAGGCATACGATTTGAAGAAGGGCTAAAGGACCTCCCTTTGTTCAAAATTTCAGTGAATGCCGACCCCACCGCAGACAGCACAAACTCCATGACTTGCGAGCGCACGTCAGGGGGGGCCAAAGGGACATTGACGGCCTCGAGCAATGCATCAACGTGTGTGGATTGTTCCCATGAAAGAGCCTCTTTAACATCTTTGGTGCGCAAACCAGTCACACCGGAGAGAATATGGCCGTTGATAAGCAAAGTAATACCTTGCTCATGATCAATATTGGATGCGAGTAGGAATGCTGACGCAATAGGTTTCCAAGAATACGCCTTCAAGCTCATACCATAATCCGAGCTCAATTGAGTCAGAGCGGCGACACGATCTGGCGACTTCAGTGCTTCACTTAATAACTGTGGTGAAATATCCGAGAGGGCTCCAGAGTACATTGCCGATAAGAACCATTGAGAAACAAAGCCTTCATCGGATCCAGTGTGAACAAAGGAAAGCCTGAAGGGTTCAACAACAGGGTACATAGCATCCAATATCACGGTAATTTCGGACAGAGTGGATTCCGAATCCAGGTCGCCAACAAGACGAATAGAAATGAGCGAGTCGTTTCTCGAATACACAAAATGACGTAGGGGATCGCCAAGATTTCCAATTTGACGAAAAATGTGCGGAAAGTTAACAAACCTGCTTGGTCGCAAAGATGCTTTCGTTTCTTCCAACATGGTTCGCAACATAGACCGTGATGATTTAGTGTCTTCGAGGTGATAGAAAAAGGATTCGTACATATTGTCTTCGTCCAACTGACCAGTAAATATTTCATGACTGGCAAGGCGCAGCTGGTACGACATTGCCTGGGATATGTCAGAGAAAAGATTCTCATTCAGTGACACGGGTTGTCCATTGAGATACGCAGTTCCAAAAGTATCCGGGCGAGGAACCACGAAAATACGATCAAGATAGTCACGCAAACGCGATAGACGAAGCCGGAATGATGAGCTGGTATGGCTTTCTTTAACAAAGGACTCTAGCAAGTCCTTTTCATCCATGTCATTGAGTGAGAGCATTTGTCCCAATATGGCACGAGCTCGTGCCGCATCAACGCGACCAACCTGGTTAAGTGTAGACTGTGCAAGTCGTTTAAAAAGAAGAGAAATTTCATGGGGACGCAAATGATCAACAGCATACCAAAGGACTTGGGCAAGTGTCTCGCTTTCGCTATTCACTAGCAAGGGTACGACACCCCATCGTAGCGGCATCTCAGTAAGGGAGTGATCCAGCATTGAATTCATAAATAAAAGCGCATCCGGATCACCCAAATCAATCTGCACCACTAGTTGGAAGAAGTTACGTGCCACCAGTGGAAACCCGCTGGGCCATCGATACTCGACCATTTGTTCCACTGTTTGAGGCCACTGGGAAAAGGTGCCGTCTTCCAAGTCGTTTACCCATGCAATGACACGTGTGCCCACAGGGGAACTTTTGGCTTCTCGTTCATCACTTACATCATACAAAAAAATGGAAGGCCGCTGGGCTCCAAATGCCAACGTCACAGGCTCGGACGTAAGAATGGCCTCTGTCCCTTCCGGAGATATACCAAGCTCAGGGACATTAAACGTAGCCTGAAGCCTACGCTCTTCTTGAATCCGTTCAATCAGCTTTTGAGGGTCAAGCTCTTCTTCGGACAAAGATATGCCATTGATCCAAAATTGAGAGTGACCAGGTTGTACGAAGCGTGTTGAATGATCATTGAGTAGCGCGTAAATAGGATCAGATTTTGAAACGTGAGCAGAATAATGCGACAAAGCTGCTGCGTAAATAGGAAAGTCCGACGTCAGTGCCAATAGCGTTGACAGAGGATCTTTGGACTCTAGAATAAACTTGGAGGTAGCTTGGCCTAAGTAAATAAAGTCAGGAGCACTCAGATTGCTTTGTATTTGGACAGCCTCTTGAATGGAAGGGTGCGATTTGGTCTTAGAGCGTTGGTAAAGTTGCCTTAAGAGATCAGCACGCATTTCACTTATGGGATCTTCCAAATGTTCAGAATCTTTGTTTGCGGAGTGTTGCAGGTCCACTTGGCGGTCATCTAAGACCAGATAGTCCACTTTCTTGAGATGTAAGGACGTGCCAAAACTAGAAATATATGGCATTGACTTTCGGAGCTCCACTCGAGCCACAGAAGGGCGCCAACGCAGAACGTACGTAAAAGGCTGCTCCTCTGCCAGGCTCATAAGCATATTGTGAAAGTTCAAGAATGACTCAGAATAAGGGTCAGCATAGAGGATTGCAATATATCTTGCTGGATGCAAAGTCGGGTATGCATGATCCTGAGGGTGAGCAATAGGCGATCCGTGCACTGTTTGATTCAAGGTGAGGCGCGCTTCCTCAGGGGAACAGATAGCGCGCCCATTGAAGTGGACAAACGTAGCGCAAGAAGGGCTAAGTGCCTTGATCTCTTTACTGGTGTTATACACTTGATAATGTGCTTCGACACTTGCGGCAGACCAATGTTGTGCGACGTTCACGTGCCACTCATCCAGGACCTCTCGGTATTGTGACACTTCCTGTTCGGCCAAATAGTCAATAATGGCTGACTTAACCCACTCAAAGGTTTCTTTCTGGGTATAATGAATAAAGTGGTCTGCTGTCTCTTTAGACCATATTCTTGACACAATATGGAAAAAGTCGTGGGGCCATACTTGCCCCACCGCTTCGACCATCTCAAGCAATGGTGCAGCATGCAAAGCGCTTTCGGAATAGTTGTGCCAATGGTGACGCAATTTTACATGGACTTCATTCTCTGCACGGCCTCTAGATATACTGCAAAAAACAGCAAAAAGAACGGCCCAAGGTACCCACCACATGGCTGGAGGAGTCGGTGTAACACCGTAGCGTGGCCTCCATCTTCGTCACGTGCAAGTGTGCCAGTGGGGAAGGCGCGAGGCGTCGCTCCGTGCGTCCTCGATTGCATGCCGCGAGACCCTTTTCATGACTACGAACGGGACATTCGACAAGCCTTGCTAAAAGCGGAAAATCTAGCTAGTAAAGCAAGTTCTGATCCAAATATTAAATTAGCTCTGAAGAGCACCATCGATGGTCTGAAGCAGGATCTCCAAGATGTGAATGAGGCCATCCGTATTGTGGAACAAAGTGACGCTTCACGGTTTGGCATTGACTCTCCAGAACTCCAAAGACGCCATAAGTTTGTAAGGGAGAGTGAAACTGCTTTAAGAGTATGTGTTGAAGGCTGACCGAAGCGCCTTACTTTTGAACCTTCCGCTTCGGTGACTGCGACGTCTTCCTCTCTGGCGTGGGAACAAGAGCAACAAAAGATCCTCCTTGCCAACCAGGATCAAGCATTGGATACGATTGGAACATCGCTTTATACTCTGCGTGAGCAGGCTCATCTTATCGGGCAAGAAGCTAATGAACATGTCCTCATGTTGGGAGATCTAGATACAGACGTGGACTATGCTCACACGCGTCTCCAAGGGGCTATTCAGCGTATGGACAACTTGCTGGCACGGACAGACCAGCGGCTAGGAGGCTGGAGTGTATGGATCTTGATTGCTGTTTTACTATTGCTACTTTTAATTTTAGTTCTTATGTAGATACAGGCTATACAGAAACCACTGTCTTATTGTGCCTCGCCGAAATTGTCGTCGGGCTCATAATAGTAAGAGAGGCCAGATGAATCCTTACGACGGGTAGATGTGCGCTGTGAACGAGGCACAGGCTGTTCGGGAGAGTCTTCCGAGATGGGAATTTCATCGAGGTAGGGGTCAGGTATAGCGGGCGCTGCACGGGTAGTGTGGCGGTAGTGAGGCATGTTTGTGTCTGCGAGTGTCCAGTCAGATGCGGGCGTACGATCAACCGTAGAGCCATCTTCTTGCCTTGACTGAAGCGGGTGCGAGCCCGGCATCATAGGCGATCCCAGGTAGGGGCTCTCCTCCGATCGCTTCTGATGCTTAGGTAGTAAGTGAACCGACGAAAGCGACATGTCGGTGTGGGAATATGGCGTGTGCGGTTGAGATACAGCATCTAGGTTTCCTGTACTGCTAGGTGGCCTTGCAGGGTGGGACATGGCATTGGTAAGTTCGGCGCCAATGCTGTGTGGGACATTCACCGCCAACGCAGGCGCTTCGACTTGCATTGTGCCTGGAGGTACAACAAGTTCACTTTCTGGATCCGTTGCGGAGGTAGTGGCAGCCGCTTTCTTGCTCTGACGGCCCTTTCCAAACTTGTATATCCGGAAGAGCCAAAACATACCAAAGACAAGCGCCGTGTTGAAAGCAATATATGCACAGATAATACCCAAGTCACGATACTTTCCACTAGCACGCATTTCAACCGACGTCAGGTAATCATCACCATAGCGGAAGCGACAGAAGCCACAGTTGTTATTGGGCAATACTTCGAAGTATCCAACCCCTCGGGTTCCGTTTCCTCTTGCGGTGGTGAAGCCATTCAAATATGTCGCGCAGTCCTGGTCCGCAGGCGGAATGATCTCCTGCAGTTCGTCTGCCGCACAATGCACTTCGCTACCACCAACGGCATTACCGAGAATACCCTCCATAATCCAAGTAAAGGGACTCAGTCGGAACATCCATGAACGCCAAAATGTCGGTAGTTGGGGCGGCGGTTGAACCACACCACAGAATAGGATCACGAAAGAAAAGAATGTAGAGAAGAGAATAGAAGAGATCATAGCATTGGGGCTGATCGCAGCCATTGACTGGGCGAACGTGCAGTAGAAGAACTGAAAGAGCATATAGATACCCCAGCTGTATCCCGCATGCTTTGAGTCCGTTGGGTATTTTATAAGGTAGTACCAAGGAATCCAATATATGGATCCGCCAATGATATTCCAAGGTATTTCGACAAGCATGGCACTTAAGACCATCACTGGCCAAGCATACATCTTGGATGGCTTCTCACGCACCTCATAAAGACCACGGAATCGGATAAACTCAGGTTGTAAATGTTGGGAGAGCGATGTGGCCGCAACCAAAGCGAGGAAACACGCAAAGAGACGGTTTTGCAGGGCAATAATAGTGAACTCTTGTCCTTGTTTCCAAAAGCTCGACCCAACAACCAGCCCAGATACCACATTAAGCATCATTTTCGTGTAGAGATACAGGGGATTGCGCCAGTATGAAACAAAGGCACGCTTTGTAACTTGATAGAGCTGCACACCAAACGGTTGAGCATACTCGCGAGTCGACTGAGCAGATGAATCGTCAGCAGTAGCACGTTTGCTGCTGTAAATCTTGGCGAGGTCCTGCTGCAAAGCCTGGTACTGCTCACTCTGCAAGAACAGTTCATGCCAGTTCTTGTCCGTCGTTGCCGTCGCACCCGCACCAATGACGTCCAGAATATACTCGGCAGGATTCGCATTCTCGTCACAGCGCACTCCACTTCGCTTCTCGAAGTAGTCAATGAGGGTCCGCGAGTTTGGTCCGAGATCACCAAAATACACCGTCTTACCACCCTTCTGTAGCAGCAAAAGACGGTCGAATTGGTTGAACAGCTCACCACTGGGTTGGTGGATCGTACACAGAATAGCTTGACCTTCGGCCGCCAGTTTCTTTAGGAAGCGCACAATTGACCAAGCGGCTTGTGCATCAAGACCCGAAGTAGGCTCGTCAAGGAACAGCAGCAGACTGGGTTTGGCCGCAAGTTCTACACCAATCGTCAATCTCTTGCGCTGCTCGACGTTTAAGCCTTCACCAACTTCACCCACCAGTGCGTCAGCAAAGGATTGCATCTCCAAAAGCTCAATAACTGTCTCGACGTAAGCAAGGCGCTCCTCCTTGGGCGTCTCCCGAGGCTGCCGTAGCATTGCAGAAAATTGGAGGGCTTCGCGAACTGTGTGCTGAGCCAAATGTACATCTTGCTGTTGGCAATAGCCAGTATCAGCTTGGAAGGACTTTGGTAAGGGCTTTCCATTGACCAAAAAGTCACCTTTCACGACACCAACATCCACACGCTGGGCCAAGACATTGAGAAGAGTAGTCTTACCGGCGCCACTCTCACCCATCAGTGCAGTCATTTTACCTGGTGCCACATAACCCGACACACGGTTCAAAAGACGACGAGGCTTGCCCTTGATGAGCACATCATAGGTGATCTTATCCCAGCTGAACACCGACTCGGAGACCTTCAGATGACCGCCTGCAGCTTGGGTATCACGCAAAGTCGAGTTATGTTCGACTTGTGAACCAATGGCTCCATGCTCGAGCGCCTTCTCTTGATCATCCTGTTGGATCTTATCAATGTTAAGCTTTTTGGCTTTTGAACGCTCAAAAAGCATGGCACCACCCATAGCCGCAGGGTCCACTTGGTGATTGGAAGCATACAGGTACATAATGACGAAGAAAATCCAAAATGCAATGATGATACCTGCGTTACGACTTCGATTGTCCCAATAGAACTGGTACATCAGGTCGAGATACCTCTCACCGCTCACCATGGGATTACCTGGTTCGGCACCGGTAATAGGGCACACCTTGTTTGCATTCGGTCGGGCGTTGAAGCTTGTGTCAGGAGATACATCAAATGGCACCATTTGGGTGCATCTGAAATATTTGTTGCGGTACTCATTGGCAAGCAAAATTTCAAAGCCAAAAGCCACTGGATTGCAATACGAGAGCCACTTCCACCACGGACGCATAGATGGGCGCGGAATCATATAGCCCGTGTACAAGGCCACATCCAGTACTGCCAGACCACCGAACGTAGTAGCCAATGGCTCCGACTTGGTTGATGCAGCCACCATGCGGAAAAAGGCCGTCATACAGTATGTCACAAGAGCAGTAACGCCGAAATAGGTAAAGAATTTGCCTGCATCTGCGCTGAGACCTGTCATCCAGTACACGATGATATCAAACACAACAATTGATATCATGCGAATAGGGAAGTCCAAAATTGTATTGCCTAGTGCATCCGCAGACGGATGAAGCATAGCAAAACGCTTTTGACGGATAACGATCGGGCGTTGTTCATAGCAAAGAGCAATTTCAGACATACCCGTGAACGAATTGTACAGCAAAGAGAAGAAAAGCACACCACCACGAGAGAAAAATCCGGATGTATCAGGGGGCATTTGATAGAAAACTGACCCAATAATCAGCGCTTGGAACAAAGCCGCAAGAATCACCGTAATGTGCGTACCCATATCACCCATCGCAACCTGATAACGACGCTTGAGCGCAAGCCGCACTTGCATAGGCCATGACAGAAGGTACCGGCTCTTATGTGATGTATGCTTTGCTCTTTCATCGCGCGCAAGATCCACATACTTGTTTGCGTTTTGCTTCGTTTGACGATCCATCATTAAAGCAATGTAATTGTCCACCTCAGCTCGGTTGGCTTCACCAACCCAGGACTCACGGAAAGCGCGAGCCTGCTCATCTGGCGAACGCGGCACAGGTCCAGAAAATTGCGGATCGATATTCTGTCCCGTTATGTCGGTGCACGCGACTAAAAAGTCAGCCGTCGTTTGGCGATCTAGAGGCGCAAACCCAATGGATCGGAAGTAGTCCACAGCGCAGTTCACCGGCCCAAAGTAAACAAGTCGGCCTTGATTGAACAGAGCAACCTTGTCGAAAAGCTGTGTGATATTTTCACCTGCTTGGTAAATGCTAGCCACTGTTGTACAGCTGGCAATGTTGGTCTGAATTCGCAAGGCCTGAACAAACTCTAGGGCCGTTGATGAGTCAAGACCACGCGATGAGTTGTCGTAGAGGGCAATCTTTGCACGGGCGGCCATGGTTTCAGCGATAGAAACACGTTTGCGTTCACCACCGGACACACCGCGAATCATATCGTTACCAACCTTTGTGTTGTAGGTGTGACGAAGACCTAGGATTGTAGCAAGCACTTCCCGAGTCAGGTCAATATATTCGCGACGGTCACCATTTTCACCAAGAGTGACACGATATTTGGCATTGGGTGCACGCGTGGCGCTAGCAAACCGAAGTGTTTGACCAACGGTGAGTGTCGGGAAATGAACATCGTCTTCAGGTGAATAAACCACATCACCACGCAATGGACCCTCGATGCTGCGATAGTCCAGTCCCTCATAGAGGACTGTCCCATCTACGCTCCGAAATCCATCACGGTATGATGCCAGTGCCTTCAAGAACGATGTGCATCCACTGCCAGGGCGGCCAAGCACAAGGAGCATCTCGCCAGGCTTCACACAACCCTCGACATCCACTAGAATGTTTTTCACGGGCCGATGGAGCATGCTTTGGATGGCCGAAACAATTCGGATCGGTGAAAGTAAAAGTGAACCAAAGGTCTCGTTTAGCTGTACACCAGTTCCAAAGCCTGTGACACGTAAATCTCGGAATGCAATACCCATCGAACGGTGCACGTTACCGCGCTCTTCCGACTGGGTATATGTCTCATGAAGCATACGAGCCAGGTCGAACTTACTATTCTCATCGAACGGATTGGGCGTGAGGGTGGGATCTTCTTTCTCAGGCCTAGAATTCTCCATCATAGGTGTTTGTAGCAAATGAGGAGAAAAGGCATCCGAGCTGTGGTCCAACTCCTTCATCGGTACACTGGGAGAACCTGCCACGGGCGTGGCAAACGCTTCACCGTAATTCTGTTTTGCTGCACGATTTTGTGTTCGAGTTGATAGTCTTCGGGATAGCTCTTGGACACCTTGTGGATCAAGCACATTGATAGGCACCGACTTGCGGCTAGCTGACCGCCTGCGGTTATAGAGGTCGTAAGGAGTGCCGTTGTTAACGTGCTGACTGTAATGTTGGCGCGGCGTAGCAAATCGTTGTCCTCGATCGCCCGAGTACTCGTTAATATCCGACTCAGCCGTGACGAGAGGCCGTGTGCGACTTTGTGAGAAGCTTTGCTCTGACACTTCATAGTTCGCCATATCACGATCAAGCCGCTGCAAAGGAATTTCAGTATCAGTGGAAGACTGATAAGATGCGACTGGTGGATATACTTCTAAGGACGGCTCCAGTCCAAGACCATCGCGTCCGAACATGATCGCTGCGCGTTCGCACTGGTCGTCCACGCAAGCGATGGTTCAGGAGCAGCGGAAAGTTCTTTTGGCCGACCTACGTTCACAGGTACTCCACCGCCTCTAACGCACAGTCCACGGGCATGCCGCATCATGTGCATGAGATGTTGAATAATATTATAGGACATTATTTGGTGCCAGTGGAATTTATCCAACGAAGCATACACTGTGTGCAAGGAACCTCTAGACATTAGATAATTGAGCATCAAGCCAACCAATGCCTTGCGTAATCGGGACTTCAAGTATGCCCGATTCACCGCGTCTCGCGGCGGGTCTGACCAGGCAACCTTGATGCTCAAAAGTGCAGCCTTGACGCACACAAGTTGTGGCCGGGTTGGGATAGGTCTACAAAACTAAAGATGGACATCGATACAGAGTAATTCCCCTAAGCATGTTTAACAACTTCTGCAGATGAGGCAGAGTCAGACGTGCTCTTCTGCTTTACCTTCTTCCATTTGTGTACACGGAACAGATAGTACAACCCAAATAGAAGTAGAACATTGAAAGCCACATAGGCGAATACAATACCAATGTCTCGGAACCGGTATGAAGAATTGAGTAAGATGGAGCTCATATAATCTTCTCCGCTGCTCATAACACAGTAGCTACACTGGCCGTTATTTTCGGTATAATAGCCGCGGCCTGGTTGAATAGGCTCTTCCAGAGAATTTGTGAAATTGCCCATGTACTCAGAACACGACATACCAGCGGGAGGGTTGACAGGGTTAAGCTCCTTTTCCGTGCAGATGACTGGTTTGTCGTGAATGACGTTTCCAAGGAGTCCTTCAATAAAGTAAGTGAAGGGACTAAGGTGAAACATCCACGAGCGCCAAAAGTAAGGCAATTGCATCGGAGGTTGCATGACGCCACAGAAAACAATCACAAAAGAAAAAAGTGTCGAGAATAGCACCGAGGCAACCATTGCATTAGGAGCGATTGCCGCTAGAGCCTGTGCAAACGAACTGAAATATATTTGGAACACCATGTATAAGCCCCAACTGTATCCTGCACGCGATCCTTCATTGCCAAACTGTATCATGAAATACCAAGGAATCCAAAAGAGAGTACCACCAATCATATTCCAAGGAATCTCCACAACAAGCTGGCTGCACAAGAGTACAAACCAGTTGTATAGCTTAGACGGGCCTTCGCGGGCTTCAAACAAGTCACGGTGCCTGATAAACTCTGGCTGGAGCTGCTGAGACAGTGACGTAGACAAAACCATGGACATGAATGTAGCGAAAAGCTTGTTCTGAAGACCCGCTTGAGATACATTCTGACCTTGGCCCCAGAAACTAGAACCGACAAAGAGCCCACCGAATATATTCAAGGAAATTTTTGATACCAAATAAGTTGGATTCCGCCAGTATGACAAGAACATTCGGCGAGTGCAGCTAATAAGCTGGACCATGAATGGCTGGGCATATTCGCGATTGAGCTGCGACGCTGTAGTTTCATCCTTCTCCTCTTTGAAACCTCGCACGTCAATCGCATCAAGCTCACGCTGCAGCTCCTCATACAGCTCACTCTCGCGGAAAAGCTGGAACCAGTTCTTGTCCGTCGTTGCCGTCGCACCTGCACCAATGACGTCCAGAATATACTCGGCAGGATTCGCATTCTCGTCACAGCGCACTCCACTTCGCTTTTCGAAGTAGTCAATGAGGGTCCGCGAGTTTGGTCCGAGATCACCAAAGTACACCGTCTTACCACCCTTCTGTAGCAGCAAAAGACGGTCGAATTGGTTGAACAGCTCACCACTGGGTTGATGGATCGTACACAAAATAGCTTGACCAGAAGAAGCCAGTTTTTTTAAGAAGCGAACCACGGACCATGCGGCCTGTGCATCAAGACCCGACGTAGGCTCATCCAGGAACAGCAGTAGCTTAGGTTTCGCAGCTAGCTCCACACCAATCGTCAGTCGCTTGCGCTGCTCCACGTTAAGTCCCTCACCCACATTGCCGACAATGGCATCCGCAAATGATTGCATCTCCAAAAGCTCAATCACCGTTTCAACGTATGCCAAGCGCTCTTCCTTCGGCGTTTCACGAGGCTGTCGAAGCATTGCGGAGAATTGCAAGGCTTCACGCACCGTTTGCTCAGTCATGTGTACGTCTTGTTGCTGGCAATAACCGGTATCGGCCTGGAATGATTTGGGCAGAGGTCGGCCATTGACCAAGAAATCACCGGTAATCACACCGACGTCCACGCGCTGAGCCAGAACATTCAACAAGGTCGTTTTACCCGCACCACTCTCACCCATGAGAGCCGTCATTTTACCAGGCGCGACATAGCCAGAGACATCCTCCAAGAGACGACGAGATTTTCCTTTAATCATAATATCGTAGTTGATATGTTGCCAACTAAATATCTCATCAGAAACATCGAGCCGACTCTTGACTGCTGGAATCACATCTTGTTTGGTTTCCGAGGAGCTGATATTGGCCGCGTGCAGGTTTTCCGGGCTGTCCTCCATTTTTGCAAGTTGTTCTCGAGACACCTTTCCACGCTTGAAAACCATAACACCACTTGAGGCTGCCGGGTCGGTTTGGAACTCCGATGCTACCATGTAAGATATCACAAAGAAGACGAAAAAACCAATGATAATACCGACATTTCGGTCTGTATTTTCCCACCTGTATCCATATGCATAGTCCAAATAGCGAGCCGTGTCTATTTTTGACGTGCCAGGCTGGGATCCAGGCACAGGACAGACCCTATTGGCCATGTCAGCTTGAGGATAAGGCGGAACCAATTCGTTTGGAAGACATGACATGTCCTTATTGCGGAACTCATTCGACAGTAGAACCTCATAGGCAAATGCAATAGGATTGCAATATGAGAGCCACCGCCACCAGACGACCATAGAAGGGCGAGGAATCACGAAACCAGCATACAGCGCCGTGTCAATAATAACCAATCCAGATAACATGGTAGCCATAACTTCATGGCTGAAGACAGCTGTTAGAAAACGAAAGAAGGTCACCATTGTGAACGTAACCAGCAAGACCATGAAGAAAAAAATGAAAAATTTCCCTGCATCGTAGGATAGGCCTGTCATAAAGTACAAGATGATATTAAAGCAGGCAATGGCGGTCGCACGAACGGGTATATCGAGCAAAACATTCGCTAAAGCATCGGCTGCGGGACGAAGCATTGCAAAACGTTTTTGCCGGATCACCACAGGGCGTTGCTGATAATTATTTGGGATTTCAGCCATGGCAGAGAAGCTGTTATACAGTAATGCAAAGAACATCACACCACTGCGAGAGAATAATGCAGCTGAGCTGTTATCCATCTGAAAGAAGACCGAACCCATAATAAAAGCTTGGAATGTCATAGCACATGTTAAAATAATCGTTGTAGAGCGATCGCCCCACGATATTTGAGCGCGACGCTTGATAGCGAGCCGGATTTGTTGAGGCCACGACAACGTATACATGCTTTTTTTCGATACACCACGCGTTCTCCATTCACGAGTCTCGCTCATCCTTGCGGACAATTCATCTTGAGACCTGCTCTCCATTTCGTCGATGTACGCATTCACCTCTCTCACGTTGGCCTGACCCACAGAAGACGCAAGAAATGCAGCTGCCATGTCGGACGGAGTTAATGGCACATCTTGAAAGTCAGGATTCAACCGTCGCGCAACTGGGTCTGTGCAGGAAACAAGAAAGTCAGATGTTGTCTGCCGATCGTGGGGAAGATACCCTATCGACTTGAAGTAGTCAGCCGCTTGGTCCACTGGGCCAAAATATACGGAGTGCCCTTTGTTTAGGACAAGCACTTTGTCGAATGTTTGCGTGATCGTCTCGCCCGCCTGATACATACTCGAGATAGTCGCCGCATTTGTAACTTCAGTGGCAATTCGGAGTGACTGGACAAACTCGAGTGCTGTGGAAGAGTCGAGACCACGCGACGAATTGTCAAATAGCAAGATCGAAGCATGCGATACAAGCGCTTCACCAATACTAACACGCTTTCGCTCGCCACCAGATACGCCCCGTACAAAAGAGTCGCCGACAACTGTATTGTAAGTATGGCGCAGACCTAAAATTGTTGCGATAGCTTCACGGAAGAGTTCGGCATATGTTTTGCGTGCAGAAGTGCTGTCGAAAGTACCACGAAACTCGGAACGCGGTGTTCGTGCCGCCGCAGCGAAAGATAATGTGTCCTTGACAGAGAGGGTTGGAAAGTGCATATCATCTTCAGGGGTGTATACAACCTCACCTCGAAGAGGTCCATCGATCATTTTGTGATCAAATCCACCATAAAGTACCTTGCCTTCAATGCTTCGATATCCCTCACGATAGGACGACAAAGATTTGAGAAACGTGGTACATCCGCTTCCAGGACGACCCAGCACCAAAAGCATTTCACCGGGCTTTACGCATCCAGTTACATCTTGTAGAATTTCTTTGACATGTGGCCGCAGTAGGTCCTTTAAGAATGTGTGAATGCGCAGTGGAAATGTTAAAATAGAGCCTAAATCTGAGCTTAGCTTAGTGCCAATGCCATATCCGGTCACATGTAGATTCTGGAAAGCAAGACCCATGCTTGGCACTTGATGCCCGTGTTCCCTTTGAATCTGAAGCTGGTAGTGCAAAAAGGCTCCTAGATCAAATCGTTTATCTTGGTCAAAAGGATTAGCACTTCGATGAGACTGCATCTCGACATCCCCTGACGACATCGCCTGAACCTGCTGTTGTTTATCTGCCTCAATAAACTTTTCGGATATATCAGAGACGCCGATGGGGTCCAAGATGGTGATCGGCAATCCTTTGGATGAATATATGGTCGGATGCGTGGCTAGAGATACTCCAGGAGTACTCGTATGCACCTGTTCAAGCGGCTTCTGATTCTGCATAGATTCAGATGGTTCCACAAACTTGTCATGGAACCCGGAGTGAACAGGCAATGTGCCCGACACAGATCCGAGCAAACCAGCACCCTCAATAGGAGGCGGGATTTCCTCAGACATTGTATTTGACCAACTGTGCTGTACACAAAACCAGTGGTCTCTCGTTAACGCAGTGCCAGGCTGTAGTCTGGAGGTGCACGAACTTGCTTACCAGTAGTATAACCTCCACCACCTCTTCACAAAGCGGCACCAATGAAAGCGAATTGTTCCAAAACTCCGCGGAGTTACATACTTGGCTCGAAAACCTCAGTTCCCTACAAAAGAATAGCCAGTCAGCAACAATAATGAAGCGTCTATTTCGTACTATCCCTTATTGTTTGATGTCTTTCGACACAGGTTCATTAGCAGGGATTTTAACCTCTTTGTCCTGTTTGGAATCACGCTTTTTCGTTTTGATGTTCTTCCATTTAAATACGCGAGCAACATAGTAGAGAGCAAAGTATAAGAGGATGTTGAAACCAATGTAGCCAAAGATAATACCAATATCACGATCACGATAGCTAGGGTTCATCTTGATCGACCGCATATAATCAGCAACCGAATTGACAGGGCAGAACTGGCATTCGCCTGCTGGTCCGGTAGTGTAATAACCATGACCCGGACTGAGAGGTTGGTTCAGCGAGTTGGTATAGCCGCCCATATGAGCGTCACAAGACATGCCTTGTGGCGGAATGACGGTGTTTAACTCGTCAGAAGAACAAACAACGACCTGGTCGGATGCTGTATTGCTCAGCATACCTTCCACGAAATACTTGAAGGGACTCAGATGGAACATCCACGACCGCCAGAAATAGGGCATCTGTGGCGGAGGCTGGACCACACCACAGAATGTCACAATAAACGAAAAGGCCGTTGAGAAGAGCACCGAGGCAACAAGACCATTGGGACTGATAGCGGCCAGGGCCAGAGCGAATGTACAGTACCAAAGTTGGAAGAGCATGTAGAACACCCAACTAAGGCCAGTTCGTTCGCTTTCGTGACCAAATTGTACCATGTAATACCAGGGAATCCAGAAAAGGGTCCCGCCTAGCAAATTCCAAGGAATCTCAACGATCAACTGGCTCAGAAGGAAAACAAGCCAGTTGTACAGCTTCGATGGTCCCTCTCTAGTCTCAAACAAGTCACGTTGGCGCAAAAACTCGGGCTGCAACTGCTGAGCCAGCGAAGTAGATACAACCAGTGTCATGAACGATGCAAAAAGTTTGTTTTGCAATCCGGCTTGCGAAAACTCATTCCCTTTACCCCAGAATGTGGACCCAATAAAGAGACCACCGATAATATTCAACATCAACTTGGCACAGATATAGGAAGGGTTACGCCAGTACGACAAGAACATTCGGCGAGTGCAGCTAATAAGCTGGACCATGAATGGCTGGGCATATTCACGATTAAGCTGCGACGCTGTAGCCGCATCATGTTCCTCGTTGAGTTTTCGCCCATCGATCGCATCAAGCTCTCGCTGCAGCTCCACATACAGCTCGCTCTCGCGGAAAAGCTGGAACCAGTTCTTGTCCGTCGTTGCCGTCGCACCCGCACCAATAACCTCCAGAATATACTCGGCAGGGTTTGCATTCTCGTCGCAGCGCACTCCACTTCGCTTCTCGAAATAGTCAATGAGGGTCCGCGAGTTTGGTCCGAGATCACCAAAGTACGCTGTCCTACCACCCTTCTGTAGCAGCATGAGACGGTCGAATTGATTGAACAGCTCACCACTGGGTTGATGGATCGTACACAGAATAGCTTGACCTTCGGTCGCCAACTTCTTCAGGAAGCGCACAATCGACCACGCGCCCTGTGCATCAAGACCTGACGTAGGCTCATCCAGGAACAGCAGTAGCTTCGGTTTCGCAGCTAGCTCCACACCAATCGTCAGTCGCTTGCGCTGCTCCACGTTAAGTCCCTCACCCACATTGCCGACAATGGCATCCGCAAATGATTGCATCTCCAAAAGCTCAATCACCGTTTCAACGTATGCCAAGCGCTCTTCCTTCGGCGTTTCACGAGGCTGTCGAAGCATTGCGGAGAATTGCAAGGCTTCACGCACCGTTTGCTCAGTCATGTGTACGTCTTGTTGCTGGCAATAACCGGTATCGGCCTGGAATGATTTGGGCAGAGGTCGGCCATTGACCAAGAAATCACCGGTAATCACACCGACGTCCACGCGCTGAGCCAGAACATTCAACAAGGTCGTTTTACCCGCACCACTCTCACCCATGAGAGCCGTCATTTTACCAGGGGCAACAAAGCCAGAAACATTGTCCAAAAGGCGCCGAGGCTTTCCCTTAATCGAAACATCATAGTTGATGTTCCTCCAGCTGAATACTTCGTCAGACACAGCAAGTGCGTCATCCGTGCGGTTTTCTTTTTGCTCGACTGCAGTGCTCTGTTGTCCGTTATCTTGCACGTGTTCAGGATTGCTCACAAGACTCTTAAGTTCCCGTTTCGACACCTTACCACGCTTAAAGATCATGACGGTGCCTGAAGCTGGATCTCTCTGGAATTCTGACGCAACCATATACACGATGATATTGAAAATGAAAAAGCCAATGATAATCCCGACATTACGATGCGCATTAGACCACTCATACCCATATTTGATGTCCAAGTAGCTTGAAGGGTCGATTAGCATGGTCCCGGGTCTGTTGCCCAATACAGGACATACTTGGTTCGCAACTGCCGCGCCAGGTGGGATCATTTCTTCTGGTGTGCACGACATAACCTTGCCGCGGAACTCATTTGTCAACAGAATCTCAAAGGCGAAAGATACAGGATTGCAATACGACAACCAGCGCCACCACACAGGCATAGAAGGACGAGGAATAGCAAAGCCCGTATACATACCCACGTCAAGGACAATAATGCCAGCAATCATCGTCGCAAAGGCCTCTGAGCGGAACAAGGAGGCAATGGCACGGAATAAAGTAACCATGGTAAATGTGGCAAGCAGAACCAGCCAGAAAAAGATGAAGAATTTGCCAGCATCAACTGATAGACCCGACATGAAGTATAATATAATGTTGAACAGCGTCATAGGCATAAAGCGAGTAGGGATATCCAGAAGAACATTGGCAAGACTATCAGCAGCAGGCCTAAGCATAGCAAAACGCTTGTGACGAATCACGATAGGTCGTTGCTGATAGTTGGCAGGTACTTCGGCCATGGCCGAAAAGATGTTGTAAAGCAACGCAAAGAAGAGAACACCACTACGCGAGAACATAGCCTGCGAGTCATCGGCCATCTGGTAGTAGGCAGAACCCATGATCAAAGATACAAAAATGACGGAGCCAGACAGAATCACAGCCGTCTGCCAATCACCCACAGAAATTTGAGCTCGACGCTTTATAGCTAGTCGAATTTGTTGAGGCCAAGAGAGCATGTACATACTCTTCTTTGAAACACGACGCGTGCGTTGCCCCCGAGTCATGTTCATATGAGCCAGCATTTCATCGTGAGACTTGTTCTCCATCTCAGCCATATACGCATCCACTTCGGCGATATTGGCCTGACCAATTTTCGACATGCGGAAAGCCGCCGCCATCTCCTCCGGTGTCTGTGGTACCTCGGTAAAATCAGGGTTTATTTGACGCGCCGTTGGATCAGTTACTGCCACCAAAAAGTCCGACATAGTCTGCCGGTCATACGGAAGATAGCCAATTGATTTGAAGTGGTCAACAGCCAGCCCCACAGGACCAAAGTAGATACAGTGCCCACGGTACAGTAGAGCCACTTTGTCAAATGTCTTTGTAATACCATCGCCCGCCTGGTATATACTGGATATCGTAGTAGCGTTAGCCACATCAGTCGCAATACGGAGCGACTGAACGAATTCCAGCGCCGTGGACGCGTCAAGACCCCGTGATGAGTTGTCAAACATGAGAATCGATGCACGCGAAGCAAGGGTTTCACCAATACTGACACGCTTGCGCTCGCCACCAGATACACCACGGACGTAAGAGTTGCCAACGATGGTGTTGTATGTGTGGCGCAACCCTAGAATCGTGGCAATAGCTTCACGGAATAGTTTGGTGAATTCCTTGCGATTACCTTTGTCTTTAAATGTTCCGCGGAACTCTGAGCTGGGCGTGCGAGAAGACACAGCAAATGCCAGAGTATCTTTCACAGTGAGTGTTGGGAAATGCACATCATCCTCAGGCGAATAAACGACCTCACCACGGAGCGGCCCTTCTATCATCTTGTGATCGAAACCATCGTACGTGACCTTGCCTTCAATGCTGCGGTAACCATCCCGATACGATGCCAAAGAGCGCAGCAGCGTGGTGCAACCACTGCCCGGTCGTCCCAAGACAAGAAGCATCTCACCAGGCTTCACACATCCTGTGACATCATGCAGGATACCTTTTGTAGGCCTTTTAATAAAATCGGTTATCATACCAACAAGACGGAAAGGAAGCGTCAAAACTGTTCCCACATCGACACTGAGGGTTGCACCGAGGCCATAGCCTGTGACCGTAAGATTTTTAAAAGCTAGACCCATTGAGGGCAGCTCTCGACCACTGTTGGCACGCTGCGTGTCCAGCTGGTGTTCAATGAAGCCAGCCAGATCGAAGTTACCATCATGAAACGGATTGGCATGACCCGAGGCCTCTTGAGGCTGCAGCTCGAGGTCACCAGCTGACATGGTGCGAGACATACGAGTCTTTTCCGCCTCCTTCACACGTTCTTCCATGTCGTGAACGCCCACAGGATCCAGCAAATGCACCGAGTGGCCGTAGCGAGTGACATACTCAGAGGGAGCTGTGCCAGACACAGTGTATTCATTTATAGAATTGAGGGGTGACACGCTATGCTTTTCTTCGCCTTGATGTTCCAGGGCCGTAGTAGCCTCATGCGTGTCGACGGACCCATCAACTAGGGTTCCGCTTGTGCGACAACCATAAACTGGGTCTGACCCTGAAGAGTTTAAAACAAAAGGCTCTTGAGGTCCATGGGAAGGTCCCAAAGAAGCCGTCCCATCGCCGCCCATTGTTAGTGTGTCGCCCGTGTAAAAAATTGGGGGCTCTGGTTGCAGGCTCATTTAAAGTCAACAGGCGGCGGATGTGGCTGAGGAATCGGCAGTCACTCATGCGCTTTTTTGGCGTCGCGGCGTTCGGACATAATCCTAACGAGGATTTGTTTAGCGCTTTGGCATTCAGCGGCCAATGAAAATCCACAACGTGAACCAGAATATGGAACTTATGTAATGACCATCAGATAATGTACATCAGGTCCGCGGATTACAGTGACGCCCGGTAGCGTGGTGCGATGACGGACTAAGCATGAAAAATACTACTTTCTCAAACTGCGGTGCAGGGCGTTGAGGAACTTCGTCGCAGCACTGCGTTCAAATCGAATCTGCTCTAGGAAGTGATCTGGCATGTTCTCCGAGGCCAACAGACCAGCATCGCGAGACTCGTCCACATGCGGAATGTAAATGAAATCGTCTCGCGCTGGCGCAGCGTCGCCATGGGCTTCCTGCACTTGTGACAAGCGCGATTCCTCGAGGGAGAACTGTAGGTCTGATTGTGAGTTTCGCACACGTACTGAAGTAATCTGTGCCGGTGAAGACCATTTCATAGCGGCGACTGGATTGCGACGCGTCGTGCATGACAACCTCCGTAACGGTGAACCCAGTGAGGTCCTCGTACATGCGCCGGATCGCCAGCTCGTCCTCGCGGACAGCCTTTTCACTCTCAGCCGCCTGGAGCTGTGTCTCAAGCTGTGCGCGACGTAACGCCTCTTCCTCTAATGCCTGCTTGGCCTCGGCCAGCTTGTTGGTAAGAGAGGAGACTGAGTCAGTGATAAATGACACACCTTCCTTCTCAAGGTGTACAAGCTTGGATGAATCTGCTTCTGGTTCAGCTGGGCGATGTGACTCGCCATGGCGGTCCATTTCGCGTAACCGATGCTCCGCGTGTTCCGCGCGGTTTTTCCAAGCGGCCAGTGACTCGAGGGTGTCTGCCGTCAGGACGCCTTTACTTACGACGATGCCGAGTTTCGCTTGCCTTTTTCCATTCGACGAGCGTCTTTTCACTTTGTGTGACACGCAGCTCTTTCAGCCGGTCAAACTGGGCCTGGATGGCATCGCGCTCCCGAACCGCCTGTGTAAGAGGGAATCACACACCTGTAGTACACGTTCATTGTTATGGTTCTCATACTGAGACCGCAAATCCTGTAGTTTTTGCCAAAAGTCCTCTTCCGTACGCTGTGCATGTTCGGGATCCATGACTGACATGGGCTCGGGTTCACCAGCCTGTGTCTTGCGCAGCTTCGTAGGCGCAAAGCCAGAGGCTAGCGCGACGGTCCCCGCGGGCGGCGATGGCCGCGATGGACCCGCCATATCGTCACCCAAATCATCTGGTACAACAGATGCTCGCGCTATATGGGCCCGCGCACTTGGATCTTTTGGGGGGCGGCCCCTCCGTCCATGCACTTTTTGCTGGCCAAACGCCATGATGGGCGGCCTCGTCGCTGGCCCCATGCATGGCGGCCGTGTCGCGCGTCGCGTCTATCACGTGACTCTAAAGGAAGCGCCGGTGCACGGTCAGCTCGCGGTCGTGAATTGCGGAGATGATTTCCAAGGCGGCCGCGAAGCGCGTACGTGGCCCTGACTGACGAAAGCTGGGAAAAGAAGCCTCCTTGATGGAGAAAGACCCACCGCCCCTATGCTACGCTCGGCCCCGGGACGACGATCTCCTCGAGTGGTACGTGTCGCTGCTCACACAGGCACTTTATCTTGCGTGGACCGCCGGGCACGCCGTACGAGGGTGGCGAGTACTGGGGCCAGCTTCTCTTTCCTGAAGATTATCCATTCAAGCCACCGTATGTATCAGAGACTAATGCAGGGGCATCAAGCTTCAGACACCAAGCGGTCGATTTGAACCGGATACCAAGATCTGCACGGTAGGTCGACCGCCTGACACCAGTCCATGAGTGACTACCACCCTGGCAGTTGGAACCCTGCATGGTCTGTGGCGAGCATGTACGTGACGGAGACTTACACAAGTCTGATTGGACTGCTTTCTTTTATGTGCACGGACGAAATGACCGCTGGCTCCGTCATGGCTACGCCCCGCGAGAGGCGACTGCTCGCGGCCAAGTCGCATGCCTTTAATATATCGCAGCGCCGCTTTGCACAACTGTTCCCCGACTACATGGGACCGATGCCGCGGGATTTGCCCAACATGTCACGCCCAGCGAGTGTGGCCGCCAACCCCGCGCCGCCGCAGGTCCAGCCCGAAACGCCGCCTGCGCACCCCACCGCACCGGATGCCGCCGCTCGTGCGCCGGTGCCGGCGGCGCCGGAGCCCCAGTGGAGCGTGAGGCACGTCGCGATCTCAGCGTTCGTCGTACTCACAGGTCTCTTTGCTGTAAAGCTAGTAGAAATGCTCAAGGCCAAGTAGACTACAAATCAAGATCGTCATCGGGGTCTTCGTCGTCTTCGTCGTCTTCGCGCTCAGGCTCAAAGAAGATCGACGTCTGCCCTGTCGAGCCCCGCCATGCGCTGCCACTCTGTGGCTCTTCCTGAAGTTGATAGGCGTACGGTAGTGGCACCTGATCACGCCGCTCACGCTGCTGCGCTGTTTCCTGAAGATTGAAAGGCAGCTGCTGCACCATCGAGCTGTGCTGGGCTTCGGGGACCGGCTCCATGGCTCCACTCGTGTCGAGACTTCTGATGCGCAGTCGCTTCGCCGCATCAAAAGCACAGAGCGTCAGCTCGCTGAGCTTCTTGCCGCTGGAGAGTGAAGCATGGATTTCAAGGAAGATGTACCCTCGTGCCTCGCCTTGCAGGGTCGACCACGACACAACGGGCTGTGAGGGCCGCGCGTCGCCGTCTAGGAGGTCAGCAGAGTGCAAGCACAATGGCTGCGCCATAGTGCCCCACCAGCCCGTGCTGCTCGGCGAGTCAACGAGTCCGAGCGGCCCACGCCGCGTGCAATTATGGAGTACGGTCCAGAAGCGCATGTCCGGCGCCGTGTCGGTGGCTGGCGCCGCCGCGTGAGTGTCAGGGAGGCCCGCCTCTTCGAATGCGGCGCGCCGTGTCGCATGTCCTGATGACGGAGGTAAGAGTCCGTACGTCTTGTGTATATGCTGCAGTAAGGCCGGCGGTTGTACGCGGACCCACACTGTCGCGTGGGACCAGGGCGGCCCCGGCAGGGCATCGTGCACGGGGTCGTGGCTGGCCCAGGTCTGCGGGGAATGAAGCGCTGCTGCGAGCTTCGATGCGGACGTGCTAGGATCGCTGTCAAGACCCACAACGAGACGCGAGTAGCGCGGCAAAAGGTTCAGAATGCGAGGAAGGAACATGTAGGCCTCACGTACGCTGCACTGCGTAGCATCGAACATGGCATCGAGTGAGTCGACAACGAGCGTAACGGGTCCCTTTTGAACCACTGTGATGAGCGTACGTTACGTACATTTGTCTAATGTCGTGCGGATATCGCGCTCAATAGAGACGAGCGACGACCCATCGTATTGGGCCGATGCGAGATGGTAGTCAAGCATGTGCACGGAGTTAGAGCTCCGCGAATAATAGACAGTGGGATCGTGCTGGAAGCACACTAGCAGCACAGACAAGGAGCTGCGTCAGAGACCAACACGTACCGCTCCGTCGCGCGCAGCAGCATCTCGCGCAGCACACTTGCCCTAGACTGGGCCACAGTGTCTTCGAGAAGGACGAGCTGCATCGACGGCGGCATTCGTGCATGGTTGGCCGAAGCACTCGACACAGGAGCGAGTGGCCCATGGCCAAGCAATGCGGCGGCGACGCACGAGGCCGCCATGGCCGACGTGGTAAGCGTGGCGGTCGTCCGTGAGGATATGTCGTGCTTACCTCATCCAAGGGGCGATCGGCGACCGCGCCGCTACCGCGTGCCCAGCGCGAACGAGCATGGTGCGTGTGCGAGTGCTGACACGAAGTCTTCTGAACCTGATCCGACGCATCGCAAGCGTCGCCGCTCTGCTTCAAGGGCATCCAATGACCCGTCGTCGCCATGGGGCGAGTCAGGCGGGAGCGAGGGGGGCGGAGAGCGCGCGTCGTCGGTTCCCCCCTCGTCGCTACCGACGTCATCGCCGCCAGGCGCCCTGTCCGACCTGACCGACGAGGCAGACGAGGGCGTGGTGTATGACTCCGTCATTGATGTCGATGAGGCGGACGATGATGACGGTGAGGACCTCTTTGACGACACGATGGAAGCGTGCGTATCCGCCAACTGACCGCAGCGACTACCGCGCCAACCCGAAGCTCGATACGTACGAAGATGTGGGGATCGACGAGAGTAATTTTGAGACGATGGATGCGACGACGCGACAGCTGGCAGAGCTGCGCATGGCGCGGCGCGATCGCGCCGAGGGCGCGGGGCGCACGAGCCGTCGCGCGCCTGTCTTTCTGCAGAGTGATGACGAGAGTGACGATGGTGTGCTGCGGCGCCGGCGCCGGAGACACTACGATGAGGTTCCTGATGACGACGCGACGGCCGATGACCTGCCGATTGAGCAGCTCGGTGATATTAAGGCAGAAAGCATTGCCAGCTGGGTGACTACCGAGAATGTGCGCCGTACAATTGTGCGTGAGTTTCGAAACTTCTTGGTTACATACGTCGATGAGCAGGGTGTCAGTGTGTACGGCCAGCGGATCAAGACGCTTGGTGAGATGAACCTCGAGTCGCTTGAAATCTCGTTCCTGCACCTCGTCGATGCTAAGGCCATCCTGGCGTTCTTTCTGGCGAATTCGCCGGCGAGTATCTTGCCGATCTTTGACGAAGTCGCCTTTGATGTCATCCTACTGTACTACCCGTCGTACGACCGCATCCACCCCGAAATCCACGTGCGTGTAGCCGACCTGCCCACCTCATCCACCCTGCGTGATCTGCGCCAGAGTCACCTCAACTCGCTCGTGCGTGTGAGTGGTGTGGTGACGCGGCGAAGTGGTGTCTTCCCCCAGCTCAAGTACGTCAAGTTTGACTGCCTCAGCTGCGGCGAGATCCTCGGCCCGTTCTGGCAGGACTCGAACCAGGAGGTGAAAATCAGCTACTGCTCCAACTGCTCACGCCGCGGCCCGTTCCGCGTGAACAGTGAGCAGACCGTATACCGCAACTACCAGAAGATGACGCTACAAGAGTCACCGGGAAGTGTGCCTCCAGGCCGCCTGCCGCGGCACCGTGAAGTCATCCTTCTATGGGACCTTGTGGACGCCGTCAAGCCAGGCGAGGAGGTCGAAGTCACGGGCATCTACCGGAATAACTTTGACGCGGCGCTTAACACGCGCAACGGCTTCCCCGTGTTTGCCACGGTTCTCGAGGCCAACCACATTGCGAAACGCGACGATGCCTATGCCGCGTTCCGCCTAACCGAGGAGGACGAGCAGGAGATTCGCGCGCTGGCGCGCGATGAGCGCATCGGTCAGCGCATTGTCAAGAGCATTGCGCCAAGTATCTATGGGCACAGTAATATCAAGACGGCCATTGCACTCAGCCTGTTTGGCGGCGTATCCAAGGACGTGGGCGGAAAGCACCGCATCCGTGGCGATATCAATGTCCTTCTGCTCGGCGACCCCGGAACAGCCAAGTCGCAGTTCCTCAAGTACGTCGAAAAGACGGCGAACCGCGCCGTGTTTGCTACCGGCCAAGGCGCCTCGGCTGTCGGTCTCACTGCATCTGTGCGCCGCGACCCCGTCACGCGCGAGTGGACGCTCGAGGGTGGCGCCCTTGTGCTAGCCGACAAGGGCGTGTGCCTCATCGACGAGTTTGACAAGATGAACGACGCAGACCGCACGTCCATCCACGAAGCGATGGAGCAGCAGAGCATCTCGATCTCGAAGGCCGGTATCATCGCCACGCTGCAGGCGCGCTGCGCGATTGTCGCTGCGGCCAACCCGATTCGGGGCCGCTACAATCCCACGGTGCCGTTCAGCCAAAACGTGGAGCTAACGGAGCCCATCCTGAGTCGGTTTGATGTGCTGTGTGTGGTGAAAGACACAGTGGATCCGGTGCAGGACGAGATGCTGGCGCGATTCGTGGTGAGCTCGCATCTGCGTGCACACCCCCTCTTTGACGACGCGGTCGACGAGACACGTGTGGCTACGTCGTGGGACGCGGACATCCTTCCGCAGGATCTGCTCCGCAAGTACATCACGTACGCGCGCGACCATGTCCGCCCCCGACTCGATGCGCTCGACCAGGAACGCCTCGCGCGGCTGTACGCGGACCTGCGTCGCGAAAGCCTCAACACGGGCTCGTACCCGATTACCGTGCGCCACCTGGAGAGCATGATCCGTATGGCCGAGGCGAGTGCAAAGATGCACCTGCGCGACTATGTGCGGGCCGATGACATCGACGTGGCCATCCGCACGACGGTCGAGAGTTTCATCAGCGCCCAGAAAATGAGCATCAAGCGCACGCTTGAACGCGGTTTCCGCAAGTACATCCACCAGGCGCGGGACCACGACGAGCTGCTGTCATTCCTGCTGGGCGGCCTTGTCAAAGACAAGTTGCGGTTCACGCAGTATCGGCACCGCACGGCTGAGCCGGCCCCGATAGTCAACGTGCCGCTCGCCGAGCTGGAGGCACGGGCCAGGGATGTGGATATCTACGATGTGCGTCCGTTCCTGCTCAGTCGCGTGTTCCGTGCAAATGGTTACCAGTGGCGTGAGACGGAAGGCACGATTGTGAAGCAGTTTGTAGCGCAGCCCTCGCGTTCATAGACTAGGTGGCGTCATTGGCTGCATCCCGACTTTGCGCCGCGCCGTACTTGAGATGTTGCACAATCTTGGCGCCATTTGACTTGATTGCATTCTCCGTGGCGTTCTGCATCAGGACGCTGTACATACCAGATAGGCCTCGCGGTCCATCGCCGCCTGGGTCGAGCGAATTGAAATGCCCTCCGACGAGATTGTGACACCCCGGTCCTGCGGTCAGCGTCGGCGGCGTACCTCGAGACGTCGCATGCGCTCCGAGAAGCTTTTCTTGGCTTCGTCCTTGTGCTGCACGCCCTTGTAGATGGCGTACACCAATGAACCTAGCAGCACGAGGCTGATCCAGTCGCCCACGGTCGGCATTGGAAGACAAGGGCTGTGTCGCCCAGACGCGCTTAAGTCCCAGGGGGCTACTTCGACAGCGGGCGTTCTCGCTATTGGTACAGGGCCCGCAAGACACAGGCCCCTATGGATTGGCTCGTAGATACATACATCAGAGGAAATACTGAGGTTAGCAAACAACACGTACGTCGGGGACGCGGCGCGACACAAGAGGCTCGCCTGTGCGCGGCGCAGGGTCGAATTGGAGAAAAGTGTACTTGAGGTTTTCGTCAATTTCCATAATCGCCGCCTGGTTGCCACAGCGGTAGCAGTAGTTGGGAGCGGAGAAGACTGTCACGACATTGCGCTCTTGCGACCAGTTGAAGCCATCCATCACCAACTGGTGCGCGCGCGCGACGAGTGTGAGGCCATTGTTGTGGTTAAAGGCCTCGCTAATATCCTGGCCAAACGTGTAACCAGCGCCACGCGGCGAGATACCCCAGCCGCAGCGGTCGTCCGGATCCGACCACAGCAGGTCACACATCGGGCCCTCATGAGGCACCTCCTGCACACGGTCGATCTGGCGGATCTGGTCAAGCGTATCGATCGAGGGAGACAGACCGCCATGCAGACAGAAGATCTGGTCGTCGATAAGCGCCGTCAGCGGCAGGTAGTCGAACAGGTCAGTGAAGTACTTCCACACGTTCGCGTTGCCGTACTTGCGCAGGCACTCATCGTAGAAGCCGTACACCTGCGTGATCTGGCGCGACTCGTGGTTGCCGCGAAGAATAGTGACGCGGTCGGGGTGGCGCACCTTGAGCGCAACCAACAGCGTCACCGTCTCCACGGAGTAGTAGCCACGGTCCACGTAGTCGCCCATAAACAGGTAGTTGGTGTCAGGCGAATTACCGCCAATGCGGAACAGCTCCGAAAGATCATGGAACTGACCATGTATATCACCACACACCGTCACAGGGCAGTGCACAGGCTGCACATTCGACTCCTCAAGCAGCACATCGCGCGCCTGCCAGTTAGAGATTGGGACCCACCTTTTCGCACAGGCGCTTGATGTCGTTTTCGCTGAGCTGCTTACACTCGCTAAGATAGCTGATCCACTGATCCTGCTCCTGGATATCGACCATGCTGTAGGGCGCCTAGGCCAATCGCCACCGGTCGAAGAACCGCTCGGGGCGCCACGACGCAACGGACGTTTGGGTCACGTGATGACCACGCGACCGTCGGCCGGGTCCGCGCGGCCGACGGTCGCCCGTCGTACATCGTCGCCATGATGGCTCTGAAGAGAATGGCGCCGGCTCTCCGCGCCGTGCAGCGCATGCCGACGCGCGCCCTATCTATATCGTCGGTACGCCTGCAGCAGGTGGAAACGTCTGCCAGCAAGCTGCCCAAGGGCTCGGTCGTCCCTGGCAACCAGGTCGACCCCCAGCTGGGCGAGTACCCAGCGATGCCCTATGAGAACCAGCAGTTCCGCCCCTACAGCCGCCAGTGGTGGGACACGCAGGACCGCCGCAACTACGGAGAGACGGTACGTCCCTGATCCTCACACCAGCTTCACGAGGAGGACGATGTCCTGAATATGTGGTCGCCCGATGCATACAAGGTGCCCGGCCCGCTGGCCCTGCGCCACTTTCTCACAGCCGCGGGCGCCTTGGCACTCTTCTCGTACGGCGTGTACCTGACGGTGCCAGAGGCCCCGATGCTCCGCAAGTCGTTCCCCCGTGACGGCCTCGCAGCAGAGCTCGGCGGTTCCCAGGCGGCGGTATGTTGAATGCACTCACACCAGGCTCGTGCGGAGGGCGCCGACGAGGAGTAGCTACATAGTCGCTCACTTATCTCTGCGCAGTTATGGGCGCTTGGCCTCGCGTGCCGATCTGCGTGGACGCTTACGGCGCGGCTCGGCGCTCGGTTCGTCGTCGCTCGTCGAGGCGCTCTGGGCCTGCCGAAAATCACGGACCACCTGCTGTAGACGCGCCGAGCTGATGCGGTTCGCCGCTGAAGGGGGCACTGGCGCCACAAAGCCTGCCTGGTCCAGCGTCGTCTGCATACGCTGCAGGCGGGCGGCTTTGTGCTGCTGCTCGATGACAGGCCGCACATACTGGTCCGTCTTACTGGTAGGCCAGTGGAGATGCTCGTAGAGGAAGGCACGCACCGCGTCCAAGTCTGCCTGACCCCACACAAACGGCTCGTCGCTATCGTCCACAATCGGATGAATATAGGCGTGCTCCTCGTTTGCGTCGGGCCAATCGGCATCCAAGTGCACCTTGTCACGCAGCGCGCGCTTGATGCGCCGGCGCACCTTGTGGTGCCGATCGAGCAGATCTGTGTCTGCGCCCATCTGCACTTGGCGCCACCACTGCGCAAAGTCTGGCAGGCTGCGAAATACGCTGAGAATCTCCATGGCCAGCACGGGTCCCACGCCAGAGAGGCCTTCTGTGTAGTCACTACCCAGCAGGAAGGCCAGCTGGATCAGTCGCTCTTGGTCCAGGCCCAACTCGCGCGTCATGTCCGGCAGCCGATAGCACTCGACCATGCGCTGGGGATTGAACATGTGGCGGTACACAGGCGTGCCGCCAAACAGGAAGACGTCGCTGTCGTCCGTAATGATACCGTCGACGAGTCGCTGCGTCGCGAGTTGCGCACATTGCGCTTCCGCTTCCATCGGAGCGGTAATGTACGGCAGCCCAAATAGACGGAGCATGGCTTGGATCTCGGCGGTCATTTGCGAGGTGATTTCCTCTTCCGAGCGCCGCAGCCGTGCGCGCTCCTGCCGCAGCGCCTCGACTTCTGCATCCACCTCTTGCTGCATCTCGGGCAGGCTTCGGCCACTCGTCTCACTTAGAAACGAGGCAAACGCCCGCTGGTCCTGCTCCATCTTGGCCATGTCCTGCTCTTCGACTGCCTCAATATGCTCGACTTCTTCCGCAGACGGCAGAGGAAAGCCGTCGGCGCCAAGCCGTACCGGCTCAGGCGACGGACTAGGCGACCATGCATAGGGTGAGGCAGAATCGGCAGGTTGCTTTTGCAAGACCGTGGGCGAGTCTAGAGGCGCCTCAGACATAGGCGCCTCGGGCGTGCGAGACGCCTCAGCAGGCGCTGGCGGGTGGCTCTCTTGAGGCACTGGAGGGGGTGATATGGACGGCAGCACCGGTGCCTCGACGCTTGCAGTCAGGTGGGGGGGGCACTCCGACACCGGCTCGTCTTTGAGAGGCTGGACCTGGTGCACGGGCAAGGAATCTCCCCCGGCTGGCTCGACAGGCTTGGCAACTGCCTCTTGTACCTCGGCTGCCGTGGGGTGTATCTCAGCAGGAGTCGGGTCCCGCTCCTCGGCTGCCGTGGGGCGTACCTCAGGAGTTAGGCCCCGCTCCTCGGCGGCTGCCTCGCTTGACCAAGCTCCTACCTTCGGAGACTCGCTCTTCGGTGCCTCTCGCTCAATCTCTGGTGCCTGTTCTTGGCTCTCAGCCTTTGGGACCTGTGCTTTAGGCACCCATGCAGCCTCCACGGCGGAATGGCTAGCCTCCAACGGAGGAGCTGGGTCAGCCATGGGCCACCCAGCCTCATGCCGGAGATGCTCTCTGCTTGAAGCACCGCTTGCGCCATCTTGTGACGCTGGCCCGGTGAGCTCAACGATTGAAGCAGGTCCCGCCTGCGGCTCGGCGGAAGTCGCTGCGCCGAGCGGCACATCGTCCCATTCATCGTCGCCTACGGCGTCGTCGGCATGGAACAAGGCCTCAGACGCCTGTACTTCATCCATGTGCCCATAGAGCCGCTCCTCTAGCGCCTCCATGCCCGTGTCGCGGTGTTTCTGGCGTCGATGATGCTCGGCACGAGCACGCAGAAATGCTAGTGCCCGCTCTTTCCGCTGAATGGGATCGCGCTCCGCATGCACAAGGACGTCCAGCTCAGGGTCAGGCACAGACTCTGCCGGCGCAATGTCGACGTCGTCCATCTCCGCAGGGTCCCATTCGTCTTGCACGTTCTGCCAAGTCTTGGGCTCGTCATCGTCGACTTGGATAGCGCGCTCACGCGACGAGCCTGGGGCGTGAGTGCCCAGCGCAAACCCGCCATCGCCACCCTCGATATGCGTGAGGACATACTCGCGGCTTCGGCTCCCTGCGACACGCAGGGGCACCTGGATATGTGCCTGCCCAATCTCGTCTGTGACAGTCAGGACCTTTTGCGTGAGGTCGTTGCGCGTCTTGAGGTACGAGACCTGGGCCTTGGAGAAGTCAATGGGCGTCGGTGCGGCAGCCAGCATGTCCTGGAGACGCTGGAACGATGTGCCGCGGGACTGCGCGCGCAAGTCGCCCACGAGCTCGTACTGCAGCTCAGGCGGCAAGCTGCGAAAGAGCTCCGAGTGGATATCGAGGTCCTCTGGCGCGATCGTCTTCATCAGGTCACGCAGCTCAGCCTCGGTGGCAAAGCGTAGGTCGCGTGGATCGGACGGCGGCCACGCCTCATTCGGCATGGCCGGCAGCTGGTACGGGTCCCTGGCGGCCTGCTTCGCCGGCACGGGCGCCACGTCGCGTAGGCGCGCGGGCCGCGGTGGGCTGCGCTCCGCATCGTCGTAGTACACGGTGCCCTTGTCGAGCTCGGACGGCGGCGCAGGCGCGACCTGCCGCAGCGCCGCCTGCCGCAACTGTGCCGCCAGCAGCTTTTCAGCGGCGCGCGCCACTGACTCGCCCGCCAGCGTGCGGCGGTGCTTGCGGTTCGCTATAGTGCGCCGCTTCTGGATGGGCGCACCGCCATCAAACACGAACACGGGCTGGATCCCATAAAACAAGAGCTTCAAAATGCGCCACAGGAAGCCAAGCAAGTGGGCATGGGACAGCGTGTTCCCGTCGCGATCGCGCATCGCGCGCTGGAAGTGGTACAGCCAAATCGACGAGTCAATCGCGAGACGCTTGCCCTGCAGTGACTCCAGCCTGGGTAAGTCGGGTACACGTACGTGACGGGGCGGCCCACCGGCTGCAGCAGCTGCCACAGCCCGTGCACGCCCATCGCCAGGAAGCGCCACCGGTGGAGGCCGCGGCGCTGTGGAGAGGCCCGGCACTCCGCCGTGCTCTGCGCCCGTGCGCTATGGACCCGTCGACGCTCGTGGCGGCGGTGATTGTCGTGCTCTCTGTGCTGGTGATGCGCATGGGCCTCACAGCAACACTGGGAGTTATTGTGCTCGCATTCCTACTGCTGTGTCACCCCGTCGTGCGTGTGTTCTTCGAGATGGCTGTGCCCGGCCAGGGCGCCGCGCACGACAGTACCCAGCACGATCACGAGACGTCGGAGGCGCTTCGCTCGCGTGCCCATGGCGTAGCGCATGGCAGTCGGGCCAGCACATCTGGCGGCCGGCAGGCCGGGCGCCTGGACCTCGCCACGCTGCCAGCGGCGCTGCAGCCTGAGCTGCGCCACCTCCTGCGGCTCGTGCGCGCCGACTTTGTGCAGTTCTGGTTCGATCCCATTTCGTTCGGCAGCACCGCGTTCCCTGATGAGGCGATGGCGTGTGTCGAGCACCTGCTTGCGCAAATGGCGCTGCGCCTCGAGCAGTATAGCCGCGCTACGGTGGTATGTCGTGCCACTAACCCAGGTCACGGAGCTCTCCCTCACGGCGTTATCCGTGCTTGTAACGGCGATGCAGAATCGCCGCACAGACTCTACATCGCCCCTGGGCCTGTGGCCAACGACAGAGAGTCGCATCCAGAGCCTTCAGGCGTCGGTATCGATGATGCTCCAGCAGAGTTTGCCGCCTGCGGAAAAGCGCTCGCCGCTGGTGGTGGCCCTGCTCAGCGACCTATTTGCCAGGCAGCTGTGGGACCAGCTGCAGGCGCACAGCGACCCTGATGTGATCAACCAGTACATCGTCCTATACGGCCAGGTCGCCGCCGCGCAGGGCGCGCCGTCGAGCGCCCCCCGCGATGCGAAAGCGCCGGCGCCGGCGCCCACTTCGAGTGTGCGCGTGGACGACTTGCTCCACGACCTCGAGCGGAGCGAGCCACGCGCCGATGCGCCAAACAAGCCGCCGTCGTCGCTCCCGCACGACCTGACCGACGTGATTCGCGCTCTCAAGGACCCTGCTGCGTCCGAGACGCTGGCGGAGCTGCCGGCCCCGGCAGAGGCACCCGACGCCGCGGCGCGCCCGGCCGAGCCATGGAGCGTGGAAGCGCCGCCGGCGCGCCCGATGAACGTGCCGCCTGCCGTGCCAGAGGCGCCATGGCCACCCGGGCCTGCGCCAGGGCGATCTGACGCCCACAAGTACCAGGTGCGCCTGCCCAAGAAGGTGCGCGATGTGCTTGCGCAGTGCAACGGTGACTTGTACGACGAGTGGTACCAGTACATGCAGCGCCGCGACTCCGGCGCGAGTCCGTGCGAGGGCGCCGTCCTGCTCCAGCTGCGCTCGAACCTCGATGCGCTCGCTGCGTCGTTTGATCACGAGGCCAGCACGCCGGCGCTATTCACGAGCGACGTCAAGGCCGTGCTGCATGCGGCCCAAAGCATGCTGCCATCGCACCCGCCGTGCGCGGCCGTGCAGACCGCGATGGAGCGCCTCAGCGCGCGCGAGACGATCGAGCCGGCGGACCTCGAGCCTCTGCGTGCCGCGCTCCTGCAGCGCTTGCAGCAGCTGTACGACGACTTTCTTTCCGAGTGCAAGACCCCGTCCGACCGGCCGCCCAGCCGCGCAGCCCCGCTGCCGCCCAGCACATACGAGCCGCGACGCGCGCGGCGGGCAGGCAAGGAGGCGGCGCGGCAGATCTCCGTGCTCGACGTGAGTGAGTCAGGCGGCACAGAGCGCGCGGTCGATCCGCGCACGCTGCAGGTGCTTGTCACCATGGAGGACGCGCCGGGCGCCAGCACAGGCGGCTATGCGATCCTGCGCACCTGGCCGCACTTTGAGGCGCTGCACACGGAGCTCATGCGCATGTACGAGAAGCTGCCGGGCGACTCGGGTCTTGTGCCGCCGCCGCCGCTGCCCTCGCTCAAGGGCCTGTCGAGCACAGAGGCGTGTGAGGCGATCCGCCTGTACCTTGTGGCCCTGCTCGTGCCGGCAGAGGACACGCTCGCGTGGTACAATACGACGCAGGCGGTGCAGCGGTTTCTCGACAAGACACGCGCGGCGGACGACGAGGCGAAGCTGAAGAACATCCCGCTCGTGTCGAGCCTGGGAGACGTCAGCCGCTCGCTCGCGAGTGGGCTGGCCGGCGCCGCAGGCACCGCGCGCAAGAGTATCGGACCCAGGGCGCCGGCGCCCTCGCGGGCGAGCCGCATCTTTGGGCTGCGCCCGGACCTCTCGGACACGCGTCGCACGGCCGTGCGCGATGCGCCGGAGCTGCCGCAGCGCCCGCCGGTCGAGCCGCCGCAGGCGCCGTCCGCGCATAGGGCGCACACAGAGGCAGAGGCGGACGAGGCGCCCCAGCCGGGAGCGGGGCCGTCCCACGAGGCGCCGGATGCCATGGCTGGGGCGGCTGCTGAGCGGGCCTCCGCCGCTACGGCGCCCGCGCCCGCTGACCCACCTGCCGATGCGGCGTCCGTGCACGACGTAAAGGCCCTGCTCACGGCCGTCTTTGCCGTTACACGTGAGGCGCTCAACATGCACGAGGCATGGACGCTGCAGCGCGGCATGCTGCGCGTCATTGAGCAGTTCCTGCGCACGACGTACTACGGCACGGTCGCGAACCTCGTCACGTATTTGGCCGGCCTGCTCTCTACGGACGCACAAGTCTCGTGGCTCGCGCTCCTGCGCACGAAGCTCTGGCCCAACGACGTGTGGACGGGGGGGGCCGAGCCAGGCAGGCCCGCGCGCACCGCCGCCGAGGTCCGTGCGACGGCCGAGGCGGCGCGCGCCGTTGTGCTGAGCTATGCGCCGCCCCAGGCCGCCTACGCGCTGGGCCTGGGCGGAAAGCAGGCTGTCGCCGATGCGCTCGCGACCGTGCACGACGTGGTCACGGACCCCATCGTATCGCTGGATCTGCACCTCGCCCTGCTGCTGCGCGTGCTCGACCTGGTGATGGGCACGGCCGGCGCGCCATCGGGCGATCGGGCATAATCGCGGGCGCGGCCGTCGGCCTCCGCCATGAGCCACGAGTCGGTCGCGCCGCGCGGCGATGGGTACCGCGACCACCCATTTGTGCCGCAGACAGATTTTCTAGACCATACCGTGACGAACCAGGCCCGCCCTCTGACGAGTGCGGTGATCACCGTGCGCATCATCAAGAACTTTGAGTACCGCACGATGAAGCCGCTCGTCCTGAAGGACGTGGACCTGACGACGCTCACGGCGCCGGCGCTGATCGAGCGGTGCCGACAGGGTACGTACACGCTACTGATCGGCAGAAGTCGCCGCGGCGCCCGCCTTCAGGGTGTATCGCGGCGTGATCGGCACGCTCGACACGCTCAAGATCTACACGCACGCGCATGGCGCCAAGACGACCAACCTGATCATCAACCTGGACCGCCCCGAGTGGATCCTCGATTCGTCGAGTGACGCGCCCCTCGCCTCGCTGGGTGTCGAGAACGAAACGGAGCTGAGCCTGTTTGAGCGCAGGGCATACGACCAGTTCCTCGCGCACCCCGAGACGCGTTGGGACGCTACGGGCTAGCTGCTGGGCTCGGCGATCAGCGCGCGCACCTCGGGCTGGCGGCACAGGTCTCGGAACAGGCGGCGCCACTCGAGCGGGCTGCCCTTGCTGCGGCGCAGCAGCACAAAGCAGCCCGCGCGCCCGCTCGCAGCGCCGAGGTCGGGCGGCAGCTCCGCGACGCGCTCGATGCGCACCTCGCCCTTGAGCGCACACTTGCGCCGGTCGACGAGACCGAGCCGCATGCGCACGCCGTGCGCATGCCGCAGCGCTTCGGTGGCTGCGCTCGTATCCGACGGAGCGGGATCCTCGTAGGCCTCCTCCATCCACTCGGCAGCCTCGTCGCCCAGCGGCTCGACATGCACCTGCGCCTTGTGCGCGCGCAGCGCGTGCGTGAGCGCCTCGGCGACCTGCACCGGGCCGCTCGCACTGTAGAAGCGCGTCAGCTGCAGCACCATGCCCATCGGCGCCGCAGTGCTCTGCGTCAGGTAGCCCATGGCCTGCGTAAAGACCGCGCCGGCATCGTCGAGCTGCGTGCTTGACGCAGGCCCGCTGCGCCGCGCGCGGCCCACGCTGGGGAGCGCGGAGGAGGGCGGCAGCGCATCTTCCGCGCCGAGCGCCAGCGTGCGCGTCGACAGGGCCTCTGGCTGCGTTAGCGACGGGTGCTCCGGCACCGCCGCGCGTGCGCCATCGGTGTGCAGCGCCATGTGCATGTCGCCCGACACCACAAGGCCGTGCAGGAGGCGCTCCGCGAGGCTGACCGGGTCGTTGCACTGGCCGGACGTGAGCAGCGCGTTCTCGCGCGTGAACCAGCGGTGCCGCTGGATCTGCGCGAGCGTGATGCGCCGCGCGGGCTCAGGATGCATCATGCGGCGCAGCAGCGAGAGCGCATCGGCGCTGAGCCGCGTCCACGGGTCGATGCGCAGGAGCTCGCCGCTGAGGTACGCGACGTACTCGGCACTGCGGCTCGTCGGCTCGTCCCAGGGCGTGTTGCCGACGAGCAGCGCAAACAGCACCACGCCCGAGCTCCAGACGTCCACCGGCTCGCCCTGGTACGGCCGGCCGTTCATTTCGGGAGCGATGTACGGCAGCGAGCCGCAGGTCCCGTGCAGCGTGCGCTCCTTGCCCTTGTACTTGTACACGCTGCAGAGCCCAAAGTCGGCAATCTTCAGGTTGCCCTGCGCGTCGAGGAGCATGTTTTCCGGCTTGATGTCGCGGTGCGTGACGCCCTGGCCGTGGATGTACGTGAGGCCCGCAACGAGCTGCGTAAAGTAGAGGTGCGCCAGGTCCTCGTCGACGCCCACGTCCGGCGCAATCTTGTCGAACAGGTCACCGCCCGCACACAGCTCGAGCACAATGTACAGGCCACGCACGTAGTTGCTCGGCGCCGACGAGCCGACGGCGTACTCGACCGACCCGAGGAACGCGAGCACGTTCGGGTGCTTGAGGATGCTGTGGATCTGCACCTCTTTCTGCAGCGCGCGCCGGTCGATCGGCTGCCGGTTCGTCGTCGACACGTACGACACGACCTTGACCGCCGCCTGCGCGTGCTGGGTGGCGCCAGCCTTGACGGCACGAAAGACGCTGCGTCAGTACGTCAGCGTACCGTGAAAAGCCGCCGCCGCCGAGCATCTCGACAATCTGGTACCCCAGCACCGTGGGGTACACCTGCCCCGTCGACGACGTCGGCGCGCGCGCCGAGGCCATCGTGGTCGACGCGTGGCGCGTGCGGCCGGTGTAGCTTATTTCCCAGCAGCGCGGCCGACCGCCGGGTCCGACGCCGCCGCATCGCGACGTGGGGTGCGCTGGCTGCGCCATGGACGCTGAGCGCGATGCGCCGCCCGACAGGGCGTCAAGCAGCGCCTTGCCGACCGTGGAAGCACTCGTGCAGGGCCGGCGCGCACGCGCGCAAGGGCGCGCGCCGCCTCGCGACGCGCCTGCCGTGCGTGTGCCGCGCGGCCTCTCCAGCGTGATCCAGCAGACGCCCAAGGTGCTTGTGCTGGACCTAGATGAGACACTGATCCACTCCAAGCTGAGCGCCGCGCCCTGGGGGCGCCTTGGCGCGCGCGACCCGGTCGGTGCGAGTGTGTCGACGGCCCTCCTGAGCATCCTCGGCCTCGGCGCCACGGTGCCGCCCCATGCGCAGCTGCAGCTGCGTGTGATCGAGGTGCAAATTGAGGGCCGCACCGTCGTGTACCAAGTATACAAGCGGCCATGGGTCGACTACTTTCTGCGCAAGGTCGCGGCGTGGTACCAGGTTGTGATCTTCACGGCCTCGGTGAAAGAGTACGCCAACCCGGTGATCGACTGGCTCGATGGCGGGCATGGCCTGATCAGCGGGCGCCTCTTCCGCGACTCGTGCACGCTGCGCAACGGCTCGTACCTCAAGAACCTGCAGGTCGTTGAGCGGGACCTCAGCCGCGTGTGCCTCATTGACAACTCGCCCATGAGCTACGTGCTCCAAGAGGCGAACGGCATCCCCGTCGAGGCGTGGACGCACGACCCCCGCGACGAGGCGCTCCTGGACCTGCTGCCGATGCTCGATGGCCTGCGGTACGCCAGCGACGTGCGCCATATTCTCGGCCTGCGCGGCTTTTAGTGTAGTATAGACACTACGAAGACGGCGCGCTCTTCTGGCGCTGCTCGTCCAAGTACGTCTGCAGGCGCGCCTCGCGCTCCGCGCGGCGCTCCGCAAGCACTGACAAGATGTTGCCGTGGCGCGCGGTCGGCACCGAGCGCTTGCGCACGAGCAGCTGCGCCGTCGGCCGCTCCGTCGGCGCCTCGTCCGGCGCGCCAGCGCTCTGCGCCGCCCAGTCGCGGTCCAGGGCGCGCGACAGGTCGCGCACGCTCTTGTGGCTGCGCCAGCGGCGGCCCTTGGTCATCTTGAGCAGCAGGCGGCGCTCCTCGTACATCATCTCCTGCTGGAACAGGTTCACGCGCAAAAAGTCCTTCGTCACACCAGGAAACACAAACGGCTCCAGCAGACCGACTTCCACCTTCTTGAACGTGCGGTCTTTGCCCACCACACGGCGACGCTGCCGCCCCGAAAAGACGATCGACGAGCGGTACACCATCGAGCGCGCCCACGTCGTTCGCAGGCCATACACCGCCAGCAGGAACGACCGCAGCTGGTGCTTGTCCATGTGCAGCGGCACACGGAAGGTCGCCTTCCACGCATCGTACGGCTGCCCACGCGGCGTGTGGTTGCGCACGAGACGCACCGTCACGTTCGGCAGGAACTGCAGCGCGCCTGCCCGCTGCGGCTCTGCAAACCAGCGCGGCGCGGGCGCGCCCAGCAGGCGCGTCGTCGGCGCATCGTCCACGTACACCACCGAGCGGTCACGCAGCCGCCACGCCGTCTCCCACTCGGCGCGCCGCTCCTCAGGCGTCAGCGCCTGCCATGCGTCCCAGGCGCGCGCCTCTTCCGTCGCCTGCAGCGCACGCCGCGCGGCCGTGCGCGAGCCAGGCGCGCGGCCCACAGCAGGCGGCGCACCCGCCCCGGGGTAGCCCGCCGAGTAGCCCGAGCGCCAGCCGAGGCGCCGCGCGCACTCGTACGTAACGCGCGTCAGCGCGGCACTGCGCTCCTCCTCTGTCATTCGCGCCCACACGGGCAGGAGCACCACATCCGCCTGCTCATCAAGCGACATGGCCTCCCACATCTCCAGCGACAGGCCCTCCGCTGCGCCGCCCTCGAGCCTGGCGCGCATCGCATCAATGCGCTCGCGCAAAAACGCATCTACACGGCCGCCCACACGCTCAGCGTCCGGCAGCCAGCGGCGCGAGCGCGCCGTGCGGTACTGCCGCGCCGCATGGTACGTGGCCGGCAGCCACGCCGGCGCAGCAGTCTGGTCCGCCGCATCCACATACGCCGTCAGTTCGTGGCGCTGGTCAGCATTGAGCCACAGCCAGCGCAGCAGCTGGCGCGCCTGGCGCGACGCCTCGAGCGCGGGCGCCACCGGCGACACACTCGCATCCACGCTCACCGCAGCCGCGGTGGCCTGCGCCGGCGCAGACGCCCAGCGCGGCGTGGAAGCAATGCCACGGAATGCGCGCATACGCACAGCAGCGCGCGGACGGGCCTCGAGCGAGAGGCCCTGCAGCCGCCGAACCAGCAGGGACATGGTCGCAGCACAGCGGCGGGCGGCCGGCACTCCTCCTTTCTTCTTGTGTCACGTGATACAGCGCGTGGTGCGGCAGGCGCACGGCCGGGCGCCTGCCGCATGAACCCCTGGGCGAGTCCGTGGGACGACGCAGCGGGTGGGCCGGCGCCGGATCTGGCGCCAGCGCTCGACCTGGGCGGCACGTCGCCGCCACCGGTTGCCAGCGCGGCGCTGTCGTCCCTCGATGTCGATCCGTGGGGCGGCGAGGCGGGCAGCTCGGTCGCCGCCCAGCCTACTGTGCCCGAGCCTGTTGGGGCGGAGCGCACAGCTGATAGCGCGGCGCCGCTGGACACAGCGCCTGTGACGGATCCGCCAACGGCGGTCGACTCCCAGCTGGCGTCGTTGGCGTCTGCTTCGCTTACGCTGCACGAAAATGTGTGGGGCAGTGGCGACACAATGCAGACAGCGTGGACGGACGAGGCGCGGGCCAACAAGCCTGCGTCGCCACCCGCGGAGCCTGCGTCGCCACCCGCGGAGCCTGCGTCGCCACCCGCGGAGCCTGCAACTGCGCCGCACAGCGAGGCGCAGCCAGAGAGCTCGCACGAGTCACCGAGCACAGAGCTCTGCGAGGCGCCATCGGAAGGCGCCTCGGACGACAAAACGCCAAGCTCCGAAGCACTCCGCGAGGCGCCAGCGCCAGCGCCAGGGACAGGGAGCACCCTCGGCCGCCTCAGCACGGCGGTGACAGAGTGGCGCAAGGCGCGCGCCGCGGCGGCCGAAAAGGCCAAGGAGGCCCGGGAGGCGGAGCAGGCGCAAGGCTGGAAAAAGGTGGCGCCGCCGAAGCCCGCAGCCCGGACGCGCCTGGCCGGCTGGCTGCGCCGTGGCACAGATTCGACGCCTACGTCGCCGGCGCGCACGCCGACGCGTGCGCGTTCCCTCGAGAAAAGCGCGGCGAGCAGCGCAGGTGCCCCGCTTGACGAGGACGATCTCGCCTGGCTCGAGGCCGCCTCGTCCCGCCCAGCGACCGCACGCTCTTCGATGGAGCGGACCACGGCGTCACGCGCAGTGCGTGGCGTGCGCCGCTACGATGCAAGTGCCTACGACCCCGATCCGCGCTACGATTACGACCCACCAGCCACCTACGATGCGGACGCCGCTGAGCCAAGCGCCTCGCCCGCGCCGCCCGACCCCTACAATTACGACCCCGACGACGACACGGACGGGTTTGGCGAGATGCAGCAGTATACGGACGATGGGCCCGCGTCGCCGCATCGGGGGACGTACTCGGACGAGCCACGGCGTGCGCCGCTACCGCCGCCGACGCCGCCGCCGCCCGCGGCGGCCAGTGTGGATCTGCTGAGTGCGTCGCCGCCCCATGCGGCGCCCGCCCCGGCACCGCGCCCTGCGCCGTCGGCCCGCGCCCCGAGAGTGGGAGCCCTCTCGGATGCCGATATGAACTTTTTCGAGACGTTATAGGCTACCTGCTGCCCTTGACCTCCTTGAAGAGGACGTGTCGTTTCACTGTGTGAGCTGGCGCCACGTACCGATCGGATCGTACTTCATCATGCTGAGCTTGTCAGCCACGCGCAGGCGGCGCGTCGTGTACATGTAGCCGGAGCCGGCCGTCGATAGCAGGCGCGCTATGACAACGCTGGGTTAGTCACACCACGTACCGAGCCTTGGACTTGGCGGCCATGAGGAAAGGGACAGAGCGCGTATCACGTGAGGCCACCTCGCCGCGGCAACGCCGCGCGACGCTCGACGACCCGCCGGGATGAGCGCACGTCCGCCAGAGGCGCGCCCCGTGCGCGAGCCGCGCATTCCGCTCGCTGTGATGGACGCTCCGTCGCAGCGATTCTATGCGGCGGCCCTCTTTGTGGCTGTGCAGGCGTGGAAGTGGACACACATCGTTCGTGTGTGTGTGTTGCGGTACGCCCGGCCGAACGCCGTGGCGGGGTGGCTCGATCCGACGCACGTCGGCACGGCCCTGCTCATCGACTTTGCGCTATGCTACGTGCTGCACTGGCTGGCGATCCCGCCACGCGCTGTGCGTGCGAGCCCGGCGACCCGCACGCCGCCGCCGCGCCGCCCGTGGGCGTCGCGCCGGTGGCTGTGGGTGTTCGTGTGGCTCGCGCTCGCGCTCCTCGATGTGCTCGCACTTGCGCGACACGACGCATGGATCGTCGTCCAGGCGCTTGCGCCGGGCCCGGCCGCATGGAGCGTCGGCGAGCGCCGCGTGCGGCTGCAGCAGCTGGTGCGTCCTGCGACGCACATTGCCGGGCAGCACACGGTGCACCTCGTCCCGCCCGGCACCGCGCACCTCGCGCCTGACGCGTCATGCCTGTGTGTGGGAGCCCATGTGCGCGAGGTCCATATTCCCGTCGTGTTCCACGATACGAACCCGGCGCAGATCACCTACTCGGTGACAGAGCCGGCCCACGGCACACGCACCGAGCACACCCTCTCGCACCCCAAGACGAGCGTGCGTGCACATGCAGTGACGCGCAGCACGGAGCCGGACGTGCCGCGCGGCGCACGCGCGCTCTCTCTCGCAGAACGCAAGCGCGCACGGCACGCGGCGCAGGAGCGCGCGGCAGACCGCCCGCTCGAGACGGTGCACGACCTGCGTGTCCGGCGCACCGGCACAATCCGCCTCGAGTCGGTCGTCGACGAGCACGGGCGGCCTGCTCGCATCCTCGCGCAGGACGTGCGGGTCGTCGAGTGCCCCCACGCCTCGCTTGTGCCGGGCACCACGGACTACTGCCCTGGCGACTCCGGGCACGTCGAGGTTGCGATGCACGGCACACCGCCCCTGACGCTCGAGTATGTGTCGAAGAGTGGCGAGCGCATGCGCCCATATACGCTCTCGCACATGGCTCCCACAGAGCCGGCGCTTCTCTCGCTCGATCTTGCCGGGCCGGGCCCCCAGACGCTGCGTCTCGAGCAGGTGACAGACGCGTGCGGAAATGCGGCTCCCCTCAACGACACGGTACGTGTGCTGGTGCATGAGCAGGCACAGGTACACTTTGACGCCGCACACTGTCGCCCTGGGCGCCCGCTCCCGCTGCTGCGCGGTGGACGCGGTCGGGAGGTACGCTATGTGGTCGAGCCGCGCCACTCGCGCGACGAGTGGGACGTGCGCGTGCACTTTTCGCCCGACGTCAAGGCCGCGCTGCCCCGGCCGCTGACGAGTGCGGACGCGTGGGAGAAAACGGTGCGAGTCGCAGCGGGCGAGCACACGCTCACGGTGACGCAGCCCGGCACCTACACGATCGAGCACGCCGCCTCGTCTTTCTGCGCCGGCCAGGTCGCCGCGCCGTGGACGTGTGAGGTGGTGGACGTGCCCCCGCCGCGCGCGCAGATCCACTTTGAGAGCATTGAGGATCCCTGCGCCGGCACGGTGGGCGTCAAGGCGCTCTCCACGCTGGAAGGCGAGCCGCCGTTCCGCCTGCACTACGAGTCGCAGCGCCCGGGGCAGGCGGCGACACGGCACGTGCGGGTCGTGGAGGCCCAAACGCGTGATGAGCTCGAGTTTTGGCCGAGCACCGAGGGGCCTGTCACGTACCGCTTCCTCGCGCTGGACGACGTCAACTACCGAGGCGTGCCGCTTGATGGCCCCAGCTTTACGCAGCTTGTGCATCCCCTCGCGAGCGCCGCTTTCGCGGGAGCCGCACACGCCGAGCAGGACGTGGTGGTGCGCAGCTGCGGTCAGGCATCGGTGACGGCAGACGTGGAGCTGAGCGGCACCGGGCCGTTCGACCTTACGTACTCGATGCGGAGCGCGCGTGGCGAGCCGGTCGAGCGCGAGGTGCGCGGCCTAAACGGCCCCCGCGCCGCACTGGACCTGACGCTCCCGGCCGATGTGCTTCGGCAGCAGGGGCGGGCGACGGTGTCGCTGCTGCGCCTGCGTGATGGCAAGGGGTGTGAGCGGCGCCTTGCGACGCGCGACCTGCGCTTGGACATGCGCCGCACGAGTGCGGCCGTCGGCTTCCGCGAGACGCACGCCGTGCTGCACGAGCACGAGGCAGTGGCCCTGGCGCTGCGTCTAGAGGGCACTGCGCCCTGGCACATTACCTACAATTTCACGCGCGATGGCGAGCCGGATATCCAGGGCGCCGCGACGCTGCACGATGCGAACGAGGCGCTGCACCTCACCGAGCCGGGACGGTACACACTCACGTCCGTGCGCGACGCTCACTGCGTCGGCACTGTACTGCCCCAAGCCACGGCGGAGGTCGTGGTGCGCGCGCGACCGCACGCGTCGTTTGCCGGCACGCCGCTCGCAAACGGCAGCGTCATGCCGCCGGCCGTGTGCCAGGGCATCCGCTCCGAAGCGACGCTCCAGCTACTCGGCCAGCCGCCCGTGGACGTAGCGTACGTGCACCGGCTCCCAGCGACGGATGGGCCGCCGCAGGTGCGGCGGCACACGCTGTCGACGGCCCAGGAGAACGTGCAGCTCGCGCTGGACGACCAGGTGCCGGGCTGGCACACGTACGAGGTCGTCGAGGTCGGCGATGCGTACTACGCGCGCGCGCGCGCAGCGCGCGGCGCCATCCTGGAGCATCTTGTGCATGCGCGCCCCCACGGCACGTTTGCACCACAAAAAGCGGTCACCGCCTGCGTGGGCGACGCGTCTGTCGAATGGCCCGTGCTCCACCTGACAGGGACGCCGCCGTTCCAGGTCGTGATGCAGTTACGCCCCCGCCACACAGAAGGAGCTGCGCAGGCGGCCGACGTGACGCTCGTGACACACACACACACACTCGCAGTGCCGCCGGCGCTTGCACCCACCGTGCCTGGGGCCTGGGAGCTCGCCGTGCAGCGCATCGAGGACGCGCATTGTGTGGAGACAGCGCCAGACGCCATCCTGCGCCTGGACCTGGTGGAGAGCGCGGCTGTGCTGCCGACGTCCGCGCGGCGCGACTACTGTGTGGGCGAGCGCATTGACTTTGTGCTGCAGGGCACTTCACCGTGGACCGTCGAGTACTCGTTCAACGGGCGCGTGTCGCAAGTCGTCTCGCGCACAGCCGAATTTGTGCGGGTGGCCGACCGCCCTGGGCGCCTGCAGGTGCTGGGTGCGGGCCACAGCTCGAATACGTGTCGCCACCCGCACGCGCCGCTGGAGGCGATGATCCATGCGCTGCCAAGCGCGCACGTCTCGTCGGGCGTGCACCGCGTCGAGTCGCTGCACGAGGGTGGCCAGGCCGAGATTGTATTTACGCTCATGGGCGAGCCGCCGTTCGCGTTTACGTACCAGCGGACCGAGGCGGTCGATACGCACGCGCGGCCCAAGGTGCTCGAGACGCACACGGTCGACCACTGGAACGAGACGCGGTACGTGGTGACGACGTCGCAGGAGGGCACTTGGTCGGTGGTGTGGATGCAGGACCGCTGGTGCCAGGTGTCGCTCGGCGAAGTGAGCGGTCCGGCTGCGTGGAATCGCGCGACTGAGCAGTGACATGCATTCCCTAGATTGGCTATAAGACCGTCTACCAAGCCTGGTGGCGGCCGTTGAGGCCGGGGTATGTAGCTTAGAACCCGGCCATGGGTTGCGCCCACGACGAGAGGATAGGTAGACTGCTCGGCGCAGCATCGCTAGGCAGGCTCGGGCCTCTGGAGGAAGGGACTGAGGTGCTATACAGTCCCATTCCGGCTGCCAGACCATCACAGCCACCGTCGGCCGCGCCCAGTGCACCGGGCTCAAGGTCAGGCTCCATCGTGTCAAAGGACGGCGGCGCCAGTTGCGGCGACAGCGGCGAGAGCATCGACCCGGACGGGCCCAGCGAGCTCGACCCGTCGCTGAGGCCTTGGGTATCGATCGACGACGGCGTGGTAGAAGAAGCAGAGGACATCTGTTCACTGAACAACTTGAGCGGTGTTTCCATAGCGGTGTTAATTTCGAGCGGGTCGAGCGTCTGAGACGATAGCGAGCCACCCGACAGGCTCGGGAGCGCCGCGGCGCCCTCGCTGCCAAACGGCGACTCTCTCGGCGAGAGCGACATCGAGTCGGCCCAGCCGGTGCCTGGCGAGGCAGACGCAGATGCGGATGCGTCCGACAGCACCGGAGCCGAGCCATTCAGCTCCAGCAAGCTAGGGTCCGCAGTCGTCCGCAGCGAGAGCAGCGTGTCGTGGGCCGGCGGCATCGTCACCGTTGCAATCGAGGCGGCATCCGGCGACGTGTACACAGAGGGCATCACCCATGGCATCAGGTCCTTCGTGCTTGGGTTGATCGTCGCGGGCACATTCGTCCATGATGCTGCTGCCATGGCCGCATCGCTCGGCGGCGCTTGGATCAGCGCGGGAGTCACTTCGGTAGGTGTCGCCGTAACGCCCATGCCCGGTATCGGCACACTAAACGACGCAGATGCAGCGGGAACTTTGGCGGACGCCATGGGCCCGGGCGGTATCGACACGAGAGTCTTATCATCGACAGAGCGCGAGGCACCGGTCTGATTCGCAGACGCGGCAAGACGCGCGGCCTTGCGCTCACGGCTTAGGCGCTTGCGCTCGCGAGAGAGCAGATTGTCTTGCTCCGACACCCGCTCGTATTCACACTTGCGCTGCAGTCGTGTACATGTATAGCACGATGGCTGTGCGCCATCACAGCGAATTTTGCGGTGTCGGCAGTGCACGCATGCCATTGCCACGCGGCAGCGGAACTTGTTTTGGCCAGAGGTCCCGGCAGCGCACGGTGCCGTAGTGGAAGGGCCACTGCTGGGAGCGCGCGGCGCGGCGCCAATTTCAGCAGGGCGGTCCTCGCCTTGCGCACCGTTACCGGTAACAACATCTGCTGAGGCAGGCGCACTCATAGAGGACACTGCCGTGTTTTGTATATTCGAGGACTCATTCGCCTTATTATGCGCTGGAACAGCTTCCATGGCCGAGGCAGCAGCCATGTAGGTCAGAGTCGGCAATCCGAACGCCCTCTCCGTACGGCCGCCGCAATGATATATTAGGAACGACCTAGAGTGACAAGACAGAGCCACACGAGCCACACGTCTAGTCGATATGCAGACGAAGCTGACACCGTGCGTCTAGAGTGCCGGACACCGTGCGAGCACTCGAGGTCGGTCGATACGCAAACGGTGCGCAACCTCCGATATTTAGAGGGATTGCGCCGCTTTCGCACTGGCGGCACAATTCGTGCATCTGCACGTGGACATGACGTTGTCGCCCTTTATGCAGTCTACATAAGCAAGATGCATGGCCCAACGCCTAATCTTGAGGACAGAGTCAGCCTGCAGCATTATCGCGGAGAAATCAAATACGAGCCAATCATGACTGGCTCCTAGAGTGTGTAGCACCTCCACCCCTTTGTGCCACAGCCTAGATTGTCTTATTTCTGCACACCCTTCGGCTGCGCCAAGGTGCCGGCCTCTCATCAGCTATGCAGCACCTATACCACATCACAAACCAACTAGGGGCGATCGTCGGTGACGATGCAGACCGACCTGGCGCCCACACTGCCGTCCTCGTGTGTGACCATTCTACAGACGTATGGGCGTACGCAACTCGATCACGTCATCAGCCGTCGGTGCACCGCATCGACGCGATGGCCGCGGCGACAGGTGAATGTCTCACGCCGGAAGAATACGCTTACAGACTGGCTGCTGTGGCAATGACTGCCTGGCGCCATCGCCGCGCCAAACTTGCGCGGACAGGCGGCGCCACAGGTACTGCGGCCCGCTATGGACGCTCCCCCCATCGCTTCGCTGATACCCACAGCCTCCAGGACAATACCTCTTTGAGCGAAGCAATCAGGACAAGTGCACGGGCCAGTAGTACTCGCCAAGCCACGCTCACTGCGTCCGACAACGATGATCGATCGGATATTGATTCCGACGATAGCGAAGGGCCCATGCTCGTTGAATGCGATGATGGCCGCCTCCTTATATACCCCATGCCGTCGCGCAAAGTTGGACGTGATGATCTCCGCCGACCGCAACGGTTGCGGCTTCTGCCGCCTTCGCAGCAGGCATCGCGGCGGTCCTCATTTGCGCGGAGAAGCCGGTCCCTGTCGGGGGATGCAGCTCCAGCGAAAAGCACTCTCACTCAGCTGCGCTCTACAGCGGCCGATGACCATGGAGATACGGCCTGGTCTACCGAAGACGAGACGGACCGAGATTCACTGCGCTCGGACAGTGCCACCAAAATTGATTCGTTGTCGCCTCTCCTTCTTGTGCTCAATGCCGATACAACAGCCTGGTATACACTATTACAGCAAGCCCGCACTTTTGCCGAACTCTGCAGTACCATTTCATCCTCGTAGCCTGTTCTATCACCCACGACACCTGAGGCATGGTCCTTCACGCCTACCCAATGTTGTCGCCCTATGTGGCACGTGCGACTCCTCCACATAGCATGCCGCGCGTCGTCCTGCAAGGACGCGACGGACGTCTTAGCTAAGACACGCGTGTGCACGAACCACCGACCATGACGAGGGCAGTGTACGTGATGGTACGTGTCGCGGCCTGCTCACTGGCAGGGGGTATCAGGCTCGGGTAAATCAGAAACAGGACACGCCCTTGCGCAGGCACTCCACGCCCCCTTTCTCGATGCAGATGACTTGCATGCCCCAGAGGCCATTGAAGCCATGGCTAGAGGCATACCCCTCACAGACACCGACCGTGGACCGTGGCTCGTTCGCGTACGCAGCGCCGTGGATGCGCTCTGCCAGGAAGGGCAGCTAGATACCATTATCGTAGCATGCTCGGCGCTCAGGCAGGCGTACCGAGACGTGCTCCGAGATACCCGCACGGCCGACGTGCTCTTTGTCTACCTGGCAGTAGAGCGGTCCGTGCTCGAATCGCGCCTTGCAGTGCGCCAGGGGCACTTTATGAAAGCGGAGCTCCTTTCATCGCAGCTCGCTACGCTAGAGCTGCCCGCCGATGAGCCGCAAATCCTCACTGTGCCTGTCCAGCGCGATACATCGCTAGAGGAGGTCGTGCAAGACATCTTGACGCGGCTGCGCTAAGCTATGAGCCTACAAACGCGTCTGGCTCGACGGCCGCGTCATTCGAGGAGGACTGTCGAAGTGTCCGGATGACGCCGCGCCCGAGTCCGATGGGCGGCTCGAACTCACCGCCGAGTCCCTGGAGGACATGCCATACATGTCAGGGGGCATCGGATATGGCATCATGGGCATGTTGCTATGCTGCGCATAGGTCTGGAAGTACGCCTGCTGTGCGGCCTGCATGGCCTGCTGCTGTGCCATCATAGACTCGCGCGACATGGCCGGCATGCCCGGAGGCATCATGCCCATCATCATCATCATCTGCTGTTGCTGCCAGTAGTACATGTTCATCATCATCTGCTGCTGGGAGACACTGCGCGACATGCCTTGCATGCCGTGAGACTGCGACGAGCGGGACGCTGACATCGAAACCGGGCGCGCAGCGGGCCCCTCACGCTCCCCTTGCGCCGCCCGCCGGTCCCGCGATTGGATCGCGCCCATGAGGCCCGCCTGGGGTGGCGGCGGCTTGGAAGGCATATTCACGAGCGTCTGACCAGCCTCGCGGGCGCCGTGGTCCCGTGTGCGTGCATTGCGCTCGAGCTTTTCGGACGAAGAAGAGGCCAGCAACCCATGCGACATGTAAGGGGACTGTGATGCATGCGCAGGTTCATCGAACTTAACAAAGGTCGTGCGCCCCAGACTCGTGGACGACGCATTCTTCGACTGGAAGCTCATGGCCGATGCAGAGGGCGTCAACATAGAGCTCACATTGCCGTAGCTCGACCTGCGTGCATTTGACAAAGACTCAGACGTCGGCAGATTCAAACTCGGGTCCGACGCGCCCAGGTCCGGCATGGGCGTCGGCATCATCGCAGACGAGGCCGTGTGGCTCTCCTCCACGATTTCGTCGTCGTCGGCCCAGTCGTGAGACGATACGGGCACGACGCCAGGAGCACGACCAGGGCGAGACGAGCTAGGCACCATAGGTTGTGACGCTCGGTTCGCGTGCTTGGCCCTATGCCCAAAGGAAGAGGGGTACGCAAGCGGCTCCTGACTCGCTGCCTCGGCTGCTTGCGCAGTCTCCTGCGCCACCTTGGCAGGATCATGAAGCTCCAAGGGCTCGGTGGGGAACTCTAGGTCAGGCGCCCCATACAGCCACGTTTCGTCGTCGTGGGGCTCGGATGGCGCCTCGGGAGGGGCCTCGGGCTCGGCCCTCTCTGACGCAGGGCGAAACGTAGTGACAGTGGATGACGAGGGAGCAGACACATGAGGCTGCATCGATAGCAGTGGGACGTGAGAAGTCGCCTCGTCGTCCAGGTATTGTGAAACGAGGTGCGATTCTGTCCCTTCGTCCGTGCTTCCAGACACAATACGCGAAGAGGCGCGGCCGGGCGCGGACCCCGACGGCCCAGAGAAGGGCGGCACCGCCTCGCCGGGCTCGGTCAGGGGGCTGGTGTCCGTGGACTGAGTCGGCACCGAGGGCGCCAGGAAAGACAGCGAAGATGGGATAGCGGGCGACGGCGTCGACCCGTGGGACGCAGGCGACACCTGGGTCACAGAGACCATAGGGCGCGATGGTCGCTGAGTCGTATTCGGGTCGACAGGCACAGGCTCGACGCCCGACCAAGATACGGACGCCGCTGGTGGAGGTGCTTGTGTCTGCCCGGGTATAGGCAAGGGGCGTGAGCCCGAGCTGGAACGAGGCGTGGGCTTGGGGACCACTTTGACCTGGATCGGTGGACGATCCGACGCAAAGGGATCTGGCAACGTGGCCTTCTGGGTCTGTGATGGGATCGCGGGACTCCGTGGCTGGGGAAGAGGACGAGTAGTGGATGTACGTGGAGCGGGCAACGACGTGTCGGCACTGGACGGCGGAATCTCCTGAATGGGAGAGAGCTCAGTGGGCTCATTTGATGCGGGAAGGGGCCATGCGTAGATTTGTTCGTGACGGTGATTAATGGGAGAAGGGTGCGGGGGGTTCACGGGCATCGTCGGCGCTGCCGCGAGGTCCATGGGGCGGGGCGCAACAGCCGCAGGTGCGGTGTCGGTACCTTCCAGCACGTGCGTCGCAGCCAACTTTCGCGAAAAGTACGTTTCGTCGTCCGAGACGGACATCGGTGTCCGATCAGGGACATCAAACTCGCGGTACGCCTGATCAAAAGCGGCATTCGAGCTGGACGGGGCCGGCGACAGGGTCGCTGATTCGGCCGCAGGCGGCGGGCGCACAAGTGATTGGAACGCACCTGCGGTCAATGTGTGTCGCTTAGAAGAGGTGGGCGCAGGCGCTGCAGTAGCGTCGTCATGCGCAGGGAACGCATCTTGATCGGTGGCTACGCGTAATTCGGTGCTTGCGGCAGGGGCTGGGCCTGCTGTCGATGGGGTATAAGCACCTGCGACGCGTTCCCCAGCTTGGACGGTATCCCCTGCGGCAGCAGGCCAGGCATCGTGGGCTTCAGCAGGAGTCTCGCTCGCTGGCAGAGACTCCATGGTCGCTGCGGGAGCAGACTCCTGGTTCATCGCCGGAGCAGCAGGCTCGGCCCATCCCGCGTCGGTATGGTTTGCCTGGGCCTCATGACTGAAAATCTCCGATGGCGCATCCGGCTCTTTCGCATACACAGACTGCCGGGGGATAGGTGGTAACGGCGGCAGTATGGCCGTATTTTCCCCGCGCATTCGCGCTGCCATCACGTCATGCAGCATTTGCCGCGACTGCAGATAGTCCTCCACGGTGATATCCAGATGCTCGGCCAGGGCACGATCCAGGAAGAGATGGTTCTTGTACTGACCGATCGGGTACGCAAAGAACGGCGACATGGGGTTCCGTGGGTCCCATGTGAAGTTGTCAGGCCTGCCGTAAAGGCGGAAGGCGTCCATAAATGCGATGATGCACTTCATCATTTCGGCGTTCGCCACCTTTCCCTGGTGCCCCGCCACATCGGGCATAAACATCACCCACCCGCTCGTGCGAGGGCGATGCGTAGCCGAGACAATCTGCGACTGTGGCAGTGATCCCTCCGCTTTGAATAGGACAGAATCTTCCACGAGGTCAGGGCGCGATGGGTACAGTGCATACACATGTTGTACATGCCAAAGACTGGCAAACGGGTGTCGGCTGCGCTTGGACTCGTAAAAGTGAGCCACCGCCGGCGATGCTAGTACGCCCGGCGGTGGGGTCGGCGGCTCCATCTGGCCGCCGGTATCCGAGCTGGCCAAGAGGCGGCTCGAGCGGTCGCCTGCGCCGCCGAGACGTAGGAGCCGTCGCAGACCAGAAGAGCTGTTGTCCTCTGACCAGTGGCTCTGCAGCACCATCCAGCAATGACGCCACTCGGTCGAGCCCATGAAACGCGCGCGAACCCACGACTCGTGGCGGCCCTTGTTCAGCGGTGAGCGGACCATGATTTCGCTCACGTCGCTCGTCTCAGACCCCTTGACGGCGCTGAGGCGCGCGCGAATGAGTGCGCCCGTATAGATCTCGTCGAGGCGCAGTCGCTCCCAGGAAGCAAGTCGCACAGCATTGATCCAGGACTGCAGGTACCGGTTGCCCAACTGGAGCCACTCGACCACCGGCCGATGCTCCGGATGCTGCTCGTTCTTGGGAGAAAGGCGCTGGTTGACTTTGCTGGGGTCGCAGGGTGGCGGGAGGGGGAAACATAGCATGACACAGTTGCGCCCAGCGGAATTAATCGCAAAGACATGGTAGAGAGTGCGCCGCTTTCCTGGGTCAGAAAAAGGAGCATCCACATGCATGCCAATGTAGTCGACCATGGCGTCGGTGATGTTCATGAAGGTCGGGGCCACCTCGCTAGCCTCAGCTGTGGCTCGGTCGAGGGCACTGGCCTCCCAGAAGCTCAGCACCGTACCCGACAGTTGCACGAAACACTCCGTCCATGAGCTGAAATGATCGCTGCGGTGGTCCGGCTGCCCATCGACGCCAAGCGCATGGCGGACGAGGAGATAGCCCTCCATGTACAATTTGCGGCCAAGGGCCTCGTGCAGCTGCAGCGCGTTCCGAAGATCAACGCTTTTGAATGTGACCTGCGCGTTGGAGCCAGACAGAGACATGCTTAGGCGGGGCGGGGCATGGAAGAGCTGCGACTGTGGTCGTGCGCCGTTCGCCCCATCCAGTGGCTGAAACGCACTGAGCGGACGCGCTGACATGTAAGAGCTGGACGCCCGGGATTCGGGTCGGTCGAATGAGGCGCGTGCAAGCTCACTCGACGTAAGATTCGATCTCGCGCTCGCGAAAGAGGCGCGCACCCCACCCGCGCCAGCGCCAGACGACATTGCTCACGAATTAGAAAGCCACCAAGGCACAAGTGCTGTCCAGGTGGTCGAGCCGCGACCGTTTTGCTAGCTTCTAGATGCCACACAGCCTACCCCTCGCACGTGGAGCGCAAACCTCGCCTGCCGCGTGGGTGTCACGTGAACCCGGCGCCTGGCCGCTGGAGTCCAACCGGGGATACGCCTCGGCGGCGATCCGGTCGACGAACTCTGCTCAGCGTGTTTCCATGGCTACGCAGTCCAAGTTGGAAGCTGCATCGCGGATCGGCGGCCATTCTCACAGATCCCGTGCCCTGATAGCCCTGCTGATCATGGTTGTGGCTCTGGGTCACAAGCAGATCCAAGGTGCACTGCACAAGCATGTGCACCTTGAGCGCATCCGCTTGAACAACCGCAAAAAGGTCAAGGGCCTGAGCCTGGAGGAGGGCCTTGAGCAGCTCTATGTGCCTACAGGCGATCCAGACGGCTCGGTCACGCTGTATGTTCCGGACCATGGCCACCTGGCGAAAGCCAAGGTCACGCCTACTCCCGACGCTGTGTACAAGCGCGACTATGACCATTTTTCGCTGCCACCGCCTCTGACGAAAGAAGCCGCGAAGAAGCGCCTGCAGTATCTCACGGCATTGGGTGGTGTGACGCCCGAAATCGCGCAAAAAATCCGTGTCGAGGAGAGTAAGCTTGCCCCGGAGGCTGGTGAGAGCGTGACGAGCGCCAGTGCCATGCGTGTGGGCGTGGATCGCGAGTTCTTCCGCCAGGTCCGCGCGCTTCTTCGCATCATTTTCCCCAGTATCTATGCGAAGGAAGTGTATATGTTTGTGGCCCACACGTGTTTTCTGGTGCTGCGCACGTATCTGAGTCTGTTGGTGGCTCGTCTGGATGGGTACCTCGTCAAGTCGCTGATTTCGGCAGACCTCAAAGGGTTCTTGCGTGGACTGGGGATGTGGGCGGCCTTGGCCGTGCCAGCTACATACACGAATGCCATGATCCGCTTCCTGCAGTCGAAATTGTCGCTTGCGTTCCGCACGCGTCTGACGCGCTATGTGCATGACCTGTACTTGAATCAGCACCAGAACTTTTACAAGGTCATGAACTTGGACAACCGTCTGGAAGCTGTGGGTCAGTACATCACCCACGACATTGCACACTTTAGTGATGTCATCTCGGATCTATACTCGAACATCTCGAAGCCGATTCTTGATATGATCATCTTCATGTGGCAGATCGGTAACAACGTCGGCTTTTCCGGCGTCGCTGCATCTATGCTTGGCTATGCGGCCTCATCGTATGCGCTGCGCTCCGTGTCTCCGCCATTCGGTAAGCTGGCAGCCGTCGAAGCCAAGCTCGAAGGCAACTTTTACAATGCACACAGTCGCATGATCATCAATGCCGAAGAGATTGCCTTTTATAACGGCGCGTCCACGGAGGAGGGAATCCTGCGCCGCTCGTACCGCGAGCTGGTCCGCCACATCAAGTCAATCCTGCGGGCGCGAGTCGGCTACAACTCCATGGAGGACTTTGTGCTCAAGTACTCTTGGTCAGCGTTTGGCTACGTGATCATGGCCGTGCCGGCCTTCTCGGCCCATGATAAGTCGGACGGTAATGTCTCGAATGACCCGAGCATTGCCAAGCACACGGAGGGCTATATTTCCAACCGCCGCATCCTGTTGGCGCTGGCTGACGCCGGTAGCCGTTTAATGTACAGTTACAAGGGCATTGCTACACTTGCTGGACAGACGTCGCGCGTGTATTCCCTGATCTCGAGTCTGCACCTACTCCAGCACGACGACTACCAGAGCGTGAAACGCCCCGCTGATCTGCCGGCGGACCAGCCTTTCTTTGACCTGGGGCACCTTCAGGGCAAGATCATCGAAGACATGCCCCATGTGAAGTTTACTCATGCGCCTATTGTCACGCCCGCGCCTAGTCAGGAGCGTGGTGGCGATTTGCTGGTCAGTGACCTGAACCTCCAGGTCAACCCCGGCGACCATATCCAGGTGACGGGTCCTAATGGTGTGGGCAAGACGGCGATTGCCCGTGTGCTTGCCGGTCTTTGGCCCCTGTTCGATGGCCAGCTGGAAAAACCTTTGAACAGAGACATGATGTTCTTGCCGCAGCGCCCGCTTCTGACGACTGGCAGTCTCCGCGAGCAGATCATCTACCCGAACACGTACCAGGAGCACCTGGAATCAGGCCGCACCAACGACGATCTAATGGACATTCTGAAGCACGTGCACCTGGCCTATTTGCCGGAGCGCGAGGGCGGATGGACAACGCGCAAGGAATGGAAGGATGTGCTCTCGGGCGGAGAGAAGCAGCGCATGGGCATGGCCCGTCTGTTCTACCACCTGCCCAAGTATGCGGTCCTGGACGAATGCACTTCGGCTGTGTCCACCGACGTGGAAGGCCTCATGTACGCGCATGCCAAGGACCTGGGTATTACTCTCATTACGATTTCTCATCGACCTACGCTATTCAAGTATCACCAGTGGCTGCTTGACATTAAGGGCCACGACGACTTTGAGATTATAAACTTGGCGGGAGACAGCGAGCAGCTGACGATCGACCAGGAGATCGCGGAGCTGGAGGCCAAGGTGACTGAGGTGGACGTGTGGAAGAACCGCCTTGCGGAAATTCAAAAAGAGCTTTCTTTTAGTCGGACATAGTCTCGAAGATGCCGCGTTAGGTTAAGGTTAAGTACTAAGAATTGGGCCCAATTAGGGGAGAGAATCCAGTGGCTTGGACAGGCCCGATCGGTGGTCTGAGCGCTATATGGAGCCACGGACCCACCCTGCATAGAAACCATGGCCCTTCGAACGAGTCTTTTTAATGTTATACCTTACTTGAAAACGCCCATCATAGGCGCACCTATGGCTGGTGCAGCAGGCGCTGAACTAGCGTCGGCAATCACGCGGGGTGGCGGCCTCGGTTTCGTCGGAGCCGGCTACTGGGATGCCGCCAAGCTCGCTACAGAGTGGAGTGTCGTCAAAGAGAGGCTAGGATCGGCACCCCCCCGCCAGCGCCACCCTGCAGGAATAGGGCTGCTTGCCTGGAACCTGACGAAGAAGCATGGCAGCTGTGACCCACGTGCCCCCACGGCCTCCCCTGCTATCGAACTAATTGATGAGGCACTGCGTGCGCGTCCAAGTGCTATTATGGTCGCATTTGGAGTTCCTCGGGAAATGGTGACCTGGTGCCGCTTTCTTCGCGAGCGTGACCTGCAGGTGTCGGGTTGTGACAGCCCTGTCACGCTGCTTGTCATGGTCAACTCTTTGGAGGAAGCCAGGGCGGCTGTAAAAGACATTGGCGCCGACGTGCTTGTCGTCCAGGGACATGAGGCGGGTGGCCATGGTCATGCAAATGCACCTCCCCGGGATGTGCTCCTAAGCACCGTTCTGGACAATATCGCTTCTTGGAATGCGAGGTCGCCGCCAGTTGTTTCAGCCGGTGGAATTTCGGATGGACGCGCCATCGCGGCTCAACTCACCCTTGGTGCAGACGGTGTGCTGGTCGGCACACGGTTCTTGCTTACACCGGAGGCCACCTATTCGAGTGCACAAAAAGAGAAGTTGCTACGTGCCGTCGGCACAGACACGGTACGATCTCTTGCTTTTGATGATGCGCGTGGCACTCTCGATTGGCCAGATGGAATCGATGGTCGCGGACTGCGGAGCTCTACCGTCGACGAGTACGATGCCGCAGCCCAAGGACTCGAGAGACCCGTGCCGGGCCAGCCAGAACGGCACGCTCGCTACGTGCAGGCTCTACAAGCTGGGGATACAGAGCGCGAAGTCACCTGGTCAGGTGTTGGCATTGGACAAGTGCGCACGATTCAGCCTGCCGCCGAGGCAGTGCAGCACCTTCATACGACGACCGTGCACGCTCTCAAGCGCGTTTCTTCGTACCTCGCCGCACCATAGTTAGTGGAGGTCGCGTGGTGCCACGTGAAGGAGGTGCATCCCTGGCGCGCTCTCGTATACGGGCGATCTGCGCCAATGACCGTGACTGCTTCGGGCTCGCGCGAGCAGGCGCGACCTGATGACTCGGAAATCGAGCTGGGAAACCTTCGCGGGGGCTCGGTACCAGGCGTGGAGTCGGATTCGGCGCAGGCGCAGCTGCTTAACAGCGACGTACCGCGTTCATCGGCTCGTGACCTGCTGCAGAGCGCTAGCGATGTGGCAGGCCGCTCGGGTGCAGTTGCTGCAGTGATCAGCTACTGTATTGCCAGTATCTCCATGACAGTGATCAATAAGTTTGCTGTATCCGGTGAGAAGTTCACCATGAATTTGTTGGTCCTTCTTTGCCAGTGCACAGTGAGTGTGATAATCGTGTTGGTTGCGAAGCACTTGGGCTGGATTCAGATTCGCGAGCTTAACATGCGCGACGTCAAGACATGGTTCCCTATCTCTACTATGCTTGTGATTGTAATTTACACAGGCAGCAAAGCCTTGGTATGTGTGCCTCGCTTACCGCAGCAACATATGGACATTCCCATCTACACTATCTTTAAGAATCTGACGATTATCTTAATTGTGCGTAGCCACTGTACTAATTGCAGGCTTATGGGGAAGTAATCTGGTTCGATGGTCGTATTACATCGATGGTGTTTTTGTCCTTCGTGCTGATGGTGGCCTCCTCGGTGATTGCCGCATGGCCGGACCTGGCAACGTCTATCACCCCCACGCTGCACCGACGTGCCCTAAATGCCGTGGGCATGTACACGGGAGTTCCAGTTCCCTCTGTTTCAGCGCCATCCGCCGCGTCGTCTGTGGTCTCTCAGGTGTCACCCAGCGAAGTGCCCAGCCTAGGCACAAGCGGATACTTTTGGATGCTCCTCAATTGCTTGGTCAGCGCTACCTATGTGCTGGTGATGCGGAAGCGTATCAAGCTTACGGGGTTCAAGGATTGGGATACCATGTTCTTCAACAATTTGCTGAGTATCCCCGTTCTGCTCATCATGTCGCTTCTCGTCGAAAACTGGAGCAAAGAGACATTCGAGCACAACTTCCCAGCAGAGCGCCGCACATCCCTTATCATCGCGGTCCTTCTGTCCGGCACAGGGGGGGGTGTTCATTTCCTACACCACAGCTTGGTGTATCCGTGTCACTAGCAGCACTACCTACAGCATGGTCGGTGCACTTAACAAGCTCCCGCTGGCGCTCAGTGGAATTTTATTCTTTGGAAATCCAGTGACTGTATACAATTCGCTGGGAATTGCGGTGGGCTTTGTTGCTGGGTATGTTCAAATCGTCACTCATATGTCAGTCTTGTGTATGCCGTCGGAAAGAATAAACAAGCTGAGGCCACACGCCTGGCTAACTCGGCTGCTACAGGGGTTTCGGCACCCCGTTCAGGCGGGGGTCATATCTCCAATCCTAAGGGGGAGATTCCGACGCACAACCGTGACCGGCAAGAATAGTAGAATTGGGTTGTTTTGCGGCTCTCCACTAGCTGTAGTATTCACCTCCACCGCATCATAGTTGGGCACCGCACGAGCGCCATGACACCGTCCGTCGGTGGGGGCTCACAGTCAGGTGCTGCCACCGATCTCAGAGGTCTTCTCGATACGGTACGCCGCAACCACTAATTCAAGCTAAACTCACCCGTGTGTACATCAAATGAACGCATCTATGCCCTTGTACAGCTCGAGCATTTTGTGTCGGAACGTGTGCTCCACGACTTGCCTCACATCAAGAGGCAAGCACAAGAGCAAGGATTCCACCCATATACCTTCTTTAGGATGCTCGAGAGATGCTGTGATTGGTCACTGTATCAGCCAGAAGGGACTCACATCCTTGGTGCGTGTACGATGCCTAACCACGAGTGGCGGAACGACTTCTGGGTCTCCTTGGACGACTGCATATCCTGCTCAAAAACACAACACACGAAGACACACACTCTATGGGCGTAGAGATGAGCTGCGCGCTATCGCTATTGCAAGGCATGTGCCTGACTCATGGGGCCAGCAAACAGCTCTGCTCGTCCCGCAGCTCGCTTGAGCTTTTCCTGGCAATCCTTGGCGCTGACTACAGCCAAGCGACCGATACACAGTCATCCTTGCATCTACTAGCCTCTCATGCCATTGATACCCTCATGTGCGTGCTCGTGGATGCGTCACCGGACACGCGCCGCCTCTTCGAACAAGCGCATGGCTTGCGCATCGCCCGCCGAGTGATGAATGCACACACCGGGCTGTCACAACAGGATGATCAGGACCTCACTGGCTCCAAGTGTTTCGAATTTCTGCTGTTCTACTTAAAACCACAGGCGTTCGAAGAGCAAGCATCACAGCAATTACCGGCAACGGCCGCTCAGTCCATTTTCCAGCTACCTGAAACGCCCAAGCCCAGGCGTCGGCATGGCCGATCCAAGTCGGCGATCAATGCCACACCCTTCTATACTCCTATGTCCACCCCACGGACGCACCAACGTGTTCTGTCATACGGATCTCCCACAAAACACATTATGGGCGCGCGCGCGGCGGCACAGGCCGCTCCTCCCTTTGTGGGACCTTCAGACCGCGGACACCATGTGCGAGAATCAGACCCCCTTGACCCTTTACAGACACCCCGTGCACGTCCGCGGAAAATTCTGCGGGACCATTCGCCCGTGCGAGACCTGCGCCGCTGGGAATTTCCGCGCAAAGATCCGGCTGGCCCTCCCGCCGCAGGCGCCTCCTCAGCCGTAGAACCGACGCCTCCACCCGAGGCGCCCTGACACTTCACGTGACTTCTCTTGTCGTCACCATCGCAGGTCATTTGTATTGACACAGTGCGACGTCGTGGGTAATTTGGTCCATTTATTCTTCCTAGGTCTTCTTCTCCATAACAATAATGTCGGGACGTCAACAAAGAGTGATGCTCCAACCCATCAATGTCATTTTCCGGCATTTGCAACAACAGACGCGCGTCTCGCTCTGGCTCTATGACAATATCGAATACCGTATTGAGGGAAAGATTATCGTACGTACCACGTATTCGTCTTCTAACAGCTATACAGGGATTCGACGAGTTTATGAATGTCACACTGGCGGAGGCTGAAGAGGTTCCCTGCTCAGCGGAAAAGGCACGCAAGCCACTGGGTATGTATCTAATTGTGTGGATGCTGACGCGTGCGCCTCCGGCATGGCGGTCATCGCTGTTTTTTATTTTGCTATTTTTCTTTGTACGAAGGTCGACTTTTGCTCAAGGGAGATAACATTGTACGTATGGAGTGTACGCATCTGCCACCAGTTTGCGGCGCGTAGACAACTCGGGGAAGCTTCGTCTCTAAGATGTACGCCCAGCCAACGAATGCTCTACATGCCTCGAAAGGTGCTGGTGCTGCGCTTTTCTTGTGCAGGTACTAACTAAGTATAGACATTGATCCAGCCGGCCGTGTAGAACGATCCAGGATCCTAGGTAGTCATGAATGACTAAACATCTGACTCGTGGCTTATCGCCCCAATATGCAGGCCGCGAGCCCCACATGGATGATATCAGCCGGTCGGCCGGCAACTTGTGGGGTAGACGAGTCAGACCCTGAGTGGAAACGTCACTACTTATCAGATCCTTATTTACGCTACCTGCCTCCGCGATCCTCTATATATGTCTACTTTGGACTTGATGCCACGACGATCTATTCAAACTGTTATCAGCCACTTGAACAAGGCGGACGCGCCCCGCGCTTACAAGCTAACCCATGCGCCATTTCCACTCCGCCCCCAATCAGCTTTACGACTCCCGACTCCTAAACAATCCCAAAGCTTGCATGTGGCGAGGCCGATGCATCACATGCTGCACCAGTCTAGTGCACATTCATCGATGTATGCCTTCGCTACCTCGCAAAGCCCCGTCTATACGCAAAGCCTACCCTATGCCAGGCAACCCGCCTTAGCCACAGGAGCTATTTTTGCAGCATTGGGTTTGCTTTTCTTCTTCTCAAGTTTCGAGAAACCAATGTATGCAGATGGGATCTATCACGAAACCACACCCCTTGTCGCCGCAGCTCTTTGGATGGGTCATGCACGACGCACGCAGCCAGAGTCCGACAAAGTCCAGCTTGTGAAGGAGCTCGCCCACATTGGTTCATTGTAAAGCCCATCTTACCCGCATACCTTTGACGACAAATCAGTCACACATTCGAGTACGAGAGATTTCACGATACAGACACCGCTGTTCACCTCCTCTGTAGTATACACAGGCACATACGATCTGCCGAACGGTGTAGCCCCACCCGTCCAACTGCACGACCTCCAGGGCCAGGTGGAGCGCACACGTGACAACAAAAAACTTGGCCGTGCTGCTTTTCGTACGGCTCGTGCGATGGCGAAAGCAGGCGGTATGAGCGGCACGGGTGTCAGCCCCAAGGCAACTGGCACTGTATTCCGCAAGTCAGCCAAGAGATCCAAGACTCAATCTGTGCCTGAAGATAAGGAGTCAGGTGAAAAGCCTGTGAAGCGTGTCAAAGTACCGCCACCTCCAGCGGGCGCCAAGGCGGCGACGAAGCGTTCTCCACCTCACAGCACGCCAAAGCCCTCCAAGAAGGGATCTACTGTTGCCCATAAGCCGAATTCGTCTTTGGAGAAGGTGCCCATGAAGGCCAAGGTGGGGGATGTGCCCCTCAAAAAGCGTGAGCTTAGCAAGGCCGAGGCAACCATGCCAACGCACGCCGAGCCAGCGACTGTAGAGACGAGACGCGAGGTCTCGGCCAAGAATCCAGAGAAGTCCAAGAAAGAGATGGCACCACAGCCATCCTCAAATGGCTTCCGCATCGTGGCGGGGTCGTACGAGCGCTTCCTTTATGGTCTGGAGGGTTCCTTGCACCACACGGCCAACGACACGTATGAGGCAACACTTGTGCCCCGCTTCGTATTTCCTGCGCATGTGTCGTCGGTGCGCTCGGTGGCTTGCGCCGGTCGCGACTCCAAGTGGCTCGTGACAGGTGGTGTGGACGAGACCATCAAGGTGTGGGACTTGCGGCGCCGCAAAGAAGTTGGCGCTTTGACAGGCCATGAAGGCACCATTACCTCGCTCTCTTTTCCATCACGCACTTTCATGCTGTCCACGTCGGAAGACGGTACCATTAATCTGTACCGCACACGCGACTGGGCCCTGCTGCGTACGCTCCGCGGACACACTGGCCGGATCAATTCGGCCAGCGCTCACCCCAGTGGACGTGTGGCCCTGTCGGTGGGTGCTGACCGCACAATTCGCCTCTGGGATCTGATGCGAGGCGTCGGATCTGCGTCCGTGAAGATCGGCATTGAGGCAGATCGTATTCTGTGGGATACACAGGGTCGGCGCTTTGCTGTGCTCGCAGGCCGCCAAGTGATGCTATTTGGCACGGACATGTCCAAGTTGGCTGAGGTGGAGCAGTCGAAGCGCCTGCACGATGTGTACTTTGTGCGGGCTCCGGTGAACGGCGCCGTGCACGAGCTGATGCTTGTGGCCAGTGAGGACGGCCAAGTGCATGTGTACGACTTGGATGATCTCCAAGACACGGACGACGGTGCCACGCCACGGGCTCTTGTGCGACTTGTGGGGCACAAGAACCGCGTGCGCAGTGCACAGGCGACGCCGGTGTGTGCGGACGACGGTACTGAGCATGTCGTGGTGACGACGATCAGCTCTGATGGATTCATCCGAGTATTTGATCTCGACGCATCGAGTGACGCCGATTTGGAGGCCATCGGCGAATATGACACAAAAAAGTCGCGCTTGACTTGTCTCAGTGCTGTGGGCTACGATGAACTGGCTTCTACAGGTGACATCGACGAGGTACCGGCTGACGAAGACGCACTGGACGATGACGAAGAGGACGATGGTATGGACGCGACCCTCGATGAGGATGTCGGCGAAGGCGACGTTGACATCGACGAAGACACCGACGAGGAACTGTCTCGACTTGAGGAGGAAGTTCGTCAAGCACGTGCGGCGGGTATAATTGTCGAGGGTATGGACGACGAAGACGAAGACGAACAGGAAGATGAAGACGAGTACGAAGAAGAGGACGAGTAGGTAGCAGGATACCCTACACGAATTTGACACCCAACTGCTCTTCCTCTCCTGCCGCCTCCGTGCCGCCAAACAACTGCGCGCATCCCCGGGCCGCGAGGGATCGAAGCGCCAGCATGAGTATGGGTAGTGGAAGTGCGTGCTGCTCGGCAAAGGCACTGTGCTGCAGCTCGTAGACTGTCAACACTGATCGATTTTGACCCGTATTCTTGATCCACTCGTAGAGCACATCGCCCCACTCGCTAGGTGTGTGCCAGTACACCCAAATCTTGCTTCCAGGTTCACTAGTACCGGCGGGTACGGCCTCGGCGCCCGCTACACTTAGCGCATGCATGCGGTGGTCCGCCTCGACCTGACCCACCCGCAAAGGCTTCACGCCTTTGGGCAGTGGCGGGTCGTATGCAGCGCGGCCCTGCTGTACCAGGTACGCGAAAAGGACACGCACCATATCAGGAGAAAGCGCCCGGTCGATTGTTCGATGACAAAACAGCTCCGATGTGCGTTCCCACTCGCCGCCAGCCTGCAGGACGAAGCGTTTGTGCGCCCGACAATACGAGAGCACCAAGCGCGCCCACATCTCGACCTGAGTAGCAGCTGTTTCTGGATTCGGCTGCAGCGTGTAAAATGGAGCAAAATCATGTATGCGCGGGAACTCAAAGTCAGGCGCTGCCATGGTCGTCCGGAGTAGCGACACGCCGGCTTCAGTGTGGGGCGCCGAACACGGTCTGCTCTGGACGACGCTCCACATGCTGAGCTAAGCCTTAATATCTGTCGCAGGGCCGTGGCCCTCGTGGTACCACCATGTCTGGGCCACCGAGCATGGACCAGCCGCAGGCAGGACCGCTCTATGCCCCTCCCCCCGAGTTTCTCAAGCACAACGAGACACCTAGAGAAAGACCACAGTATAAGACGCATAGTGACGATCCAATGCGACTGAGCGCCATGATCTCTGACCAGGAGTCGAGCCGCGTTGCACCAGAGCGCGTGGTGAGTCCAGCACCAGACGCTCTCAGCCTGGTCGTGGAGCCGAAAAGTCATGTTCAAGAGCCAGCACATGAGCAAATGCGACACTCTGAACCACGAGATGTTCCCTCCGTACGACCTACCCCGCCTATATCACGCATCGGGGCACCTGGGAGCGACGGTCCCGTGACATTTGGCCCCTCTGCGCCGGTCACGGACGCTGCGCCCGCTCCCCCTTCTGCGTATGCACGGGCACCTGTACCCGTACGGGTGCCTGCACGCGAGGCGGAGCCGCACCATGCGCGAGATGAGTTAGGTCCTGCTCTTTCCCGTCCTTTGCCTCCTCGAGGCACCGAGCATAACGGGCCTGCTGCAGCGATGCCCTACGACGCGTCCACACAGCCGAAGCGCCCAGAGTATGCACCTTCGAATGACCCGCGGAACGTATCAGCCCCCCATGTGCCCTTTCCTCACCACCACCACCACCACCACCGTTATCACCACCATCACACGCCTCATGTGCCGCACATGCACCACCACCACCACTCTTCTGCGCATGCACACGCCGACCCGAGCGCAGCATTGCATGCAGGGACTCATCCCGATGAGGCACGTGAAGGCGCGTCGTCCTCCCATGTGCTACCGCCTCGGGGGAATACTCACCACGCGCACCATGTCCATGGTGGCCATATCCACGCACACCCACACCCGCACCCGCACCCGCACCTGCACCCGCACCCGCATGCGCACCCGCATGCGCACCCGCATGCGCACCACCACCACCACCACCATCACCACCACCACCACCACCATGCACCGCCTCGGCCTGTCGAGTCCGAGCTAAATGGCCCAGTATCAGGGCCACCGCCGGCTCCGGCCCAAGCGCCCGTCGAAGAGTCCAGGCCGGCAGCAAGTGCTGCTGACGGGTCAGTCCCGCTGGCATCGCTTGAAGCACAGCTGGACCCTATGGAGCTCAAATTGCGCGAGCTAAGCTCCGGGCCTCGCGTCGATAATGAGCCCGTGTGGCAGTTCCTTGACCGGTGCGAGCAAATGGAGGAAATGGCGCGGCGCGAGCACCAGGGCGAATCGACACAGATGGGACTGCCGTGTGGCCTCGGTCTGGACCGCGGGCGGGCGGTGAAACACCTTGGCTCGTTTGTGTACGACCCCACTGGCCCCTCGGGGCTCTCTCCCGAGTTGCTCGTGCAGAATGTCGGGGCCACCGTCGAGATGCGCATTAGCGGGCGCACCATCGGCCTCGGCATCACTGAGGATGAGTGGCAACAGGAAGAAGCGCGCCTACAGAAAGAGGTGCTGGACCGCATGGAAAAGGAGGCACGCAATGGAGGCACGCCGTCGGTGGGTGTCTCGCCTTCACCGGCGTCGGTGCCGCCGGCCGATCTCTTCCGTGGCCGCTGGCGCCTCGGGTGGCGCGGCTTGGAGCATGCACGTATCAACCGCGAAATCCGCCTCTCGCAAACGTGGCATGAGCAGCAGCAGCAAGCGCACCGCGACAAGCGCCTGCGGCGTTCACTGCTGCCCACGTACCGCGCGCGTAGCATGGCACCTGCCCGGCCTGTCTCGGACGCACAGCTCGAACAGGCAGCATGGGACTTTTGGGCGCAGCCGAGTCTCGAGCAGCGGAAGCTGTGGGGCACTGACGTGTACACGGACGACTCGGACGTGCTGGCCATGTGCGTACATGCGGGCTGGATTGAGGCGCCCCCGATCCCTGGCGTGCCCGAGTGGCTCAGTGGCGGCGGCAGCCGCCGTGTGGCGCAGGCGTGGACCACGCTCTCTGAGCGCCAAGCCAAGGCAACGGGGGAGCCTCTGCCACAACGGCCGCCGGCAGAGCCAGTGTCGCTGGTCCCCCACTCGACGTGCGACCTGTCTGTGATTCTGCGTATCGCGCCGAAGCTGATACTGTACAAGGGATGCCACCGCGGGGGTGTACGGAGCCGCAGCTGGGGCAACACCCACGACGGTGTCAGCCTTGTCGTCGAAAGCGTCGAGCTGCGCGCACCCAACTATGCGGCCGGCACGGGGCGGCGCTCGATGAAGGCGCGCCTCCGGCACATGGCCCAACTGCGCATGCTCGCCGCAGCTGTGCCGGTTCCCCGCGCGCTGGCAGCCAGCAATGCAGCTGGGCCACCGGCGACGGAGGACGACGCGGCGCCGGCCTTGGCGCTGCCGCGGCTTGCTGCGCCAGGCACTCGGTCGTTCTGGGAGGTACAGCCGGTATCGTCTCGGTAGGTAGGCACTATGTATGTGGCCGGGCGCGTCGTACCGCAGTACAGCAATACGGACACGCAGTGGCTGCCTTTCTGTATGCGACGCAATACACCCAAGGCCTCCTGGCTGTGAGGGCAGGGTACCTTGGCGTGGCAGGCCCCGCCAGCGGCGCTGGCGGGCTAGCTGTACCGCATTTCCACTATCTAACCACTGTAGTAGCGATCGCCATAGTCGCCCAGGCCTGGCAGGACTGGCGTGAGCAATATCCACGTACTATATTGTTGGTCTGACAGGCACGCATCGACCCAGGCGGAGATCACACGCACATCCGGGAAGGCCTGCCAAATATTCTGCAGGCCCTCGGGACTGGCAATCATGTTGAGAAACAGAATTTTGCTGGGTTGCACGCCATGGTCGACGAGCACCTGCATGGCCTGGATGGCCGAGCCGCCCGTAGCTGGTGTCAGTGCGTGGTCGACCTACCGAGCATGGGGTCGAGCAGCAGGACCCACCGGTCCGCAATGTCCTCTGGGAGCTTGGCATAGACTTTGTTAGTTGCGCAGACGTACATAGCTTGGGCTTGGCGGTGCCCTCGTCCTGCGATCAGTGGACCTGCACATACACGCTGAATGCTGTGGTTAGAGCAGGGACGTACAGAATCTTGCCGATGCGCACGCTCCGGCAGCACTCGCGGAGACCTGCCTCCATGGCCTCGCCGGCACGCAGGATCGATACTCCGCAGATGCGCCCTTGGAACGCGACACCCTTGTACGACATGCCTGTTGGCGTCTCGACGCTGTGCTCGACCACGGGCAGGTGGTTCAGGCCCTCTTCGACCAGCAGGCGGATGATGCGGTCCGAGTAGAAAATAAAGTCGGAGCGCTGCGTGTTCTTATCGCGGATCATCGTGAGCAAGGCATCTAATCGTTAGGCCCAGCACGTACGCAGCTGCGGCGTGACAGTGAGCCGCTCTGCGTTGGGCGGCAGCGGCCCCGGCTCGCCCACGTCCGTGCCTACCATCGTGGAGAGACCGATGATTGCTTAGCTAAGACCATCTAGGCCGGGCGTCGGTGGCAACAACCTCCCACCGTTCTGACATGTCGGCTGCTGCGCCCACTCGCGAGCAGATCAAAGCGCTGTACCGCGCGCACCTCGCGACAGCGCGCGCCTTTGTATGTACCTCGAACTCACATCAGAACTCGTACAATTTCCGCCAGTACTTTGAGCGCCGCGCACGCGACTCGTTCCGCGCCTACCTGTACCCCGGCACGTCGGAGGTGTCGCAGAGTGTGAGCGCGAGTGTGGAAAAGCTGTCCAAGGTGCCTACGTCGACGTCAGCTGCTGTCCCCGCGCCCCCAACCCCGTCGCTCGCTGAATTCTACGAGGACCAGCGTGCCGAGCTCAAGGTCCTTCAGCGTGCAGCGGTGGTCAACCAGATGTACGCCGGCGACCGCCTCGTGGTGGAAGATCCGTCTCTGCGCGACTGGATTGTGCGCTCGTCTGACCAGATCGGCACCGAGAAGGACTAGCCACTGCCCGGATACCCCAGCATGACCGCCGTAGCAAATGAAAGATAGAAACTATATCCAAACGAAGGTTCTACGAGGTGTTGTCCATGGTCCACGCGTCGTGAAGCTTATCCATCAGAAGGCGGAACGTCGACAAAGAGCCACGCTCATGCGTAAAGGTAACACTCGTCGCAAACGAGGGCGGCTGGCTCGGCGACTCTGCCCCCACGGACGGCAGCATGGGACTCGCCGCGCCGCCCAGCGCCGGCGACATGGGCCGCCGCGCGGCCCGTGGGTCAAAGCCCGGTATGCCCGGCGACAGCGGTGCACCGAGCCTGGGCGACGTCCCATCGCCATGGCCACTGCCACTCGCCACCCGGCTCGGCTGCGACCTCACCGGCAGAATCGTGTATTCCACACGGAAACGCATCGGCTTGCACTTGGTGCGCACCTTGGTCGCGGGATCCACCAGCTCCTCCAGCAGGTATTGCAGTGCACCCTGCTGGGTGAGCGGCAGGCTCATCTGCGAGCGCGCCGCTTGCGTCGGCGTCGAGCCCAGCTGCTGCAGCAGTTGCCGACTCTGCTCCACCGTCACCGTCAAGTTCTCCACGGACATAAGTACATGCGTCTGGCGCCTCGGCAGAAGCGTGTGGAACCACGAATGGCGCGCTCCCAGCGATGGCACCTCACCACTGATCGGTGACGTGGGCCGCGGTACATGCGCAGCCTCCTTCTCAATACCCACGATATCGAGCCCTAGCCCTGTGAGCTCTTCATCATTACCTCCTCGCAGCACGCCCATCAAGCTCCGACGCGGGCGCAGCGAGGGCCGCGACGAACTGCCCGACGCCGCACGCTGACCGCCCATCCGAGGCGACATGGGCGGTCCCACCTTGCTGCTAGCCACCGGTGCAGGACTTTGTGGCGTTCGCATCGATGGCGTGTCTCCTAGCGCTGGGCTCTTGGCTCCGCGGGATGCTGCCACACTTGGCACAGGCGACGCAGCCACCTTGGGCGCTAGTGAGGTGAGCGGCGGTAGCTGCGACACCCCCGGCACTGGGCTCTGGGGCTGCGCCGTCGCAGTCGTTGGCGCCGGCTGCGACACCCCCGGCACTGGGCTCTGGGGCTGCGCCGTCGCAGTCGTAGGCGCCGGCTGCGACACCCCCGGCACTGGGCTCTGGGGCTGCGCCGTCGCAGTCGTAGGCGCCGGCTGCGACAACACACGCGGCGCGGGCTTGGTCACCGGCGGCACGGGGCTTTGGGCTGGTGCCGTGATGGGCACACGCACCTGCGGCTCCCCTGGGTCCAAAGCACTGGCAGGACGGCGAATTAACACCGGCGATGACGGCCGCATTGTACCGAGCGTGCTCGCAGGACGCGCTTGCAGCAGAGGCGGCGACTGGGGCGGCAGTGCGCCCTCTGTCGGCTGTGCTGTCTTGGGTACCGCCGGCATGTCGCGCGCACCCATAGGCTGCGGCACCTGCGGCATGCCTGGCTGGAACGCCCGGCCCTCAGTCGAGCGTCGGCGCGTCAATGGCTCACTCATACGGGGGCGCATTGCGGGACGAGGAGCGCGCGTCAGTGGCTCACTAGGGCGCGGCTTGGCCGGCGCCGGGCACTTGGCAAATGCCGCGTACACTGGCGTCGGCACACGGGAGCGCGGCTGGCCAGGGGCAGGCGCCGTTGCATCTACACTTGCCACAAGCAGCGATGTCTCGTCCGCGTCCTCGTACCGGTTGAGGCTGCTCATTGAGGACTCATTCAAAGAGTCCTGGGAAATCGACGATTCCGACACAACGAGCGGCTGCACCGCGGGTACCGACTCGTCCTTGGGATCCGAGTCGATTTCCATGCTAGGTGCCTGCTTCTGGGGCGCAGACACAAGCGGTGACTTCGCTGCTCCCGAACGTGTCCATGGAGTACCGTAATTTGGCATAGAGAGCGCATCGCCCATTGCGTCAAGCGAGTCGAGTTCGTCGGCGATTTCCCGCATAAACATTCGCATCAAAGAGTCATCGCCCTCGCTTGTCTGAGACACGTTGCGCTTGGACGGTGTCGTTTGCTGCAGCGATGGAAGACGCTGTGTCCATGAGGTGGGCGCTGCAGGCGAGCTTTGCACAGGAGAGCGCTTCTGCTCTGGCGCTTGTGCACGGCTCGTGGGCTCTGGCGAACCAGCTAGCGAGACAGAAGGCGACTGCACTGTCACCACGGGCGGCAAAGGCAACCGGGTCGTCGGTGACGCTGCCTTATTTGCGGGGACAATGTGAATAATGGTGGACGATGTATCCGTCAACTCACCAGACTTGGATGCCTCTGCTGGAGCAGGCGCCTCTGCCGGAGCAGGCGCCTCTACCGGAGCAGATGCCTTAGCTGGGTCAGGTACAGGTCGCCTTTGGGTCATCGGCGCCGGCTTAGGTGCAGGTTGCGAAACAGGCGATACGGGACGGTCAGAGTATGCAAGCGCAGAGGCCTTCATGGAGACACGGCCTTGGGCTGGCGCAGGAGAAACATTCCGTGATGCAGGCATAGAGGCAGCTGGCGACGCGGAAGTAGATTGCGGCTGCTGCTGACTCGCGGTGGACGACGAACGCAAAATCGGCAGTGACGCCTTACGTCCAGCAAAAGGCCGCGTGTGAAAGAAAGACGAAAGACGACGTCCAGGAACGTGAGACTTAACGTCTTCCCGACTAAGAGGCTGAGTCATTATAACCTTGGCCTGCTCAGCCTGGTGCTGGGTGGCTTGAGGATGCTCGGCTTTCATTTGTTCGGCCTTGGCCTGCTCAACCTTTGCTTGTTCGGCCTTGGCCTGCTCAATCCTAGCCTGTTCAGCCCTAGCCTGCTCAGCTCGAGCCTTTTCGGCCTTCATTTGCTCGACCTTCGCCTGTTCGGCCTTGGCCTGCTCAATCCTCACTTGTTCGGCCTTGGCCTGCTCGGCCTTGGCCTGTTCAGCCTTGGCCTGCTCAATCCTCGCTTGTTCGGCCTTGGCCTGCTCGGCCTTAGCCTGTTCAGCCTTGGCCTGCTCAATCCTTGCTTGTTCGGCCTTAGCCTGCTCAACCCTTGCTTGCTCAGCTTTGGCCTGCTCAATCCTTGCTTGCTCGGCCTTGGCCTGCTCAATCCTTGCTTGCTCGGCCTTGGCCTGCTCAATCCTTGCTTGCTCGGCCTTGGCCTGCTCAACCCTTGCTTGCTCAGCCTTGGCCTGCTCAACCCTTGCTTGTTCAGCTTTGGCCTGCTCAACTCTGGCCTGCTCAGCCCTGGCTTGTTCAGCCTTGGTCTGCTCAGCCTTGAGCTGCTCTTGCTTCTTCTGATCCGATAGAGCCTGCTCGACTTTGGCCACTTCAGCGCGCATCCGTTCGGCACGAATCTGTTCAACCTTCGTCTGCTCCATTAACCATGCGGCTGCGGTCTTCCCCTGGCCCGACGATACCGACCTGTCTTTCGGCGGAGTCGGCGGAGCAGGCGCGGGAGCTTGCTCGACCATGGATACAACGGCAGAAGAATTGGGCTGGGTCTTTATTGCTCCTGGTGAATGCATTGTAGGTGGCGACGCCGACGCCGACGCCGACGTAGCACGGGCCGGGTCAACGACAGACGCTGAGACAGGACCAGGCTGTCGGTCAGTCGGCAGATCGCGGGCAGCTGACCCACTCGTTTTACGCGCATCCATCACAAGACCCAGACTGTTGTTGATCATTGCCGAGCCCATAGCTGCGGGTACAATAGGCGGCAAGGCTTTGGGAGAAGCAGGCTTCGTATTGACCTGACCGGTTGCTAGTGTCCCCGGCAGCAGCTGCGTCGGCACTGGAGGTGATGTCGCATGCTTCTGTTCCTCTTCCCGCTTCTTCTCCAATGCCAAGTTGTCATCTTCATCGAGCTCCTCCAAGTCCTCGTCTTCGTCGTCCGTACCATATGTATCACGATGGATTACAAGCAATGAATAAAAGGTCTTTTGCCAGTTCGGGCCCGGCTCTAGCAGGCGGCGGATAATTCGTTCGTGTGACAACTCTGGCCACAGAGTGCTCAAATTGCCGAGGATATCCGGGTCAATGTCTGCTAGGTTCACAGGCTCATTTGAAAGAGCGCTGACTTCCCTCGACACAGGGTTTTCTGATGACAGCCGACCATTGTCTGTGAACCAAGGGTGGGAGCAAATCTCGCGCATCGTGGCACGCTTTTGTGGATCTGTCTGTAGCATGCGTGAAATGAGGTCTCTGACACTGGGCTCCAGATGATTGGGCATCGCAAACTTTCCAGAGCGTACCTTCCCCAACAGCATCTGGATGTTAGGATCATCAAAGGGCAGTCGACCACAGAGCAGGGCAAAAAGAATGATACCACAGCTCCAAATATCACTAGCAGTGCCGTCATAGGACCGGCCACTGACAATTTCAGGCGATGCATAGTGGGGACTGCCACAGCTGGTTTCCAACATCTTCTCAGTTGTTTGCAGAGCAGCCATGCCAAAGTCAGCAATCTTGACCGTGGTCCTAGTGCCGTCAAGGAGAAGGTTCTCGGGCTTCAGATCACGGTGACAAATGCTGAATGTATGGCAATAGTCCACACCAAAGATAATCTGGCGGAAGTACATGCGCGCCTCGTCCGCAGGCAGTCGGCCCCGGGCCACCAAGAAGTCAAAGAGCTCGCCACCAGCCACATACTCCATGACCAGGAAAAGCTCCTTACTCGTCTCATACACATCCCAGAGGCCCAGCAGATTCGGGTGCTCAATGAGCTTCATGATCACGATCTCACGCTCGATGCCCAGCGTAAGCTTATCCTGCTTTGCACTGAGATCGCGGAGGCTCATGCGGCTATTAATGAGCATTTGCTTAGGAATAATCTTCACGGCCGCCATCTGCTGCGTGCGCGAGTGTATGGCCAGTCGCACACGACCTGAGGCTCCCTGTCCAACGAGCTTACCAAGTTTCCAAGGTCCCACGTTAGGTGGATCATTGTAGTGGCGCTTCTTCTCTCGTTCTAGACGCGTCGGCGGACGCGAAGCGTCAGGCATAGGTACACGTGGTTGTATGATCGGAGGCGCAGGCTTGGCCTGCGCCGGTGTGCGCGCAGGGAGTGCAGAGCTCAGAGGAGCCTGTGCAACAGATGCACCCGTCCGAGCCTGACTGCCGTGGCGCTTGTCAATCATAGTTGCCATATCTCGTGTCCGCTTTCTGGATCCTAGCGTGTTCGTTGCCGTCTGCAAGGGCTGTGTTACTGTGCGCAAGGCTGCGGCCTGCCGCGATACCTTTGGAGGAGGCGCACCCGATGCTGTATTCAATACAGACATACGGCCCGTCACTGACCGAGCACTAATTGCCAACCTTGGCAATCGTCTCCTAGGTGATGCTGGTCAATAGGGAGAGGGAGGGGACTTCGAACGGGGGTTTGGCGCACCGTCCGCGTCGCGCCTCTGCACGGCAGGCGCGTGCTCGCCTAATCATACATAGGGCTACATGGGGGGGATCGCTGCGAACGCCGACTATGACCCCTTGCACATAACTGACACGGGGTCCACCCACGTCCCACGTGGCATTTTTTTCTCGCGCGCGACCTCGCATCTGGCTTACGTTCGCGTCTGGGATGGTGGGTTAGTAGGTAGAAAATTCTGCTGTGTCAATGTCCTCCTCAGGTATACATACTCCCACAATCATTGTAGGGATCTACGCATGTCAGTTAGATTTCACGTACATTCCATTTATCACGCCGGATCGTGAAGCTGAAGCAGCATGAGATGCATGCGGGCGTATTCTTCGTCGCATCTACTGTAGAAGGACTGTATTCAGTGTCACCTTCTCCAGGGTGGTTTTCTTGCAGAGAGTTATCCGCGGCCTCCGACGCCTGCGCGGAGGCCATGGCCCGGGCGAGGACGCAATTTTTCGTTTTCAGCTTGCACATGGTAAGCACTGCCTTCTGACTGGGGTCAAAAGATACAGAGCCATATTTTTCCCAATAGTTTACTGCACTCTCCTCTGCCATGAGCTCGTATATACAAAGGCGTCCATCGCGCAAAGATTCAATGGGCATGCCCACGAGGTTGGCAAATTCCTTGTTGCCCTTATAGATTTCACCAGTGCGCCTCCATAGACAGGCAGGAATCCCTTGGATGCTAAACACTCGGTCGTAATCCAGCAGCAGCCGCTCGAATGCCTCTTCGATGTAAACAAGGTCATAGTTTGTCAGGTTCTTAGCCAGTGATGAAAAGACAGGTTGAAAGACAGAAAGGAGCTTCAGGATACGCCGCCGGGAAGAAGCAGACACATTGTTTTCCATCCAACGGTTCAGGCGGGTATAGCCGTGCACATGGTTATAGGGTCGAAGCAAACCTGCTTCCCATTTTGCTTGAATAACCTTCCGCAGACGCTCATCACGACTACCATCAGTCTGGTCAGCTGCTGTTAGGAGGAATCGTTCTGTCTTCGATGCTGTCTTACTCAGCGACGGAGGGTATGGCGGGGCAGAGTGCTCCTCTGCAGGCGCCGATGGCGGCGGCGGTATTTGTGGCGCCGAAGCCGCCATCTCTGCATACCGATCCTCCATTGATTCCGATGCTGCTTCCGGTTTTCCAGAACCAACATCACTCACTGAATGCCGACGTGGGCGCTGAGAATTGTTATTGTCCATGCGAAACGATGAATGGGGTTCCAGCAGCGACAAGGGGCCCGTGTCTGTAGCAGGAAGAGATGTACTGGGGTCCGTCGTGGCCATTGAGGGTGGCGAATCCAGCAGCCCCTCCGTTGGTAGTCGATGAAGCAACGAACCATTCATAGACAGACATGACTCAGTTTTGGGGGGTACCAACATCAGGTCCTCTGTATGGCGATCATCCAGTGACTCAAGAAACTCACTTAGCAGGTTGATTTCGCCACCACTGCCAGCATCACCAGTCAATTGTGTTGAGCCTCCGAGACCCAGCCATGCTGTACCTCCCAGCTGCGTACCGTGTCTGTGTGTTGTCTTTCCTGTGTTGACATTCACAGCAGAAGGGCGCACCGTCAAAGATGACGTTCCGAACATAGGCTGGGATGTCCCACTGAAAGCCCTCAATTCATCCGCGTTTGTCGGCGGATTATTTGTGTAGCTTTCCAGCTGGCGCAAGAGCGGCACCGTCGAGTCCATATCGCGCTTCGTTTTATGAGATTCCCATGAAGCATCCGCCCCAGAAGCGCCAAAGCCCATTGGAAAGGAACTCATGCCGTGTCCAAAAGTTGCAGAAAGACTCGGATTTATCGTATCCTGCGTAAATGAAGGACTCTGGGAAGACCGCAGCGTCTGCTCAAGTGTTACCATGCCAGAATTTTTTAAAGAATGCTCTAGATTTTGATGAACAAGGCCTGTACTCGAGGCGATGTCCACTAGAGCCTGCGGCGAAATCATCGTGGTCGACGATGGCGAAATAGGGGACTCTGCTTGTTTCCTCGCGCTTCGGTTCCGAGATGACCCAGAATTTGATGGCGTAACTTCGTTTCGACACAAATGCCCAATGTCGCGCTTAATACTGATAGTTAGTCGATGAAACGTACCATCGTTGGCAAGGGCGGTTCTCGTCGCATGTCATATGGCTTCTTCGGCAATAAATGCAGGCCATATTTACCTTCCTTCTTGTCTGCTTCTTTTTTGGTTGGGGTAAATTGTTCTCATTTTGTGACATGGAGTTCTCATCTCCTTCTTTTGTAAGTCCAGACGAAGTTGGCTGCTGCGATGTCGCGTCACGCTTGGCCGTGCGCGCCATCGCTTCCAGGCGAAGTCCGATGTGGAAATAGGTGCTTGGCGTTAGAGGGGTCTCCCTCCACGTGGAGACCATGTGGGTAAAACTGCGGTAAAAACGGGAGAATCTCATTTTTGCGTGTTACAAAATTATTGTCCGAGGAAGGAATCTCGCCACCGCGCTATAGCTTTTTAACACCTTCTCCGGGCAGCGGGCGGATCGAACTGGGCAATCTTAAACTCAGGTATCATCTCAAAACACTTTTATAAATCTAGGATGTTCGCTACTCCTGTGCTGCGCGATGTGCGCTCTTTGACGCCACCGCCGGACAATGTCGACGAGCTTGCAGCTGTGCCAGTGGCTAAGACTAGCATCGGCCAGCCCCTATACCGCGGATCGACGACATTGCAGCTAAAGTCCGTCCTCTCCGGCGTCGATGTCGATGCGTGCGAGGCTGATGGAGAAAATGCTTTTTTTATCGCTGATCTGGCACAGGTGTACCGTCAGTACATGCGATGGCGCCGTGAACTCCCCCAAGTCATCCCTTTCTATGCAGTCAAGTGCAATCCTGAACCGATGGTTCTCCAGCTTCTCTCTGCTTTGGGAATCGGCTTCGACTGTGCTTCTAATGGTGAAATCCAGACAGTGCTGGATATGAATGTTTCACCCTCGCGCATTATCTACGCGAACCCATGCAAAGCATCCTCGTTTGTGCGCCGTGCAAAAATGCAGAATATTGGCTTGACGACGTTCGACAACATGGACGAGCTGTACAAAATGAAAAAATTTCACCCTGACTGCAAGCTGGTCATCCGTATATTGACTGATGACTCGAAAAGTGTGTGTCAACTGGGCATCAAGTTTGGTGCTCCGCTGAAGGATGTGCCGCGCCTGCTGGAAAAGGCGCGCGAGCTTGAGCTCGATGTGGTCGGCGTTAGCTTCCACGTCGGTTCCGGCTGCTATGACCCTGAGGCGTACCGCGACGCCGTTGACCGAGCTCGCCAGGTATTTGATATGGGACGTGGATACGGTTACGAGTTTGACTTGCTGGATATCGGTGGCGGCTTTGAGCATGATAACTTTGAAGCTATTGCTAGTGTTGTACGCTCCTCGCTCGTCCAATACTTCCCGGATGAAGAATTTGCGCCAGGTGGCTCGCGGATGCCAGAACACCCCCATGGTCTCCGCATCATCGCCGAGCCTGGTCGCTACTTTGTTTACCGCGCATTTACCCTTGCCACCAATATTATTGCTCGCCGTCTGAGTGAAAATGAGGACGAAGACGGTAGTGGTATGAAGCCGATGGCGATGTACTACCAAAATGATGGCACATATGGTGCGTTCAACTGCATTTTGTTTGACCACCAAACTGTGCAACCAAAAGTTCTCTCGATGGAGCGCGAATTTGTCTACCGCGCTGACCTGCCTGCTCCAGGCATCGAGGCGGACACCTTGCAGCCCTGCAGCGTATGGGGCCCGACTTGCGACAGCATGGACTGCATTCTCAAGCTGACGCATCTACCCCACAATCTCGACGTTGGGGACTGGCTTGTTTATGAGAACATGGGTGCCTACACTCTGTGTGCTTCGTCGACGTTCAATGGGCTTGCGCCGGCCCAGGTCCGCTACACCGTCGGTTGCGACGCTGTGGAACAAGACTGTGTCCCTGACACAATTCTTCGGCTGCTTAAGCATACATTCGAGTGTTAATGTTTCAATAGCATGTGTACTATAGTCTAGCGACGCCGCCGCTTTTGACCCAGCTTGTTGATATTGATCAAGTCGGATTCGATTTCAAAGTCCTTGGCCAAGGTCAGCTGGCTTAGACACTTCGCAGTGTCCCATCGCAGACGCCCACCTCCCGATGACAGAAGCGGCGTAGTGGGTGCGTCGTCGTCTTCGGAGCGTTCTGAGGGCGTGGACACCAACTTGCTGCCCTTCTTCTTGCCCTTTCCATTTGATGCCGTAGCTGCTAGACTGACGCCTGCCAGCAGCGACGTTTGCATTGAAAATGTATCAAGCAGGGGCAAGCGCATCTCTGTACCCTCTGCGTCCTTACACAGCAAGGTGTTCTCATCTGCGCTGGCCGCAGTGATCGTTGCGGCTGCCTCCATTTCGGACCAGCCGAGCAACTGGGCTACAGCATCCACAACGCCTTGGCGGCTGCCTGTGGCAGAGTCCTCATAATCGAGCAGGCGTCCCAAACGCGTGGGGCCCCCATTAGGGTGGCTGCTTTTGTTCCGCAGCTGTCGCGTGGAGTGCTGCCGTTGCGATGGCTCCAAAAGAAAGTCGGCAGCGAAATCACCTCCGTCGCGCTCCTCTTTGAGGCGGTGCTTGCGCTCTTCAATCACAGCCAACAGCTTGTCGCGCACATGGCGCTTGGCCAGGCGCGCCTCGTCTTCCACCTTGCTCCGCTCGGCCTCAGACGAGCGCTTACTGCGTTCAACGAGAAAAGCATAGTATAGCTCTGCCGACCGCAATTGCGCTCCACGCTCGACTGTGCGGTCGGCCAACTGCAGCGCATACTCACGCACCAGCGACGGCCGGGTGAGCAGGGCATGGTGCATGGACGACAGTGAAACGTAGGCCTCGTGGTATACAGGGTCCCTGTTTTCGAAACCCTCCCAGTGTGTGCGCTCCAGACGATCAAGAACTTCCTTGCGCTTGCGGTCACGCTTCGAGATAGGGGCTTCAGCTAGCGGAGGTGGCATGCGCTTCGGCGGACGATGCGAGCCACTTGGTAGGCGTGCAGGTGGTGGCGCAAGTCCAGGATCATGCATGTTGCGTGATATTGGCATTCTCATCCCCATTTCCACAGCCATAGGATCGTGCGCCAACATGGCTGGGTCATCATGGAGGGGCGGACGCATGTCCGCGTTGCCCGGCCCCATGGGAAAATAATCCATAGGCTCCATAGCATAGCGTCCATGGCGTGGCGGAGATATGGACCGCATGGGGTGATCCGGAGCTCCACCGCTGTAGGGAGGCCGGTGATGCTCGGTCAGAGGCGGCGGCCCTGGGCGGGGAGGTGGGCCGTAGAACCCCGGGTCAGGTACAGGTATCGAATGCTGCGGTGGAGGGGCGTCGTAGTAGTACGGCGGCGGTCCTTCAGGCCCATGACCCATCACTGTTCGGTATTCTGCCGAGTGAGCCAACGACATACGTACCATGGGGGGGCGCCTCGTACGCCATCGTCGTCAGACGTCCTTCCGCGGGCCTCCTGCGCTGCAACCTGTCGCGGATTGCATGTGGAGGATATCGGCCGAGCCACGCGACGGGTCCGTAGCGCTTTCATCGCCGACCGCCCACCGTCTCCGCGCGCTGTTCCAAGATGTTTGCGACTCGGGTTGCACGTTATGTGCCTTCGGCCGTCCGCGCGAATGCGACCCAATTCATGCGCACGAAGCGCACCACGAACATGGCTGGTCTAGAGATTCACCCGGACCCCCTGCCTGAGCTCGAGTCGTTGTATACCAAGACACTCGGTGTTCTCGAGGCTCTGCCCTCTTCGGCCGTATTCCGCCAGTCATCGGAGGCTGTGACGCAGCAGCGCCTGTCAATTGTGCGTGCTGCGATGACCGAAAACTCGCGCAGGAATGCGTACGCCTCGGAGGCTGCCATCGATGACGTGGTCAAGGAGCTGGACGCGGGTCTGATCGAGGAGATCCTCGACCAGGCTCACGACGAGTTCCACCTCGCCACCAAAATGATCGACTGGAAGCCGTACGTACTCATGTGCTGGATACTAACTGTTAGGCACGAACCCCTCCAGGTTCCCGCGCCCCCGGGCCAGTGGAAGGGCTTCAGTATGAAGGAAGCTACCGGCGAGGGCCTGTAGCCTCGATCTATAGGTTCTACGTATGATCATTGAGGTCACCAGCCATCCCATGCTTGTCAGGCATTGGCGCATCGACGCGGCGCTGCGTGGCCTATAGGCCTGATGCTGCTACCGCCGCCGCGGACCAAGCGCCTGTAGCATCCGCATACTTCCTCTGCATACTCCACCTTCCGATCGTGTCACACGCCTTGCTTGGTACCCGATGACGCGGCATTCCAAGCAGAATACGGCGCTAGGCCACTTTACCTATGCCGAGTATCAGTAGGTCCTTTGAATCTTATGCCAGGATGCTCAAAGATCGCTGGGGCTCGCGTAGTGTGCGGCTCAGCAAGGAAAACATGCGTGCCTTTTATGCGTGCTACCTGTGCCTGCAGACGGCCCAACGCCCCGTGACTTGCCCCGAAGGCCATCTCTATTGCAAAGAGTGCATTCTAACCGATCTAGTTCATCAAAAGACGAAGCTTGCGGAGTTTTCTCAACAACGCGAGGACGCCTTGCGGTCCAAGGCACAGGAAGCACAGGCCGCCGAGCAGGAAGCGCAGGCTAAGCGGGTAGCCCAGTTTGCTCAAGGCGATGCGATCATCACACAGAAGCGAAAGCTGGATGACGATGAAACGGAGACACGTAAGCGCATGGCAGCGGGCGAGACACGTTCTACGCCTGCGTTCTGGCTGCCGAGTCAAGCGCCGGAGCATGTCAGCAGTGCTGACAGCTCCTTGACGCTCGTGGACAACCGGGCGTCCACGACCATGTGCACAGCCTCCTCCGAAAATCCCCACAAGCTCCTTTCCAAGAATCTAGTGGATGTGTGCTTTCATGAACGCCAAGTCGATGGCGACTCGCAGCTCTACTGCCCCTGCTGCAAGAAGGAATACTCACCCACTTCCCGAACGCATGGTGTGTACGCTACCACTCACATCAGTACTCCGCTCATGTGGCCATGTGCTTTGTACCCCATGCACAGATACGCTCATCCGCGCACCGCTAAAGAAGGGGGACACATCAGCGTGCCCTGAATGCAGTGCGCCCATCAGAAAGTCTCGAGATATCATTTCGCTCGTGCGCGAGGGAACGGGCTTTGCAAGTGGCGGCAAAGCTGAGACGCATTTGAAAGGGATTGCCTTTCAAGGGTAACTTGTGTAACGGATCCAACTACCTACGACTGCGCCGCAAGAGCGCGGTCAGTGCAACGCCTGCCACGGTGGCTGCGCCGCCCAAGAGGGCCATACCAATATACCCTTCTGCAAGCTGTCAGAGATTTCGGGGTGACGCACCTTTGGCAATACCTTGCTCGATGAGCGTGTTGAGACTCTGCGCCTGCATGTTTTTTGGCTCGCGTTCCAGCAAGAGGGCTGCTGTAAGTCGAACAATTGCATACCATTGAACCGCTTCGCCTCATCAAAGTTAGATAGCTTATAGTGGCCCAGCGCTAGGTAATACAGGCACTCGCGACGGCGCGGTGGATCCGTGCGGTAAATGTCGGTAAGGAGCGCCACTCCCTGAAGCATCTGCTGCCTGTGCGTGCTCTTAATGAGCGCCCAAGCATAGTTGAACTTGGTCTGTGTTGTAATGTGTCCAGAAGAGGCCTCCGTCTCGTACTGGTCATGCAAGACCTGCAGCTCGGCAGGCGATAGCGACGTCTGCGCATCGACCACGTACGGCAGTGTCATGGCAGCGGGGTAGGGTGGGCGTCGGCACGTGCGGACAGGGGATATATGCCTTGACGACGGCTTGGGCCCAGGGGCTTGTGCACGACTTCCGCCATCGCGATCGGTGAGCGCCACCTGAGCGAGTGATGGCGACAGACGAAGAGTCGTCTCTCTGGCTTGGCGAGCTAAGGGTGCAGATCTTCGATCCTCGCAAGGAATCTCCAAGCACTTCGAGTGGTGATGCCAGCGACACGCCCTCTACGGCAGGGCGATCACAGACCTTTGTTTCGTACGGGGTCCGCGCGGAGACGAGTCTCCCGCACTTTTCTCGCTCGTACATGGTGACACGCAAACGCTTTCAAGACTTTGTTTTTCTGCGAAATGCCCTCGTGAAGGACTTTCCTGCGTGCACCATCCCTCCCCTCCCGGACAAACACCGCATTGGTACGTACATCACGGCTCGCTGACGACAGGCTATTTGACAGGTGATCGATTCAGCCCCGAGTTCATTCAGCGGAGGAGCATGGAGCTCCAGCTTTTCCTGGAACGTGTCTGTCGCCATCCGACACTGCAGCGTGCCAAGATTGTGCAGCAGTTTCTGGAATCAAGCGAGTGGCACATTGATATGCACTCGTACTCGGGGCAGTCGATGGGCGTCAGTGCCGGGCCGCATGTTCAGGCGCTTCCGCCACCTGCGCACCATGGCCTCCTCGAGTCGATGGGCGATGTCTTTATCAATGCTTTTGCGCGTGTGCGCCGTCCAGACCCGAAGTTTGTGGCGGTGCGGAGCGAGCTAGAGGAGCAGGAAGATCGCAACTTGCAGCTGGAGCGGGTGCTCCTGCGCAATCGGACGCACGTTTCTGGTACGTATGTCGGTCCATGCCTGGCATGCTTCCGATTTATGCGAAAGATCTCGATGACTCATGCAGGCGTGAAGTGGTCGCTTACGACGAATTGTATTCTACACATTTGGGCGCATCTACTGAAGATTTGAGCACAGATTACCATGATATGGGACATGCATTTGAGCAGCTGGCCGTCCTTGAGAGCGGCATGGCGGGCGGCCTCCAGCGTGTCGGTGCGGCTATGAAGTCGATGGCCGAGCTGGAGACGCGGTTTACCTCTCAGGTGACCGACGACCTTTTGACACTCGTACATGCCAAGCAGGCGTTTATGCAGTCGCACAAAGCGCTATTGAAGCAGCGCGATGCAAAACAGCTTGATTTTGAGGGCCTCACCGACTACTTGCACACGGCCGTGACGGAGCGTGAGCGCCTTACGGGGCTGAGCGATGCTGAGGGTATCTCTGAGCCCGGGGCTGTGCGCGGGACGGGTCTCCGTGGCTACGTACGTTCCACGATGGACCGCATGTGGGGTGTCGACGAAGAGCAGGCACGTATTGAGCGTTTGCAGCGGCTGGACGGGCGCATTAGTGAGCTGCAGGAGGCTGTGCAGACAGCTCACACGCATGCCCAGGCCTTCAACGAGCATGCGGAGCTCGAGCACCGTGTGTTTGAGCTGGGCCGTCAGCATGAGGACCACCAGATGCTGCGTCTTTACGTGGAAGGGCAGGTGGCCCTCCAAGAGCAGGGCCTGGCGCTTTGGGACGAGCTGCTCAAGTCTCTCGAGACGCCTTCGCATGCCACGGACAGCGACAGGTCCGTCGAGCCAGCACCACCTACATCCGCATCTGTATAGCTACGTGAACCTAAAACATGCCCGTCGGCTGCATCATCATACCACCCGTCGGAGCGGCCGTAAGCAGCTTGTTGGCAAACGCACCGGGGCCGAGGATGGGCGCGTCCTCGTCCTCCTTCTCCTTGGCCGAGTCTTTTGCTGCAAGCTCGCGAACCTCCTTCTCAAGTTGGCGCAGTTTGTTCCGCGACTCGCGAGCCTGCTGAATCTGGTACGGCATCGTAAAGTCATTCAATGCGTGGCGCCACGACATTTCCATGACCACATCGGGAGCCAGCAGGTCGTAGCAAGCATAGAGCATAGCCGCATAGCACTCCTTGTTGCCCGTGTCAACAAAGTAGCCCAGCAGTTCCTCGGCAACTTGTGGCTCGTCCGAGTGCGCTGCCGTCTCAATCGCGTCGCGGAAAAGCGCATCTGCCTTGGACAGCGAAATGCTGTCGTCATACTTGCCGTTCTTGCGGTACAGATGCGCAGCAAGACGACGGAACTCGAGAAGCTCGTGGCGCTCAAGACGACGCGCAAGCTCCAGGGCATCAAAATTGTCGTAGGCATCGATCGACACACGCAGCGTGCCGTAGTCCTCCTCCTCGATCAGCAGATCGTTGTACGCGTCGTTCACAGCCTCCACGTTCTGCGGCTGCACTGACATAAGATACGAGCGAATAAGCGGCACATTGTCGTGGTCATGCTTCTTGAACATGCGCACGACACGGCCATGGTCAATCCGCTTCACCAGCACAGTCAGCAGGTCGTTGAGCAGGAGAGGGTGCTGCTCAAGGTAGAATGTCAGCGCCCGATAGTAAATCTCCACGTTCGCCACCTGCGGCAGTACTGCTTTGAACTGGTCGTGCTCCCACGCCTCAGAGCAGTGCTCCATGATCGTCAACGCGGCATTGTCAAACTCGTCGTACTTGATATAGAGGAAGACAAGCTCACGCCACAGATGAGCCCTCTCGGTGACTTTGATCAGCTGCGGCAGGTTGCTGCGCGACCAGTACAGCTTTAGGTGCTCCATCAGGCGCTCTGGGCGGTACTTGGCCAGTGCCACGCCCATTTGCGTAAAGACGCCCATGTGCGCACGCTCCAGACCCAGGGCAGCATCAAGCAGCTGCAGCAGCTCATCAAAGTGGCCCTTGACTTCGTACGCACGGATCACCGTCGGAAGATCTTCGGCGTGCGGCACAACCGCCAGACCGGCAATCTGCGCAAGCTTGAACTCGCCCTTGTTCAGACACGCAGCGTGCATCTGCTTCCAAACCGAGGTGTTTCCTGCCTTGCGCGCCGCCTCAATCGCGGCAGGGAAGTCATTCAGGTACACGAGCGTCGTCGCCAGACGCGCGTAGTTCGATACGCTGCTGAACAAGAGACGCGCCGCCTCGTACAGCTCGTCCTTGAAGCACTTCTCACCGACGCTTAGGACATCCGCAACGTTCGTCATCGACAAGAACTCCTCCATGTCGGCCAGACGGTGCGCCTTGGCGAGGCAGTATGCGTACTCGGTGTCGATCATCGGCTCGCGCGCCTGCTTGCGGGCCATCTGCAAGAAGCGGATCAGCTCCTCCTCACGGCCTGAGCGCTCGGCGATCTCGATGACCTCCTCAAAGTTCGACGGGTCCTCGGCACGGACGTACGAGTCGATTGCATCCTTCACACGTAGGCCATCGAGCTGGGCCTTACCCAGGCGCGACCAGATCTCGGGCTGGTTTAGCTTGTTGGCATACAGCTGCGCACGGTCAATCGACACAATGTGGTTCACGAGCGTGTCCATAGCATCCACATGCTGGCCAGCGCGGCTGTAGATCTGGAACGCCTCCTCGTACAGACCATGGTCGATGGCGATCTTGGCGATCTCGTCCACGTCGTAGCCGTCAAGACGCTCAATGTACCCGCTCACCTTGGCCTTATCCGTGCGAATCGCCGTGAGCATCAGTAGGTTCTTCAGGCTGCGGTTGTCGCTGAAGGCCGATGCTTCCAGCACAATCGGCTCCAGCAGCTTGATCAGCTCGTGCGGCAGGTCCGCCGTCATGAACGCTTTGACCGTGGCAGACACGTCCTCAGGGTTCGTCGACTCGGGCACCGCCACCGCAGTTACCTGGTCGATGAGCGCACGGCGGTGCACACTCTCTTCGTTCAGCACTTTAGCCCACAGCTCGGGATTGCGGCGCAGCACGAGGTAGCGCGCCTGGTGCTTGTACATAGAGTTGTCGTTCGTGATCGCCAGCAGCTCGTCGTCACAGAAGCCCTTGGCGTACGCAATGTACGCCAAGTACGGGTCGCGCTTCTCGCAGTATTTACCGACGACAAGGGGGTCGTAGAGGTTGTTCTCCTTCAAAAAGGCCTCGGGGTTCTGGTTGCTGTCGATGCTGATCTTGGCCATGGCATTGTACAGCGCCTGGTCCTCGTTGCCCGACTCAATCTGTGTCTTAAGCCACGGCAGGATCAGCTTGAGGCGGTTGCGCTTCTCGACCTCGTCGACCAGCTCGTCCACAGGGATCGGGCCCGTCACTGAGGCCAGCAGGTTCTTGATCACACCTTCGTCGCAGTCCACATCGAGCAGTCCGCCGATTACCTGCGGCGTCCGCGTCGAGTTCACCTGCTGCACATATACCTCAATAAAGTTCAGCAGCATGTTCTGATACAGGTACAGCACCAGGTCATGCACGTAGTTGAACCGGTCGCACACAATAATGAGTGGCAGCTGGTCCGGCAGCTTAGCCTCCTTGAGGAAGTTCTTCACCTTCTCGGGGTTGTACGCATTCGACTCGCGACACACGCGCTCAACCTCGCGAATCTGGCCAGTGCGCGTCGCGGCTTGGATGTACTTGAAGTGCACTTCGGGGTCCTCGCTCAGGTTCACAACCGAGCCCAAGTAGTAGTAGAGACCCTCGAAGCTGCGGAACTTCTCGAACATCTCGATGAGCTTGGACGCGCCCAACAGGTCCGAGTACTTCGTCGCGATCTGCACAACCACCTGCAGGTTTTGGCGGATGTTGGCGCGCAGCATCTCGTACAGCGACTCGAGCGACTGCTCCACGGTAAGTGTGCCAAAGTAGTTGACGAGCCAATCATTCTCAAAGAGGTTCGAGTGCACCACCACACGCTTAATGTCCGCGAGGTCCTCGTAGTGCTCCAGCGCACGCTGCATCAGACCCGCCTTCTCACACAGGTTCGCAATGCGCGGGCGGTCGTAGTGCGTGAACATGTGGTTGCCCAGAATGGCATCGGCGACTTGCGGTGCGTTGAGTAGGTTCACCTCGAGCAGGCGCGTCTGCAGAGCACTCTGCTCCGGCTTGTTGTCCTTGAGCGCATCCAGCAGGAAGGACGTGGCCTGCTGCACCATGTTCTGGCTCAGGAAAATGTCGGCCACACGCTCGACATCCACGAGCGGGCCGTCCTCATCAGTAACAAGGCTCGACGCAAACGCCGCCGCTTGCTCGGGGTTCACACGCACCACATGACGGAGCAGTGTGGCGTAGTCGGGCGTGTAACCGACCTTCTTGGCGTACAGGACAATCTTGTTGAATTGGCCCGTCTCGGCAAAGCACGCGACGACCTTGTTCGGCACACTAGCACGCAGATACACGCTCAGCGCCAGGCTCATGTCCTGTTGGCGCACGAGATCACCGAGCTCCTCACTGCACTCGAGCTTGTCCTCCTTGAGCCACTTCTCCAAGAGGTGCTTGCGGCCCTGCGCCAAGACCGGGCGCGCAAGCTCCAGCGACTCGTACTGGTTCAGCGAGCCGCTCTCCAGGAGCACGCCAAAGTACTGCAGGATCGGCGAGAGCGTGCCCGGCTGCGCCGGCACCTGCTTCAGCTGCTCGATGGTTTGGGCTGTGCGCAGAATGCCACGCGGCGAGTGCGCCGCCACCTTGATGGCCTCGCTGTACTGGCCCGCACTGAACAGCGAGTGGAACTGCTGAAGGTACAGGTCGTCGGCGCCGGGCAGATTACCACGGGAGGCGAGCTTGAAGGCGAGATCGGTGTTGTTGAGTGTTTGCAAAATGTACGGCACAATCGTGTGGGGGTCAACCGACACCGACAGCACCTGGCCGCGGCGGTTGACCGCAATGATACCGTGCGAGCTCTTCTGCTCCGCGGCCACAAACACAGTCTCGCCCGAGACACGGTTCATATAGATACAGGCGCCCGTCTCGAGGTCGTACAAGTGAATGAAGCCGTACTTGGTCACCAAGTACACAATGCCGTACTTGCGACTGGCCTGCAACGCGACGGGGAAGTCGTTTGCAGCCTCCGCTGGGAAGAACACGTCGACGGCCTTCTTCGTGAACACAGGGTTCTCCGCGGCGTGATCAATCTCGACAATGTGCAGCTTCGCGCCGGTAGCCGTGCGCACAGCGAACGTAAAGAGCTTGTACGGCAAGGGCGCGTCCTGCGTCTTGAGCTCGACAAAGGCCGCGGCGTGACCCTCGATCGGCTGCGAGACACCGCGCTCTTTGCTGTAGAGCTGCATAGAGCCCTTGATCCTGAAGGCATTCGGCGCATCGTTGCTCGAAATGCCGACAAGGACCATCCACTGGCCGTCGTCCGAGGCGCGGTAGTTGATGATCTGTGTGTCGGCGAGGCTGGCGTGTCGATCAAACACCTTTTGCGGCGGAGCATCATTCTCCATGCTCCAGTGGTACACACTCGTCGGCGTCACGATACCGAGCTCCGTGGCGGAGATCCAGCGCCAGAACACCACGTCCTGGGGCGATACGTGGGATTGGAGCTTGGTCTTCGTCGCGAGGTTGAACACCTGGAGCTGGCGCTGCGCCTTCAGCGCGAGGATGTTCTGCTCGGGGTTCATGATCGCCGAGTCGGCACTCATCGGCCGCCGCACGACATGCGAGATATCGTTGAGGTCGACGATGGCGACCGAGTTGCCCGACTCGGTGCTCTCGCGCACGCAAACGTAGAGCTCGGACTCGAGCGTCACATTTGCAAACGATATACTTTCAGGCGCAATGCCCAGGTCCTGCAGCTGGACATGCTCTGCAAAGTGGATTGGCTTGTCCGCTGCCATGACGGGATAAGGCCGCTGGGAACCACGCAGCCCGGCGCCCTGGTGGGTCGCGCCAGGGCCACACGGCTCGGCCGAGAGCCACGCGGCCGGCCGATCACGCCTGGCGACGTCAGCGTGCGTGGCCGCGGCGACGGCGCGCGTCCGTTGAGATCCATGAGCGACACAGACAAGGCGGCTGCGCTCGAGGCGTATCGCAAGGCGATACGTCAGCATGACGAGCGCTCCGAAGAGCTGAAGAAGCGTGCGTACCTTATGCTGACCGCAGTGCGCCTGGGCATCCGCGATTTGGAGAAGGAGTACGACCAGACGGAGGAGAATATCAAGGCTTTGCAGTCGGTTGGCCAGATTATTGGCGAGGTGCTGTGTGAGCTGGATCCAGAGCGATGTACGTGTGTGGTGCTGACGCAGACATTGTCAAGGCCTCGTCGGGTCCGCGCTACGTGGTCGGTGTGCGCGCCACGGTGCCGCGCCACAAGCTCGTGCAGGGCGTGCGTGTGGCGCTGGATATGACGACGCTGACGATCATGCGCATCCTGCCGCGCGAGGTGGATCCGACGGTGTACAAGATGAGCACTGAGGACCCGAGCGGCGCGTCGTTCGCGGGCATCGGTGGCCTGAGCGAGCAGATTCGCGAGCTGCGCGAGGTGATTGAGCTGCCGCTGCTGAACCCCGAGCTCTTCCAGCGCGTTGGTATCAAGACGCCGAAGGGTGTGCTGCTGTATGGCCCACCAGGCACGGGTAAGACGCTCCTGGCGCGCGCGGTGGCTGCGACGCTGGAGACGAACTTTCTCAAGGTCGTCGCGAGCGCGATTGTGGACAAGTACATTGGCGAGAGCGCGCGCCTGGTGCGCGAGATGTTTGCCTATGCGCGCACGCAGGAGCCGTGCATCATCTTTATGGACGAGGTCGATGCGATTGGTGGGCGGCGCTTCAGCGAGGGCACGAGTGCGGACCGTGAGATTCAGCGCACGCTGATGGAGCTGCTGAACCAGATGGACGGCTTTGACCCGCTGGGCAAGACGAAAGTCATTATGGCGACGAACCGGCCGGACACGCTGGACCCTGCGCTGCTGCGCCCGGGGCGCATTGACCGCAAGATTGAGATCCCGCTGCCGAACGAGCAGAGCCGCCTGGAGATCCTGAAGATCCATACGCGCCCCATCGCGAAGAAGGAGGAGCTCGACTACGAGGCGATCGTGAAGCTGTCGGACGGCTTCAACGGCGCCGACCTGCGGAACGTCGCGACGGAGGCGGGTATGTTCGCCATCCGCGCGGACCGCGACTACTGCCTGCAAGAGGACTTTATGAAGGCGGCGCGCAAGCTGCAGGAGGCCAAGCGCCACGAAACCAAAATCGACTATGCGGCCGTATAATACACTACTGAATCCAGCCAGGCTGCATCCACGGGTCAGGCGCCATAAGGATGTGGCGGTCGAGGAACGTGAGGAAGCGCATGCGGTACTGCCGCGGCGTGATGATCGTGGGCTCGCCGCGCCCGCCGCCGCCGAGGATCGCCGTCTCCTTGACAAAGCTCTCCACACGCTTGTCCCATGTGTAGGTGCGCAGGTAGTCGATGATGCCCATGACCATCTCGCCGCGCGTCGCATCGAGCGCCACAATGAGCGAGTAGTCCATCACATTCATCTCGGTCAGGAAGAGCGTGTCGTTGTACAGCGCCGCCCGCAGGATCCGCTTCGAGTGCTCCCGCACCAGCACCGGCGACGTCTGTGCATAATGCAGCAGGTTCTCATCCAGCAGCACTTCGTGGGGGCGCCCCGTCTCGTGCACGAGGCGGTGCCGCGTGCTACCCTTGAGGTCGAAGATCTTGTCGACATGCCGCCCGTACAGCAGATTTTCCATCACGACAAAGTCCATCTTGAGGCCCTTGCCCGTGTGCGTGTTCTTGAACCCAATGCGGAAGTACCCAAAGATCTTGGTCAGCGTCGTCGGCCGCGCCTGCGCCTTGCAGTCGGCCAGGTACGCAAAGTACTGCGGCGCAAACTTGCTGAACCCATCCAGCTCCGTGCGCGAGAGCTGCTTCACCACAAAGCGGTCGTCGCGCGTCTTGAGGAACGCTGAGCCGGACTTGCCGCCCTGCGAGTCCCACTTGACGCACCGCGAGAGGGACTGCACCAGCTGCGCATCGCACCCACACATGTGCCGCAGTGCATCGAACTGCTCGGCAAAGAAGATCTTGCACCACAGCTTCACCGAGTCCGTGTCAAACTCGTACAGGTAGTGCGAGCCTTCCGTGCTGCGCAGCTCCTGCACATAGTCCGGCGCTTCATGGCCCGTGCGCTGTCGCCGCAGGTCGCCAATCTGCTCGCGGTAGCTGCGCGAGTCGAGCGTGAACGCAATAATCGAGCTCGGCTCATCCTCCCGAACGACCACACGCGCATCAGAAAACACGTGGTCCGTCGACAGGAACGGATACTCGAGAGCCAGCAGCTCACCCACATGCATCGTCCACGTCGCTTCCAGCAGGTGGAACAGGCGCGTGCGCTCCGGGAGTCCCTCGGCGTCGGCGGGGGCAGCACGCGCCGCCGCCACCGCATCGTCGACGTCGGCGCGCCCCACATCCGACGGCACGGACACAGCGAGATCCGTGCCACCCGACAGACACAGCGAGCCCGTCTCGGACGTGTCGGCCGGCACAGGCACCTCGACGGTGTGTGGTGTCTCGGGGGCCGGCTCTGGTGCCTCGATCGTACGCGGCATTTCCAGGTACGAATGGCGCACCGCTTGCGCCTCGCCTAGCCATGCCGCACCGCGCCGCACCGCACTGCTGTGCTCCAGGTGCTTGGTCTCTTCGTCATCGCTCTCGTCACCCCGCACAGCATCACGCAGGTTCTTGAACACCTCGACCGTCGCATGCGCCGTCGTCACAGGCCGCGCACGCCGCACACGCGCGGCCATCTTCTCACGCTCCGCTTCGCGCGTCATCTGGTCGTACTGCTGTGCCAGCATCGACACCTGGGAGCGCATCGACCCTTCGCGCCGCTTGCTCTTGGAGCGGTGTTCGCCGCGGGGCGCCGCGAACGGCGTGAGCGCCTGGTTCGGAGGGCGTGTAAGGCGCATGCTGCCGGGATACACGTCGCGCTCGCCTGGCGTGCGTCGCCGCTCTGGCGACGACGGGGGCCGCAGACTGAGGGGCTTGAGCGCCGCCTTGGCCTCCAGGAGGACATCCCGCGTGAGCATCCGCGGTACACTAGTCACTGGCGACGGCGAGCGCTGTGTGGACGGCGGACGCGATAGCACAGAGGCCGGCTGCGCCGCCTCGAGCATCGGTGGGCGCACAGGCACACCGTGAACAGGGTTCGGCATGAAGAGGCGCGTGCCGGTATGAGTCACGGCCTGTGCGTGAGCTTCGCTCGGCTTGGGCTGTGCTGCTTTTGCCTCTGGCAGGGCCTCTCTTGCCTCGAGATGCGCCTCTTTCGCTTCAGGTGGCGCCACGCCACGCTTTTTCGGGGACTCGCTCGGCCTGGAGGGTGGCTCGGCCTCTGGCGGCGGACGTGTCTCCATCTTCGGCTTGGACGGCGCTTCCATGCCCGGGCTTGAGCGCTCCGCCTTGCTCGGCTCAGGCGTCACGGTTCGCTCGTGAGCACCGTGCCCCCTCTCCTCCGGCACACCTGCGCGCCCCGCGTCTTCGAGGCGCGGCGTCTCGTCGCGGACCTTGTCGCGGTCCGAGCCCCACAGGTCCAGGAGGGACGAGAGTTCCAGGACGCGCTTCTCACTCAGTGTATCGAGCGGCTCGGTATCAGCCGATGCGGCATCGTCGATATCGCGCCCGGAGCGCTTGGCATGTAGCGCCGTAATACGCCGGAGCTCGCGCTCGCTGATCGTAGAGCGCTTTTCAAAGTCGACAAAGGCACCGTCCCACTCCACGACCTTGTCCTGGAGGAAGCGGCGCGCCTCGTTCACGCGCAGCATGTGCCGGTCCGCGTGGAAGTACGTGTCGTGGATGTGCTGTTCCACCTCGGCGCAGTCGCTGCGTGCGGCCTGCGCGAGCTGCGCGAGGAGCGACTCGGCCTGCACACGCACACGCGCGAGAGCGCCCTCCGCGTAGATCGAGCGTGTCTCGAGCTCGTGCTGCAGAGCCGCGAGACGCTCACACACCGAGCGCCAGTACCGCGCATTCTTCTCAAACAGGCTGATCATCTCGTAGTTCAGTGTGTCGCACATGAGCTCCGCATTCATGACCGGGCGGGTCGGCGGAACGACGACGTCCCACGGCTCAATGGGGTCGGCATGGAAGCGGATCGCGAGATGGTGCAGCGCAAAGTAGCGCACATTGTCGCGGTAGTAGTCGTGGCTACACATGGACGAGTGGCACGACGCATTCGGGTAGCATTGCAGCTCGAGGAACTTGGCAAAGCTCAGCGACCACGCCTCGTCACTCACGCGCGTCACGGGCGTGGTGGCCTCGCACCGCTTGCAGTAGCTCCAGCACAGCAGCTCATCCTCGTCACCGGGCAAGGGACATGCAAATCGCTCCACGACCATCTGAATGCACATGGTATTGTGCACCATCGTCGTGTAGTGCACGAGATTCGCGCTCTCACAGCCGCGCGCGCCGCACTTGAGCGCACTCTCTGCACACAGACGCTCGAGAACGAGTCCGAGCGGCTCGTCGTCGGGGCCGTAGAACTCGAATGTCTGGAACGCGGGGCCACGGCACACCTGCTGCGTCGCGGCACACGTCGTGCTCGCGAGCGTGACGAGCCGTTGGTGGGCGAACGGCGTCAGCATCCTGGACATGCTGCTCACACACGCGTGCCAGCAGGTGCGGATCGCCTCGTGCTCAGCCTCGAGCTGCGCGCGCTCCGCTTCGGCGCGGTACGAATGCGGGGCACACAGCGTCAGGACACGCGGCTCCAGGCCGGGCACGCGGTACTCGGCCGTGTACGTGTACGTGTCCGGCGCCACGTCCATCTTGCGCAGCGTGTGCAGCCGGTCCGTGACCTCCTTCATGCGCGTCACGAGGTACGGGGGCGGCAGCACCACCGAGATCGACGCGCTGAGCAGCAGGCGCTGGAACTTTTTCAGCGTCTCATCGAGGATGATCCGCTGGTGCATCTCTTCCTCGTCGTCAGGCAGCGCGCTCGAAGCCTCCGCCTGCGACTGGATGTTGATCACGGACCAGTCGAGCACCGCGCCCATATCGCGCCGCGCATACTCCTCGAGCTTGAGGTTGTAGCCGACAAACACCATGAGCGCGAGGATCGCCTTGATGCGCCGCAGCTTCCCCAAGCGCGCACCGCGCAGGATCAGCGCGCTGCCGACCTCCTTCGAGGCGACTTCAATGCGCAGGAGCGGCTTGCGCCGCTCGGGCGCCTCGGCGTGCTGGTACGTGTCGATCGACACACTGGCACACCGCCCGAGGCGCGGCTCGAGCGCCAGCCGGTCAATCGATGTAATGACGTCGGCCTGCGTGCAGTGCGCAATAGCATCGATCGACGAGCGCTTCATGCGGCAGAACACGACGACACCGGCCTCCTCAAACAGCTCGAGCGCGATGTGCGATACCGACTTTTCGGCAAGGACCACATTCGGTCGCTGCGCGCAAATGCGCGCCACGAGGATGCGCAGAAACTCGCGCTCCTGCGCCATGATCGAGTCGAGCGACATGAGCTGGTTTGCGTTGCGGTGGTACTCGATGGGAAACGCGACGAGCAGCAGGCGCGCGCTCCGCATCGGGAGCAGGCCGGCCATGCGCTTCGTTGCGACGTTCTTCGTGCACACGTATCCGTCGATAAACTCACAGTCGGAAATGTGGCCGCCCGGGAAGCATTTGATCTTGACAAAGTGCCGGATGTCCGTGACGTACGTGTGCCGTGTCCGCACGTGGATCCGCTCAATCACCGCGAGCGCAAGGAGCTTGACCGTCTCTTTCCACGCCTGCACCTCACCCACATGCTCGGCGAGCAGCAGCTGGTGCAGCATGCGAAGAAAGTAGACGAGCGACGTGGCGCCCAGTGCCGTGCTCGTGACGAAGCGCGATGCACCACGCATCAGCTTCTGGCGCGCCGTGCTCCGCCGGACCGGACTCGCGGTGCGCGGCGACACGCTCGGGTCGTCCGGTGTATCGTCCGCCGCACTCGTCTCAGCCTCGGCTTCGTCCCGCGTCTCGTCGGACGTGTCCTGCGGCTCCTCGGGCGTCACCATCGCCGCATCAGGCGCAACGAGCTCCGACGCCTGGTTCTCGCCCTCATCGAGGCCGGAGCGGAACGGCGCCTCCTCGACGGCCATCGGCTCAGCCGCCGACAGGTCGCCCAGCGCCTCGAGCTCGTGCAGCTGCATACCAGCGCCCTCCGCCTCATCGCTCGCCGACGAGCGCCGCCGCGGAAGCATGTGCGAGTCGTGCGAGAACAGCGTCGTCGCTGCGAACTCAGAGCGTGGCGCAGGCACGTCGTGCGCTTCGTCCACCACACTGGAGACGGAGTGCGCACGGGGACGCGCACTCGATGCGCGCGCGTCTGCATCAATTTTTTGCCGCCGGTCGTACTCCTCGAGCATGTGCTTGCACTGGTCGCAGGTACGCAGTGTGCCGCTGTGGCCCCACCGCTCACCAGGCACGAGGTTCGACGCACAGCGGCTGCAGAAGATCTGTCCGCAGATGCGGCAGTGGTGCTTGCGGCGCAGCGACGTGAAGGGCATGAGGCAGTCGCGGCACTCTTTCGCCGTCTCGTCGGCCATCCAGTACTTGCGGCTGAGGCCCTCCCCACGGAAGCGCCGGATCCACAGGTCCGCACTCGGCCGCATGCTGATCGTGCTCATAGAGTCGTCGCCGGCGTCAGAGCGCGCGCGCCGCGTCGTAGTGACGGAGCGCGCATCCTCCAGCACGTCCGTGCTGAGGGGAAAGCCGGGCACACTCTGGATGGCGCCGCCCCACGACGACCATTCGGTCCGCCGGCCGTCGTCCGTGTCATAATTCGACGACGTCGGACTGCGTGGCTCGTCGTTCCTTTGACCGGCTGCGTGCTCAGGGAGCATCGTGATGGCTGGCGACACGGTGCGCAGTGGCACGATGCCATGGCCCTGCCCGGCTCGGCGGCTCTGCAGCGCACGCGGAGCGGCTGGCACCCCGGTCATCGGCGAGGCGCTGGCGCTCGTGCTCCTAGGCGCCTCCCGAGCCGGCGCAGCCGCCGCCGGCGGGGCCGAAAAGGCAGCACGCATGCGGTCAAATAGGGAGGCAAAGGCAAACGAGGGCGGCCTCTCCTCCTTCTCGTCTAGGAATCCGAACGTCATAAGCTTGGGCTCGTCCGTCGGTAGGCTGGCCGCCGGCGCCGCCGAGGACGACGCCTCGGCGGATGGCGGCCGTGCGCTCTCCGCGCCAGTCATGCGCGCCGACCGTAGCGACGAGGTGGGTTCGGTGGTCCGTGTGCACCTACGTCGATTGGCCCATTCATGTGGAGGCTACAGCGCTACGGCGCGGCACGATACGCGCGGTCCACGCGAGTGATCAGATGCAGGCCGGCGACCTCGCGGAGCGCCACACACCGGTGGTGCAAAAGCTCCAGGTCGCGGAAGCGTAGCTGGGGTTGGAAAGGCGCAAGGGGCGCATACTTGTCAGCCGAGACGGCGGTGCGTGGCTGCGCCGCGAGCGCCGCGAGCAGCGTCGGCGGCGGCGGCAGCGGCGCCCAGTCGAGGCGGCTGGGCGGCGGCGGCAGCCCATCCAGCGCCGCGCGGCTCGTAGGTGTGGGCGGGGGGTATGTGTGCAAAAATTCCTGCAGCAGCGCGAGCCCGTCTGCGACGCGGAAACTCTTCGCGTGCTGCCGGATCATCAGCGCCCACATCTTGGAGATGATGCGGGCATCCGCATGCGCCTCGAGTGTGCGCCACTGCTCCCACACGCGCGCGGCCACTTGGTCCGCATACGCGCGCTCCCTGTGCTGCGCACATGCCTCGAGCACCATCGCCCAAGTGTGTGCGTTCGGCGCGACGGCGGCCTGCTGGAACACGCCGTCAGGCGCTTCCGTCGCGTGCACGAGTGCCTCGAGGCGCTGCGCCGGACGCAGATGGTGCGTGAGCACCGAGAGGTACGCGTTGAGCATGCGCGGCGTAGGTACGACCGAGGCAAGAGGATGCGCGCCCGCGTCCGCCTGCCCCTGATCAGCGAGGATGCGCGCCATGAGCGCCTGCACTTCAGCGACGACGTCGGGCGACGTCGACGGTGTGGCCTGCGTGAATGTACGCGCCTCGGTCTCGACCATCTCCGCTGCCCCGTCGTCCACCTGTGAGTCTGGCGCAGCCGATGCGCGCGCCACGTCCGCGCGACGGACCGGCGGGCGGTACACGGCATACGTCCAGAGTACATTCGCCATCGTCTCCTCGTTCGGCCCATGCGCAACGCCACGTGCGATGGCAGCATGCACCAGGTCGGCGAGAATCCACCGCGCGGTGGCGAGGTCGCCGTGGCGCGCGCTGCCTTGCAGGACGGCATTGTAGGTGTACGTGTCCGGCGCCATGGGCGACGTCGGGTCAGACGACAGGTCCATCAGCTGACGCAGGAGCTGGATTGCATCGCCGTAGTGCTCCTTGCGCCGCGCACACGTCAGGATGAGACTGTCGTACACCTCCTTGTTGGGCCGGATCCCATGGTGCACGGTCATCTCGCGGAACAGGTCCAGCGCGCGCTCCGCTTCCGCCACCACCGCGCTGGGGCGGCGCGCGCCGAGCGCCGTCGGCTGCGGCACACCCGCCGCACACGCGCGGATCATCATCGCATACAGCGCCGCGTCTGGCACGGCGTGCGCAGCGAAGCGCATGTGATAGAAGAGCGACCACGCCAGGGGCTGCAGCTCCCGCACAGGGTGCTTGAGCAGGTGCTCCATGACGAGCGTGTACGACGACATGGGCGCCGGCACCGTCTGCTCCCAGTGCGCGAGGTACTGCGCAGCTTTCCACAGCTGGTTCGTTTGGGTATAGGCTTTGGTCACCACATGCTGGATCCCTGCATCCGGCGCAACGCCCTGCGTGTCCAGCACCGCACTGAGCTCCAGCACCGTGTCGGCGTCGCCGGCGTTTGCATACACGTCCATGACCTGGCGGAACAGTGGCAGGCATGCGGGGCCCTGCTGCAGCGCCAGCGCCAGGACCGTTTTGACGTGGGGCGCGTCGCCGTCGCGCGCACTTTGCATGGCGAGCGCCGCCCACTCGTCCGGGCGCAGGTCTGCGTCCAGGCCGTCTGCCTCGACGAGGCGCTGCACGAGCTGGTCTCGTAGGGCCTGGCGCTCATCGGCGCCTGGCGGCACGGCGACCTCGCTCGAGCCGGTCGCGGGCAGGGCCGCGACGCCCCAGCGCTGCGCCAGCGCGCGCAGCACGGAAGTCGTGCTGGGCGGCGGCGGCGGGAGCGTGGACGCATCGCTCGGCGGCGGCGCGACCAGCTCGCGATACATGGCCTCGAGCGTCTCGTCATCGAGCGGCGGCAGGTCCTTGGTCGCCTGCGCAATGTGCTCGCGCTTGTCCGACTCTTGCAGCTGGCGCTCCAGCTCGGCGATCTCGCGACGCAGCTCGACCTCGCGGTGCCGGAGTGTACCGCGTATCGGTGCACGGCGCGCATGGCACGGCACGCCCGTGGAGAGCGCACGCAGCGCCAGGCGCACCGGCTGCCCCAGGGCCGCTCGTCGCAGCATGCAACGCTTCGACGCCACCCAAGTGTATCACGTGCTATTTCAGAAGATCCAGGCCGGCGAACGGGTCGTGCGGCGCTGGCGCGGGCGGCGGCGGCGCGGCCGGTCGCGACGAGCTTCCTGCGAGGGGCATCGGCGGCGGCATCGCAGGGCCGCTCGGAGCATCGAGATCGCCCAGCAGGTCCACCGCGCCGCGCGCCGCGGGCTTGGCCGGCTCGGCCGCTGGCGCAGAGGTATCGAGGGACAGGAGCGCGGCCAGGTCGCTGCTGCCGGACGTGGGCGCGGCGTTCGACGGCGCCGGGTCATCGTCGAACGAGATAAGCTCGGCGGCGTGGCTGCTGGGTGGCGCGCGCCCGTGCGCCACGGCGTCGTACTGGCCCAGCGTCTCATGGATGCAGTCGTTGATCTCAAGGAAGCGTGCGAGGAGCTCCGACTCCTCCTGCTGCGCCTGCTCGATCCAGCGCTGCAGACGCGGCTGCACACTCCGCAGATGCGAGGCGACTTGGTCGTACGCGTCGCCCGCCACAAACTTCTCCGTAGGCTTGGCCTGCGCCAGCATGTCCGATAGGAGCTTCGCGCGCGCGGCGACCTTGTCCATTTCCTTGGCAACCTGGCGCGCCTGGATACTGCTCTGCTCAGGCTCGGCGCCAGAGAGGATCTTCATGAGCTCCTGCGCCTGCTGCAAGTCGCGCGGCGTGCCGCGGCGGATGAGCTCCTGGAGCTTGGCGCTCTGCGCGAGGCGCGTCTCCTCCTCGAGCTCTTCGGGCGACTGCAGCGGCTGCGCCGTGTTCAGCACCGACGCCGAGCGCGCGTCGACCTTCGGGAAGCGGTATCCCTTGTACATGAGCAGGCGGTGCATGTCGCGGATATGCACGAGGTCCTCCTTGTACTTGCTCGTGACACAGATCGTCTGCCGCCACTCGTGGATCATCTCGAGAATGCGTGTCATGACCGGGCTCGGATGCATCGGCGGGCGCTCCGGGAAGCGGCGCACAAGCTCGTTGAGAAACTCTTTCGTGGCGATCTGCAGATGCATGAGAAAGCCACAGTTCTTCACGAGGATATCAAGCAGGTGCAGTGCAAGCATGCCCACATGCGGGATGCGCGAGTTCACATACTCGACGATCTCAAACGCCGCCTCGCGTGCCGTGTTCGCCCGCTTCGTGTTGATGTAGTCAGCCAACTCGAGCGCGAGCGGCAAATTCGGCTGCTCGAGCCCCGGATCGCAGCAGCGCACCACAAAAGACTGAACGGGCGTAAGGTGCATGCCGAGGTCCGGCGCCCGGCTGCCCCACTCATTCTGGCGCGTCGCGTACGGCGGCATCGGGGCCTGCTGCCACGGCGTCGCAGGGCCGCCACGGCCTCTCGCGTTCTTCACGTGACATGGCCGTGCGCCGCGCCGCGCGGCGCTTCGGGCCCAGTGCAAGCGGCGCCGCGGCGCATGTGGCTCCTGTCCTGCTACTTTGACGGCGAGCATGGTGCGTCGTGCCACTCACACCAGAGCCGCCATCGCTGCGCGCCCTGCTCACGGACCGCGCGTATACCCTGGGGCGCAAGCACGGCGCCGTGGACCTGCTCGTGCCGGTCGTGCGCATCAGCCGCTTCTCCGGCACACTGACGATCGGCGCCATGCACGACGAGGACGTGGCCAGGCCGGGCATGCGTCCCAGCGTCACATGGACGCTGCATGCCAGCAGCAAGGCCGGCAGCCTGGTCGAGGGCTTCCGCGGCCGCAACCGCTTTCAGCAGCGGGTGCGCCCCGAGACACCGATGCCCCTGCACGACGGAGATACCCTGTGCCTCGTACCGGGCGTGACCGCCACGCTCCGCTGGCAGCCTCTCACCGTGTGTGTGGCGCGCGTGCCGTCGCTCGAGACGCACGCCACGACCGCCGCCGCCGCTCGCCTGGGCCTCCACCTCGTGCCGCCGGCGCAGCTCGCCGAGGCCACCTACGTGTGTGTGCCGGCCGTGCGGCCCAACAAGACGCAGCTGCTCGCGCTCGTGCATGGCCTCCCCCTCGTTGCTGAGGCATTTGTCCAGACGCTCTTGGACGGGCCGCCGGCGTCCGCGTGGGCGCTGCCTGATCCGAGCGCCTTTGTGCCGCCAAGCGACCCACGTCTCCCGCCAGACGCTCAGATATCCCGCTTGCAGCTGCGCCCGGATGCGCGGCGGCGGCACCTATTCCAGGGCGCGGCGCTGTTCATGGTGGTAGCAGGCTCCGCGCGCCGACATACGGACATGGCCGAGCTGGCGCGGGCGGCCGGCGCCGTCGTCCACGTCCACGACGCGGCTGTGCACGCGCTGCAAGATGCGCACGAGGCTGAGCGTGCCCTGTCGCGAGCGCGCGCACACACAACACACCCGATGTACGTGGTTGTGGCGGAAGACGCAGCGCCGCTCGCCACGAGCGTGCCAAGCACCGCTACGCGCCTGGGCCTCGTGCGGTTGCCGGGCGGCCTCACAGCGATCACACAAGGCATCCTCGACGTCCAGCGCTGGGACCAGATGGCTCCTGCGCCGGTATCGGAGGCGCAGCCGCGCACCGATACGCCAGATGTTTCGAGTGTAGGAGAGGTGACGGTCGACGTGACGAGTGACCGCAGTGTCGACCGGGCGCCGTGTCCATCGGAAGGCGGCAGCGAGGTGCTCGAAGTACCGCCGGAGCCGGAGCCTGCCGGACCTGACCCTGCGCCTGAGCGGGAGGCCCCAGCCGCGCCCGTGCCGAGGGATGCGCCCGCGGCGGCCCCGACCGAGGCGCCCCGCGCGCAGGGTGCCGCGCATGGCCCGTCGCTTCCGCGGCGAGCAGGGACGCGGCAGGCGCGGCGCTCGCACCTGCTGGACGAGCTCCTAGGTGTACAGGCGCCTGAGCCAGCGCAGCCTCCTCCGCCGGCCGTGGCAGCCGCGTCGCTCACCGAGGGACGACCACCGAGCCCGATCCCTTCGGCGTCGCCTCTCGAGATGGCGCCGCTCGCGCGCCCGTCGCTCCTCCAGGTGCAGGTCGTGCCGATGCTCCGCCAAGCGCGCGGAGCGCGCGAGGCACGACGCCCGCGACGGCAGCGACTCTCGCGTCGCGTCGCGCTCGTGCTGGATGCGCCTGGGGTGTCGGATACAATGGGCGAGCAGGGCGATGATCTGTAGACGTCTATGTTGTATTATTCGGCGACTTGGTCCAGCGTGGACGATGTGCGTGGGCGCTCTGCGCTGGCGGCGTGTACGTCGCGTGAGCGCGAGCGCGAGCGCGAACGGATACGGAACAGGCTAGCGACATTTCCGAGTCCCCGTCCCCGCTCCTGCTCGCTGCTCGCGTCGGACGATACAGGCGGCGGCGCGCCGCGGCCGCCGGCATGCGGGCGATTGCCGACCCCCCCGCGGCCGACCACGGGCGCGTTGCTCCGCAGCTCGCGCGACTGCATCTCGTCCTGCATCTCAAGCGCGCGGTACTTTTCCTCTTCACGCAGCTTGCGCTCCATGGGATCACGCGAGGGCGAGCGCACGTTGCCCGCGCCGCCGCGGCCCACATGTACGGTGGACAGCTGCTCGCGCAGCTGAGGATCGTTGCCGTGCTCGCCACGCGCTAGGTGTGCGTGCATCTGGCGTCAGTATAGGCAACGCACATTTCCAATGCCTCCCCGGCCCGAGGCCTTCAGGGACCGCCCGCGCTCCGGCTCGGCTGCCATCGCTCGCGGCACCAGAGATAACGCACAAGGCGGCGCCAGGTCCCCGCATCACGTGCTATATTGTGGGGTCGTGCCTCTATCACGCGAGCGGCGGCAGATCGGCTGGCACATCGAGCGAGGGCGATAAGCTCTCGGCACCGTCCGCGAGACGCAGAAAGCCCTGGCCCGAGCCGATCAGCCGCCGCTTCTTCTTGCGGGCTTGCGGCGCCGGGTCGTCCCGCACGCGCGTGCCGAGCATGGGCGTCGCCTCGGCGTCCAGGTCGGGCGCAGCGACTGCCGTGCGCTCCAGCATCGGCGTCATGCCAGGCCGCAGGGCCGGCGCAGGCGCCCGAGCAGGCGTCGCAGCCGGTGCCTCGTCCGCGTCCTCGAGCGTGGGCGGCGTCGCTGGCTGCATGGCCGGCGACACGCGCGCGTCCTCCGTCCATTCGCGTGACTGGGCCCGGACACCGTACGTCTCGAGCGCCGCAGGCTCGGCGGCCGGCGAGGCCTCGGCAGGCGCCGGCGGCTCGCTCGACGGCCTCGGCGCTTGCTGCGCGGCCAGCGCCGCCTCCGCTGCCACTCGCGCCGCTGCATGCGCAGCGACCTGCTGCTGCAGCTCGGCCACCTGCTGCTGGAGCCGCTGTGTATCGTCTGCCTGTGCCGCGGCCTGCTGCTGACCGCGGTGTGCGTACAGTCCCGCGAGGAAGGCCGTCTGCTCGTGAGCAAGACGCAAGCGGCGCCGCTGCTCGGCCAGCTCCGACTGCAGCTTGGTCACCTCGTTCTGGTGGACGACCAGCTGCACATGCACCGAGTCAAGCTCGTCCGCACCCTCCGACGAGCTCGTGAGGAGGCGCCAGTACCGATTGTCGTACTCGATCTTGGTATCCGCCATGTGCGACTCGAGCACACGCACGCGCTGCCGCATCGCACGCCGGTCGTTCTCGCGGCCCTGCTGCAGCGCGGTCACTTGCGCCTGCAGCGCAGTTTGCTCGCTCGTCCAGCCATGTGCATCGCCGCGTGCATGCACAAGGCGTTCCTGCATCGTGTCCAGCTCCTCTTCCAGCTCAGCACACCGCCGCTTCCACTTGAGCAGCTCCTCGGTCAGGAGCCGGTTCGAGCGCGTCGGCGGCGCGCCCTGCACGGGCGCCGTACGTGTGGGCGAGCCGGACACAGGCGGCACAGGCCGAGGCGCCATGGCGGCCTCAGGCGCCGGTGAGCTCGGCCGGCGCCGGCACGGCGCCGGCGCCTCGGCCTTGGGTGGAAGAGTGGCAGGCGCGGGCGCACGGGACATGCGCGCCTGTGTCGGTGCCTCGCGCGGAGGCGCCGGTCGTCGGACCGCGTTGCGCGGTGCGGCAGGTGAATGGTGGGCACGCTGCGCGGACCATGGCGAGGCGGCCGGCGAGGCCTCCTCTCGAGCCAGAGATGCTCTTGGGAGCGCCGCAGGAGCAGGGCGCGGTGCACCGAGCGGGGTGCGGGCCTTGACAGGCGAGGCGCGCGCCGGCGTCGGACCTTTGGCCGGCGACGAATGCGTCTTGGCCGGCGAATAACGCACAGGCGTGGTCGCCTTGACGGGCGAGGCACGCAGCGGCGTCGTTGACTGAGCCGGCTCGGCGTGCGGCCGCGGCGCCAGCCGCGAAGGGCCGGCGACCGGTGCAGGCTGCGCCGACGAGACAGCCTCTGGGCGAGGCGGCGGTGGCGCCTGTGCTTTCCCGCGCATGAAGGCGCGGCGCGTATCAGTAAACGGGTCGGTAATCTTGTCAAAGTCGATGGTATCATAGTAGCCGGCGGCCTCGGCAGCGGGTCCCGGTGCCGCGTGCGTTTGTGCGGCTGGTGCCGATGGCGCGCGCTGGCTCTGGGGCGTGCGCCTCACCGGCGACTCGCGCGCAGGTGTGCGAGCAGGCGGGGGCCGCGGCTCAGGCGACGGCTCATCCCACACGGGCTCCTCGTCCATATCGCTCGACGAGGCCGACTGTGCCGCATTTTCGTCCGGCACAAAGTCGGTGTCTTCGATGTCGTCGTCGTCGAGCTCGGCATGGCGGGCGAGGGGCGAGCGAGGCAGCACAGGCGGCGGCAAGTCCATGTCGTACAGGCCAGCCATGAGCGGCGACTCGCCGAGCGTCTCGTCGACGGAGAGGCGCAGGGATCGCTCGGCACTGCGTGGCGGGGTGCGTGCATGGGCACCCAAGGCAGGCAGGCGCCCGATCTTGCGTGGCTCCGCCCGCTCCATGCCGCACGTTAAGCCACGACGCGACGAGGCCGCGCGCGGCGCGTTGCATCACGTGACAAAGTCGGGGCGGCCGCAGCGTGGCGCCTCTTTCTTCGTTGAGCAAAGTGTGGGCAGTTCGACGAGTCCCTCGGCTGGCCCGACCCTGTTGTGTGTTACGTGTACGGACCCACTACGTTATGAGCCGACCTCCGATTCCATCGAAGCACGAGTTTGCTGGTGCGCCGCTGTTCCAGCGCCTGCCGAAGCTGCCGCCGCTCGAGGGCACGGATCCAGCGCGCGCGCCGCAGGACGCCTTCCGTCTGGCGATTGCGGGCCCGCTGTCCGAGGTGCTCGGTACGCCGCTCAGCGACACCTTCCTGGCTGTGGCGCCTGGAGGCAAAGAGGGCGACTTTAAGGTGGTCCTGCCGCGCTTCCGCCTGCCGACGAAGGTCGATGAGCTACAGGCCAAGGTGCTCTCGTCGTTCCAGCCGAACGAGTACGTGGAGAGCGTCACGAAGCAGGGCCCGGCAGTCGTGTACACGGTGAACAAGCGCACGCTCGTCGCGCTCGTGCTCTCGACGGTGCATGCGCTGACGCACGGCGAGGGCGCTGCGATCGACGCCGACGGGCAGAAGCAGCCGTCGTACGGCTCGAACACGTCGGGCCGCGGCAAGCGCGCAATTGTCGAGTTCTCGTCGCCGAACATTGCCAAGCCGTTCCATGCGGGCCACCTGCGCAGCACGATCATCGGTGCCTTCCTGGCGAACCTGTACGAGGCGAATGGCTGGGACGTGACGCGTCTCAACTACCTGGGTGACTGGGGCAAGCAGTTCGGTCTGCTCGCGCTCGGCTGGCGCCGCTTTGGTGATGAGGCGAAGCTGCAGGCGGACCCTGTGCAGCACCTCTTTGACGTGTACGTCGAGATCAACAAGCTCGCGTCCGAGGAGGGCGGCCAGGGCGAGGCGATCCACGACGAGGCGCGTGAGTTCTTCAAGGGCATGGAGGATGGCAAGCCGGAGAACCTCGTCGAGTGGGCGCGGTTCCGCGACCTGTCGATCGAAAAGTACAAGGAGACGTACGCGCGCCTGAACGTGCACTTTGACGAGTACCGCGGCGAGTCGAAGGTGAAGCGCGAGCAGCTCGAGGCGACGATGGCAAAGCTGCGCGACGCCGACTTTACGTCGTACGAGGAGAACGGCGCACTGCTCGCCGACCTGACGCCGTACAAGCTCGAGAAGGCGGTGATTGTGCGCAAGGACGGCACGCCGCTGTACCTCACGCGCGACATCCCCGAGGCGGAGGAGCGCTACGAGCAGTACCACTTTGACAAGATGATCTATGTGATTGCGTCGCAGCAGGACCTGCACTGCGCGCAGCTGTTCAAGATCCTCGAGCTGCTCGGCCATCCCTGGGCGCGCAAGGACGCAGGCGGCCTCGTGCACATCAACTTTGGTATGGTGCAGGGCATGTCGACCCGCAAGGGCACGGTCGTGTTCCTCGACCACATCCTCGACGAGACCAAGGAACAGATGCACGAGGTGATGCGCAAGAACGAGGTCAAGTACGCGCAGCTCGAAGACCCCGAGCGCACCGCGGACATAGTTGGCATGACGGCCATCAAGATCCAGGACATGACCGGCAAGCGCATCAACAACTACACGTTCGACTGGAAGCGCATGTTCTCGTTCGAGGGCGACACGGGCCCGTACCTGCAGTACAACCACGTGCGTCTCTGCTCGATGGAGCGCACCAACGCCGAGGACGGCCTCGTGCTCCCGAGGGAGGACCTCGATGTGTCGGCCATGCACACGGACCACCTCGTCACCCCCGAGGCGCTCGAGATTGTGTGGCTCCTTGCGCAGTGGCCCGATGTGGTGCGCACCGCCAGCCGCGACCACCAGGCGTCGACAGTGGTCACGTTCTGCTTCAAGCTGACGCACGCCATCAGCTCGGCTTGGGAAAAGCTCATCGTCAAGGGCCAGGCCCGGGACGACGCGCTCGTGCGCCTGTGGCTCTACCGCTGCGCCAAGGATGTGCTCGGCAGTGCACTGCGCCTGCTGACCATTACGCCGCTCGAACGCATGTAGTTCATATGGTACATTAGTCTACAGGCTACTTGCGCTTCTTCAGCTTCGGGTTCGACGTCCGGCTCGCCTTGCGGTTCACACCCACGCGGCTGCCGCGCTCGCGCTGCCGCGACTGTGCTTGTGCCGCCTCCAGGCTCGCCTTCTTATGGCGGTTCTTGTTCTTGACATTGGCGTGCGTGTAGTAGTTCTCCGCCTTGCGCTTGCTCGTGGTCATTCGCTTCTCCTTGACGCGCGGACGCTCCTCCTCCGAGTCAGACACGCCCTGCGCCGGCGGCGGCGACGACGTGCGGAATACGTCCTCCCACGCCAGGCCCTCGAAGTCGTCCTCGCTGTCGTCGTCCTCTTCGTCCTCGTCGTCCTCTTCGTCCTCGTCGTCCTCTTCGTCCTCGTCCTCCTCTTCTTCGTCCTCGTCCTCCTCTTCTTCGTCCTCGTCCTCCTCCTCGTCCTCTTCCGCCTCCACATCGTCCTCGCCTTCCAGCAACTCGTCCGGCGCCTCGCCGTCGCCACGCTCAAAGTCCTCGGGCACACCGCCATGGGTATCTTCGCTGGTGAACTTGGACATCACAGGGATCTGATGGATCGGCTGGTCCACGCCCTGCACGCGGCGCTCCGCCTGTTCGCTATCCGCCTGAGCCGGCGGCAGCGGCGGCGGCACAAAGAAGGGGATCTTGCCGCGGATCCAGTCGTTAAGCACCATGCGTGCACTTGTGTCGAGGTCCGGCTCACCGCCTTTGAGGAGCTTGCCCATGCGCGTCGAGAGCTGTGCCAGAAAGTCGTCAGCGTCCTTCCAGGAGGTCAGCTGGTACGTGCGCTTGATATATTCGGGCTTCACACGGCTCAGCAGCGATGCAATGTGCTCGCTGGGCGTCTCCAGGTTCTCCACACGCACCACGCCCTTGAGCACCGTGTTGGTCTCGGAGTCGTGCGCGCTCACCGGCACAATGCCGGGGCAGTCGATCAGGTAGATACGCCGCATGAGCGTGATGTATTGCCACACCTTCGTCTCGCCGGGAATCGGCGCCACATTGCACACCTTCTTCTTCTTCAGTGTGTTGATGATCGAGCTCTTGCCGACATTCGGGTAGCCCACAAAGCCCACGCTGATCTGCTTCTTGTCCGAGTGCAGCACACTGAACTGACGCAGCAGCTGGATCAGGCTGCCCTTGCCGAAGCTGTGGTTGATCGACGCGTGAAACGCCAGCGTCGGAAACTCCCTCGAGAGGATCTTGATCCAGCGCGCCTGTGAGTTAGTACTGCTCCGCACGCGTAGGGGAGGAGGGAATGTTCGTGAAGGCACAGGGGTCACGCCGCATCGCTTACGCTCGACGCAACCCCAGCGCCACCAAGCCAGTGACAGAGGCATCCTTCCCACATCCGGTCCTCAATGGCGGGAGAGGACTTGGGAGGGGTGGCAAGCCACGATGAAGGCTGCACATCTGCCACCGTTACTCTTCCACATTCGTAACAGTGTATGCGCCACGGGATGGTGTGGAACACCAGGCTGCAACCCTTGACTAGAATGTGGGGCAGGGGGAGGGGAGGGGGGAGGGGGATATACGTACCGTAACCCACGTAGGGACCAAATCCACCTTGTTCAGCACAAAGACCAGGTGCTTGTGAGGCGTTTCTTCGCGGATATGCTTCTCGACATTGCGGCAGCGAGTGCCCATGGGATCGCGGGCATCCAGGACATGCAAGATCACGTCCGAGCTATCAATTACCTTGTACAACTCGCCCCAAATACGCCGCGACTGGCCCTTGGAATACACTGGCTCCGAGCGGCCGCGCTGGACCGGCGCCGAGTACACCTCGCCCGGGAGCGCGATGCGGCTCGACTCCGACGAGCCAAGAGGAATCTCGCGGTCCTCGGGCACGAGGCCCTCGCCACGAGCCTTGGCCTCCATTGACGCCACCTTCTCGTCTTCCTGCTCGCCCATCACACGCGACGTCTCGGCGAGGTCCGCAAACGAGCTCATGCCCATATCGAGGCGCGGTCGCTTCCGCTGCGCACCGGGGCCAAACGTCTTCTCGAATGGCTCGACCTCCGTCAGGGAGGGGGCCTTGCCACGTGAAGGCTCTTGGATCAGACTCATGGGGAGCTTGTTGCGCCGCAGCAGCACGCTGTACGGGTCGTTGACCTTGGATCCCAGCGCCGTACGGAAGTGGTCCAGCGCATCCTGCGCAATCACACGCGTGTTGCCGAACCAGCGGCGGTCCGGCTGCACTCGCCCCGGCTTGGCCTCCGAGCTCTGGAACTCGGCCGCCTTGACGATGTTGCCGGCGCGGTCGCGCTGCGCCTTAGTCGAAGAGCTGAACTTCGACAGCATCTTGACACGCTTTGCAGCCTTGGCATCGCGGTAAAAGTTCTCGCCCTTGACGCTCCGGATGCCGGACGGCTTGTCCTTTTTCTGGGCGGCCATGGTGCGTGAACAAGAAAAAAAGTGCGGCGCGGCGCCACGGCCGATACTCACGTGATGCACACCGCCGCGCTGTCGCTGCGCGCACAAGCCTGGCCACGGTCGAGCATGAGTGCTGCGGACCACCCGCCGCCGCCGCCGCCGCGCAGTAGTGCCCGGAATAATAAGCGGTCAAACAGGAAGGCACCGCCGCCTGCTGATGAGCAAGAAGTGTTTGCGGATGCAGTGGCTCCCGACGACGCCGAGCAGGCCGAGTCTCGCGAGGCGCCCCAGGTGGCAGATCCATCAGCCACCATGGTGAATGAGTCAGAGGTTCAGGACACGGCAGAGCGGGCTGATGAGTCCATGTCTGCGGTGCCGACACCTGCAGAGCCGACTGAGGAGCCCGTGGGTGCAGCGCCAGCGACGGCAGAGCCAGCGGACGCGGCCCTGCAAGCCCAGCTGGCCTCGCGTGACCAAGAGCTGGCGCTGCTCCGCAAGGAGCTCCAAGATGCCATCTCTGTGCGCAACGATGTCGCAGACGCGCACGCAGACTGGCTCAAGGAGCGCGAAGAGCTCAGAGGCCAGAAAGAAGAGCTCGAGCAGCGCCTCGAGCAGGAGCGCGAGGAGCGCAATGCACAGAGGGAAGAGCTGGAGCGGCGCCTCGAGCAGGAGCGTGAGCGGGCCGACAGTGCGGAAGAGCGGATCCGCGACCTGCGCCGCACGAACGAAGAGAGCCGACGGGCGATTATGCGACTGCAACAGGCGCGCCCGGCGACGCCTCGGACCGAGTCGGATGCGTCCGAGCGCTCGGCGCGGCGCACCAGTGCGATCTTGGGCCCGTTCACGGCCAAGACGCTCTCGAGTGCGGTGGAGGGCGACAGTGAGCCGGAGCACAAGGGACTGCGTGATCTGCAGCTGGTGAGCCCGCCGCAGGCGAACTCGGACACCTTCTCGCCCGTGCTAGGCAGCAAGATTGAGGAGGAAGAGACTGACGAAGCGCCTGCTGCCAGGGACAATGCCGAGGAGGGCAGTCAGCAGTCAGGTATCACGGGTCTGTTCCCGTCGTCGCTGCTGCGCCCGCCCTTCCATCTGCTGCGCAAGTCGGGCGGCGCAGAGAGCCAAACGGGCCCGTCGATAGGCTCGCAGGACGACGGGGCCATGCTCGAGTCGCTGCGCACGGAGCACGAAAAGGCACAGTCCCAGCTGGCGTCTATGCACACGGAGATCGCGGCACTCCAGGACCAGCTGCTTGAGTCCCGCGAGGCGCAGCAGGCGAGTGAATCGCTGATCAAGTCTCTACGCGAATACATTGTCAACGCGGAAAAGAGTGGCAAGCGCGAAGTCCCGCCGACCCCGTCCTCCGCTGCCTCCGCAGAAGCGGCCATGGCGCCTGCAGCGAGCGCCGAGGGCGCGTCGTCCGCGGAGTTGGCGGAGGCGCAGGCCGAGACCGAAGCGGAGCCTCCACAATCTACGTAGGAATTAGGTTGGCTCTGGACACCATGTGGGGTACTGTAGCAGCGCTGCTGCTGGGCCTCGTGTGGCTCGGGACATGGCTCCGTCCTCGGTCTGTCGCGCCGGCGTTGTCAGAGGAGGTGCCTGTGTATATGCGCGCTGCCTCACAGGGCTATGAGCCGCACTACAACTTGACGGGTCGACGTGGCGCGGTGGCCTGTGAGGTGGACGTGTGCTCCAATGCGGGCGCCTACATCTTGGAGAAGGGCGGCTCAGCGGCGGATGCAGTATGTGGCACGCACTCACACAGATCATCGCTGCATCCAGCTGTGTGGGTGTGATCAGTGCGTTCCACTCGGGCATGGGTGGTGGCGGGTTTGCGCTGATCAAGACGCAGGGCAACGACCCTGTAGTGCTGGACTACCGCGAGACGGCGCCAGGCGCGGCGCATCGCGATATGTTTGTGGGAAAGCCGATGAATGCATCGCTGTGGGGGTGCGTACAAGCCAGCTTACCGCAGCGGTTTGGCCGTCGCAGTGCCGGGCGAGGTGCGTGGCTGGGAACAGCTCCACCGCCTGTATGGGCGCCTGCCATGGGCAGAGATCCTCGAGCCTGCCATTTACATGGCCAAGAATGGGTTCCGTGTCCCATCGGAGCTGTACAACAAGATGAAGTGGCTCGGGGACCGGCTTTGCATGGCCCCACATCTGGCGCCTGTCTACTGCCCGGGCGGGCGGCTTTGGCAGCAAGGCGAACTGCTGCGGCGCGAGAACCTGGGCTCGACATTGGAGCGCATTGCGCAGCAGGGCGCGGACGCCTTTTATACTGGAAGCATCGCGCAGAACACGGTCGATACAGTTCAGGCCGCCGGAGGGATACTCACGCTGGAGGACCTGCGCGAATTCCGGGTCCTCATTCGCGATGCACACTCGGTGGAGTACCGCGACAAGTACCGCGAGTGGACAACGAGTGCGCCTAGCTCAGGCGCCGTGCTGCTATCGATCTTGAAGACGATGGAGCACTTCCCAGACACACCCTACGACGTGGACGATGTCCTCCATACGCATCGGCTCATCGAGGCAACCAAGTTCTCGTACGGAGAGCGCAGCATGTTTGGCGATCCCGCGTTTGTCAAGAATGTGACCAAGCTCGAGGCGGTGGCCATCCGAGACGATATTGGGCGGGCTCGCCATAAGCGCATCTGGGACGGCGGCGTGCACCCGGTAGAAGACTACAATCCTGAGCATTTCCTGGCAAAGGAGGACCATGGGACGTCGCATCTGAGCGCTGTCGACGAGCACGGCATGTCGATTTCCCTCACGACTACTGTCAATGGCTACTGGGGCAGCACGCTCCTCACGCCCGATGGGATTCTGCTCAACAACGACATGGACGATTTCTCGTCGCCCGATCGCTCGAACCTGTTTGGGTACGTGCCAACCCCGGCCAACTACATTGCACCGCGCAAGCGGCCGCTCTCGTCCATGTGTCCGTTTATGGTGCAGAGCAAGGAGACGGGCGAGATGGAGCTTATCGCTGGCTCTGCGGGCGGCTCGCGAATCATTACGGCGAACCTGCTCATGGCCTACACGTACATGTCCCACCACGGGGATGTGTCCATGCAGGACGTGATCAACCGGCCGCGCTGGCACGACCAGATCCAGCCGGAGTGGACCCTGTTCGAGCGGCCCATCGACGCACTACCGCACTTTCCCGGGTATAACAACGAAACGGTCCGCGCCTTGGAGCGCCTGGGCCATGTGCCCGTGTACATGGAGCCTGGCACGTCGACGTCCCAGGCGATTCAGCGCTCGCCGGCGGGTGACTTTCAGACTGCCTCGGAGCTGCGGCAGTGGGAGGCGCGCGGTGCTGCAGTCTAGACTTAGAAGCCCCGCATTCGCGCATACAAAACACCGGCCAAGAGACCGCCGACATGTCCAACCGAGTCCGTATGGCTCTGTGGGCGAGGGAACGAGGCGGAGTAGAGCTCCCAAGCGGCAATGCCGCCAATGCAGAGCCACGCGGGCAGAGGTACGGCGAAGAACAAGTATACGGTCGACCGCGGCTGCATCATGGTAAAGGCTGAGATGATGGCGTAGACGGAGCCTGGGTTAGAAGGGATACGTACCGCTCGCGCCCTGGGACAGGCGGTACCGGCGCCGAGCCAGAGACGTACGGTCACCGTGCAGAATCGGATCGACAATGTAGGGCCACAGAATGCTGGTCGCCGAGGCGGCGAGACCCGCACCCATGTATAGGGAGAGCACGCCTGGCGCCCCAATCAGGGGTATGAGCGCCGGGGCAGTGAGGCTGAGCGTGAGCATATTGACGCCGTAGTGCATCACATCCTGGTGGCTGATACATGCGGTCAGAAGCGTCCACCACCTCCCCTCGAGTAGATGGGGCTCACCGCTCGTAAAGTGGCGCATCATGAACCGGTACGCGCGCGGGTCGCCGTGCTGCGCCTGGTCCTTGGCGTACCACCAGCCTCCGAGCACCACCGTATTAGCGCCGAGCAGTCCAAGCATGACATTTCGTGGTGCTTGATCGCTACCCTGGCGTGCAGACGCACGCCGCCGCACACCGCGCGATGCGGCGGATCGCAGCGACCGCAGAAGCACGAGCATCGAGCGACGCTGCATGACGGCCATCGCAGGCCTACCTTCTCCACACCACGTCACGTGTCTTGAAAGACGCGCGCTCGGCGGGCTTTGACGAGCGACTGCGACGATGGCCGGCATGATGCGCAATGGGGGCCGTCTTGGCATGATGCAGCCGCCAGTGATTCTGCTGAAGGAGGGCACAGATACCTCGCAGGGTAAGGGCCAGCTGTTGTCCAATATCGGTGCATGCCTCGCCGTGGTGTCCTGCGTGGCCTCGACGTTGGGGCCGCGCGGTATGGACAAGATGATTGTGAACGACCGTGGACAGGCGACGATTTCGAACGATGGAGCGACGATCCTGAAGCTCCTTGACATTGTGCACCCTGCGGCGCGTACGCTGGTGGACATTGCGCGTGCGCAGGATGCCGAGGTCGGCGACGGCACGACGACGGTCGTGCTGCTCACGGGCGAGATTCTCAAGCAGGTGCGCCCGTTCATTGAGGAGGGCGTGAGCCCTCATGTGGTGGCGAAGGGTATTGCGACGGCGTCGCAGATGGCGGTCGAGCATGTGAAGAGCCTGGCCGTCCACATTGACAAGGACAAGGAGGCGTACGTGCGCGCTACTGACCGCAGTGATTTCCGTAACCTCCTGCTCAAGTGTGCGGGCACAGCTATGTCGTCGAAGCTGATCGTGTCGCAGCGGCCGTTCTTTGCACAGATGGCGGTGGATGCGGTGCTCGCGCTCGACCAGGACGAGCTGAACGAAAAGCTGATTGGCATTAAGCAGGTGCCAGGTGGCGCGATGCAGGACTCGATGCTGATCCACGGCGTGGCCTTCAAAAAGACGTTTGCGTATGCGGGCTTTGAGCAGCAGCCGAAAAAGTTTGAGAACCCGGGCATTCTGTGCCTGAACGTGGAGCTGGAGCTGAAGGCCGAGAAAGACAATGCGGAGGTGCGCATCCAGGAAGTGTCGGAGTACCAGGCGATTGTCGACGCGGAGTGGGCGATCATCTACGGCAAGCTCGAGGCGATCGTCAAGACGGGCGCCAAGGTGGTCCTGTCGAAGCTGCCGATCGGCGACCTTGCGACGCAGTACTTTGCGGACCGCGACATTTTCTGTGCGGGCCGCGTGCCGATGGAGGATATGCAGCGCGTCGTGCAGGCTGTCGGCGGCTCGATCCAGTCGACGGTGTCGGACCTGCACCCCGAGCGCCACCTGGGCACGTGTGGTGTGTTTGAGGAGCGCCAGATCGGTGGCGAGCGCTTCAACCTGTTCACGGGCTGCCCTGGCGCCAAGACGGCGACGATTGTGCTGCGTGGCGGCGCCGAGCAGGTGATTGCCGAGATCGAGCGTAGTCTGCACGATGCGATTATGATTGTCAAGCGTGCGATCAAAAACAACGACGTCGTCGCAGGCGGTGGCGCCATTGAGATGGAGCTCTCCAAGATCCTGCGCAACCACGCGCGCACGATTCAGGGCAAGCAGCAGATGGTCATGACCGCGTACGCGAAGGCGCTCGAGGTCATTCCCCGGCAGCTCGCGGACAACGCAGGCTTTGATGCTACGGACCTGCTGAACCAGCTGCGTATGCAGCATGCACAAGGCCACACATGGGACGGCATCGACGTGTCCACGGAAGGCGTATCGAACAACATGGACAAGTTTGTGTGGGAGCCCGCGCTGATCAAGATCAACGCGCTCAGCAGCTCCGCGGAAGCCGCGCGCCTGGTCCTCAGCATCGACGAGACGATCCGTGCGGAGCAGGCCGAGCAGGCGCCGCCTAGTGGCGGCCCCCTGCCGCCAGGCACGGCCCAGCGGGCGCTCCGCGCAGGCGGGCGCGGCGGGATCCCGCGCCGCTAGAGTAGGTAGCTGCCATGTGGAGTTGTCGCGGCACCATGGACCTGTGGGCTTGCGGGTCCAACAGTGAGGGCCAGCTGGGCGTCGGGCACACGCTCGACACGAGTGTGTGGACGCGATGCACAGAGGGCGAGCGCACGTTTCCGCCGCGCGGCTGGACCGTCGCTGAGATGGCCAGCTCCGCCGCAGGCACACTCGCGCTGTGCCAGCGCGACGACGAGAGGCAGCTGTGGACATGCGGACGCGCATGGCCCGGGCGCGACACGAATGCGTTCGCGCGCATCCATACACAGGCGCTCGGGATCACAGGGCGCCTCGTGCATGTGGCGGCGGTCTGGGACTGTGTGTACGTGGTCGAGCGCGTGCCTGAGGGCGATCGGATGTGGGCGATCGGCCAGTCGGATGCGTTTGGGCTGTGGGGCACTGGCCGCGCCGGCCTCGGCGCGGCACGGGATCCGCGCATGCCGGCATGGTGCCATAGCGTCGACCTACTTGGCTGCATGCCCCACACGGCCGCAGGGCCATGGCGCGTGCATGCCGTCGCGGGCGGCGTGCGGCACGTCCTGGCCGTGCTCACGAGCGCGGACGCACACTGGCTCGTGGGCTGGGGTCATGCGCGCCATGGGCAGCTTGGGCCCGTCGATGCACGCGTGGTGCATGCGCCGCAGGCGCTGCTGCGCCTCTGGGCCGCCGGACCCGATGCGCCGCCCACGTACGCCCTCGCACTCGGCATGGCGCACTCGGTCGTGACGGCGCAGCATCACGGCACGACGCGCGTGTGGCTCTGGGGCTCGAACAAGCACGGGCAGCTCGACGTGCCCGACTGGGCGTGGGAGGAGCACGGCAGCACCGCCCGCCGCGCGACGGTGCCCCATGCCGTCGTGCCGGCGTGCATGTGGCGCACGACGCTGCTGCATGTCGATGGCCGTGTGCTGGCGCACGGCGCCGACTCGCATGCACAGACGCGTGCGTGCGACTGGGCATGCCTTGGCACGCTGCGCGCTGGCAGCGAGCATGCCCTCCTGCTGGATGCGCACGGTGCCGTGCATGGCTGGGGCTGGAACGAGCACGGGAACCTGGCGTGCGCGGACGAGAGCGTCGCGCCGCGGATCGTGTGGGACGGACCGGCGGCGATCCAGGTATGGGCAGGCTACGGGACAAGCTGGGTCGGGGTGCCGGCCGCGGCCCTAGGCAGGGACGAGGCATGCTAGACCGGCACGGCTGCGGTCGCGTAGCAGGTAAAATGGATGCAGTGTTTGGGCGCCTTCCTCGTCGCTGGTCGGCCGCGAGACGTCCAGCAGCGCATTGGTGCCCTCCAACACATGGGCAAGCACGTCGGCGACCCACGACGCGGGGTCGCCGGGGCAGCGGCACCGCTCCAGGAAGCGCGCCACATGCTCGGCCGTGCTCTCGACGTCAATGAGCACGGTGCCGTTCCAGCCGCGATGCGCCTCGAACGCGCTCGCCACAAAGTCCGGCGCGCCATCGTAAGGGACGGACACCGTGAAGGCCGCGCGGTACACCCACTTGGAGATGCGGTACAGCTGGCGGTTCGCGCCGGTCCGCTCGATGTTGTCGCGCACGAGCTGCAGCGACGTGATGATCTCGTCGCGCCAGGGGCTCACGTTCATGTACATGACCGGCGTGGGCGTAGGCGGCAAGGCCGGGTCAAAGTACGTCGGCGCATACCGCAGCGCATTGATACAAGCAGGGAGGTGGCCCTGCGCATCGTAGTCCGTCGCCAGTGGCACGAGCACCTCGCCATCAAACACGAAGCGTGCATCCGTCGCCGTGTTCAGCGCCACGTCGCCCTTGCGGAGCAAGCGCCACACGCCCGAGATAAACAGCTCCCGCTCCACCCGCTGCACCTCCGGCGCAAACCACGGGCGCCCAGCCGGGGCCCACGCCTGGAACATCGACGCCAGGCCCGGCGTGACGAGCGACGATACTTGCATCGAATGCACGCCGTCGGGGCCGTGCACTTCCCATGCGCCGCCGCACTTGCTCGGCGCCTGGAGCCGCACATGCGCGAGCACACGGTTGTACGAGCGGACCAGGGTGCGCGCCAGGCGCGGAATGCGCTTGTCCAGATGGTGGGCACCTGTGACGTACAAGTGCGCAGCGGGAAAGAGCTCGTCGCTCCCATAGAGATACATGAGGAAGCCCTCGACATCGAGCAAGGAGAGGGGCAGCGACGCCATGCCCTCGGGGACCTCGCTGGCCCCGCCCATGTAGCCGATCGGGCCAAGGAAGCGGCGCAGGAGGGCCTCGTGCACCTCCGGCTTCTGGAGCACCTGTCGTACTCCGGACGACACATCGTACAGCGCGCGAAGATCGCTAAAGTCCAGGTGAGAGAGGAGCTGCTGCACGAACGAGAGGGGCATCGCCGTAAAGAGCAGCGCGCCATGCACGTCCGCCTGGACATGCGCCTGCTCCACCAGGCCATGTACCGTGTACCCGGGGAAGTACCGCACGGCGCCATCGCGGTACGGGCCGGCCGGCCGCACCGCCCACGGCTCGTCGGGCATGGCCGACTCGAGGCTGTGCATGGAGAGCATCGACACACGAGACCTGTCTGCCGCAGCTCCGGCCGCATCGTGCGCCACATCGACGCTCGGCCCGGGGGTCGCGCCCACCGCGCCCGGCGGCAGGGCGGTGCGAGGCACATGCACCCCCAGCATATAGCTCAGCCAGGGGAGCGCAGGGTGGGTACGTATCGACTCGTCGCGCATCGGCGCCGGCGCATCGAAGCGCAGGCCCTGCTGGGGCGCCGACCGCGTCGTCGCCAGAATACCGGCCATGCCCGGCGTCGTCTGGCGCGATACAATGCGCAGGCGGCTGAGCATGTGCGTGAGCCGCGACGCATCCGTCGCATCCGACGCGCGCGACGTGCCTGAGTGCTCCGTCTCGGTCGCGGACGCTGCATCGTCCGTGTCCTCGGTGCGCCGCGCCTGTGAGCGCGCCATGCGATCCTCGTCGTCCACTTCGCGCCGCGCCCGCCGAAGGGCACGGCCCTCGTGCTGCAGGCGCTGGGCCTCGTGCGACTCACGCGCCGCATAAGCACGAAAGAGCGCTTCGCGCTCCGCCTGCTGCTGCACAGCGAGCTGGCGCTCCTTGCGCACGCGCGCTTCGCGCTCTTCGCGCTCGCGTAGGGCCTCTGCCGCGCTGCGTGCGCGGCGCTCGGCGGCCTGGGCCTCTGCCTCGCGCGCACGCTGCGCAGCCATGGCAGCCTCCTTGCGGCGCGCGTGCTCGGCTTGCTCTTCAGCGAGGCGCCGCTCCAAATCGGCACGCGCCTGGGCCGCGAGCCGTGCTTGCGCTGCGCGTTCTTCTGCTGCGCGCCGCTCCCGCTCTGCCTCAAGTGCCGCAAGCTTCTCCCGCTCCCGCGCTGCCTGTTCCTGCGCCGCCAGACGCTTTCGCTCCCGCGCTGCCTGCTCCTGCGCCGCCTGCTCCTGCTTCGCAAGACGCTCCCGCTCCCGCGCCGCCTGCTCCTGCGCCACCTGCTCCAGTTTTGCGAGGCGCTCCCGCTCCCGCGCAGCCTGCTCTTGCGCCGCGAGACGCTCCCGCTCCCGTGCAGCCTGCTCCTGGGCCGCGAGACGCTCCCGCTCCCGTGCAGCCCGCTCCTGGGCCGCAAGACGCTCCCGCTCACGCTCGGCCTGGGCACGCTCGCGTTCGGCCTTTTCTTTCGCTTCGCGTCGCTCGCGCTCCGCAGCAGCCGCGCGGGCCGCCTCGGCCCGCTCTTTGTCCTTTTGTACGCGGCGCGCCTCGGCAGCGAGTTCCTCGTCAAGGCGCCGCTTTTCACGCTCCATCTCGGCAGCGAGAGCCTGTTGCCGTGCGCGCTTCGTAGCTGCCTCACGCTCGGCGGCCTCACGCATCTGCTGCTCGAGGCGCACACGCTTTGACTCGAAACGCTCTGCCTCGCGCATGCGCTCCTGCTTCACGGCAAGGAGGCGTGCCTGCTCAAGACGCTCGAGCTCGCGCTCCTGCTGCTCGCGCTCCGCGGCCTTGCGCGCCATGAGCGCCTGTTTTTCGCGCTCTTCGACGCGCTGCTTTTCGAGCTCGGCCGCCTGGCGCTCGAGTTCCGCGAGACGCGCTGCCTCGCGGGCCACGGCCGCCTCCGCCTCGCGCTGCTCTTGCAGCAGGCGGCGCTTGCGCTCCTCAATCTCGCGCTGCTGCTCCAGGAGCTGAGCACGTAGTTGCATCTGGTCGTCACTGCGCAAGAATGTACGCGCACTCGCAGCATCTTCAAAGTCCTCGCTCGCATCGCTGGCGTCGTCAGCCGGCGGGGGGGGCGTGCCGGCGGCCATGCCTGCGTGCGCTTGCGTTACCGAGGCACCCATGGAGGTAGAGCGCGCCGCTGCGCGGTGGGTACGCGGGCGAGGCCGCTGCGCACTCCGAGCGCGTGCGGAGCGATGGGAGCGCCGATCCGGCGACGCAAGACGCATATAAGCCTTGTGCCGCTCGTTCTCCTCGTGCATCCACAGCGCATCCCGCTCCTTCTGTATGCGCTCTTCCATGTCCTCGTCATCGCCCGCATCCATCGCTTGTTCCGCGTCGGGCGCGCGAGGCGCTGCAGGCGGACTCTGCGCTCGGGGCGCCGCGGGGCCCAGTGCCTTGAAGGGGACGGACGCCTCGGGTTCGGGCGGCGCGTGCGTGCTGGGCGCGGGCGAGTCGGAGTTGACCATGCGGAAGATAGGTCGGGAGGCTGCCTCGGCACGAGGACGGCCGTGGCGCTTCCTGTCCGACACCGTGCCGCGCGGCGTGGATTTTTTCCACGAGAGGCTCGTGACACGCAGCGACGGCTCCGGCGATGCCGGGACCTCTGGCGGCGCACGGCCACGCACACGAACGATGCTCGACTCGTCATCGTACGCCGGTATGGACGCGTAGGGGGTCGAGGCGCTGCGCGTAGGGTGTCCGCGCCGATAGCGCCGCATATCCAGAGCGCCGTGCGACAAGGCCCGATCGTGCTCGCGGACTGCCGCGCCGGCTGCAGCGGGATTCGATGCCGTCCGTAGGGTCTCAGATCCTTTTCGCGCAGAGGCGCCCAACGCCCTATCACGCAGCCCGGCGCCAGAGCGCCCTGGCATGCTACAAGCGTGCTTCTCGGCTCGTGAATCGAGTACGACTGCACCATGCGTCGGCCGAGCGGTAAGCGTGGGGTAGCTGACAAAACTTCGCATTACATCGTAGCTACTTTTCCTTGGGCCTCGGCGCTAAGGTAGCGCGCGTTGAGCAGGGCAATCTCGCGGGCCAGACCCGACCAGGTCAGCGGCAGCTCGCCGAGTGCGTGGCGCTTCGTTGGAAGCGTCGGGTATAGATCGCGGCCGGCGCCGATAGCCAGCGGCAGCGCGCGAGTGTCGGGGTCTTGCCGCTTGAGATTCGTCAAATACACTTCCCACTGACATAATTCCCAGAGAAAGAGGATGTGCGGCTGGATCAGCACATTCAGCCGCCGGCTCCGCACATAGAGATAGGCCTCCATAAGACTCCAGTCCATATGGGCCATCACGAACGCGATGACTGTCGAGGCGCTGCGACTCACGCCGACGCGGCAGTGCACGAGCACGCGGCCTCCTGCGAGGCGCGCTTGCTCGATGTACCGCAGCACGTCGTCCAAGACAGGCCGCAGTGTATCGATGCCATCATCGGAAAGATTCTGGAGTTCGAGCACATCCACGATGCCGGCGTTCCGCGCCGCCGCCAGGGTGTGGGGACCTGTATCGGTGAGACAGTTCTCGCCCACCGAGACGACATGTGTGATACCCAGCCGCTGGTGCAAGCGTGAATTCATCGCATGCTGCAAGCTGCCCAGGTATAGGAACGGGAGGATCCGCGACGGCATGCTCCCGTCAAAGTAAAAGTCGTCCATAAACTGCGGCCGAGTCTCGTCGATCGGCGCCACGGTCACCTGCGCGGGAGGGTGGGCCTCGCGCAGCACCGGTATGCGCTGCGCCAGCTGCTGCAGCAGCTGCCAGTCGCTCGGGCTCACGAAGAACGACCGGTGTAGGTCCAGCTGCACATGCATGTATGCCTGGTCAAGAGTGAGGCCCATGGTGTACATGAGGTAGCTGAGTGCAAGCACCGAGCTCTCCGAGTACCCGTCGTGACAGTAGAAAATCACACGGCGCGCATCGCGGTCAGGATCGACGGGCTGCGCGTGCCGGTGGACCCACACACACAGGTTTAAGAGGCCCTCGCAGAGGGCGCCCAGATCTGAACCGGGGGGGGGCGTGATGGGGCACTCAAGATGCGCCGTCTGGATCTGGGTCTCTTCACCCAGCCGCGCCTGGGCATCGTACGCGGCGAACGTCGTGTCCACCAGCTCGAGGAACGACGAGGGCGGCAGGCCACCCGCATCGACCACCTCAATGCCCAAGCCAAAGGTCGGCTTGTTCTCGGGGTTGTCCGTGCCATCAGGCACAAAGTCGCGCGATGTGCCGAGCCACACGTTCGGCGCAATCGGGGATGCGCGACTAAAATGCTCAATCTCTGCCAATTCGCGTTGGGGCAGTGAAATGTGTCGATGTGGCGTGCCATCACTTCGGATCGCAATAAGGTGGGGGCACACGCGCTCCAGCTCGCTAAATGTGTCAGAGATAATGAAGACATTGTAGAGCAAAGGATTCCGGTGCCGAACCACGCGGTCTTGGAAAAGATCTGCGTGAGCCTCCTGGAGGGCCAGTGCGGTGGCGCACGCCTCGGGCGTGAGGCCATGGGGTGAGTATACAACAATGTCCGAGACCATGGCGTAGTGCAGGCACTGCAGGCCAAAGAGGCGCATGTTGACATTCGAAATCGGCTCAGGCACGTGGAAGCGGTATCCGTCCAGGCTCTTGTAGATAAGATCAGACGACCGCACACTTGAGAGGAGCACCGAATCAGACGAGGTCTGCTCACCCTCCTTGTCAACGCGCACGACGGTGAGACCGCGGTAGCGCGGCAGTGGCGGTCCTGCAGGTGACCCGCTGAAGAAGAGATTTTGCCGGGGGTTCCCGTTGTTGCCACAGTGAAGATAGGGGAAGAGGATGTGGTGCGGCATATCTAAACCCGCATAGGTATCGTACATTTCGGCAAATTGGTCCGCACGGAGCATGCGCACGCGGTTTGGCATCGAAGTGTCCGTTGGAAGTTCGACATAATCATTTAGGTTGCTGTGATGCAAACCGAACTCGGGCTCAGGCGTCCGGGGACTCGGTGGCGCATGGCACGAGGTCCCCTTGAGCGTCGAAATCCTAGAGTTCTGGCGCTTCAGGTGCAGCGGCGCCAAAACACCAATAGCCATCTTGAGCAGAGGGGGCTCTACAAGAGATTAAGACGCGGGATAAGATAAGTGAACGGAAGCGGGGCGTGGAAAGCCCTTTTCGCCGCCCTGTATCTCGCGCGAAAATCCAAACCTTCTTAATACCCGGTGTCAACGTATCCCAATGAGAGATTTTTTTGGCACCTGCGACTTCATTTGGTAATTCCGTCTTGGCGCACTGCAATTGGCAACTTGGGTGTCACCGAGCGTCTGGAGTATGACACCACGTGTGTCGAATATGACGTCAGCCGAATTGATCATGTGACATGCGCGTGCCGTCTCTTCTTCTCATCCATGCTGGGTCTGTGCCGACCGGCGGTGCCAGCGTTGGCACGCGCGCTGGCGCCCGTGCAGGCACTGCGTACTCTCACGTCCAGTGCACAGGCATGGAAGGAAGCGAAAGAGTGGACACCCAACTCCCTGCGCACCGGATTGATAGCGCGCAAGAAAGGCATGACAACGATGTTCACTCCCGACGGCAAGCGCGTTCCGGCAACCGTTCTCTATGTCGATGCCAACCAGGTCTCGATGCATGTGCGTCACGAAGCAGCCTCTCCTGAAGAGGAGCCCTATATCGCTGTGCAGGTCGCCGCGACGGACGCGCGCGAAAACGCTGTGAGCGCGCCTGTCCGCGGCCACCTCGAGAAGGCTGGCCTCGGGCCCAAGCGCGTTGTGCGCGAGTTCCGTGTCTCCGAAGACGCGCTTGTGCCTCTCGGAACAACGCTTTCAGCGGCTCACTTTGTGCCGGGTCAGGACGTTGATGTACGTGCGATTACACGCGGAAAGGGCTTTGCTGGTGTGATGAAGCGCCACAACTTCGCCGGTGGCAATGCATCGCATGGTGCTTCGCTGGCCCACCGCACGCCCGGTTCTATTGGTAATAACCAGGACCCCGGACGTGTGTTCCCAGGCAAGCGCATGCCCGGTCGCATGGGCGGGCACTACCGCACGGTACAGAATGTGCGTGTGCTGCGTATCGACGTGAAAAACGAGTTGATCTTCGTCAAGGGCCAGGTCCCCGGGCCTGACGGCGGTGTGGTCGTCGTGCGCGATGCCCTGAAGAGTCTTGTGAAGAACGCCTACTACACGTACCGCAAGGGCCAGTCGTCTACGGGCGAGCTGCTCGATCCGGCGAAGGGCCCTGCGCAGTACTTGCCGCGCGGTCTCCTGGGGCTTCCGTTCCCGGCCGGCACACGCGAGATGGCAGCATCGCTTCCAGATGTGGTCGAAGTCGGCCCATACCCCTAGGTCTATAGTGATCAGAATAGGCCTTGACTCGTTACATCGCGACAATATGGTCAATGCATGATAATTTATGATATGCTACATATGTAGACGCCGCACTCGGGGGGCAACTCGGTTCCGAGGCGGACCATCGTATCGGACCTATTCAAACACCCAGGCATCACCCTTGTCTTGGCTAACATAATAAAGGAGCTTTTCAAACACATCCATAAAGAGTAATGTGCGGTGCACAATGGCCCTACGGCTCGTAGCTCAGTCATTGCCAGCGTGATTGTCATCCGACTCAAGTTAGCAATAGTCAGGCCCCCTAGGCAAAGGCGGCGGCGCTGCATTGCTTCCACGTGCTGGCATGACGCTTCCAAAATCCTGCCCTGAATGGCCTGTCCTCCACGCCGCAGGCGCCAGTCAGACTGAACAAGATTTTGGCATATGTAGATGGCCCAGCTAATATGTACGATGTATATGAATGCTACGAAGAGTACTCTGAGTATGTCTATGTAACCGATGCACGCCATGCGTTTGATACAACTTTACCACACAGGCCTGTAGAGGCGCGACGTACTTTGAACGTAGACAGGTCACCCCTTTAGTCTAGGCGGCTCCCTTCGGATCGGATGAGCCACTGAGTATGCATGTTTTTTGAAATATCCCAGGTAATGGCCTTTTTGGTGCTAACAGTGCGAGCGTGCGCATTTCGCGGGAATTTAGCTCAGCATGCAAGGCGTTGCGGGGAAATGGCCAAATTTCCAATGCCTCCACTTGGAGGGGAATTTTAGGCCAGTCAGCGATGCCGTCGGTCTCTCCCTACATGCCGAGGAGGGTCGGGCCACTTCTACTTGGAACCACCTACTGATGGACCTGTGCCACTAGCTGATAGATCGACTGCCGCACTCTTGCTAGGCTCGAAGACAGATTGCCCTCGACCACAATGCGCCCCGTGCCTTGCTTGGTGACCATCACATGGCGCTGGCCCCGGTCACTACACACCAGCACACCCTCGCCAGCAAAGTCTGCGCGAATGCGCTGCTGTCGCGCCAGGTACGATTTGAGCGCAGAGAGACGTAGGTCGCCAATGTACAGCGTCGATGGCGCCTGGGCCGCCCGCAGCGTCGTCGCGTCGTGACACGGCACGAGTGTCGGCGTGTCTGCATCGCCAGAAAAGTCGGGCGTCACATGCAGATGCACCACGTTGTAGTCCTCCATGCGGTGCCAGTTGAGGCCGCCCATCAGCGCATCGCCGAGGCGCACACTGTACGTGTCGCTAAGGCCGCCCACAGTGATCGTCACGCCGGTGGTCGGCATGTACAGTTCGTGACTGCTGAGCATGGCGCCCAGCTCGGCGCGCGTCGGTGCATCGCCATTGACCATGATCAGACGCCGCGGCTGCAGCTGCGGCACGAGCGTGGTCAGTGCACGGCCGTCGCTCAGGCCCTGCAGATCAATATACAGTACACGGCACCGCACGGCCACGCTGAGCGTCTCGCACGTAAACTTGCTGGGCACCTCCACGGGCGTCTCCTTCTTCGGCGCGGGCTTGGCTCGCGATGGATCCAGCTGCTCCTCCTGCTCAGCCTCGAGCCGCCGCCGCCGGGACAGCCAGCGCGCTGTATCAATCGACTCGCCGTACCCATCGACTTTGCGCTTGCGCTCAATAAAGGGGAACATGCGATAGTGCAGGCCCTCGTCGCGACTTGCATGACCCTGCAGGAAAGTATCGAACGACATGTCCAGCGGCTCAGGTGCGGCCGCCGCATCGCCCGTACTGGCAGGGGGGTCTGCGGTGCCTGTGTGCATCATCGCGTCGTCTTCGTCGCTGCTCGAATCCGAGTCCGAGAGGCCTTCGTCTGCCTCCCGCTGTGGTGCCGTGCGCGCCGCAGTCTTCTCGGAGGCTGCCTGGTGGGCCTCCATGTAGGCTCGTAGCTCGTCACCGGCAAGCGGCACACGCCGCCGGAGCTCGTAGGACAGCTGCCCGCCAGGCGTCGAGGGCGTGCCCACTTGGCCGGTGCGCCACGCGGCCGCATCTGCCTGTGTCGCGTTCCAGCGCTCCCACAGTGTGCGCACGAGACTGTCGGGCTCGCCGCGGCCTGTCAGGACGAGAAGCGAGTCTGGGTCACTGAGGAACTCGGGGAGCAGCTGGCGCGAGAGGCCATGCGTGAGGGCAGGGGGCGTCGCAAGCACGACTTTGACCTGCGATGGCGCAAGGGCCTGATGAAGCGCCTCGACGGACGGGAAGTAGCGCAGGCCCGTAAAGTCGAGCGGCGACTTGGTCACGGTCTGCTTCTTGCGGCCGCGGCCCTTCTCGGGCACGTCGAGGAGCTGGATGGCCCACTCTCGTGCCATCCATTCCATGAAGGTCCGCGCGCGCTCCAGCACCTCCTGGCCCGTGTGCGATACGAGGCACAGGGGGAAGCGCTGGTGCTGGTACGCAAACGCCCAGTGCTGGTCCAGCAGCACGAGGATCTCCAGCATGCGGGCGGCACTGTCGACGGGAATCAGCACAGAGTGCCCGCTCGTGAGGGTCTTGTGAATCTGCTCAAGCAGGGCTGCATCGCGGTCTTTGCGCCGCGCATTCGTGTAGAGACCGCGCTCCATGTCGGTGATGAGGATATCTGGCTGCCCGATGGCATGCGCCAAAGGCGCCGCGGCGCCTACCGACAGCAGCGCTGTGCCGTCCAAGTGCCGCTCGCGGTGGTGGTTCCAGTCGAGGGCCATGACGACCGTGCCGACCGAGGGCGATCGCAGCTTCCACACTGTGCCTCCAAGCGAGTGGCCTGCATTGTACGCGGTCAGCACGAGGCCTGCGCACTTGCCGTCGAGGGGCGTGGGCTGCATGTATCGCAGCGTGCGGATCGCATCAAACGCCTCGTCCACCTGCGCCTCTGTCGGAAGGAAACGCTGCACGGGCGACGATGACCGCACATCTGCCTCGGCCTGCCAGGAGCGCACGACCTCGAGCATCTGCAGGCGGCCCATCGTCTGCACAGGCAGCGTCGCATATACAGGGCACTGCAGGCCAAAGTGCGTGTACGCATACGCATACAGGCCCATATGCGATAGCTCTGCATGGAAGAGGAGCACCACATCGATGGTAGGACCAATGCGCTGCAGGATTTCGGGTAGTGAGCCGTGCAGCCCCCGGTCAGCGCCGTCAGTCTTCACCAGCGACGGCGGAAACGTAAAATCCTCTGGCGCTCCACAGTCCAGCAGGATGCGCGCCTGGTCAATCTCGACCAGGTACGCGAGTGCTTTCGAGCACTCGGTGCTCGTCGAAGCGCCCCCGGGCCCGTCCACATATGGGCCCGACAGCGGCGTGAATTGCAGCATCGACGCGGTGGGCGCGGAGGACGACGACAGCCGCCGCCTCCACAGGCCGTCGGCCGATCTGCTGCGCCGTGCGCCGAAGGCCCCGCTACAAGTCTACGCTGTCGTCGCTCTCGGGCCCGTGCTCGTCGCCTGAGTCCGATGCATCGTGGCTGAGCACGACGCTGGCGTCCATGTCGTCGTTCGAGTCAGAGCTGGGTGCCATCGCCTGGATCAGCCGCTCCTCTTCGTCCTCCGCGGCATGGACCGCGTCGTCGTAGCTTTTCAGATCGACAGGGCGATACACGGGCTCGGCCCCTCCGTCGAAGCGGAACGCCATTGCCATGGTCGAGTTCTTCAGATGGCAGTCGACTTCGTAACCGGGGGAAAACGCGGCAAGATCCGTGCCAATCTCCTTGCGCAGCACCTGCGTCGACACACAGTAGACGCCTGTCATGTCCATCTGCACGCAGCTGCAGTTCCAGTAGGGGAAGTCGTGAATGCGCCGGTGCTCCATCACCATGACGTCCGACCACTGGTAGACGGAGAAGGGTGCCGTGCCGTGCGCATCGCTGTACCGCGCCGACAGCGCCGACGGCGCCAAGAGATCCAGCATGAGGAGCATGCCATGGACCATAAACACCCGGCCGTGGCCCACAGCCAGCTGGCCCGGCATGAAGTGCTCGAGGATGAGGCCCCAGTTGTGCGGCAGGACCTCCTCCAGCGGCTCCCCCGGACGGTCCTCATGCCGCGCAAAGACTCGCTGCGGCAGCTCGACGTAGATCAGCGCTGGCGCGGCCCCCCGCAACAGATGCGCCGAGTAGTGGCGGAAGAGCAGGAGGCCCTCTTGCGATAGCAGCACGAGCGTATCGCTCTCGCGGTCAGGGTGCACGGCCGCCCACGTCGAGGGGCCGGCCGAGTCTTCGCGCCTCACATCGTCGGGCGACGGAACGAGCATGTGCGGCGGGGCCACCGGGTACACGTGCTGCTGCTGGAAGCACAGCGCAGCCGGCGTGGGCAGTGGCTCTGGTGCATAGCACTGGGGCTCGCCGTAGCGCTCCAGATGCTCGCGCAGGTGCCATACGACGTCCAGCGTCGCGCGACTGAGGATCGTGATCGAGTACGTCGAACCGCCGACCAGGAACACGAAATGGTCGTCAAAGTCTGCGTGAGCGTAGGGCACATACCCACGTAGTGGCTGCGTCAGTAGCCCGTACGTACATGTTCACGCCGCGCGTCGCCGTCGGGGCCAGCGAGATTTTTTGTGTGAGCGTGCAGCTTGGCACATCGTAGAGCAGGACATAATCGTCGGCAGTGGCGCTGAGCAGCGTCGGATACTGGAACCGATACGCGAGAATCGGGTGCGGTGCATCGAGGATGGCGTACTGTCGGTACGCGCCGCGGCGGGGCTCCGCCAGGTCAGGTATGATGCGCTCACTGCGCCACACTTCAAAATGGCCCTGGGACGTGCGGTCAAAGATCATGTAGCCCTCGGACCACTCGAGGTGGGGGCACCGCCGTGTCTCCGTGGGCGAGATGGACCACAGCAGCTCACCCGTGTCCACGTCGATGGTGCGCACACCGCCACGGCGCCCCGTCACAATGACGCAGCGGTCGGCGGGGTCCAGCTTGATGCGCCACACATCCTCGTCGGAGCCGGCCGGGCGGAGGTATCGTGTGGCGGGGGTCAGCTCACGCACGCCCTCGGTCGGTGCCTCGACCGGCGCGGAGGTGCGGCCCCAGCGCCGGTCCAACAGGCACAGGCGGCGGCACAGCTCGTAAAAGGTGCTTGTCCCATCCAGGTAGCGGGACGCCATGCTGTGCTGCGGGTCCGTGCGGAACCGCTCCAGTGCCGTGGCGATATCACAGTCGCCCTGGATATAGCCATGGCGGAGCGCCGCGGCGCGCCACACCGCGTCGGCGCTAGCGACGTGGCGCCAGTCTGTGTGAGCCTGCGCGACGTACGCTTCGAGACACGTGCCATGCGGGCGAGGTCAGCCATGCCAAGCGACCCCAGCACCTGCTGCTGCAGCTCCTCCGGGAGGTGCATCATGGGCGCGAGATCTGCGCCGCCACCACATCGGCCGACGTACCATGTCGTGCACGGACCTCCGCACGTGCTACCTACCGACGCTCTACGAGCGGGGGCGGCGCCGTGTCGATGCGCAGATGCGTAAGGACCGTGCGGCTTGGCGCGCCGTGCTCCGCCTCTGCGAGCGCTTCGCGTGTAACAACAAAGATAGAAGTGTGGTCCAGCTGCACGCAGTGATACAGCGGCGTCCACTGCCACTCGTGCCGCTCCGAGCACCCCTCAAAGGGCAGGCGCGACCACATGTACAGCGAGAACGGCGTCTCGATCGACGCGCCGTCGGCTGTCTGGCCCCATGTGGGCGTGCGTAGGTCCAGCAGCTGCAGGGTGCGGTACATGGCCAGCACGCGCCCCTGGTGCATGCGCATGTGCCCCATCTCATCCGGCGCACAGAGCCAGTCTTCCAGCGGGACGCGATCCGTGGGGGCGGGCGGCGCCGACGTCTCAATGGCACATAGGCGTGGCGGCTGGCCGGCCTGCAGGCTCTGCTGCAGGTGCAGGAGCACGAGGAGGCCCCGCCTCGATAGCGCCACGAGTGTGTCCGTCGCCGGATCCAGCTGGATCGCCTGCCAGGGCCTCCAGCCCGCGCGGTGCTGCCGCTCCGGGGCGATCCATGCCTTGAGCCACCCGCGCCGGGCCTGGGTGCGCACGAGCGGGCGCCACACAAAGCCATCGCGCAGCGTCGGCGCAGCCGGCATCGGCACATAGTACTCTGGCGCGCCGCACGTACGGAGGTGCTCCTCGAGACGCCAGTGGGCGGTGAGCGCACGTCCGCTGCGCTGCGCGACTACGAGCGATGGGGCCATGCTGCGCGACAGGGCCATCCAGTGGGACGCCGAGTCGAGGCTGTGCACGCGTGCAGAGCGCCGTGCCATGCCCACTCCATACTCGTCCGTTTGCAAGGTGTCCAAGTTCATGTCGACGAGCGTCGCACGGTTGGGCATGTAGCTCAGGATCGGATAATGCAGCGCATAGACCGGCGCGCCGCGCACCTCTGGCTCGAGCGCGAGCCGCGAATGCAAGCGGAAGACGCCGCGCTGGGGCTGCGAAAGCCACGGTATCGTCCGCTCACTGCGCCATACCTGCAGCTGACGCGTGTCGTAGTGGTATACACTCAGCCATCCCTGGCTGTATTGAAAAAAGGGCATGTACCTGTGCGGCGGCGGCAGCGACGACAGGGTCGTGCTCCAGAGCACGGCGCCGCTGTCCGCGTCGAGCGTGCGCAGACTGCCATCCGACACGGACGCCAGGACGCAGCGGTCAACATGGTCAAGCTCAATGTGCCACAGGTCGTCACGGGGGTACACGGGGCGGACCGTATGCACACGGGGATACAGCGCGATACGGCAGGCGGCCAGCTGCTCGGTTGTGGCGTGCCGCATGTGCCAGCGGCCCCACTGGACGTCCAGCTGCTGGCACAAGGCGACGAGGGCCTTCCACGAGGACAGGCTGTCAAAGTAGCCCGTCATGCTGGCATGCGTCGATGCCCTCGAGTACCTTGCTTGGACCGCGTCCCATGTATCGTCCTCGTCCGCGTAGCCCCACTCGAGCGCCTGGCGCCAGTGGGCGGTCTGTGGCGTGGGCACCTCGTGCAGAGGGACCATACGACTCACGGGCAGGGCTCACGCGGCGCCACGGGGCCTCGTCTTTATAGCTAGCAGCCGCGGGCTTCCTCGTCAGCCCTGCATCGTGCGTCTGGAGGACGGGCATGGCGTCGTGCAGCCCTCCGCGAGGGGCGCAAGGAGGGCATGCATGGCCGCACGAAGATGGAGGAGGGTCCCTCGTGACGCGGCAGCGGACCAATCCATCGTCGGTGGCAGCTCGCTCCGTGACAGCTGCAGCCTGCAGGTGCCTGAGCAGCGTCGACACCTGCTTCAGGTCTGTGCACGCGCTCGGCCGAAGTACAGAAACGGGGCCCTCGATGGTTGTCCGCGGCCATGTCGGTGGGCGAGGACGAGAAGGCCCTGGAGCCCGAGCATCCCGCGCGTGCGGAGAGCGAGGCAGGCGAGCGCCACGGGCACGAGGAGCCAAGTGATGCGAACCAGGAACATGCCGAGGAGGCGCCCCAGACTGCGCCCGAGGCCGAGGTGGAGCGGACGCCCACGCGCCGCTCGCGGCGCATGCATCCTGCGGACGAGGCCAGCGTCAAGGACGAAGCGCCGGCCGACGGCGTAGGTGCCCCTGGCGCCTGGGATGGCGCTACGGAGGCCCCGGAGAGCGGCGACGAGGGCGTCACGCGCTGCGTGTGTGGCAGCACCGACGAGAACCTCGGCCTGATGATCCAGTGCGAGACGTGCAAGTGCTGGCAGCACTGCTCGTGCATGGGGATGCATACGGAGGATGACTGCCCTGACGTATACTACTGCGAGCAGTGCCGCCCCGAGAACCACATTGAGCTGCTGCGCTCGTACGGCTTTCTGCCGGCCAAGGTCGCGAAGCGCGGCACGAGCCGGAGCAGCCGGCAGGCGACGGCGAAGGAGTCTGCGCGCGAGCTCCAGGAGGCGCGCGATGCGATCCGCGCGCTTGCCGAAGAGAACGCCGCGCGCCTGCGTGGCGAGAACGTGGCCGAGGGACGCGCACGCGCGCCGGGCGCGCAGCGCAGCGTGCCCAAGCGGCGCACGATGAACAGCCGCGACATTGGGGAGGACGGCTGGGAGCAGATCCCGCCCGGACTCCTGCTCGAGAAGGAGGAGCCGCCTGCCGACCACGACGGCGACGAGACGCGCAAGCGCAAGCGCAGCACCGAGGCCGCGGAGGCGACGCCCGAGCCGAATGGGGGCCCGTCGGAGATGGCGAAGCGGCGGCGACTGCAGGCGGAGGCGGCCCAGCGCGAGCGCCAGCAGGACGAGGAGAGAAAGGAGGCAGCCGAGCGCAGCCGCAAGGAGCGCGCTGCGTCGCGGGAGGAGAGCAAGCCGAAGCACCCGAACCAGTACACGTACCGCGGGCGCCAGGAGACGCCCGTGAATGCAGTGCCCCCGCGATCGCGCGAGGCGCGGCGCGTCGCGCGCGATGCCAACAGCCGTTCCGGCACGCCGCTGCCGGAGGGCAGCAACCGCCTGCCGAGTCATGCGATGCCCGAGCACCTCGCGCACCTCGCGTATCTGCAGCCGCCGACCACCGGCGACGAGGACGCCGCGGCTGAGCGTGCGGCGCCGCAGGCCGGCCTGCCCGAGCCGTTTGCGCTCACGACGCCCATTGATCCGGCCATCAAGATCCGATACCCCCAGAAACGCATGACGGTTGGCGAGATGCGCAAGCGTGCGCGCACGATCAGTGAATATGTGACGCGCGTCCAGATTGAGGCGGTCGAGCGCGAGAAGCGCGTGCGGTTCCTTGGCTCGATCGTAGAGAGCGCCGGGTCTGCAGACGCCGCCCCTCGTGACGAGGCGCTGGGCGAGGTGCCCGAGTCGGCGCTGCCGATGAGCATGCAGCTCGTGGAGCAGCTCACGGACGACCTCAACCAGTTCCAGCGCCGCTTCGCGGGCGCCGCGAGTACGGCGCGTGTGGAGGAGTAGGTCCATAGCACGTGGTTCCCCAAGGCGCGCCTGGCTCCGAGATTCAGACGGCGATGCCGGCCGCCCGGGGCGAGCTGAGGCTGGCGTCGCACCGGAAGTGCATGAAGGGCATGGCGCACAAGTCGTGGCGAATGAAGGCGCGCAAAAATAGCGCATCCACCGTGAAGCAGCCGAGCACGCAGCGGGCGCCCCACCAGCCCGCCTCCCGACCGTCGCATGCTCATCAGCGCACATCCTCTCAGTCGAGCTTGTCGTCCGTGGAGAACTTGGTGTCGATCAAGCCGGCCGAATACCCGTCGTACAAGACCATCTCACGCAACGTGTTTGTGTCGAGGCAACGGATCTATGGCGACTCGCCCGTGTGCCAGTGCCGCCCCGAGTCAGCGTGTGACGAGCGGTGCATCAACCGCTTCATGCAGGTGTTGTGCAATCCGCGCTCGTGCCCCTGCGGGCAGCGGTGCACGAACACGAACTTTGACAAGCGCCCAAGCCCGCCGCTGGACGTCGTGTACGTGGGCGCGCGGGGCTGGGGCCTCGTTACGCCTTCGGCGCTGCACAAAGGGCAGTACCTGGGGCAGTACTGCGGCGAGCTGATCTACATGGAGGAGGCCATGCGCCGCGCGCGCACGATGTACTCGAAAAACAAGAACTACTACTTTATCGAGTACGATGCGTCCGCTGGCGAGGTCATCGATGCTGGGCTGCGGGGCAACAAGCTGCGCTTTGTGAACCACAGCTGTGAGCCCAACTGCTACTTTGAAAAGTGGCTCCTGAGCGGCTCGGAAGAGGGCCGCAATGCCGAATACCAGCTCGCCCTCTTTGCGCTCCGCGACATCAGCGCGGGCGAAGAGATCACGTACGACTACGGCTGGTCGGCCTTTCAGCCGCCCAGTCTCGACGAGAATGGCCAGATGATCTCAGGCGAGCGATGCTTGTGTGGCGCGCCCAGCTGCACAGGATGGCTCGCACGCATGCCCAAGAAGCGCGGGCTCACGCAGCCCACGAAAGACGGCGAGAGCGAGCACAAGATACCCCCGCGCAGCGCAGCCCACGCGCCCGCCCCCCAGGACCACGCGCAGCGACGCAGTGCGCGCCCCACTCGCCAGCAGCCTGTGGTGAAGGTCGAGCCTCAGATACCCCTGCGCAGCGCAGACGAGACGCTTGCACGCGAGGCCCGCGCTCAGCGGCGCAGGGAGCGCTTGGCCGCCGGCCAGCGCGGCTCGTCGCCCGAGTCGGCGACCCACCCATCGAACCGCTTGCGCCGCAAGCCGCACATGGAGCCCAAGGCGGGCGAGCAAGCGACGCCGCCCCAGGGCAGCATGGACAAGTCCACGCCATCCAAGGTACTCCACGTCAGTCACCTGCCCCTGGAGCTCACGCCCAGCGAGACGCCGTCGCTGCGCTCGTCCGACTCGCCCCTGTCGTCGCCGCTGACGCCGCTCTCTTCCATGTCGGACCCCCCGTCGTCGCCCGAGTCCGAGCCGCTGACCCCGTTCGTGCTCGTGTTCGAGCCATCGTCGCCTATGGACTCTTACTGGGACACGCCCTACGAGTACGAGGGACCCCTCTTTGGCCCAGCCGAGAGCGGCCCCGAACTCGACGCCATGGTGCCCTGGTCGCCCCGCGCCGCGGACCCGGACGGCGAGAGATAGTGGAGTAGCACGTGGTCCTTTTTTTTCGCCCTCCGGCGCCGCCGTGCTTGACGCACGCCATGACCTCTTCGCTGGCGTCGCAGCTGGCGGGTCTGCGCTCGCACAATGCTGCGCGCCTCGCCAGCGCCAGTGCGATGACCTCGCGTGACTCGTACCTATTCACGCCGCGCGTGGCTGCCGAACAGGACCACGCCACCGTGCACGCCCTCGGCCAGACCGGCTGGGAGCAGCTCATGGACGAGGACGCGGTGCTGGCTCAGTGGCCGCACGGCGATCTGCTCTTTGGCGAGAAGAGCGTGCACACGGACCGCACGACGCTACCCAAGTCGGCGAACGCCGAGATCGACGCGGCCGTCGCCGAGTTCCTCTACCTCGTCGGCCCCCGCCTCCTATCGCGCAGCGCGGCCAAGTGCATCGAGTGGCTCGTCCGCCGCTTCCGCATCCACGTGTACTCGCCGCGCGACGTGCTGCGTGCGTTCCTGCCATACCACCTCACGCCGCAGTTCGCGCGCATGCTGCAGCTCGTGCCGCTCGACGCCGAGCCTGCGCTGCACTTTCTGCAGCCCGTCCAAAAGGCCCAGACACCCCTGCCCATGACCGTGCTCCTGCATGCCCTCGGCGGCCAACTCGACCTGCTCCGCTGGGTCGCCCATGCGCGCGCGCCAAGAGGCGTGGCCGTGCGCCGCGCGCATGTGCCGTTCTGGACGTCCATCCTCGTGCAGTTCTGCTTGCACCGCCGCGCCTCCAGGCGCCGCGGCGCCGCCGACGCGCAGGCCGTCCTGGCCATCCTCGTGCCGGAGATCAGCTACATGGCCGATGCGCGCGACACCGAGGCAGCCATCGGCGCGCTCATGGTGCTCTGCTCGGTGGGCGCCGCCTTCCCCCTGAGCGCCGCCGCGGTGCGTGGCCTCATCGACGGCATCGCACACCTCGCCACGCCTGACGCCGCACCGGACGTGGCGCGCGCCGTCGTCGCCGCCTGCATTGCGCTGTGTGCGAGCCCCGAGGACGCCCACGACCCGTTCCGCCCGGCCGCCGCGCAGCTTCTGTCCGAGCCGACGCTCCACGCCCTCCTCACGCTCCCGCAGCTCAGCGCGCAGTGGTCGCGCGCGCTCGCCTCCCACGACGTCGCGCCGTTCTCCGCACAGCTACTCGCCGCCCTCTGCGCGCACCTCGCGCATGCGCCGGCGCGCGCCCTCCTGGAGCAGGTGCTCGACGACCCAGCGCTGCCCAAGTCGCTCGCGCACCGCGTGTATGTGCGCTTGCTGTGTGCGCCGGCGCAGGAACACTGGGAGGCGCGCGTGTGCTTGCTCGCTCAGCGCCGCGAGCGCGATCCAGACGCCTTCGATCGCGCCGTGTCCGACGCGCAGGCCGTCGACGCCGCACAGGCCTGGAACGTCCTCAGCGCCGTGCTCGAGTGGCAGGCCGCCGGCACGGTGCCGGCCGCCGGCGCCACGGACGCGGCCCTGTGGCTCGGCGTGCACAGTGCGGATGCGAGCGCGCAGCAACTCGCCCTGCAGCACCTGCTGCAGGCCGTGCAAGAGGGCCACGTTCGCGCGAGCGACCCCCTCGTGCGCAGTGCTCTCGAGACGGCCCTAGCGCGCGCAAGTGCGCCGGTGCTCGCACTCTTGCGCCAGCACACCGACACGCTGCTGCAGGCATGCGGCGCGCCTACACTGCTGGACGCGCTGCGCCCCAGCAGCGATCGGGCGCCGGAGACTGTGGTGCCCACGCTCGCGCTCGCCGTCGAGGCACTGCTCCCTGCGGCGCCTGAGCTGGGCGCGCGCATCGGCCGCGAGCTCGTGTGGCCGCGCCTCCTGCCGCTGGCGGGCGACGCGCCATGCGTCGACGCGCTGCCCCTGTCTGATCCGCAGATGGTGCGTGCCGTGCCGTGGGCGCTGGCCATCAAGGACGCGTCGGCGTCGCACGACGTGCACGCCGACCCCGTCGCCTGGACGCTGGCCATGACGCAGGCGCTCGTGGCGCAGCAGAAGGCGAGCTCTGAGGCGGCCCTCCTGGACGAGGCGCAGTTCCTGTGCGACGCGCTCGACGCGCCCATCTCGCGTGGCGGTGCGCTCGCCCTGCTCGTGCTGAGCCAGCTGCTCGCGCAGCCGCTCCCGCCGCGCGTGTGGACGGCGCTGGCGTACCGCGCCGTGGTGCTCGTCCACACGCAGCAGCTGCTCGCGGGGCAGGTGGACGATGTGATCCTCGGCGACTCGGTGGACCGCGCGATCGTGCAGCAGGTGCACGAAAAGCTCTCGCGCAGCACGGTGCGCCTGCTCGGCGTGCAGCTGCTGTACACGGTGCTGCGGCACATGCCCGTCGGCCACGATGCGTCGCTGTTTGTCGATGTGCAGCAGCGCCGCACGCCGGCCGCGCAGCTCGTGCTGCTCGTGTACCAGACGCTGCATGCGCCGGGCGCCGGCGCGGTTGCCTCGCAGACGCTCGTGCCGGTGTTCTTTGAGCGCCTCGGCCCTCAGGCGCTCGCGCTGCTTGCCGGCGTGTGGACGACGCCGGGCGGCTCGGACGGCGCGGCGCCCACGTCGGTCGCCGAGCTCGCCGACGCGCTGGACACGCAGTGTGTGGTGCCGCGCAGCGAAGTGCCGGTGCGCCTGATGGCCATGCGCCACGCCGCGATGCTCGTGCGCGCGGCGGCCGCGCAGTCGCACGCGCTCGACCTGCAGACGCTGCTGCCGAGCCTGCTCGTTGTGCTGCAGGACACGGTGCCCGTGCTGCGCGACGCCGCAGCGCAGCTGCTGTGCGCGATGGACGAGTGGCACGCGGCGGTCGAGGGCACACGCGACGTGTACGGCCTCGAGACCGTGTACGGCGCTCGGAGCGCCGCGCTGCAGTACCTCGACGCGCCGACGTACGCCAAGTATGTGTCGCTGCTCGCGCGGGAGGCAGGCGCGTTCGTCAACGACGCGTCGTACCTCGCTGCGACGCACGCCACCGTCTTGCGCGGCAGCGGCAAGAAGGACGCCCAGTTCCGCACAAAGGTGCTGTGCTACCTGCTGAGCCACGCCGTGTGCACGCCGGACCTCGACGCGCGCACCGCGTGGCTCGGCCTCGTGCGCGACGTGCCTGCGCCCTGCAAGCTCACGACGGTGCTGCCGCTCGTGCGTGATGCGGTGCACTCGCACGGCCGCACATCGACGCCGACGTACCTCGAGTGGCTGTTCGCCACGTACGACACGACCACGGTGCCTGTGCTGGAGGACCGCCACAGCGACGCGTGGCCGCTGCTGCTCGACGCGCTGCGTCAGGACGACGCGCACGGCGTGCCACGTGCGGCGCTGCGCGCCTTGCAGGCGGGGCTGTGCGGCGTGTTGCCGATGGAGCTGCGGCAGCAGGCGCTGCTCGTGCTCGCCGAGGTCGTGGCGCATCCTCCGACGCCGCGCATCGCGGGCGGCGCCGAGGCGCTGCGCACGCTCCCGGTGTCCGATGCTGTGCTCGTGCAGGTGCTGCGCACGCTCTGCGAGCAGGTCGGGCCGGCCGACGAGCCCAGCGCGAAGCGCGCGCGCGGCGCCGCCCCGAGCCACGAGCAGGCGCGCCATGCCGCCGTGGTGCTCATCACGGTGCTCGAGAGCCTGCAGAGCCGCACGCTCGGTACGAGCGCGGCGCTCGTGGCCGCGCTCTTCGACGTCGTGCGCGTGGCCATCGAGCTGTGCACGTCGCACCTGTTCAACGCCGAGTACCTGCTCCAGCTCGCGATGCAGAGCCTGTGCAGCCTGTTCGACCACATCACGGTGCTGCCGGCCGACGTCGCGCAGGTCGTGCGCGCCGACACGATCGTGAGCGCGATCCAGGTGTCGGCCAACACGCAGAGCATCAACCATGCGATCCTCCTGCTTGCCCGCTTCGCGCGCCTCGATGCAGAGCTTGTGCTGCACAATATCATGCCGATCTTCACGTTCGTCGGCCTCTCGGTGCTGCAGCGCGACGACCGCTTCACGCTCTCGGTCGTCGAGCAGACGCTGCGCAGCATCATCCCCGCCTTTGTCAATGCGGTGCGCCCGCAGGTCGTCAACGACAGGGACGCGCGCCTCGCCCTCTGGCGCGAGACGCGCAGCCTCCTGCGCATCTTCTCCGACGCGTCGCCGCACATCCCGCGCCACCGCCGCCACGTCTTCTTCCGGCTCCTCGTCGATGTGCTTGGCACCGACGACTTTCTCGCGCCTGTGTGCATGCTGCTCGCAGACCGCGTCGCGCACCGCGTGTCCAAGTCGCCGAGCCACAGCGCAGCGCTCCTGCAGCTCCCGCTCGGCCTCGTGCGCGCCGAGCCCCTGGACGTGCGCCTGCGTGCGCTGAACCAGATCTGGGCCGAGATCGCGCGCCTCCTCGCGCACGCCGACGACCGGTTCCTCGCGCCGGCGCCGAAGCGCGAGTACTCCGAGGAGCACCTGTCGCCGGCGCACCAGGCACACACGCTCCTGCTCTTCCTGCAGCATGCGATGCACCGCATCGAGCGCGCCGACGCCGCCGCGTGCGCAGCCGAGCTCGGGCAGTACGCCTGGCACACCCTGTGCCTGGCGCCCACCGACGCCGCGCTGGTCGACGCGCTTGACAAGGCACGCGCGCCCGCGTTCCACGCGCTGCCGACGCCGACGTTCCTGGCTGTCGAGCTCGTGCTCCTACGTGGCGAGACGACGCTGGCCGGCATGCCCGGCGCCCTGCCGTCGAGCGTGTCGCCCGCGGCGCGCCAGGCGACCGCACTCGCGCTCTGGGAGCAGCACGCGCCGCTCTCGCCGGCGGAGCGCGCCGACCAGGCGGAGGCGCTCGAGGCGTGCCACGAGGCCCTGGTCGGCGTGTGGGAGGCACAGGCCGGCGAGCCGCTCGGCGCCGCGGCGCTGCAGGCGCTGCGCACCAGCATCGCCACGTCCGTGGCAGCGGAGCATGCGGGCCTCGCCGCGCTCATGCCGCGCCTCCTGCGCCCGGCGCCCGCCGCCGACGTGCTGCGCGCGCTCGCCGAGCTTCTAACGCAGGTGGGCGTGCGTGCGCTGGCGCACCTCGCGGCGCTCGTGCCGTACGCGTCGCAGGCCATCGAGTCGAGCGCGGACGACGCCGAGCTGGCCGCCGGTCTGCAGCTGCTGGCCGCGCTCTTCAAGACGCTGCCCCAGTTCATGCACGCACACGGGGCGCGCGCGATGCGTCTGCTGTGTGCGCGCACGATGCAGGCACGTCTGGCGCGCACGCAGGTGCGCCACGCGCACCGCCAGGTGCAAGAGGCTCTCGTGAAAAAGCTGCCGGCCGCCGCGGTGCTCGACGCGTGGGCCGGCGCATGGCAGGACGAGCATGTGGCGCGCACGGCGCTCCTGCCGATCCTCCACCACGCGGTGCGCGAGATGGACGCGAGCGGTGTGCACGCACACTACAAGCAGGTGTTCCGCCTGCTGCTCCCTGCGCTGGACGCGCAGCGCGAGGCAGAGGACGCAGGCGCGCTCAGCCCCGTCGCCGCGCGCGCCCTGCCGGTGTACGTGGCGCTGGCGCTCCGGCTGAGCGAGACGCAGTTCCGCCCGCTGTTCCTGCGCACATACGACTGGGCCGTCGTCGACTTGCTCGACGAGGATGCGGCGGGCGTCGAGGCGCGCACACTCGTGCTGTACACGCTGATCCAGCGCCTGCTCGAGCAGCTGCATGCCATGTTTGTGCCGTTCTACGCGGTCGTCCTGGAGCATGCACGCACGCAGCTGCGCACGCAGTCGCCGGCCACGCCCGTGTGGCAGGCCGTCGCGCGCAGTGTGTGCCTGAGCGCCGAGGCCGACGAGGGCACCTTCTGGAACGCGGCGCGCGCGACGCCGCTCGTCGCGCCGCTGACCGACGCGCTCGCTGCCGACGCGCCCGGCGCCGACGAGGCGCGCGACGCGGTGCTGGCGCTCGCGCGCACGGTCACAGACGACAAGTACCTCTCCACACTCAACCGTGCGCTGCTCGCGCTCGCGAACGACAGGGCGGACGTCGCTGGCCGTGTGCGCGCGCTGGATGCGTGCGCCGCGCTATGGGAGGCGCACGGCATCGCACTGCTCGCGTTTGTGCCTGAGACGGTCGCCACGCTCTCAGAGACCCTCGACGATGCAGACCCACGCGCGGCCGCCGCCGCGCTGGCGCTGCGTGCGCAGGTCGAAGAGGCGCTGGGCGAGCCGCTCGACTCGTACTTAGACACGGCGTAGTTTCAGCTCCCTCCACACTCCGCGCGCGATGCGAACCAGCAGCGTGGCGTGCGGCATCAAGGGCGTGCTCCCGTACGTGCGCCACGTCGCGCCGCACTGCCTGGTGCCTGTGCAGCTCGCCGAACTCGCGCACGCGCGGATCGCCATGTACGTGCGCAGCACTCACGCAGCGACGCGACGCTCCTCACGCAGCGCCTCTTTTATCGCGACAGCCCCGACGCCAGCCGCTACCTGGCCGGCTTCCGCGACGTGACAGAGCGCCTGCGTGCAGCCAAGTGCGTGCCGATCTTTGTGTTTGACCACCTGCACGCGCGCCTGCCGCAGAAAGCGCGCGAACACGCCCGACGGCGCGCCGCACACCGCCTGGCCACCGCGCGCTACGCGCATGAGCAGCAGCGCACGGCGCGCTTGCAGGAGCTGTGCACGCACCTCGCGACGTTCCAGCAGCTTAGCCGCGGCGATCAGGCGCATACCTGCGCGCTCTTCCGGCTGCACAGGCGCGCTCGGCGCCGCGGAGGCGCCCACGCCGAGCGGCGGGCCCCGGGGCCCCTCGCGCTCTCCGACGCCGAGCATGCGCGCATCCTGCAGCTGCTGCCCGCCGCGGCCCTCGGCGATGACGCGCACGCGCCGTTCACACACGATGCATACGTGGCCGTCGACGGCCCGCCCGCCGCGGCCGCGCTGCCATGGGCCGTGTCGGACCACGCAGAGATGGACGAGGCGCCTCGTGTGTGGCAAGTCGAGCCCCTAGCGACGCCGCCAGCGCTCGCTCAGGCCCTGTGGACGCAGCAGGTCGCCCACCAGGCCGCGCAGCGCGACGCCGTGCAGGAGACGCTCTCGCAGTGCCATGCGACGCATGCCGAGGCGTTCATCTATGATACCCTGGCGCAGGGCCCCGGCGCCGATGGCCAGCTGGCGTGCGATGCACAGAGCTGGCACACCATCTGCCAGGCCCTGCTCAAAAGTGCCCTGCCGCCCATGCCGCTCGGCACGGACGACGCATGGGACGCGCACGCGGCGGCGCTGCACCTGCGCGCCTTCAACGCGCACCTCGTCGCCGTGTACCGCCGCGCCTCGCGCCTCGTGCCGGAGGGGGCATACGCCGAGTGCATGCAGCTGTGCCGGCAGCTCGGGGCGCCCGTCTTTGTCACCGGCGACGGCACACCGACCGGCGGCGCCATCCACGAGGCGGAGGCGTTCGCCAGTGCGCTCGTGCGCGAGGGCTACGCGGATATGGTCGCTAGCGAAGACACAGACGTACTGCTGTACGATGCGCCGCTGCTCCGCGGCCTCTCGAGCATGGCCCTCGAGCTCGTCGATCCCCGCGCCATCCGCGCCGCCCTCTTCCCGGACGCGCCACCCAGCCAGCGCGCGGCGCGCATGGTGCAGTTCGCCCTGCTGTGTGGCACGGACTTTAACCGCACGATCCCCGGCATCGCCGCCAAAAACGCCCATCGCCTCGTGACCCTATTTCACACGGCCGCGCATATCCTCGAGGCGCACGACTCGCGCTTCTTCCCGCCCGAGAACCTCACCAGGAGCGCGTACCTCGCCGAGCTCGAGCAGGCCGCCCACATCTTTGCGAACCCGCCCGAAGTGCGCGCAGCCGCGGAAGCCGCCGGCCTCGCGACCTCGCGCGCGGCGCTCAGCCAGACCGGCCCCGCAGGACGCGCGGCTCGTGCCGCAGCCGCGCCGCCAGCCGCGCTCGAGGTACCGACATGGGCGACCAGTGCACCTGCTTGAGGTGCGCCGCCAGGAACGGCACGACCTGGGGCGCCAGCTCGAGACAGGTGTCAACGTCCAGCGTCGCGAGGGGCACACACGCCGCATCGGCGCTGGGCGCCGCATCCACCTCGGCGCCCCGGCGCCGCACCGCTGTCCAAGCCTCCTCGCATGTGTGCCCTTGCGCAAGGAGCGCGCGCACGCGCACCAGGTCGATCAGCTCGCGCCCACGCACGCTCGTGTCGTGCACGAGGCCGAGCGTGTGCAGCTGCGGGCACAGCACGCGCGTGTCCCAGCATCCGGGGGTCAGCAAGCGCAGCACCGTCGCCGCCGTCAGCGCGCTCTGCCGCGCTGCCGCATACGACTCGGCCATGGCGGGCGGAGCGACCGTCTCGTCCACGACCACATACAAGGCGCCCAGCGCCGTGCACGTCGCAAGGAGGCGCTCAGCCAGCGGCGTGCTGGCCGAGTGCGTCACATGCAGCGTACAGGTATGCAGCGTGCGCGCGCACCGCGCCGCGAGGGCCACGGCGCGATCGGCCAACGCTGCGTCCGGCGGCAGCGTCGTCTCCCACTCGGCGAGCGCGTCTGGCAGCTCGGCCAGCGTACCTAGGCATGAAAGTGGCGCACACAGCCGCTGCAGCGCGCGCAGTGACGTCTCGTGGCCGAGCGGTAGTGGCCCGGGGCCGACCCAGAGCGCAGCGCCCCGCAGCTCGAGCGCTGTGAGCGTGTGTTGCGCATGGTGCCATAGCGTCCGCAGCGCCGGCACGCACCTTGCGTGCACATTTTGCAAGGCATGCAGCGATTCGCCTGCATCGTAGATGAGTGACTGGAGCTGCGAGCAAGCAGCAAGAGTAGGCGCGTCAGCGGCCAGTGGCGGCGTGTGGTGCAGGGCCAGGTGCTGAAACCGCGCGTCGCCGCGGCGCGCTTGTAGAGGGGTCCCGAGCCAAGGGTGGGTCGCCGGGCCCTTGGGCGGCGCGGCACGCAGCGTGAACGACTTCAGGGGTGCGTGTGTGCATGCCCACGCGAACCACGCAGATGCCTGCGCATACTCGCACGCAATGTCCAGCGAGGTGAGGCGCAGCGGTGCCACAAGCGACCACACGCGGCGGTGATCCGTAAGCGGCGCACGCAGACGCAGATGGCGCACATGCCGCACGCCGCGCCGGATGTACCTGGTGGCCGCCTCGTACTGGCTGCGAGCAGCGGCGGCGTCCGGCGCCACCGGCGCACGCACCGCAATGGTATGCCAGAGCGGCCGGTGCTGCACAATCCAGGTGCGCCACGCGCGGCACACGAGCATGCACACATAGAGCGAGGAGCTCGGCAGGTAGCCAAGTATGTGCATGAGCAGTTCCACCGGCAGTGCCGTCGCGCGCGGCGGAGGACGCGCCAGCTTCGCGCGCAGCGCCGTGATCAACGCCTTGTCGGAGGCAGACGGCGAGCGCTGCTCCGCGATGTTCAGGACACGCACCGCCTTGTCGGGCAGGTCTGCTTCCACGAAGATGCGCGCGGCACGCACGAGTATCGACGCGTGCGAGGATGCAAGACGAAGCGCGTCGCGCACGTCGCGGAGCGCGTGGGGCGCGTCGTCCGCACGGACAAAGACGAGCGCCCGCTTCAAATACAGGCGCGCGCGCTCTGTATCGCGCGTGCTAGCTGCGAGGGCCTGCCGTCAGGGGGGGGCGACCTACCTCGGTGAGGGGCTGCAGCTGCGCCGCCTCGACTCGGGTCATGCGAGCATCGCAGGTGGAGGTCAACGACCGCTACGATGGGATCCAAGAAAGGACCGCGTCACGTTGCGGTCGCGATCGCCGTGCGCGTCGACGAGAGCAAGACAGGCCGTGACCGCGTTCTCGTGTGCCTCGTGACATCGAGGAAGCATAAAAAGGAGTTCGTTCTGCCGAAAGGCGGCGTGGAAGCGGGTGAGAGCGCACGCGCCGCGGCCGCGCGCGAGCTCGACGAAGAGGGTACGCGCATGCCACTGACAGCAGCGGGCGTGAGTGCATCAATGGACAGGCCGCCCTGGTGCGCCGAGAACAGTGAGCCCGTTACCATCAGGGACTCGAAGCCACATGCAGCATCGCCGACGGCGGACCCGAGCGACCCTGCGTTTATCCCTCACACGCTCTACAGTGTCCACGAGTTTCTCGTGCCAGAGAGCGCGTGCAAGGAGACGTGGCTCGAGTCGGACGAGCGCGTGAGGCACTGGGTGCCGTGGGACGAGGCATGCCAACGAGTGCAATGGCGCCGGGGAATGAGTGAGGCTATGCAACGGGCTGCCCTCGGTACGAGCAGCTATCTGCCTCCTATGTAGGATACAGGGTATGACAAGAAGCTAGATCTTCAGAACCGCGTCTAGGGTGAGTGGGCCGTGCGTACCTGCTCGGCGGCAGCGATGCAGGAATCCTACAATAATGTCGGTCTCCTTCGGCATCGGCATATGGTGAAAGTGTTCCGTCGCAAGAGCAGCCAAGTGCTCGTGCTCGTCGTCGTGGTCAAAATAGTGCACGTCCCCATCACGCGCGCGGTCAGGGTGCATCGTGGATGACCGCGTACGTGACGCCATGCCCTGGTCTTCTTCCAATTCTCCCTGCGCCTCTTCTTCTGTGCCCTTCTGCGCGGGGACCTCGGGCGGCGCACCCATGCATGGGTCCTGGAGCATGGAGCGCGGAGGGTACTGCAGGTTGATCCTATGCTGCGCCAGGTACTTGATAGTCGCCTCAAAAGGGAGGTCAGAAAAATTGATCGAATGCTCCGAAGCATCTTCGGTCGCTTCTGAGGTCAGTGTGCGCTGCGTACGCTTCTCGCGAGCGCTCGCGTCGCCGGAGACCTGGCTCATGGGCAACGGCCTAGCCAGGGACGTGCAAGGTAGGTCGGCTACCTCCACACCACGTGATATGGGAGGGACGAGCACAGTGTTCGAACGGTGCTTCCTCAGCTATGTGGCTCCTCCGAAGCGCACGCCGGGCCCCAGTCGGCACAAGCCGGTCATTTTGGGGGCAACGTTACGCTCATAGTCGGCATGGCAAACGCGACTATATTCCTGCGGGGCAGCGTCCTCCGTCTGCATGGCGGGATCAACGATGGTCGTCCCGCACGATGGTGACGCTCTCGACCAGTGTGGGCCTGACGGTACGCGTCGCAAGCTCACGCCAGATGTACTTGATCGGACTTACGCAAGGCTTTCACCGCGCACAGAGCCAGAACCGCCCGGAAGGGCAACCAGACCCACACACTTAACTGGACAAATGTTCGTCTATCCAGCGCTCCATGGAGCTTTTTTTAGGGACCCTATCGAAACAGGGCCATCGACAAAGCATGTCGACAAACGCCCGTACGCCGTATCATACATAGAGCAAATGGTATGGGCTTAAATCGGCTGAGCACCAGCCTTCGCCACAGCAGCGGCACTCTGGCCAGCCGCCTTAGCGCGCTTGCGCATCTTCTCCGCCGACTTGTTGCCACGGATACCACCGCCCCAGTGACGGCGAGCCTCGTCGTACTTGTCGAGGTAGTTGGCCTTGGCCGCCGACACGAGGTCAGCGAGCTCACGCTCGTCCTCGGCACGCACATCCTGGATCACAGCAATGGCAGTGCGCTTGAGGTGCACAACAGCACCGAGACGCGAGCTCGACTTGACAATCACGTAGGGAATGCCCATCTTGCGGCAGAGGGCCGGCACAAAGACCACGAGCTCAATCGGGTCAACGTCATCGGCAATCACGACGAGGTTGGCCTTCTTGGCTTCAATGAGAGCAACACAGTGGTTCAGACCGTACTTGACAAAGAGAGGCTTCTTGCCGTCGGCCTTCGGGTCCACCTTGTTGCCAGCAGCCACTTCCTTGGCGACAGCATCCAGACGAGCCTTCTTCTCCTGCTTCGACTCGGGGCGGTACTTGTTCATGAGCTTGAACAGCGCCGTCGCCGTGTTGTGGTCGAGAGTGTTCGAGAACTGAGCAATCGCCGGGGGAACCTTCAGGCGCTGCTGAAGGATCACGCGCTGGCGCTGCAGACGAACATACTCGGGCCACTTCACAAAGCGGGTCAGGTCACGCGGAGGCTGGATGTTCTGGCCTGGCGGTTAATAGCCCACACCCGTATACATACCAATACCGAAGCTGCGGTTGCGCTTCTCGAACAGAGGGTTCGCAGGAGCCTTGTTCGCATTGCCCTTGCTGTAGGGCGAAGGAGCGGGCTTCTTACCAGTCTTGGTAGCCTTAGGCTGTAGGGGGTCATCGAGACCGAGTCAGCACCATGTTCAACACATGACGAGCTCGGAGCTCTAAAGGCTACGCCTGGCCGCTACCTACGGCAGCGCCCAGGACGCAGCCGAAGTAATGCGTACCATTATAAAATCAAGGAAGTATCAAGGGGTAAAGGTAACAACTGTGGCGGCCAGGCTCGCCTCTCTTTAGTGCATGGCGTCACGTGGAAAACTATATATCACGTGCTATATGTGGATGGTCTGTGCGCATTCTCCACGGCGCACGGGACGCGAGATGGGCCGGCGGGCCGTGCGGGACGTGCGGGCCCCGCTCTTACTACCTTAACATGCGCGTGCTTCCTGTGACAGCATCGGCACTTGCAGTGCTTCCTCTTCTGGCCCAGGCCAATGTTTCCGGAGATGTTCAGAGCCTGATGCAACAATGCACGGGACTTGACTTTGGCTCGTGGAACGAGTACGTCCTTGCCATTTACTGACGCCACTAGACAAAGCCTGCGCAGCTACCTCCTCGACCGCGGCATCGTATCGCCATCGTCGACTCATGAAAAGTTGGTGCAACTCGCCAAGTCGGACTGCTCGATGCTGGCTGACCAGGTGCAGGCTGCGACCGACGCGGCCAAGACGGCAGCCGCTGACAGCATGAGCTCGGCTATGAGTCTTGCCAGCTCTATCCACTCGGCGGCGCCTACGCAGGTGTCCAGTGTTCACAGCAAGCTGGCTCGCTCTGCCTCGACGGTGTCGAGCGAGGCGTCCTCCACGGTGTCAAGTCTGGCCGCCACCGCCTCTAAGACGGCGTCACAGGCGGTGCACGACGTGTCTGCCTACTTGGACGACACCAAGGACTATGTATACAGCGAGTGGAACACGAAGCAGCTCAAGGACTGGCTCAAGAAGCACGGTGTGCAGCTGCCCACCGAGGCGCCTTCCAAGGAACAGCTCCTCGAGCTGATCCGCGAACCATACAACAAGCTCACGTACAGCAAACCGTACGAGCGTCTCTCGACAGAATACCTGCGTCAATGGCTCGTGGAGCACGGCTTCCTCGATTCACAGGCGAAAAAGACCCGCCGCGAGTACCTGGATCTCGCAAAGGACTACTACTACTACGTGCAGGACTCGGTCTACGATACGTGGCAGGACGCAGACCTGAAAGGCTGGCTCGTCTCGCACGGCTTCCTCCGGTCGGATGCGACCAAGACGCGCGATGAGCTGTACGCGCTCGTTAAGGACAAGTACAACACCGTCTCCGACTCCCTGTGGGCGGGCTGGCGCGACAGCGACATGCGCCAGTACCTGGAGCGCGAGGGCGTGCGACTGGACGCAGCGGCATCGCGCACCGACCTGGTTGCGCTGATGCAGGAGCATGCATCGGCACTCTCGTCGACGGCAAGCAAGTACATCTCGTGGTCGGACGCCAAGTTGCGTGGCTTCCTGAAAGACCACGGTGTGCGTCTGGAGGACCTGCCGAAGGACCGCAATGAGTTGCTGCGCATGATGCGTGCCTACTACGTGCCTACGTGGTCGAGCGACTGGCACGAGCGCGCCGTGCACTTCTTGCATCGCCTCCAAAGCGGCGTGCGTGATGTGTTTGGTAATTCGGCGGAGCAGGTGTACCGCCTGAACGCGGACCGCATCGGCTCGTATGTGGCATCGGCTAGCGCTAGCGTGAGCTCGATGGTCCACAACGAGCTCTAAGCGCGCCGCACTGTCTCGCGCTCGATGGTGGAATGCAACTGCTCGTCGCGTGACACGCGCCAGTATTGCCCCAGCGCGTCAGACTGTGCGAGGCGCGAGAGGAAATCCTCGTCGTGTGTAATGACGATGAGCTGAAAGTTGTGCTGATGCTGTCGCTCAGCAATAAGGCTGGGTTAGTCGCAGCTACGCACTCCACAAGACTCGCCGCCAGGGCCTCGACATTTTCCCGATCCAGGTTGGTGGTGGGCTCGTCCAGTGCCAGGAAACCACACTGCGCTCCGAACGAGTCTGCAAGTGCGAGGCGGATCAGAATACACGCTAGGACCTTTTGCCCCGCACTACACCGGCCTCGCATATCAAGTTCCACACCATCCTTGACCATACATACACGGTACTGGTACGAGCGCAAGCCATTCGATGAAACGCGTCCCTCGGTGTCCGAGCGCACGAGAATGGTATCGATATCAGTGCCTTGATACGTTTTCTTCCATAGATAATCCAATGTTTGATTCACTTCTTCCATCTTGATGCTGTGGTACTGCAGGATCGCCTGCTGCAGCGCGCCACAGTACGTGTCCAGGTCGTGGTTTGCCATCGTCGCCACCTTGATGTGCACTAGCTGCGCCACATATCGCTCTGACACGTCCTTGAACTCGTCCCGCAGCTCTGCACGCCGTCGCGCCAGCTCCGCCTCGATACCCTGGATTTCGCCACGCACATGCGCAGCAGACCCACTCAACTCCTGCTCTGCTCGCCGAGCCGACTCGTACGCCGCAGCAGCTTGCTTGTGCCGCGCGTGCGCCGCGTCCAGGTCCAGCGTGGCCAGCTCGCGCTCCACCGCCTCGAGATCCCGCACCACCTCGCGGTACCGCCGGTTGTCTGCGAGACTCGCAGATCGCGCCTGTGTATCGCGCATATCACTCTCAAGAAGGTACACGTCCTTGTCAGCCTGCTCCGCGCACGCGCGTGCATGACGCAGCGCCTCCGAAGCGGCCCCGAGGCGCGCCGCACAGCGCTCCAGTGCCTTTTCGTCGTGCTCGCGCGCCGCTGAGCGCACACGACCCAGGACCCCACTGGCCATGGCGAGGCGCTGCGAGAGGGTATGACGTGTCTCGCCATCGCGCGCGTCAGCAGCACGACGCTCGTCCCGGAACGCCTGTAAAGCATCCTCTGCCTCGCGCAGAGGACCGGCCAGCTCGGCCAGCTCGGCAGCGAGGGCTGCCTGCTGCGCAGCGACATCTGTCATGTCTGCCTTGTACTCGATCAGGCGCTGCTGCGCACTCTCACGAGACGCAGCGTGCTGTCGCTGCGCCGCCACACGCATCTCGAGTGCATGCACCTCACGCTCTGCCGCGACACACGCATCGCGATGAGCTTCCTGCGCGACGAGAAGCTCCGAGTGCCGCGCTTGACACGATTGTCTGGGTTAGTCGTCTTACATACATGTCCTGTACCAGCGTCTCTAGACGCGCTGGCGATAGATCCGTGGATTCCGCCGCCGGCAGCGCATGCAGCCGCTGATCTATCGACGCGACTTCGAGGGCCAGTTCGGCGATCCGCTGCGCCGCGTCCTGCAGGGCACGAGCCGCCTCCAAGCGGCGCTCCGCGTCAGCGGCAGCGACTTGCGCCTCGTCCCGCGCACGCTGTGCATGCATGTGATCGTGCTCTAGCTCATGGACACGCGCCTGTGCGTCTTGATAGTCGGCTTGCATATCGATACGCTGCTTCTCGAGCGCCTGTGCGGAGCGAAGATCCGCCTGCTGCCGCGTCCACGCGTCGAGATCGCGCTGCAGAGCGGCGATGCGCTCCGGCTGGCTGCGCTGCAGCGATGCGGCGACGTGGGCATCAAAAGCCGGCATGGCATCAGGAGGCAGTGCGCGGTTACAGGCAAGGCACACATGTCGAGTATGGCCATGCTCGCGAATCCGCCCGAAGAGCGCCGCTGCGTGTTCAAGAAGTCCCAGCGACTCGCGCAGCACCTGCGTCTCCTCGTCGGCGGTGCGCAGTCCTTCGTCACTGCTAGTAAACTCGCCCAGTAGCGGGGGAATGGATGCGTCGAGACCTGTGTGAGTGCGGGTACGTACGTGCAAGAGCCGCTTCCTTCTCTTGGACGCGCTGCACTTGGGCCTCATACACAGCCGCCGCGCGCTGGCTGGCCTCCTCCGCGGAAGTGAGCTGCGCCTGCGCCGCTGCATGCGCCGCCTCCGCCTCTGCCTTCGCCGCGGCCATATCAGCCGGTACGGTGCCGAGCATTTCAGAGCACTCGGTGCGCCATTGCGCGACCTTCTTGGTGTGCAGACGCTGCTTCTCGTCGCGCGACTGGGTCAGCTGGGCACGCTGTGCGCGTTGCTCGGCTGCCTCGCTCGCGGCCGCCAGGGCCTGCGTTAGCGTATCGCGCTCCGCTTGCAGCGATGTGAGCCGAGCTGCCACAGCCGATAGCTCCGAGAGGTCTGGGACTTGCTGCGATAGGGCATTGCGCCGCTGCTGCGCTGCTTCCAGTGCCCCTGCCTCGGTGACGGGCGGCTCCTGAGCCAAATCGGCCTCACACCCAGCGATGCGCATACTCAGCCGGTCCTTCGTAGCGCGCATTTGATCATGCCGAGCCTGCAAGTCATTGTGCTTCTTGGATAGACTGGCAAGTGTACGTTCGCGCTCCCCCTCCTCAAGGCGCGCTTGCTGCACGTCGCGCTCACGTCGTGCATCGTGTTCGCGGAGCTGTGTGCGCAGGTCCGCATCGAGTGAGTGCGCCGCCGTCTCAAGCTGCGTCGCACTGGGGTGGGTAGGAACGTCCGCAGAGGCTTCGCGCAGCGTCGCAGCTCCGTCATTGAGCATGTGCTGAAACGCTTGGGCCGCTGCCTCGAGCCGTGCGTGCTCGCGGAGCAGGGCCTCGTGTTGCTCGGTGCAAGAATCTCGCTCTGCCGTAGCCTGTTCGCGGCGCGACTGCACATGGGCGAGGCGCTCGCGCTGGGACGCGAGGAGCGCAGGTACCTCCTCGATCAGGCGCTGCAACTCGGCATCACTCGCGTCGATCACTTTTGTGCGCGCGAGTAGGGTATCTCTGTGCTCCTTGTACAGAGCATGGCGTTCCTCGAGACTCTCGGCATGCCCCAGCACCTCGCGGAAGCGCATCGCATCCGCGTACAGCGCTTCGTTCGCGCGGGTCTTGAGCCGCAGCGCCTCGTCCAGCTCGTCGCGGTCCTGCCCTTTCTGCGCGAGGGCGCGCTCGAGCACGCGGATTTTGTCCTGCACGCTCTCTGCGCGCTCCTTCTCCTGCTGCAGAGCGCGAAGATCTGCCTCGTCCACACGCGCGTCTTGCGCCCGCTGCTTACGCAGCGCACGGATCGACTCGAGGGCCTTGGTGTAGCGAGTGACCTCGAAAATGTCGTCGAAGCGCTTCTTGAGGACCGCTGGCTCAGCTAGGGGCCAGCTGGATTCCTCCTGGTGGCAAAAGAGCACACTTTCAATGATCGCGCGCGACACGCCCAGCAGCGACGCCATTTCCGCGTCGAGCTCGGCACACCGCGTAGAGATGGCCGCCCGAGCCTGCGGGTCCGCCGCCTCGTCGTCGACGCCTAGCACACCCTCGAGCGTCTTCATAGTGATTCCACCGCCGCCTTTCTTCTTCGACACCTGCAGATTGCGCACACAGCTCATGCGCAAGCCACTCGTGTTGCGGAAGCGCAGACGCACTTGCGCTTTAACAGTATCTACGCCGGCCAGCTGCGGATGAGACACACGCACGTACCGTAGGATCATGCACAAAACTTCCACCTTTGGTGTTTGGCGGCAGGTCGCCCGTTGCTGCATACTTCAGGCACTCCACGATGGTCTGTGTCAGTCGTGCAGCGGCGCACCGTCTTGCCACTCCCATTGTGCCCAACAATGACGGTCAGGGGCTTGAAGAACTGGATTATATGGATCTCGCGCGGATCAAACGATCGCACACCGCGGATCGCCAGCTCTGCACGTCAGCAGCGTCTACGCACTGTCCAGCTCAGCCATGCCGCCAGCCCCGCCTGGTGGGTGTGCGTGTGGAGGAGCTTAGTGTCATGCGACGATGGCGCAGTGCCGCTACAGGCGTCGGCATCGTAGCGCTATGGTGCTTTGCGCTCAGTGTCCTCGTACCTGGTGTCATTGTGCCCGTATGGTGCCAAAAGGGCTGGAACATGCAGGGGCGCATCGCTGCTGCCCTGGGCCTTAGTGGCATGGCCCTCTGGTGCCTCACAGCGGTGGTCACACGTCCATCGTACCACGACAGCCGCGAGCCACTCCCTGGCACCATCACCATTAAGCGCTCAAATGGGCGTCCGCGCTGGTGCTCCAAGTGCTCGGCGCCCAAGCCCGACCGCTGCCACCACTGCCGCCAGTGCGGGCGGTGCGTGCTCAAGATGGACCACCACTGCCCCTGGCTCCTAGACACGTGCATCGGGCTGCGCAACTACAAGGCCTTTGTCTTGTTCCTTCTGTACACATCTCTGTTCTGCGTGCTATGCCTCGATACACTTGTGCGTGCGTGCCTCGCGCTGTGGTCCGACGACCCCGAGGTCGTCGTAGAGATCCCGCTACTGTGGATCGCCCTGTTTGCTCTCACGCTCCTGGTACGTCATGTACGCTTACACAGCTTTCCCTCACTTTGATACCTTTTTTCCTGTACCATGTATACCTGATCAGCGCCAACATGACCACGCTTGAGAACATGGAAGGGCTCTCCGACGTCCGTCTCCAAGATACCCCTGCTCCCTCTTCGAGCCACTCGCAGCTGAGTAGGCTACTTGTCCGACCTGAAGAACGACCCAAGGCGCGTGACTCCAAGATCAACGTGTACAATGTGGGGCTTCGGGGGAATTGGGCTGCCGTTTTTGGCCCCCAGTGGCGGTGGTGCTGGGCACCGTGTGGAAAGTTGTGCGTAGACAACGCTCACCTAGCAGGTCATCGGAGGGATATACGTTTCCTGTGAATCAAACGGCACTGCGGGCTATGTGGGAACAGAGAGACTATAGTGACTCTGGGGATGCCAGGAACGAGGGGCCCACAGGATGAATATCGGCTGTGCCTCTCCCTGCATCGATAATACACCAGTTTACGATGGGCTCTTCGCGGCGACCCAGCGCATTCAAGATCGCCTGTCCAAGTATGCCCCCCAGGATCGCACTCGTCGGTGCAAAAGTCGCCGTGCTGTGGTGCGTCACAGCCTCCCATGTTGCCTGCGCAAACTCGCCATAGAACGACGTGGCATCCACGCGGCGGAATACAGACGCAGGTTTCGTACCTTTGCCCTGCATCAGCGAGGTTGCGTGGTCGGCAATGGCAGCCTGCAGCGCGTCAGCACTCTCCGGTGTCTCGTTCACATTCCATAGGGCCTGGATCCCTACGAGGCCTGGACTCGCCCGGAACGTCCATTTGGAATCGAGAGACTCACGCAGTGGCACAAAAGCCTGATGGAACCGCTTGGGGGCTTTTTCACTTGTGCCGGGCACGGGCCGATCGACCACATAGTCCAGTTCGAGGAGATCACAAAATAGGTAGCCATGGAGCCCGTGCGCGCCAGCCGCAAAAAACATGACCTTGTTCCGACGGCAAACGTCGTTCCACGCCAACAACTCGTCGCGCGTACCGTGTGTCACAAGGACAATGTCGGGTTGCAGCGCAACGAGGGCTTCGTCAGTGAGGATGCAGTCGTCCGACCGCCCGCGCACCTGCACATGGGGGTTGAGCTGCCGGATGCGCTGAAGTGGCGCCTCTGCCGTTCGCGACACTCCCACATCCGTGTCACGGAAGAAGAAGGACGCTGAGAGCTCCTCTTCACGTACTACGCCAGCATCCAGGATGGTCAAGGACCCAATGCCCGCCAAGACAATATTCTTGATGACCTCGGTGGCCACGCCTGTCAGGCCCACCAGAAGCACATGGGCCGATCGCATGCGGTTTTGCGCCTCCAGACCCCATAAGCGGATTTGACGGTCATACAAGGCCGCTTCATCTACGCTGTCAGCACCCAGCCTGCCACGCACCCTCAGTCACGCCTGTTCTCGCATCGTCAGGCATCGTGGAGAGAATGACTAAGCTAATGTACAAATGCCATGTCTACAAAACAAGCAACCAAGCTCCGACCGCCAGCGGCACGAGGGTAACTAGAATCACGCTGGAACGCAGCTGAGCACCTGCACTCTGTGGCTGCGACTGGTCCACAATTTTATACGTAGGCATCTGACCGGGCTTCATTACCATGTACGAAGCGCCATATTGCTCGGGCTTGTTGCAGCTGCTGCCGATTTGGTCGTTGCATGCCTGTGTGCACTCGGAGCGCTGCGAGAATGGCGTCTCGCGCTGGTTATTACAGGTATCAATGCAGGTCTGTAGCCGCAGCAAGCAGTCCTGAGACTGGACAGGCCATTGATACTGCGCCAGACGTGACACACTCTTCTTGCAGGTACACATGGTGCCCATGCCATTGGCCACATCGCAAAAGTTGTGAGAAATTTCGTCGTCGTCGTCAGAACAACCCGCCGTGAGGCAGAAATGGGTTTGGGTATCGCAAATGAGCTGCTTCGCGCTGTCCGTCTGCGACGAATTGGCAATTTGGAAATAGAATGTAGGCAGATTGTCCAGAGCTTGCTGAGAGCCACGGTACATGATGCTAAAGGCTTGAGGAACCGATCCATTCCACGAAGCGCTCGCTGTAGGAGAAGGCACTGTCACATTTGACGTGATATTAGCATCAGGCGGTGGTAAAGAAGTTGGCGCAGCCATCACGTTAAAGGAAGCAGACGTAGAGAGAGCAGAAGCAATTGTTACTGATGGGTAGTCAATGGAACTTGAGGGCGCAGCGTTGGGTGCACTATTTGTCGTGTTCCCGGACGGTGAAGAGGAGGTCCCAGGCTTTGACGCGCCAGAGCCAGATGCGGGCGCCGCCGATGAAGGTGCCGCCGATGGTTTGTCAGGCTGAGACGCAGCCGATGATGATGGCGGCGGCGAAGGCGGCGGGGAAGACGAAGCAGCCGAAGACGGGGGTGATGGAATCGAGAGTGTCAGAGGAGCGTCATCGCGCCTCTTCAATCCATCCGCACATGTGTACCCTACACATACGAATATGAGCACCAGCAGCCACAGCTGCCAGCGTCCCGTCCTCAGACGGATCATAAGAAGAGACGTGTTGGGAGTTTTTCCCCAACCAGACCGCAACCTTTTGCGTACCCCGCACTCAGTCCACGTGACACCACAAGTGCGCTGCTGGAAACCAAGCAGAGTCCACCATGTCCCAACGGCGGCGCGTGTGTGCCGTGTGCGGCAGCACGCGCTTCCGTCTGTTGTCGTCACAGCTGGTATGCTATGCGGGTCATATTCAGCGGGACTTTCGAGTCGAGGCAGTGCATGATGATGATGGCTTCGATACTCAGATCACGACGCGGACACGCACTCAGAACCGTAGTTCACAACGGGATGCAGCGCGCTTGGACAAGCAGCGTCGCCAAATGGAGGAGCGCCGGAGATGGCATGGTCGCACTGGCCAAGTATTTCCTGGATCTGCAGAGCATGCCGCTCTAGATGACCCAGATTCAGCGCTCTTGACAGGTCCGCGAGCCACATTTGCAGTGCTACAATGTCTTCAGCTAGTGCTGCGACGACAGCTGGAGTCATTACAAAATTGGATACCCTCAGAGTGCAGCAAGGCCTTGGAAGCCACGACACGAAACTTTTGGATTCTGCATGTCACCTGTTGCCACGCCGAAGCAGCGCCGTTAAACGCTGCAAGGGAGGCCTTGAAACGGCGAGAAGAGGGACACCGTCCTTCACCGAAGCCGACAGTGCGTCGTGGCCGCCAGAGAAAAGAAATCAGCAATACAAAGAGGACAGTGTCGAAGCTGTCGCTTCGGTCCACGCTAGCTATTTTATATTTGGCCATGGTACATTGTCGAGTACCATGGACGCTAGGCGATCTTCGCAAGTATGTCATCTTGAATTGACACAGGCACATTCTCTCACGAACGCTTCCCTACCTCAATGCTATTCGTTTTTTGCCGACATCAATCACGGACACGATTTCTTTTAACGATATTCAGCTGTACCTTCTCGATACCAATGTATGTCCTTAGGCTAACATAATAGCATGTACCTACAGTGATGGAGCTTCACGCGCGCGTCTCCATGGTAGCTGCCCAGCTTCGGCGACACCACCATGTGGAATTGCTCGAAATTAATGCTGCTCCGATCCTGAGCCGATTTGTGCATGAACTGATGCTACCACCCACCTTCTACGTCGGTGTCAAGTCGCTGCTGACGTTCCTGCGGGTGGATATGCATGTGCTGGGACACACTGTCCTACCTGCCAATACCGACGCTCGGGCGAAGTTTCTGGAGAGGAATGGCACAGACGCCATTCACTCGACGCAGGCGTTTTCCAGAAACTTGGCTATGCCTCGCTGTGTTATGCTTATGGCCGCATTGATTGTGATGGTCAAGTTGCGGTATGGTCTTGATGGCATTCACCGGAAAGAAGTGCCGTCGATGGTAGGGGGACGACAGGTCATCTCGGGTGCGCCGCCGCACGAAGAAGCATGGCTCGATGCGCTCTGCGCGCTACATGGACTGCCCAGTGATCGCGTGTGGAAAACGAGTTCCCCTGTCTTTGCTCCGTGGGATGCGTCTGTCGACTTGCTTTCTCTAAGTGATGCACATTTGGATACCTACTTGACTTTTCTGGAGCAAGAGTACCTACCGAGCAACGTGCCGAGTAGCATGCCGTTTCGGCGTCGTGACGATGTGGACGATTTATTGCCCAAGCGTGTGCCTCCTCAGGCGCCGCTGGACCTTGTCGAGCGTGTGCAAAACATGCACGAGGCATTCCAGCGGAGACGAGCGGAACTTCTACAGGCCATATACCAGGACGAGGACCATTCGCCTGGTATTTTACCAGGGGACGCCTATCCGACACACACACACGACCCAGGCGGTGCAATGACTCGGAGCATGGAGCGGATACTGGCCATCGGCATGCGGATCGTGGGGCTTGACACAGAGGTGAAACCCAACTTTGAGTCGGTGGCCTCGCACACGAGCCGCCCACGCGAGAACGATGTGCTGAGACAATGCGTGTTACAGTTAGAGGAGTCGCTGCTCATGACGCTGATGCGGGAGCGTGGAAATAGATAAACACATCTACTTGCTATCAGTCTGTTTCTCCGACTTGGTCTTCTTTGAAGATGCCGGCTTGTTGGACGCCTTGGCATCGCCTTCTCCGGAGGTCGACGCCTGCAGCTCGCGCTTCCTCTTGGCACTGCCGGCCACGGGCGCGCCACCGCGTCCGGCTTTGGCGGTGCCGCGGATAGAGGTACCTGTCTCAGCGCTGGGGCGGATAGGCACAGGTTTGGGCGCACTAGCTGCGCCGCCGCGGCCGCCACGCGCCGCACTAGCGCCCCGCACGACGGCAGGCCGAGCAGGCGTAGAGGTGTCCTTCTCAGGGGCGGCGGCGGTGTCCTTAGCATCCTTGGTGGCAGCAGGCGAGGTCGCCGCTGGCTTTGACGGCGTGGTACCGCCCAGCTTCGCCTTCAGCTCGTTAATCTCGTTCGTGAGATTCGTGATCTTCTTGTCGCGCTGGCTGACCATAATCTGGCTGCGCAAGGCCGCCTCGCGTTTCCCGTCCTCGTACCGCGACTGGAGCAGCGGCTGGTAATGGGCCTGGAGCTCGCTCTCTTTAGCGGCCAAGGTGCTGGCATTGCTTGCTTGCGTGTCTGCCAACTCCTTTTCCAGCTCGGCCATGCGCTCCTGGGCCTGGCCCAGGCGTGCCTCGAGCTCAGCTATACGAGCTCGCAACGCCTCCGCTTGCTCGGGCGTCAGGTCCGAGGACGAAGCAACAGCAGGCGCCGATGCATCGTCCTCCATAGGCGTCTCTGTCTTGACAGCTGCGTTGGCAGGGGCTGGGACTGGCTCAGTCGAGTCGGCCGCCTCGGTGGTGGCAGGCGCTGCGGCAGTTGATTCGGCGGAGGCAGGTGCTGCGGCGGTCGCCTCAGCCTCAGGCTTCGGAGTCTCGGAGGCGTCCACTTTGCCAGCACGGAGCGCCTCGAGCTGCGCTGTAAGCTCCTTGACCTGTGCCTCTGCAGCGCGCTTGTCCTTGAGGAATGTGCGCGCAAAGTGCTTGTGCTTCTCGCACTCTTCGTTTTTGGCCTTGAGCTGCTCCTCGAGCTGCGTGGTATCTGTCTGGGTGTTGTCGGTGGGTGCCGCCTCGGCGGGAGGCGGAGCGTTGGTCGCCGCCTCCAGCTGGGCCTGCAGCTGCTTCTTTTCCTCCTCGGCAGCATGGGCCTGCGCCGCCATGTCCTTCTCCAGCTGGTTCGCACGCTCGACAGCCTCGGCCACCGCGCGGCGCTCCTGAGTGATACGAGCCCGGACTTGCTCGCGCAGCTGCTCGAACTTCTTGTTGGCGGCTTGGAGTTCTGTGCCGAGCCGCGAGGTCTCGGACTCGAGCTCCGCCTTGGCTGCCTGCACCTGTGCCTGCATCTGGGTCCGCTCCTTTTCTGCCTTCTGCATCTCCTCTTCGACGCCGCTCGTCTTGAGAAGCCCCGAAGCCCGCGTCTTCCAGCGCAGCATATCCTCCTGCACCACACGCAGCTGCGTCTGCACAGTCTCGAGTTCGACCTGCGCCTTTTGCAGCTGCTCGCGGTGGGGCTGCGCCTCGGTCCTGGCCTGCGCAAGCTCAGACTCAAGCGCCTGATTGCGCGCCTCGACCGCCTGCTTGCCCTCGGTCAGAGTCGCGACCTGCTCGCGCAGTGTGCTCAGCTGGTGGATCTTGTCGAGCAGCTCCTGGTACTGCAAGTTCGGCACCTGTGTAGACGCGCGCTGGGCCTGCAGCTCGGTGCGACATGTGGCAAGCTGCTCCGCCGTCTTGGCTGCGACTTGCTCGAGGCGCGCACGTTCCTGCTGAGCCAGCTCAAGCTGCAGTGCCTTTTGCTCCTTCTCGCGCCGCAGATACCGAATAACTTGGAGTTCGCCCGTGCTTGGCGTCGTAGGGTCACCGGACGGCGCCGCGCCATCCTGCCCCGACGCAGCGGGCACCTCGAGCCCTGATGCCTCCCACGAGCCCGACTCAAGAGCTGCCACTTGCCGACTGACGCCCTCCAAGTGCGCGTGCAGCTGGTCGTTCTGTTGCTGCAGCTCGTCACGCTGCGCACGCTGCTCTTCGGTGGCCTTCTCGAGCGTGCGCAGCTGCTCTTGGACCTCGAGCATCGCGCGATTGTGGTCCGCAGCCAGCACATCCCGCGCGAGACGCGCCTTTTCCGACTCGTCCCGCAGGCGCTGCACCTCGGCACGCGCCGCCTCCAGCTCCTGGGCAGCGGCCGACGAGGCTGCAGTCGCCTCATCAGCCCGTGCACTCGCTTCCTTGGCCTGCAGCGAGAACTTGCGCACCTCGTCCCAGGCGGAGGTCTGCTCCGTAGCCGCCTCGGTCTCGGCTGCATGGAGACCGGCCAAGGCGTCTTCGAGCTCGCGCTTCTCGGCAGCATGTACGGCACTCTGCGTCTGCAGATCTTCCTGCAGTTTGGCCTGCTGCGCCTCGGCAGCGGCCTGCTGCGCCTCGGCCTCGGTCACCTTGGCCTGCAGATCGGTCACCGCCTGCACCTGCTCCGCTAATGCCGTTTCGTGCGCGCTCTGTGCATCGGTCAGTGCCTGCTGGGCCTGTGCAAGCTCGGCCTCTAAGCGTGTCTGCGTGCTTTGAGCGGCCTCGAGTGCCGCCTTGGCCGCCAGAGTATCGGCCTCAGCCGCCGCCCGACCGCGACGCACGTCCGCGAGCTCCATCTCCCACTGTTTCTCAGGCGAGAGCTGAGTGTCGGTGCTGCCGCCCAGAGCAGCCGCCACCGCTGCGCGGCGACTCTCCTCGGCCGCAGCATGCTGCTTCTCCAGTAGCGTCGCCACTCCTCGCGCGTGCTCCAGCTGGCTGAGTAGGTCAGCGATGCGGCGCTCATGGTGCTGCGTGTCTGCCTGGGCGGCCGCGAGCGCCTCACGCACCGACGCATGCTGCTGAGAAAGAGTGTCGAGGCGCTCGCGCAGCTCGCGCGTCTCCAGATCGCGGCGCAGGGTCGCATGGGACGCTTCGGCCTTGGCCTCGGACAACTTCACCTCGGCCGCCGTCTGCGCAGCCTGTCGATGCGCAAGCTCCTGGCGGAGCTGATCGACCATGGACGACTGCTGCTCGCCCTTGGCCTCGTCGGTGCTGCGAGCTTCGCGCAGCGCTGCCTCCGCCTCAGCACGCGCAAGACTGAGCTTGGCATTCTCGTCTAGAAGCACATCGCGCTGCTCGCTCAGCAGGCGGTATTCCGCGTCGCGAGTTGCCAGACGCGTCTGAGCCTCCTGTGCAGCGCTGCGGGCCACAGCCAGAGTCTGCTCGGCCTCGTTGAGTGCTGCCTCGCGGCGCTCAAGTACAGCATGGATCCGCTTGGCCTCGGCCAGGGCATCGCTGAGGCGCTGGTCGTGGTACTGCGCCGCCTCTTGTAGCATCGATACGCGCGCCTCGGCCGCAGCGCGCGCCGCTGCCTCACGCTGCAGTTCGGCAAGCACAGCGGGTGGTGTCTCGGGTACGGGTGCCGGCTGCGCCGGCGCAGCCGGCGCCGTATGGCTTGTGTCGATGCCCTTGGCATGACACACGCTCTTGTATACATCCCGCTCCTGTTCGACCTCGGCCACGATCCGACGCTGCTGACGCAGCTCCTCCGAGACCTTCTCCAGCATGTCCGCTGCCTGCTGCAGTTCGTCGTCCCGTGGATCGCGCTCTTCGAGACGATGGCCCAGCTCGCGCACAGCCTGGACAAGACGCTTGTTCTGCGCGCACAGCTCCGACAGCGAGCGGAATGTGACTAGCTCCTCGGTAATCACGTCCTGGATATCAGACACCTCGCCAGGCGTGTCCTCCGCGAGACGGTCGGCCGCCGACGGATCCTTGAGCACGATCGTCTCGCGCAAAAGGACACGCACTTGCGCAGAGGCGTCCTCCAGCTGCTGCATCGTCAAGTCGAGTTCGCGGCGCACACGCTCCAGCTCAGCAGACACGTCGTGCGCCGTACGCGCGGAGAGATCGCGCTCGGCCTGAGCCTCCTCGAGAGTCGCCGTCATCGCATCCAGCTCGGTGCGCAGCTGGGCCACTTCGTCGCGCTGCGCTTTAAGTTGCGGCGCATGGGCGTCGAGGTCGGCCATGACCTCGGCGAGGACGCCTTCCAGGCGCCCTGTCTCGGCGCGCTCGCGCCGGAGTTCCTCCTGCGTGCGAATGAGATCCACGTAGACATCACTGAAACTCTTGTCGTCTTGCATGACCTGTTTGGCGAACGAGGCAGTACGCGACGGTGTCGACACTAGCGAGCCATCGGTGTCGACGCCCACGACACTGGCCATGCGGTCCAGTGCCTCTTGAAGGGCGCGGCGATCGTTCTCAAGCACCTCGATCTGCGCCTGTGCCTCGTCAGTCTCGGCGCGTGCACGGCGCTCGCGCGCCGCGCATTCGTGGACGAGGGCATCGCAGCTGCTCTCGAGCTCTGCGGCTCGCAGCTCTGCTCGCTCAACCCGCGCATCTGCCAACTGTGCCGCCTGCTCGGCCGCGGCGCGATCCATGAGTGCCTCGCTTTCCCGCTCGGACAGGCGCGTGCGCAGCTCGGCGATCGTGTGGGTCGCCTCGCTATGGCGCGCCTGCGTGTCGGTGAGAAGGCGCTCAACATGGCGCAGCTGTTCCGCCGATGATTCGCGCGCCTGGGAAGCAAGGTCCCGCTCTGATTCTGCCTGGATGAGGCGGGCATGCAGGTCCGCACGCGTCTTGGCTGCTGCCTCATGCTCGCGCGCAAGCTCAGTGCGGACCCACTCGGCCTCCTTCCGTGCCAGCGCGACCTCCTGCTCGAGGGTGTGCGTACGGAACTGGCGTCAGGGACTTCCACGTACTTTGGTGGCATATTCTCCAGCATTGGCACGTTCCAGAGCAAGGGCAGTGGACGCCAGCTCGGAGCGCACAGACTGGTGCCGCTGCTGCAGGGACACCAGTTCGTCTGTGGTCAGTGGGCTGCAAACGCACCCTGCCTACGGGCGCTTTCCTCGCGCTCCCTTTGCCATTGGTCTAGGAGCTTGTGCTTCTCGTTCTCGAGCGCTGCAACACGCGCCTCGAGATCGGACATTCGCGCCCTCCTCGTGTCGTCCCGGACGCAGCGAGCGAATGGATCGCGACGAACAGAGTCACGTCACGTGACGCTGACGAGGCAGTGGCCCCAGCGCCCCACAACAGGCGTGACCCCACATGGCGAACTTGCGCGGGGAAAGACCGTTCAAAGTTACTATCTTTTATCGACATGTCTTCTAAAGTATACGAGCCTATTGCCAATCATGCTATCTCTGTGTACCCTCGGCTTAATGCTCCGGGATTCGAGTCGAGCAAGGTGTTTGCACTGACAGCCCTGTACCTGGCATCGCCACCCCCTGGCTTCCCCAGTCAGCGCGCGCTTGGCAAGCACTTGTCGTCGCTGTACCTCTTCGTCTTGCACCCCAACAAGCGCGCAGGGAAGAATGGCGACTTCCCTGATGCGCCTGAGGTGTTCTATATCAATGTAACAAAGAATAAGACCGAGGTGGGTCGCGGCGCGGCAAGCAAGTTTAGCAAGCGTCTGCTCCAAGGCCGCACTCGCAACGTGGTTGTCGTGGAATGCTGTGCGTGTTTTAACACTGACCTATAGCGGACAGGGACCTTGTGAACATGGCAACGGGCAAGTCCCCGGTGAGCGCCATGATGGATAAGAAAAAGGTATGTCGGTGAATAGCTCACCCAGATCGTGATTCGTGGCGACATTGAAAAACTCGAAAAGATCAGTGAGATCCTGTACCATGAGCGCTCCAAGCTGTACAGGTCGGTCGTGAGCGAGCCTGTGAAAAAGGAAGCGCAGGAAGTGCAGCTGGACGAGGAACCTCTTCAGTACAGCATCAACAATGTACCCCGTGCCCGCCTCTAAAATAGTTTGGTATACACACCACTCAGTGTCTACTTGGTACGACGCTTCAAAGTGCTCGCAGCATCCTTAGTGGTGGGCGTCTCGTCCAGCTTCTTCTCTGGAATAGCCGGCACCTGCACCGGTTTCGCCTTAGACTCGTATGGCGCGGCGGAGACAGGCTTCTCTTGGATCGTCTCGCGCTCACAAAGCTCTCGAGCATAGTCGCCCACAAGCGCCAAAACACGACCACAAACAGTTGTCCTACATAGTCAGTCATGTTGTAAACGTACCACACGGTGCTGCTCACTGCGCCCACAGGGGCATTGGGAAAACTGAACAGGTAGCCTAGCGGACCAAACCAGTCTCCCGGAGGCAAAAAGAACATTGGCACATACTTGAAGTACCAGTTTAGCACAAATGGAACAGCACTGTTCAGAACAAACATAAATGCTTTGAACATGATTGAAAACATGAACTGGGAAGACGAGAGAACTTGGTCTGCCACATTAGTTCCTGGTAGCTCCTAACGTACTCTGTTCGTCCACCTGCTGGGAGAGTTTATCCACCCGACGACGCAGCTTAGCCCACTTCGAAAACTCGTCTTGAGCACTCGTCATGTTCATTTGCTGGCGAGTCTCAAATAGCTCTTTTTTCATCGACGCAAGCTTAGAAGAGGCCGAAAACTTGAAGACTGCCATGTACAAATAGCGGAACTAATATAAACATAGTATGAACATACCCATTCTTGCAACGTATCCCGGCCGATCCATGTGATTGTATGGTTGACCAGAGAGACCAAAAAGATGATCAATGCGGGATGCATGACGGCAGGCGGAAGGCAACAGTCGCGGCGTGCGACAAAACATATTCAGCCTCCACTAAGGCCGGCACGGTTTAGGGCTCATGCCGGCAGCCAATTACGGGACTATGTTAACCTTTTCTTTCACTCGAGAGTTCAAAAGATTGACGCTATCTGCGTTATATGTAGAGCACTCGATAGAGGTTGTGGCTGCCCCATAGCGACCAGAGAGTACAACCAAGGTTGAAGGCACTCGTGCCTATGTGCTCATGTAATGCAATGAATCGGAGTGGCTCCACATCGCAAATAGGATCAATTTTTACGATATAGCAACTTCAATCCAACCTTAGGGTTCCCGAATAATACATCTTTGACATACTACACAGATAAAGCTTATACTAAAGCGACCATTAGGAACACTCGCGTTACTCTAGAACATGCAAATAGACGGTATAAACCTGTTCAATTAAGTACAATAGGTTCACTAACTCAATAATCGTCTTTGCAAGAAAGACATGGAAGCCAATCTCACACAAGTCAATAGAGGTATTCGCCATAGTTTAGCCATCCAAGAGAAACACGTAATACAAAAAGGACATCCGACGACGAACAAGCAAGCAACATATATTTTACAAAATTTACCGAATGCCTCAGGCAAGATTCACAGCCGGGTCCCGAAAAGACGGCAGGCACGTGGCCAACAATGCCATAGGGAAATAACAGCTAAATAATATTATAACAAATAGTAATTTCAATCAAATAAGAAAATGAACGAGGAAATAAAGAAACTACACATTACAGTTAACAAGATTATTTTCCAAATTTTAAATTACATTAAAAAACAAATAATAAATATAACTAACTCTCAACTCAAACAATAACTGTAAAAAACAATATGGCAATTTATTTAAATCTAACAATTTTTTAAATCTTTTATATTTTTTGAATTTCTATAAATCGTTGGAAAAGTATAAGCTGTATAAATAAATGCAACATGTTAACTAATTGTTATTTATAACAATTCGTTTTTATAATTTTGCTAATTTTATTCTATTTAAAAGAAATTACAATATATTTACTGTCAAATGATCTTTAATAATGTTTTAATTTATCTATTTTAATATCTTAATTTTTAATTTGCTTTTGTTCAACATTTTGTTTGGGTCCTGACTTGGTCGTGTTAATGTTTGTTCCCAGCGTCTGAGTCTCGTGTGACCCATGTTATATACATTGGCGCCCCTTTATTTCTACTCGTACCATTGTTCCATGCGCCTCCCTCATCTCGGCATTTCACCGAATGGGTACTATATATACTGGTTTACTTACTTTTGTGAGGAGCATTTCTAGCCACGCTGATTTATCGTCTCCCCTTCTGGGTTTCCGCACTCCTCTCATATGATGAATGTCAGCACAGATTTTGCGGCTCGTCTCTCTCATAGTTTGGATAATAATACCATAATGACTATTTCGATGGAAAGAATAAAAGCACTGACGCAAAGGACTATCGCGCCTGCCGTTCGAAACCTTGGCAAATAGATATAGTTGTCATCGATTGTCTCGTCTTGAAGTCCGAACTCTCTTTGCTCAGCTTGTCTCATCCTACGTTCCACAATATACTCGGTTACTTTATCTTCATACTTGAGCGTCATTCGATAACGGAATACTGCCGTGATAAACAAGCCGACGGCTAAAATGCAGTTTGCAAGGCCGATCCAAAAAAACTCGGGCTGAAAGATCTTGGCAACAGTCAGAGAAAAAGAGAGTTGGCTTAAAGCTGTTCTTGTATATGCACCATCAAACGTTCTCTGTGATGCCCTGTCTAGTCAACGATCGTTGCGAACTTACCTCAAGTCTAGGCGTTCTCCTTCATTTAGGCGCTTATGAGGATGCTTCTTGCTATCCGGCTGCCGAGAGAATGGATGTAGTAGTTGCGAAAAGCCTGTTGGAATCTGGTGCACAAGTCCATGCCCAACGGAATCCCTCACAGATGCATTTCCACTATTGTTTCTTGCCGACATAATCTCAAGGAAGCAGCGGATGTGCACGAGCCATGTCAAGCAAGTCCTAAAGCTGCACGTGATATCGACACAAGCCTCAGACGTGTCGCTTGAACTCGCTCTCCATCACAATGGTGTCAATGGGGCGGTTTCCATCGTTGCTTTGGCTCCTGGTGTTTGTACTATCTCTTCTAAAGAGTGTCCAGCCTCTTTATTTCTACTTTGAGGCTGGTTCCTCAAAGTGTTTCTATGAACAACTTCCCGCAGATACCATTGTTGTCGGACACTATTACTTGGAAGAATGGAATGAGTCTTTGGGTCATTTTGACATTCCGAATGATTTAAATCTTGGTATTTTAGTTCAGCACATGGAAGCTGATCACCCACTTGTCTCGTCTAGAGGACAGCCTGATGGTCGGTTCGCGTTCAGTACCCACCAAGCCGGTAATCACGAACTCTGCTTCCAGACGGAATACCATGGTTCCCGCATGGCCAACCATCATATGCCTGAACTCCGCATGCACCTTGACATTATTATTGGAGATGCCCATCGTTCTAATACAGAGGAGGATAAAGAACACTCACAGGATCTTTTGTCGCGGGCGCGTGCACTGAATGCAAAAATGCGCGACTTGCGCAAGGAACAACAATACCAGCGTGAGCGTGAAATGGAGTATCGCAATCTGAGTGAGGCAGTGAACTCTCGTGTTCTGTGGTGTATCATAATCCAGATGGTTGTGCTTTTGGGCTGCTGCATTTGGCAATTGTTCAACCTTACGGTACGTGTCAAAACTTAGCTTACATCCAGACCTTCTTCGAGGACAAGAAGTTCAGATAGTGCTTTTAAATACTGTACAAGCTATCTGTCCGCATAAATCGTCAGAGAGGTCAAAGGAACATGTCCTGGTGCTTGAGTGGGCCGTTCGCCCCAATAGAAGCGGTTCTTCAACGAACAGGCCTTCTGCCATAACTTTTCAAGCGTCTCTTCCAGTACACCTGTGCCGACCACAAAGCCTGTGTCAACACGGGCATCCATAGAGATATGTGATGCACCAGCTTGGTTCATTTCTTCCCTTTCTTGGCTGGAAATATGGCGAAGCAGGTCCTTGATGGTAACGATGCCTTCTAGGATCCCGTTACTGCAAACCAAAATAACCCGTGGCCCCAATCGCTTAAACATATCGGAAACCACTTCCAGATCGAGTTGAGGCTGAACAATCAATGGAGCAGGATCCACCCAAGCACCCATATCCAATGGACCTGTTTCTGCCTCCATTCCTTCCTCGGTAACGTCCAGGGGGCTAGTATTTGATGACAACCACTCTGGCAAAAATTGTGAGTCAGCGTTGACCTGTGCACTAGTGAGAGCATAGACATCCGTGCTCTTTGGATGGAACATGCACACCGAATCTCTGTGCAATGTACTTGTGGCTTGCGCGTGCCGTATAGCATAGCGGAGTTGTGCGCGTTCCATATATCCCAAGACCGTGCGATTTTGTGCATTGGCCACGACAGGGAAACCGCGGTAGGTTCCTTGTGCGACAATCGACTCGACCTCGCTGTATCGCATGCCATCGGCAAACAAAACGTCCGTAGTGGTGGTCATCATAGCTCCGACATTGATACCATATGTATGGTCTTCCGGATCCAGAAAGGGATAGCCATTGAATTTGATAGACCTGTCGGCCACACCACCTTTGCCATTCAGATCGGCCACCATCTTCGCAGTGCCCACCACCAGCATGATAGGAAGTATATAGGTGAGAGCACCCGTCAGTTCAAACATAATCACCACCACTGCCACCGTGATTCTTGTAACGCCAGCGAGGGCTGCGGCAGCACCTAGCATGGCATAGGTACCCGGTGTGATACAGGGCGCGTCGGGTGTGCAGGAAGAAAAAACGTTCCAGCTCGGAAAGCCTGTTTGAAGCGCTTTGACGAGGATGCCAACCATCCGTCCAAATGTAGCACCCACCGCCATGGATGGAATAAAGATTCCAGCTGGCACCTTGCAGCCGTACGATAAAATGACTAGGGCGAATCGGAGGGCTGTGGCAATCAAAAGGGCACCGCTCATAGACCATTGCATGCGGGATTGGCACAAGACTTCGTCATCGCTTGCACCATCGCATTGTTGAAACAGCAGCTCCAATGTTTCCGTCATGTCCAAACGGAGGAACCGATTAAAGTAGCAAATCATAGCCGTGATGCTAGCCAAAACAACGGCTTCTTGAACACCGTAGTTTGCCAGATATTTTTTACGGAAACGCTGTACTTGCAAGTTGAACCGGAGGACATACTCGCCATAGAGACCACCGAAGATGCCCATGAGTAGGAAAAATACAATTTCAAAGTAATGCCACTCGCGATTGTATTCCACTTGGAATAGGACAAGCTTGCCTGTACGGAAGGGATTCATAAACTAAATGTTAGCGGTGCTGGATACATACCGAGAGGGCCACTGTGCTAGCCAGCGCACACAGAAAAGTACGCCACATGGTCTGTGAGGCGAAGTACGTAGTCATTTCTTCAAGGGCAAAGAGCACACCGCCGATAGGCGATCCAAAAGCGACAGCGACCCCTGCCGCACTAGAAGCGATCAAGACTTCTCGTAGCTTCGACTGACTTGGAACAAGCCAGCGGAGCACACTGGCCACGGCCATGCCCATGCAGCACGCCACATGCACAGCGGGTCCTTCTTTTCCGACGCTGAGTCCCGAGGCAATTGCTAATGGGAGGCCCAAACTCTTGATCACTAGCGTCCAGTAACTCAAGAAGTTTTGAATGCTAAACCCTGCGATAACACACTTGATCTCGCTAATACCGCTCCCTGCCGCTGTAGGTGCATAATGGCGAACAAGTGCTGCGGATGTAAAGGCCAACAAGGCGGAAAATGCAACGTAGGCACACCAAGAGGGCAGTGTCCAGGAACCCCACTCGACCCAATCTGTGCAGGAACTGGAGGATAAAGCGGGTTCAGCCGCGCGGAGCGACATCTGCGTAGCTGCCGCGGTCGATGTGGCATTCATATTGCCAGCGGCTGCCGCAGCGACGGCCGCGATGCCTTTGGGCACGGTACTTCCGGGGCCTGCGGAGTCCATCTCTTCCCAGCAGCAAAACTTTTTGTTGAGCCACCAACCACCAGCACAGTACCCCTGTTTGAGATCTGACGCCCACTCGCTGACCACACTGATGACGGCCATATTAATACCGATCAGCACGCCGACCAGAACGATCATGCCGTTTTCTGCTGTAGCCAGGAGGGGCGCTTTCATGGAGCCTGCCAGCGAGGTGAACCCTCGTGCTAGGGCTCGCATCGCAACTAGGACATTGTCTCCAAATGGCAAGCGGCCAGCGAATGCGCTAAGTTGGCGCCAGGCAAGGGAGCCATGCTCCTGCATATGCTCCGCGATACGCTGGACCTGAGCCTCGTGCCGTAAGATTTTCACGCGTTCGCGGCGGCCATCAACGACCCAGTCCACAGATGAAAACTTCGGTCAGAAAGCCACACGTACTCTGCCATAGTGCTGGGTCTCTTCCCGCCCACTTTCTTGCGCCGACGGTGCGGCCATCGAGGTGGGGTACTTATGTGGAGGACCTACGAATCTACGTGGGTTTCCTGCAGCAGCTGCGCGGACTGGGCCAGCAGTCGTCGGATGCGCGCACCAGCTCCATCTTCGCGCCCCCGCTTTGCTGCATGCGACGGAGGCGTGATGGAGCGCTTCACTGTGCTGGTCGGACGCACGAGCAGGTTCGCTGACGGCGGCGCCGGGTCCTCAGCATCAACTCGTGCGGCGAGCTCCGTTAGAGCGCGTGCGCCGAGCTGGCGCAGGTGTGCCAGGTTGGCAGCCGTCACGGCGACGTCAGTGCCCGCCTCCGTCTGGCAGGCGAGTGCCATGCGAAGAAGCGACTGCATGTACGTGCCCATCTGGACGTGACCGGACTGTGCATGTTCCAGGATGTGGGCGCGCAGAAGCGCCCACGCATCTGGGTCGCCCCATGGCAAGTCGCGCAGCTGATGCAGGGCCAACTGGGCAAGGGTATCTGAGACGCTCGCTTCCGCTGGGAGCGTGGGCATAGGAAGCGCGAGCGACTCTGCAGCGCCAGCGAGACGCAAGAACAGATTGGCCAAAGATGTAAGCACGGCAAAGGCATCGCGAGCGACGGCAGGTGAGCTCGTACGAGCGAGCCATGCATCAAAGCCATCCGAGATATCGAGCCATGCATCCCAGAGAGGCTGCAAGGATGTGCACTGGGCGAGGGGGCGGTGCCACTCCTCAGGGAGCGAGGTCACCACCTGCTCCACTGCGTCGGCAAACAGGGCATCTGCATCAGCCTCGGCGTCATCGAGAGCCACGAGCGTGCGGGGCGTCCATAGCGGCTCGTGCAGCACGGACTTCGAGTCATTCCACGCCAGCTCCAAGAGCGCTGTGGGCTGTCGCGGCGCAGGGGGGTGCGCCCCTGCCTCACACACCACCAGCTGGGGCGTGTGCGCTGTGTCACTCGCCTGCGTGCCGTCCACGATGCGGACCTGCGTACCCTGAGGAAGCGTATAGATAGAGTCAGTCGCTCCCAGCGCCATCTTGTGTCGCAGCCAGCGCGAGCCGACGCCATCGCCTTCCACATATACGACCGCCGTCCAAAATAGCGGCCTCGTCATGGTCTCTTCGCAGAGCCACGATACGCGGTCCACCAACGTGCGCGCCATGCTACCACGAGCCCAAAGTCGAGAGCTAGCATGCTGCACCTTGGAAAACGCCTCATGTCGCTCGTCGTCCCACAGTCGCGGCGTGCGTACCGGCCGCTGCACGCGCCTGTCCAATCGGCTTGGCTGCAGGTGGGGCAGGCACGCGCGAATGGCCTCGAGCCGCGCCGACTGCCGCTGCTGCTCGCGGACCTGCGAAAGCACAGCTCGCCAGCGCTTCCAGGCATTGCGCTTCCGTACCCGAGCGAGCTGAGCGGACGCTACGGCCTCCATGGCCGCGTGTCGCACGAATGTGGCACTGGGCTCCGCCACCAAGCGTCGATACAGTTTCGATGCTAATGTCTCGATGAGAGCAGAGCGGCAGCGCTGCGCACGGCGCTTAGACTCGTGGGCCATGGCATTGTAGGCCACTTCCTGCACAGTCTCTCTGATGCTTTGCGCGCAGAGGCGCATGACAAGCTCCTTGGCGAGGCGTTCACGCGGCACTGGGGGTTTGGCGGGTGGGGGGGGCGGTGCCATCACAGGGGCTGGCGCGACAGGTTGAGGCGCAGGCGGTGTCTTGATGGGACGTGATGGAGTGGGAGCGGCAGGGGCAGGCGTAGACGCGGCCGCCGGCGGTGGAGCGAGCGTCGGGGCAGACGTAGGCGCCGTGGGCCAGGTGGTCGGCACTTTTGTAAAAGCAGACGGTGCGGGCGCTGTTGGTGCGCGTGGGGCCGGCGCGCTAGCCTGGGGCACGGCGAGCGCCCTGGGTTGCTGCGACTGTGTAGGGCGCTCTGTCGTAGTGAGGCCATCGATAATAGCCTGGCAGCTTGCGTCTCCGCGCTTCACCTCGACGAGCGCGTGACTAAAAGGCGAGGCAAACGACTTGTCCTCGTCGAGCACGGAGCTTTTGTTGATCTTGACGCTGTCGTCGTCGCCGATCTGAATATGCAGGAGCTCGAGGAACGTCCGTGCCTCGTCGTGGGAATCCATACCAAGCATGGCGACGACTTGGTGCAGGGGCAAACCATTGTGCTGCGGCAGGTAGGCCCGGCCCAGCGTCTTTACGGCGCCGATCCGCACGCTCGCAAACAAGTTCTCGGCGAGGCATGCCGTGAGGTAGCTGACCTCAGGGCGCGCGAGATCCTTGAAGAAGCGAGTGAAGAAGTTGGGCGTGGCCTCCGTATTCTGAGGCTGCCCCCGCTTCTCCAGCAGGTTCGAGCGCTGCAGGAGCGTGTGCAGACGGAGCGCCCACTGCAAGGGCGGCGCGGTGAACACGTTCGTCGGCAACAGCTCGACCTCGCGCAGCGTCTCGGGGTCGCGTGCATGCAGGAGCAGGTTGTAGCCGCGAAACTCTGGCTCGTTGGGGTATGTGTGGCCCAACAAGCGCTGGTCGTCGTAGAACTCAATCAGGCTCCGAAGGGTCTTGCGCAGCTGCTCGAGCTCCTGCTGCTCGCTCCACGCATCAGCACCGACACCTCCTTTCCAGTGCAGGCACAGGATGTGGTAGCGCGCGATGCGCTCGTGGCAAGCAATGGCAATAGCGCCGCGATCGCTCTGCACGATAAAGTCCTGTCGGATCGCGCGGGTGCGGTTCCACATGAACGGCTGCACGACAGCAAAGTGCGGGTCGCGCGGGTCGGCGGGGAGCAGCGTATGCACGAGGTAGTCGAGCGTGCGCTGCAGCACGGGGGGCGGCCGCACTTCCTCCGGGAGCGGCAGCTCGCGGCCAGCAGCGGGGCGGCGGTAGATCTTGACGGCCGCTGCTGGGTCTGCAGACGTCGTCCCTGGGAAACATTCTAGCCTGTCGAGCTCCTTCTGCACTTCGCGCTCGACGCGCTCGAACTCAGGGCACATGTCGGGGCATGTGCCTACGAGCTTCGTGGCGTCCTCGAGGAGGCCGGGCTTGGACGGATCGGGGAGCACACCACTTGCAATATACTCCTCACGCTTCTGTGCGTACTGCACCTTGAGCTCGGCCAGGCGTGCGGCTGCGGCATCCTCGCGCGGGCGGAAGCGCTCGCGACGCTCGTCTCGGACGCCGCCGTCCATGGCGGCAGGAGCGTGTATAGCACACGCCTCCATTCAAGACGTACGTGCGTGCGTGGAGGTTGCCTGCGAGGCCGTCGCGCCTTCTCGAGCTGGGCCATGGCCAAGGACGTGTGGGGCAGCCTGCTGCGCGGTGCGCGCGCACGGTATGCCTTTGTGTCCAAGACGCTCGTCATACTGGGTACGTGGAGATGGCTAATAGCAGGCGAGCCTGGGAGTGGCAAGTCGACGCTCGTGCGCCAGCTGGCTGGCAGTGCGGACGCGCGCGCGTCGGTGCCGAAAGAGTCGTCAGGGCCCCTGGGCTTTGGGTTCCTGGAGCTGAATGAGGATCCACATGCGGAAGGTATGCACGATGACTCACACTCAGAGCGCCTTCGAACGGGCGTGTACACGGTGCACTCGGCGGACGCGTCGGTCACGGCGACACTGCCCTATGCCTTTCCGCCTGTGGAGATGGCGGCCGACGCGACTGCCGTGGCTGCTTTGCGCCGGCTGCGCGAGTCCCTCTTTGTGATTGCGCTCGATGCGAGCCAGCCGTGGGCCATGGTGCCGCAGCTCGTTGCTTGGCTCGCCCTGCTTCAGCGGCTCGTCGCCCAGGCCCATGCGTCTGGCTGCCATACTGACGCCGATACCGTACGTGCCGCGATGCGTGCACATATCGAGGAGCTCGTCGGCAGCTCTAGCGAGACGCACCTGACCGACAATCTGGGCGTGCCCCTTGTCTTTGTGCTGACCAAGGCCGACGCGGCCGAAGCGCTCGTCGCCGAGCAGCGGATGACCGAGGCCCAATGGGACTATCTCCAGCAGGCACTGCGGACGGTGGCCTTGCGTTTCGGTGCGGCCATCTTCGCCACCACACAGAGCCGCGCGCCGTCGTACAATGGTGTACGAGCATTTATCCGCCACAGGCTGTATGCGGACGCAGAGCTTCCAGGTGTTTCGATCCCAGCGTGCGATTTGGAGCCTGTGACGGCGGACGTATCGCGCCTATGTATCCTACCTGGCTGGGACTCGTGGGCCAAGATTGAGGCGGTGCACGAGTCTTTTTCGTGTGCGGCGTGGAGCGAGGCATTTTCGCGTGATCTGGCGCATCCGGGACCAGGTGCACAGGCTGAAGGACCGCCCACTGCCTCGCAGATGGCGCGGGACAGGGTGCCAGCGCCCGAGTACGACACCGAGGACGAGGTGCCGAGCATCGACGTGCCCCCCTACGAGACGTTCCTCGAGACGCTGCCTATGCCGTCCGGCGAGGCGAGCGATGCGCCGCGCTTGTCCATCGACACCCTCCGCGCGCCCGTGCGCAATGCCTTGGGGCCATCGATGCATGCATCGACGCTCGATATGCCGGCCGTTGGCCGCGCGATGGAGGAGCAGGCCAAAGAGCTCCCTGGACCCGCAGACCCAGGGACGCCGGGCCGTGTATCGAAGCGCACCGATGATGTGCGGTCGCCCAGTGTCACGACGCCTAAACAGACCGAGGTCCTGCACAGCTTTTTCCAGAGCCGTACGTGTGTGCAGCTGACATGCAGTGCTCAAGAAGCCGGCGAGTCCTGGATCGGCTCCGCATACACCATCTGCTCGTCTGCAGCAGCGTGCGCGGAGGCGCAAAGAAGAAGGGGGTATATAGACGTAGAGTTAGGGCGGCTGATTTTCCTTGTCATCATGAGTTAGCGCCGCGGACATGGCGCGCGTGCGTGCGCCGAGCAGGTGCGCAGCGCTATGCACTGCACACGGGTCCTCAAACACCGTGAAATTGTCGCGGCGAGAGTGCGATCGTGTGGACTTGCGCGACGCTGGTGGCCGCTGCGGTGCTACGGCTAGCGTGCCGATGCGGCGGCACACCTCCTCGATCGGGTCGTGCACACTGCGCTCCTCCAGTTCGTCTGTACCAAGCTCGCCGAGCGGGACACGTCGCATGCGGCGGCGCGGCGACTTGGGCGTCATGGTCGTCGGGGCGTGTACCGCCGCCCAATGCGCCTCAGCCAACCAGCCGACCCAACACTGGCACGCGTGCCTCTGCGGCGCGCGTTGTTGCACGTGATTCAACCTATGGAAGAAGGAGGGTATCTACGCCACCGGCTCAGGCGGCACGGCGGTCGTCCTGGCGCCGTTCCCACGCGTGCCACTTGCGCTCAAAGGCACTGATGCGGGCACAGGCATTAGGGAACTGTTTCTGAAGCGTATCACGCATGGTTTTGCTGTTTTGCCATGCTGAGAGTATTGCACGTAGCGTCTCGTAGGCTGGGAACCACTGCCGCTGCGGTAGGAGGAGCACGTCGTGCAAACGAGCTCCCGGATCAAGGCTGTGGCTCTCTTTCGGCATAATGTGCTGGGAAGGACGCCGGAAGGGCGGTACCACCGGCCCGAACAGCTTCGCACTCTGCTCGGGCATGACCTGGTGCAGCGGGTTCGCGGCAAACGCCGCTTGGTCGTTTTCGTTCCGCTCAAGGCGCTCGCTCAGCGTCCTGTCATCGGGCCACTCCATATGATGCTTGAGCTCATTCCATGCCGGTGTCGGTTCGGTCAGCACGGTTTCCAGGATCTGCAGCGCCTCGGGAAGGCGGTCGGCGCGCGCAAGCGCAACACAAAGGTGGTTCCAGTTTTGGGCATCGAACGCCAATCCAGCATCCTGTGCACGTGTCCAGATCTCCGCGACCTTGTCATGAGCGCCAGCACGCGACGCCGTTTGGATCGCAATCGATAGTGGGAGACACAGCATGCTCTGCTGGAACGAGCCCAGCGTCGTCGACGAGGCACTCGTCGTCAGCGCGTCCGCGGCGGTCACCTGCGCCTTGGCACGCGGCACGAGCACATCACAGCACTCGTCCCACAGGCGCATCACGCCGTCCACGTCGCCTGCGTATCGGTACGCATTCATCAGCGACGTAAGTGCGCGTATCGACACCGGTTCACCTGCGTTCAGCAGGCGGTGGAACACGTGCTCGGCAGCCCAAGCATCGCCGCGCTGGCCATGCGCGTCCATGAGCGGGACAAGCAGGTCCTCCAGCGCCGCGCCCTGCTCCAACGCCGGCGTTTTCCATGTACTTGTAGTGCGCTGGACCTGCGCCTCCTCGGAGCGTTTCCACGCGAGTTCCTGCGCAATCTCCAGGCTCGACTCTGTGCCACCAGCATAGCTCTGGATCAGCACACCCAGCGTGACGTGGCTCGGCTCCATGCCGCGAGTATGGATCTGATCCCACAGCTCGCGCGCGCGCTGCGTCTGCCCCGCCCGCAAATACGCATGGATCAGGATCGTGTGCAGCGCCAGCGATGCACCGTGCACCAGCGCGCGGTCAGCAAGCTCAAACAGCTCCTCGGCCAGTGACAGACGTCCACTGTCACACGCACTCTGCACCGCCAGCGCATAGGTACGCGCATCAGGCGTGAGGCCCAAGCGCTGCATATCCATGAGGCACTGGAGCACCTGCGCCACCGGCGTGCCACGACGCACATGCGCCTTGAGTAGCGTGTTGTACACGCTCGCGTCGGGCTGCAGCGCAGCATCGTGCTGCGACTGAAGCCACTGGTATATGCCCAACACCGCCGGATAGTGGCCCACTTGGATGTATGCATCCATCAGCGCCGCATACACCCGGCGCTCAATGCGCGTGCCCCGCGACGCATGTCGCGCAATCAGTGCCGCGGCTTTTTCAGGGAGCTGAGCACGGCCCAGCGCCTGCACCATGTACGTCAAGGTCGTCGCAGAGCACACGAGCCCCGCCCCCTCGAGCTGCGCCGTCAGGTCCAAAACGGCCGCAGCGTCGCCCAGCTTCGCAGCCATGCGGGCCATCTCACTGTACAGCCGCTCCGAGTCGTACACGCTCGATACGGCCCGGAATACATTGCGGGCGCCACTTGCATCATCCTGCCGCACATGTGCGCGCAGCAGCCAAAATGCCTCTTCCTCGCTCGTCGGTACGGCGATCCGCTGCGTCACAGCTGCAACATCGCCGCGGCTCGCCTCACATACCAAGTGCGCGTACGACGTAAGCGAGGCGGTGGGCGTGAGGCGCACAAGGACCCGCTCCATCGCCTCTGTGTCCCCCAGCTCTGCATAATACAGGGCGAGCCATCGCAGCGAGGAGGCACTGGTGCCGCGCTGCTCAAGCCACTGCACGAGCGGCTTGGCTAGCTCGTGCTGCTTCGTGGGTGCAAGCATACGGAGCACGCGGCGGACGACCGACTCGTGCGGCACAAGCTGCGCATCGAGGATCTCGGCCACGATCCCGGCCGCCACCTGCGATGCCCCGCGGTTCGCTAGCGCCAGTGCCACAATACCGGCGTACTGCGCGCGCTCGGCGGCAGGCCGCGCCGTGTGCAGTATGGTCTGCACATGTGCGCGCGGATCCTTGAGGGAGGCTAGTAGCGTGTACACGGCATGGATGACTTTGGGGAATGGTGGTTGTAACAGGGCCCAGACACGTGGCGTGGTCTGCAAAAAGGCCGCTGCGCGCGCGGCAGCAACGCCACGGTAGGTTGTGTGTGTCTTTTCGTGCGCGCATTCTTCGGCCAGGGCCGTAAATACTGCCTTGGCCGCGCGGTACGCGGTGTGAAGGTCCGCATTGTCGCGGCTGTAGAGGTGGCGCCCTCGGAGGAGGCGCTCTTGCGCCTGCTGCAGGGCCGACGCTTTTTGCTCAAGGAGGCGCCGCAACTGCGCAAATGCATGGTCCCAATGGCCCATAAGTACGGTTGCCTCAATACGAGCTGCGTCTTCCGCGCCGGCAGCGAGCAGGCGCTTTCCGACGTCGTGGCGCAGACGGGCGCGTTCTTCGCGTGTCGGCTCAGTGTACAGGCACGAGTCCACCTGCTCCAAGATGGCGTCAATGTGCGCTGCTGCACTAGTTCCTGTGACGTTCTGCTCCATTTTCTGCAGAGCCATTTGTGTGCCTTGCGCTACTTGCGCGAGGTGTGACGCTTTGCTCGAACGCTTCGGGCGGGGCCGAGAAACCAGCGCCGGCTGCGCGGAAGGGCCTGCCTCGGCGTGCTCTTGCGCCGTAGTATGCCGCCACGCGCGCCCCTCTGGAGCACTAGGAGACACAACCTGCGCAGGCGCCCGCACCCTTGCGCCTAGGGGGCACGGCACTGGCGGTCTGCGCGCGCCTCGCCAGGCTGTCTGCCACATGTCGGCACTCCAAAGTCGCGGCTGGATATCAACGGTATATGCCCAGATCCACTGCAGTGCATGGTGTGTAAATAGAGCCGAGGTGAAGCTAAAGCCCCCGGCTGGGACGCCCATCGTCCGTGGGCCACGCGAAGCTCGTGCCCAGCGATCGGCTGGTGGTGAGAGGGAAGAATCGGTGCGACGCTGACATAAGAGACCTCCACCATTCACGTCGCCGCCGCGGCTCCCGACGCTCTTTCATCGACATGTCGAAGCGCATGCGTGTGCGTATGTGTGCGCTGACCGCAGGGCCTGGCCGTATCTCGGCCCATCCTCATAGGATCCACATCCACGCCTCTGACACCAGCGGAGAAGCTCACTGCGCCGCCGGACCACACGCACCGCTGGACCGTGGCGGTACGCAGCGCCGCGAGCGCGCCCCTCTCTGCCGCCGTCGCCGAGGAGCCGAGCGACGACCAGAGTGAGAGTATTGGTGCACGCCTTCGTGATAGCGGCCAGGATCTGCACCGCGCTGTTGGCGGCAAGGACGATCTCTCGTACTTTATCAAGCGTGTGCAATTCCGCCTGCACGATACCTATTCTCAACCCACGCGGAGTACGTACGCGCAGCTCACACAGACATCGACCGGCCACCCTTCAGTGTTACAGAAACGGGGTGGGGTGAATTCGAGGTCCAAATCAAGATCTTCTTTGTCCCTGAGGCCGGCGAGAAGCCTCTTACAGTGCTGCACCACCTGAAACTACACCCGTGGCCCGCCGCCATCCCAGCGGCAGAGGCGCCGGCGGCAGGCACCACTGCTGACGCCACAGCTGCGGGGGCGCCGCCACCGCTACCGCCGGTTGTGCACTCGTGGCAGTACGAGGAGATTGTGTTCCCCGAGCCGTTCGAGGCCTTTTACGATATCCTCGTGGCTCATCCCCCGACGCCCTGGCCTGCGACGTCAGCACAGGCGTTCACGGACCCCCAGGTGATGACGGAGCGCCAGCACCTTGTACACACGCCTACGGGCCAAGTCCTGGAGGCGCTGAGCCTCGAGGCGCAGCGCGCCGAGGCCGACCGCATTGATCTTGCGCGAGCCAATGCGGTGCAGCAGCTGGATGCCGATCGTACAAAGTTGATTGCCACTGAGAAATTGCTACAGGAGGCACGCGTGCAGCTCGCTCAGCTCGAGCCGGCGGCCACGGGGCCTAGTGCTTGAACAGGTCCCTTGATACCCTTACCGATCCGCGGCACCACTGGTCATCCCTGGCGGGCAGACAATGGCCGCTTGGCCACGCGCTCTGCCAAGTCGTCTTCCTCGTCTTCGTGCTTTCGGCGTCGATTCCAGAGGGGCGCGAGCCCCTCGAGGCCGGGGCTCTCTTCCGTGCCGGGCTGCACGTCTAACGCCTCTTCCGAGTCAAAGTAGTCTTGCTCCGCCGCAGCCTCGTCCACGTTAGGCGAGTGTGCCACCGAATCGTCCGAGTCCGACGAGCTGTCAGTCTGGTTGCGTGCCTGCTGCTGGATGAGCGCGCCGATGCCCTGTCCAGCAACGGGATCAGTACGTAGCGCTTCCAAGATGTCGCCGTGCTTTTGTGCCATGTCGTTCAGCAACGGACGCACATTGTCGTGCCGTAGCTGCTCGCACAGACCCAGACAAGCGGACGAGACGAGATTGTCGCGGGGCGCCTCTCTCTGCAGTAGGGCCAGCACATGACCCATCACGTCGAGCTGCATGAGGTGGCGGTACGTGAATTGGTTGTGACTCGACACGCACGCGCGCAGCACACGCAGAGCGGCGAGCCGCAGGTGCTTGTTCCGTGCATGCAGCAACGAGCCGACGTGGTTGCATACATTCGACGTGAGAATATAGTACTGGCTCCGGAACGAGTGGTTCTCAATCACAAAGCATAGCAGGTCACACAAATGACAATAGAGCATCCAGCGGGAGGGATCGAGCGTAATCGACTGGCCGAGCGCCAGTGTTTGCATATCGGGGAGCTGCAGGAGCGGCTCCAGCATTTGCTGCATCGTACCGTCGTACAGCCACGTCAGCAGCTCGTCGGCATCCACGCGCGGCTTGGGCAAAGTACCCTGCCCCACGGGGCTGTGGGAGAGTCCATCCATATTGACATCCATAAGCACTCGCACGGTCTCCGTCCACTGCGTACACAGGGCGGGGTCCTGCCCGTCCTGTAGCAGTACCTGCAGGCGGCAAAGCAGTGGCGTCTGCCCGTCACGCACCTCTTTGAGAATATAGGCCCGCACACTGTTGGCATCGTACTCAATCAACGACGAGAGAATGTCGCTCGCGGCGGCTCGAAGTGCGGCATCGGGTGTGCTGAGTGCATACTCGATGATGGGCAGAACGCCGCCGTCAACGAGACAACGGAAAAGGGCAACGCGGCCGGGCAGCTGAATCTGCTTCCCCATAGTGCATAGATGCTGCACAAAGATCACGCCTTTGGCCTTCTGCACTCGTGTCGCATCGGTCGTCGGCGCACGGTACACTTGCGCCAGCTGTGTCCACAGTTGCGGGTCATTGACGCAGTAGTTGACGATGTCATTTTGGTAAAAAAATACAAGGGAACTCAGCATAGACTGCAGTCCGTCGTCCATGAGACCCGCGAGCATCACATCTTTCAGGTACACTAGCCTGTACGTCTCGAAGATTTTGGCCAGGATCGTCGGGTCACCAAAATCAACCACCTGATGAAACTTGGCCTCATCCGATAAGTGCTGGCGATACGATGCCTTGAGGTGGGGGTGCTCAGGGTTGTATTCGAGCATACCCGCGGCCGCATAGAACACGTCGTCTTGCAGCAGGTACTCCACCACGAGGTTGTCATTCAGGAGGAGAATCGTCTTCATGATCTGATACAAGCGATGTAGCGCAGGCAGCGCATGCTGCGCTTCGGCCTCTTCCAGCAGCGGCGTTAGCTTCCGAATGTAGTCCTCCTTCAACAGCCACTCGATGACCTTGTCACGCATCGCCACACTGTGCAGGCTACTCGCGCGCAGCTCCTCTTGAATGGTGTCTAGATTGGCTAAAGTCGGCGTCGGCAGCTCAAAGGGCGGCAACTCTGCCGCAAGCGTTTTACCATACTCCATGCCGCGGCTGAGGACAAAATGACTTTGCACCTCTGTGATAAAGTCCCATACCTCGTTGCACCCCTCGAGTTCTTGGAAGGAAAGCGCCACATCTGTACCGTCGAGGGCTGTCCAGACCACGAGCGTTTCCTGCTGTCGCTGGTATACATCTTCTTTGATCACGGGCGCGTGTAGCAAAAAGTCATCGGACGCCAGTGACTCGCTTACCACGAGAATGTACTCCTGGGGCTGTGCGTCACCATCCTCCGCACCTTCAGCCACTTTCAAGTCTGCGACCGACCCGAGTGATGTGCATGTCTCTTCCTTGCGCGCCACAAGGAGGGCCTCGTCATGTTTCTCGTCATAGACACCGGCGCAGTAGCCGGTCCCTCGGTCAGCCCACGCCTGGTTCTCAAGCACATAAAACTTGACCCGTCTCCCAGAGCCACATTGGTGATAACCACCGCGTGACATTGTCGACGAGAACAGGAGTGGCGGTGCCTCGGCGGCGTGCCTGCTCTCGGCACTCGTGTCGGGACCGGATGGCGGTCGCTCCCTTCCTACACTCTCCTCGTGCGCGACGGGGGAGGCTGCCTCCACGGACACTGCCATGGATCAGCGCTCTCAGCTTCCGTCTCCCGCACGTGTAGCTGGGCCCCTGGTCTAAGTTTCGCGCCGCTTCCCCACAAACGCGGCGCCACCCGTGGTGGCCGATCTAACTACGAAGCGCGTCGCGGCTGGCTGCAATATGTCACGTGTGATTCTACTTGACTGTCCGCATCTTGTACTACCAATAGGCGTGTGGCATACTTGTTATCAGTGCAGTATAGATAATGAAGGGGTATTTTTGAAAATGAAGACTCTTGGCCGAGCTACCCCACGCGATGCCTGTCTATCTTTGGCTGATATGCGGTTTGGTGGCGTCTGAGTCAAAAATATTTTCACGCGGCCCTTTTCCGAGCCCCGACGCTGGCCGAGCCGACACCTTTTAACCAGGGTTTGAACCGAGAAGTTTCCCATCTTCGCACAATGGTGGTCCAGTCCAAGAACCAGGCTTTGCTTGCTCCTTACCTCGAGCTCCCTCAGAATGGAAAGGTGGCCGCTGAGTATATTTGGCTTGATGCCGATGGCATGCCCCGTGCCAAGACCACCACTTGCGACGGTCCGGTTCGGTCGCTGTCGGACCTGAAGGAGTGGAACTTTGACGGCTCGTCGACGGGCCAGGCACCTGGCAACAACTCGGACGTGCTCCTGCGCCCTGTGGCCTACTATCCCGACCCCTTCCGCCGTGGCGACAATGTCCTTGTGCTGGCTGAGTGCTACAACAACGACGGCACCCCGAACAAGGCCAACTACCGTCACAACGCCGTGCAGATCTTTGAGCAGTGCAAGGACCAGCACCCGTGGTACGGTATCGAGCAGGAATACTCCCTGATCGCGGAAGATGATCGGCCTCTGGGCTGGCCTGTGGGTGGCTTCCCCGGTCCCCAGGGCCCTTACTACTGCGGTGTGGGTGCGGGCCGTGTGGTCGGTCGTGACATTGTCGAGGCGCACTACCGTGCTTGCTTGTACGCTGGCATCAACCACTCGGGTATCAACGCGGAGGTGATGCCGTCGCAGTGGGAGTTCCAGGTCGGTCCTTGCGAGGCCATCGAGATGGGCGACCACCTCACAATTGCGCGCTACCTGCTGCTCCGCATCGCCGAGGAGTGGGGTGTCAAGGTGTCGTTCCACCCCAAGGCTGTTCCAGGTGACTGGAACGGTGCGGGCTGCCACACGAACTTCTCGACCGAGGCGATGCGCAAGGAGGGTGGTATGAAGGCCATTGACGCTGCCATTGAGCGCATGGGCCAGCGCCACACCGAGCACATTGCCGTGTACGGTGAAGGCAACGAGCTGCGTCTCACTGGTCGCCACGAGACCGGCCACATCGGCCAGTTCTCGGCCGGCGTTGCGAACCGTGGTGCCTCGATCCGTATTCCCCGCCATGTGGCTGCGCAAGGCCATGGCTACCTGGAAGACCGCCGTCCCGCGTCAAACATTGACCCCTACCGCGTTACGGCGATCATTGCCGAGACGGTGTGCCTCTAAGCCTGTAGTGTAATCGTAAGTCCCAAAAGTATCACGTGCGCGACACCCTCGAAGATTTCGTCACCCAGATAGGTCTGCGCATTGGGTGTGGAGCATCGTGATGGATGTCCGTGTGGCGCCTGGGACGGCTGTCCACGCCTTGCATGAGGCACCTGCGCTGCCTGCCACTCCCATCACGCAGCTCGCACAGAGCCTTCTGGGCATGGTGCTTGCCCTGCTGCGCATGATGCGGTGGCTCCTGCACTTTGGCTCTATCACGCTGCCAAGCACACTCTACCGCATTTTGCATTACAGCATGACGGTCAAAGTGACGTTTCCTGTGCTTGCCCTATGGTGCTTCGGAGTATCCGCCTTAGTTCTCCTCTGGCTGCGCTACTGGCACTGGAACCGGTACGAGTACGTGCGCGAGGCGCCCATCCGCAAACTCGCGCCCAGCGCGCTCACCCCTGATGTCGCGCCCATCCAGCATGAAGACGAACGCGGCTCTTTCCACTCATACCTTGATGAATTTCTGCAGGCGATCCGCATCTTTGGCTTCCTCGAGCGGCCCGTCTTCCACGAGCTCGCGCGCCATCTGCAGACACGGCGCATGCTCGCAGATGACGAGCTCTCTCTCGACATGGAGACATCCTTCTACATCGTCATCGATGGGCATGTCCAGGTGTTTGCACCTGCGCCCAGCGCAACTGGCAACGGCGATTCTTCGCGCGAGTACCAACTCGTCAACGACGTCAAAAGCGGCGGCACACTCAGCTCCCTATTTACCATCCTGCGCCTGTTCACCGAGCAGGTACAGCTCGGCTTTCACGCCGATGATACCGATGTGCCACCCCTCACGGCCTTGGACTCGGCGCGGGGCTCCGTGCCGATGCCCTCGTCGGTGCTGTCGCCCTCCCGCTCAGAGAGCTCTGGCCCGCCGCCTCCCACTGCGTCGCCCCGCATGGGACCTGCTGGCGACGCGGGGGGGCCTGGTCTACAGGGGCGCGGCTCGGTGGCGCGCGCGCGAAGCGACACGACCCTTGCTGTGATCCCCGCCGAGGCGTTCCGGCGGCTTACGGCCAAGTACCCCAACAGCGCATCGCACATTGTGCAAGTCATCCTGACGCGGCTTGCGCGCGTCACGTTCCACACGGCGCACCAGTACCTTGGCCTTACGCGCGAGGTCATGCAGAGCGAGTATGCCATCAACCAGAATGCGCGGGTGTATCTGCCGCCGCAGTTCTACGAGCCCGACGCCCTCGACGAGCTGTGGCGCCGCTTCCATCCCCACCCCCGTCCCAGTGTCGCTGACCTTGCGGCGCGCGCGCGGCACGTCGGAACGGTGGTCGATACCCTCACCGACACGCACGATGCAGTGCAGCCTGGCGACCTACACAGCATGGTGTCGGCCGTCATGGAGGACCCAACGATCCTCGAAGCCTCCCCGCGGGTCGATCCCCAGCCCAGCCCGGGCGAACTACTCGCTGGCTCATCGCGGTCCGATGCGCTTGACTGGCGAGAGGAAATCATGCACTGCATTGCAAACAGCATCGGACTTACGCAGGCCATGATCTCGGACTTGCCCAGTGCCCTTGCGAGCCCGTTCCTCGCGAGCCACACGAGTGCCATGGCTAGCGCGTACTCGAACTTGAGCCATCTCGATGCGTCTGCGGCGCCTTCGGAAGATGGCAGCGAGCCCAACGCGCCACTTGCGCCTGAAAATGGCGTCGAAGTGCGCTTTTTCCGTCAAGGCAGTGTGCTGGCTCATGCTGGCCAGGTGGGCGCCGGCTTGTTCTATGTGATTGATGGGCAGCTGGATATGCAGCTGCCAGCTGCGGCGCGCCCGGCCTCGAAGCTGTTTTCAGTGGAGCGCGGCGGCATCGCTGGCTACCTATCGAGCCTGCTCGGTGTGCCGAGCTTTGTGGACATTGTCGCGCAGCGCGACACGTACGTGGGCTATCTGCCCGTGCGCAATCTCGAGCGCCTCGTGGAGAAGCGCCCCAACGCGCTGCTCACCCTCTCCAAGCGGCTGCTCAGCCTGCTGCCTCCTCTCATTGTGCACATTGACGCGGCCCTCGACTGGGTGCATGCCGGTGCGGGCCAGGTGCTCTTCCGCGAGGGCGACGAGGGCGACAGCCTGTACATTGTGATCAACGGGCGTCTGCGCGCGCTGCGTGAGCGCGAGGGGCACGCACTCGAGGTGCTTGGCGAGTACAGCCAGGGCGACAGCATCGGCGAGGATGAAGTGATGACGCGGGGCGTGCGCACCGCGACGCTGCATTCGATCCGCGACTCGGAGCTTGCGCGCATGCCCTCGACTCTGTTCAATGCGATCGCCTTGTGGCACCCGCCGGTCACCCTTCAAATGTCGCGCATCATCGCGAAGCGTATGCGCCAGGAAATGGACGAGCGGGCCAAGGCGCGGCGCATGGCGCTGCCGCCCCACATCTCCGCGGCGATTGGACGGGGGCAGAGCATGCACAACCTCAAGACCGTGGCCGTGCTGCCCGCGTCGCCGGCTGTGCCCATCGCGGAGTTTGCGCGGGCATTGCAGGCGGCGTGTGCGGCGGCCATCGGCGCGCCCGTCGCCTTTCTCAGCCAGGGCTCGGTGATCCGCGCACTCGGGCGCTACGCGTTCTCGCGCATGGGCAATCTCAAGCTCGCGGGCTGGCTCGCGGATCAGGAGCAGTACCACCGCCTCGTGATGTACATGGTCGACACGCCCGCCTCGTCGTCGTGGGCGTCGACGTGCGTGCGGCAGGCCGACTGTATCCTTCTCGTGGGCCTCGGCGACGAGCCGCAGGTCGGCGAGATGGAGCGCATGCTGCTGAGCATCCAGACGACGGCACGCAAGGAGCTGGTGCTCCTGCATCCCGAGCGCAGCGTCACCCCAGGCACGACGCGCGAGTGGCTCAAGCCCCGGCCCTGGGTGAGTGCGCATCACCACATTGAGCTGCCCGGCCTGCCGCCCGCGCGCACGAGTCCGGCGCCGGACCTGCCGCCGGTGCAGGCGCTGCGCACCCTCACGCAGCAGCTCATGACGCGCATGCGGCGCCACGCGCGATCGCCTGCGCCGGCCGCGCGGCCCCCCCACCTGACAGACTTTGCGCGCCTCGCGCGCCGCCTGTGTGGTGCCTCGATTGGTCTGGTGCTCGGCGGTGGCGGCGCGCGTGGCTGCGCGCACATTGGCGTGCTGCGCGCGCTCGAGGAGCTCGGTATCCCCATTGACATTGTCGGCGGCACGTCGATTGGCTCGTTCGTGGGCGGGCTCTACGCGCGCGACGGTGCCGCGGTCTCGAGTCACGGGCGTGCGAAGCGCTTTGCGGGGCGCATGGCGTCGCTGTGGCGCTTTGTCACAGATGTGACGTACCCCCTCGTCTCGTACACGACAGGCCACGAGTTCAACCGCGGCATCTTCAAGTGCTTCGCAGACACACACATCGAGGACATGTGGCTCCCCTACTTTTGCAACACGACCAACATCACATGGAGCCGCATGGAGGTGCACACGAGCGGCTATGCATGGCGGTACATTCGTGCGAGCATGACGCTCGCCGGTCTAGTGCCGCCGATGATTGACGAGGGCGATATGCTCGTGGACGGTGGATACACGGACAACCTGCCCGTCTCGATCATGCTGGCGCTCGGCGCGCGCACGGTCCTGGCTGTGGATGTGAGCAACATTGACGACACGTCCCTGCAGAGCTACGGCGATACCCTGTCGGGCTGGTGGGTGCTGCTGAACCGCCTCAACCCGTGGAGCGCGATGCGCACGATACCCAGCATCCCCGATATCCAGAGCCGCCTCATGTACACGACATCGAACCAGCGCCTCGAGGATGCCAAGGCCGACGAGGCGTGCCTCTTCATGCGCATGCCGATCGAGGGCTACGGCACGCTCGAGTTTGGCAAGTACAACGAGCTGCTCGACCTCGGCTACCGCGAGGCGCTCCAGCGCCTCGCGCAGTGGCAGCTCGCGGGCCGCCTGCCGACGCACCCGGACGAGGCGCCTGCCCAGGCGCAGCAGCGCGGTGCACGGGCACGCCGCCACAGTTTGTAGTGCTACATATCCATATCGTCGTCTTCGTCCGGGAGGGCTGCGGCCATTTTGAGAGCGGCCGCCTCGTTGCCATAGTGCTGGTGGCGCTTCTGGTCAAAGACGGCGTGCCGCACCTCAGCCTGCGTCTCGTCGTCTCTGGCCCGCTCCCAATCAACCGGCACCACATGCGGACGCGCCGCGGCCACGGGCGGCTCGGTCGTGCGCAGTGTGTCTGCCAGCTCGGCGGAGCGCTCCTTGCTGCGTGCATTCGCTAGGGTGTTGGACAGCGTCGCCGTCGGTGGCGGCGGCGTCTTGCCATCGAGATCAAACGCATCGTCGTCCATGGGCGGCTCGCTCGCGCCATGCACAAACGGGGTCTTTGGCTCGTCGATCGTCATCCGCGGCTCCGTGTTATTGAGGTCGTCCTGGTTCTCCTGCAGGTTGTACTCGTCCCACTGCAGACTGCGGTCAGTCACACCAACCTACTGAGACGCATTATCCCCCGAGCGGCCAGCGCTATTCTTTAGAATGCCCCGCGGTTTGGGCGCGAGCGCACTCGGCACCGGCTCCTTTCGCGGCGTCATGGGCAGAGGCAGGTCGTGTCGCACTACAGATCGGGCCTACATCGGGCTAGAGCGCCTGCTCCGCCTGCCGCGCGAGGGCCGCATCGACGGCCGCCTGCAGCTCCTTTTTCAGCGCGAGGAGCTGCGCCACCGCCACATCGAGGGTCTCGGGCGGCGTGCCCGCTGCGCCCTTGAGCGTGCGCACGGTCTCGCCCTGCGCCTTCACCTTCGCGTCCAGGTCGAGCACCTCCGGCGTCTGCGGCAGGGCTTCCGCCTTGGCCTTCTCAGCGGCCTTGCGGGCCTTGGCCGCGGCCTTTTTGCTCATGGCTGGCTTTTCGTCCTTCGTACTATCGCCGCCAAACTGTGCCTTCCATACGGCCGCCTGCTTCTCGTCGATCGGCTTGAACAGGTGCGCCGCCTTGCCGACCATGTGGCCGGGCAGCAGGTCGATGGCAAACGCGTTGTCCTTGGGCAGCGCACGCGGCGGCGCATTCAGCTGCGCGAGCATCTGGTCGGCCGTCAGCGGCATGAACGGATACACCAGCGCGGACAGCACCCAGATCAGATTCGTCGCCAGGAGAATCACCGCGTCGCACTCGGCGCGGCGCTCGCTGAACAGCGTGTTGTCGAGGCCGGCGTCCGAGAGCAGCAGGTTGCCGCGCGCCGACAGCTCCATCATCGTGCTGAGGCCGACGCGCTCCTTGCCGACCTCCATGAAGTCGACGTACTTGGCGAGGATCTGGTTCACATCCGCGACAAACTTGGCGACCAGCTCGCCGAACGGCGTGCCGTCGCCCGTCGTCGGCAGCGGGCCGTCCGTGCCGAGCCGGAGCATCGGCGACTCGGGCAGGCGCGCCTCGTACTTCTTCATAAACGTCATGATGCGGTTCACAAAGTTGCCCAGGTTCTTGAGCAGCTCCGAGTTGTTGCGCGTCACAAAGTCGTGCCACACAAACTGGCTGTCGGACGACTCGGGACGCGTCGCCAGCAGGTAGTAGCGCCACACACTGGGCGACAGGCCAATGTCCTTGGCGCGGTCGCCAAACACACCGATGTTGCGGGACTTGGAGAACTTGCCGCCCTCGTACTGCAGGTACTCGGCCGTGTTGAGGTGGTGCAGCTTCGTCCACGAATCGCCCGTGCCGATCAGGCACGACGGGAAGATGACCGTGTGGAAACGCACATTGTCCTTGCCCATGAACTGGTACAGCTGCACCTGCGACGGGTTCTTCCACCAGCGCTCCCACTCGTCCGTGTAGTTCGCCGTGATGCTGGGGTACCCGATCGGCGCATCAAACCACACGTACAGCACCTTGTCCTCGTAGCCCGGCAGCGGCACCGGCACACCCCACTTGAGGTCCCGGCTCACCGAGAACGGCCGCAGCCCCTCCTTGAACCACGACTCGGTGATAAACGTGCCGTTCGGCGACCACCGGCCGACCTTGGCCTGCTCCATCGCCCACGCCTCTGTCTGCGGCTGCAGCGCGTCAATGCGCAGGAACATGTGCTTCGACTCGCGCTCCACCGGCGTGCCCTGGCACATCTTGCACTTCGGGTTCTGCAACTCAATGGCGTCGAGCAGCTGGCCGCACTTGTCGCACTGGTCGCCACGCGCGTCGTCGTAGCCACACTTGGGGCAGGTGCCCTCGACGTAGCGGTCCGCCAGGAAGCGGCTGCACGTCTCGCAGTACAGCTGGCGCATCGTCTTCTCCTCAAAGTAGCCGTTCTTGTGCAGCTTCAGGAAGATGTCCTGCGCAATCTCTGTCTGCCTAGGCGTGGTCGTGCGCCCAAAGTGGTCAAACCCGATCTGGAACCACTCGTACACTTGCGCATGCAGCGCATGGTACTTGTCACACAGCGCCTGCGGCGACACCTTGTCCTCGAGCGCCTTGGTCTCCGTCGCGGTACCGTACTCGTCTGTGCCGCAAATGTACAGGGTATTCCGGTTCTGCGAGCGCGAGTACCGCGCGTACACATCCGCCGAGAGCGTCGATCCAATGATATTGCCCAGGTGCGGCACATTGTTCACGTACGGCAGCGCCGACGTCACAAGCACGTTACTCTCGCCATCGCGTGGCAGAATTTTGTCGGGGTGGTTCTGCCGCGTCACCTTCATCAGCACATCAGGACTCTCATGGTAGTGCCGCTCGTGGCCGTCCAGCGCGGGCGGCTCACTGGGGAAAGGCGTCGCCATCGTGTGCGTCGAGGGAGAAGAAGGAGGAGTCACGTGGGATCATCGCCTCGCACGACCTGGACGCCGTGCGCCGAGCAGCACGGCCATGGGCGAGTACCAGCCCGGCACGGCGCCGATCAAGCCAGAGTATGTATGCCGCACTAACGTAGATTCCTGCGTGAAAGCTGGCCAGCACGGAGCGAGCCGCTCGCAGGCTCTGCGCAGTCCACCGAGCCGGGTGCCGAGGCGCCGTCGGCGCCGGACGACGAGCCGCCCGCGGAAGCGCCAGCCCCGGCCGCCGAGGCGGAGCGCCCTAGGAAGCGCGTGCGCGGTCAGAACAAGGCGCGGCAGTTTGCGCGCACGGACGACATCGTCTCGCTGTGCACGCAGATTGCCCGGGGCGAGCCGTGCGCGTTTGGTGACCAGTGCAAGTACGGCCACGATCTGTGTGCGTACCTCACGCACAAGCGGCGCGACATTCCCTTCCTGGCACCGCCGCCGACGGGCAGTGTGCGCACGCTCCCGCCGGACGAGCGCGACGCGTACCTGGACAGCCTCTACGCGCAGGCCGTCCAGTCCGAGCAGCCACCGGCTGCGGCGCCGCCGCCCGCGGATCCTGTGCAGGCGTCGCTCGACTACTCGACCGAGTGCCCCTACTTTTCCGAGCGGGGTACGTGCCCCGCCGGATGGCGCTGCCGCTTCCTTGGCGCGCATGTGCGCCGTGTGAGTGCGTCGCACGCGTGCGTTGGCGCCGAGGCGCAGGGGATGCTCGGCACGGGCCTCGAGCTCGTGCACGATCCCGCGCGGGCCGCCGCGTGGCGCTCGCGGCCTACGACGGCGCAGCCTGAGAACGACGAGGTGAACTGGCTCGCGCCCGGCGTGGCCAAATCACTGCGCTCGAAAAAGTACGCCTACGACAAGGCGCCGATCATTACGCAGGTGCTCGCCGACGAGGCGCAGGCCCTGCACGCCCTCTCGCCCGCCGAGGCAGCGACGTCGCCGCTCGGCAAGGGGCCGCTGCGCATTGACTACGAGCAGCACCGCCGGCTCGAGCGGCTGAAGGCCGCGTCGATGCGGCCAGATGCCGCGGAAGAGGCGCTTGAGGCGTACGAGGATGCGCTGCGCAATGCGCGCGAGGGCAGCGATGCCGCGGCGGATACCGCGCGCGTGCGCCCTGCGGAGAAGCGGCGCCTGCAGTGGAAGGGCGAGCTGTACCTGGCGCCCCTGACGACCACGGGCAACCTCCCGTTCCGCCGGCTGTGTGCGTCGTTCGGCTCGGACATCCACTGCGGCGAGATGGGCATGGCCGAGTCGTTCACGAGCGGGCACGCCTCGGAATGGAGCCTCGTGCGCCGCTGGGAGGGCGAGCGCATCTTTGGCACGCAGCTGTGCGGCGCCAAGCCCGAGTTTCTCGTGCCTGCCGCCGAGGTCCTGGCGCGCGAGGTCGGCACGGGCCTCGACTTTGTGGACGTGAACTGCGGCTGCCCCATCGACCTCGTGTACAACAAGGGCGCTGGCTCGGCCCTGCTGGACCACGCGAACAAGCTGGGGCGCATCGTGCGGGGCATGTCGGAGGCGCTGGGCGAGGTGCCGCTGACGATCAAGCTGCGGACGGGCACGACCGCGAAGCAGACGACACACAAGATCTTCGCGCGCGCGCAGACCGAGTGGGGCGTCGGTGGCATGACGCTGCATGGCCGCTCCCGCAAGCAGCGGTACAAGAACGACGCCGACTGGGCATACATTGGGCAGTGTGTCGACGCGCTGCACAGCTCGGTGCGCACGTGGAACGAGGAGTCGCGCTGGGCCGACGCGCCCGAGATGGTGCCCGTGCCCGTGTACGGCAACGGCGACGTGTACGGCTGGCGGGACTACTACGAGCATCTGGAGAGCACCGGCGTCGACGGCGCGATGATCGCGCGTGGCGCGCTGATCAAGCCGTGGATCTTTACCGAGATCAAGGAGCGGCGCGACTGGGACATTTCGAGCCGCGAGCGCCTCGACCTCGTGCGCCAGTTCGCCTCGTACGGGCTCACGCACTGGGGCGCAGACACCCAGGGCGTGAACACGACGCGGCGCTTCCTGTGCGAGATGCTCTCGTTCACGCACCGCTATGTGCCGCTCGGCCTCCTGGAGCACGTGCCCGTGCGCATGAACGACCGCCCCCGGCCGTTCCGCGGCCGCGACGCGCTCGAGACGCTGCTCAGCAGCCCGAGCGCGCAGGACTGGACGCGCATCGCCGACATGTTCCTGGGCCCCGCACCGTCCGACTGGCACTTTACGCCGAAGCACCGGTCGAACGCGTTCGACGAGGCGGCGGAGCTGCAGGGGTAGGTAGTGTCACGTGTAGCGTCCCTCGCACGACGGACCTGCCTCATGCCGACGACGCGCACGGAGGCCGCGTTCGACGCGCTGCCCGCGCTCTCCGATGCGCTGCGTGTGCCTGCCTCGGAGCGGACGTATGGGCGCCAGTTTGCGCAGATGTACGACTACCGCCTCGCCGTGCTGCGCCGCCGCGTGCTGCAGCAGAGCGAGGACCCCGCGTTCCGGGCGCAGCACGGGCCGGCGCCGTACATTGAGCGCCTCCTCGATATCCCGCCACGCACCTTGTGCCTGGTGATCGGCACGTTCTACTGCGCCATGCAGCACAAGCCGGACGTGCTCCAGGAGATCGCGCGCGACGTACGTAGCACGTGCTGACACAGCTCTCTCTCCCTGCGCCGCCGCCCGTGACGAGCTACGTGGATCGCGCGCAGGACGAGCTCTTCCTCGAGGACCAGAGCGGGCGTGTCAAGCTCGTCGGTGAGCTCATCGAGCAGCCTGCGCTCGCGCGGCAGTGCGTGACGGGCGCCGTCGCCGGCGTCCTTGGCATCGAGACGCCCGGCGGCGACCTCGAGGTGCGCCACGTCTTCTTCCCGGGGCTGCCCGCGCCCGTGGCCATGCCGGCTGCGCCGACGCCAGGGTCCATTGTGCTCGCGAGCGGGTTCCTCGCGGGCGACGATGCGCACCCCGCGAGCGAGATGGCCATGGAGCTCCTGCTCGAGTGGCTCACCGGCGAGCTGGTCGCGCCTGACGCGCAGGCGGCGCAGGCGCGCATCTCGAGCATGGTGATCGCCGGCAATGCCGTGCGCCGCTCGACGTGGGCGCCGACGGAGCGTCCGCAGGCGCCGCACAACCCGTTTGCCGCGTTCGACCCGTGGCTCGACCAGGTGTGCGCGACGCTCGATGCGGTCGTCCTGCAGCCCGGCGCCCAGGACCCCAGCAGCACGGCCCTACCGCAGCAGCCGCTGCTCGCGCCGCTCCTGCCGCGCGCGGCGCGGTGGCCGTCGCTGCACCGCGCCACGAACCCCGCGTGGTTCGCGCTGCACCACCGGTCGTTCCTGTGCACGGGCGGGCAGAACCTGGACGACCTGCTCAAGTACGTGCCGGACGCCGAGCAGGCCGAGCAGCGCCTGCCGCTCGCCCTCGCGCCGCTGCGCTGGGCGCATGTGGCGCCGACCGCCCCGGACACGCTCTGGTGCTACCCGTTCAAGGCGACGGACCCGTTCGTGGTGCGTGCCGCGCCGGACGTGTATGTGGTGGGCAACCAGCCCGCCTTCGCCACAGAGACCGTCGAGGTGCCCCAGCCCGGCGGCACACACACGGTGCGTGTCGTGCTGGTGCCCGAGTTCGCACGCACGCAGCAGGTGGTCGTGCTCGATGCCGAGACGCTCGAGGCGCGCGTCGTGTCGTTCCGCCCATAGTCATACCCTACTCTACAGCATGGCCAGCGACGCATGCGGGAACGGCTCGCTCGCGCTAAGCACGAGCATCTGCCGCTCATGCGCTATGTAGCCCTTGACGCGGCCCCGCGCCATCTGCGTCGCGACAAGCCACTCGGCGCCGTCCGCGTCGTCCGCCGCGCCCAGCCACTGCAGGGCCGCGGCCATCGGCGCGAGGCGCTGGCGCGTGCCGCGCCCACTCAGCGCCCACACGCGGCGCAGCAGGCGCGTCACACACACATCGCGCGCGCGCTCCATGGCCAGGTACACGCCCAGGTGCACGAGCGCGCGCTCCACGGCCGAGTCGCGCAGTGCCTCGTCATACGCCCGCACATCGCCGCGCTGGCACGCGCGCAGGAACGGCGCATACAGCTGCGCCACGCGGGGAAACTCCGCGAGCCATGCCGGCGCGAGCTGCTGGCCCTGGAGGAGCCGGATCGGGATCAGGTACACGAGGATGCGTCTGTGTGAGTCGCGCGACGTACTCGATGTGGGCGGTGCTCGAGCGCGGCGCGAGCGCGAGCGCCTGCGACAGCTCCGCTTCCGCCTGGGTAAGTCGCGCGCACGTACCCTGCCATAGTCCTCCTCGAGCAGCGCAAGGCGACCCACGTAGTACCGGAAGGTGACGACATGCGCCTTGGGAAACGCCTCGAGCGGCGGCAGGTCGCCGGCGCCGAGCGCCCGCAGAATGTTCTTGCACAGCGAGATCGAGTGCAGCTGGAAGTACGTGCGGAACACGAGGTTCACCATCGCGTACGTGCCCCACTTCTTGCTCTGCGCCATCGACGGGTAGCGGTCCGCCACGCACGCGGAAAAGCCGCGGTTCAGCGTGCGTGCACACTCCTCCATGTGCGGATTCGTGCGCCGCGCGTCGCGCGCGACGGCATGCGCCGCGTCGTCCGCGCACTTCGCCGTCCAGCGCAGGTCGCGCAGCAGCGACACGAGCACGGGGATCGCCCAGCGCCCCGGCGAGAGCGCCGCAAAGAGCCGCAGAAACACACTGCGTGAGCCGCGCGCACGTACCTCGCAGACGCCTGCAGCGCCTCGGCGGCGAGGTGCCACGACTCCACGGGCTTGCGCGTCTTCGTGCTGGGGCCAAAGAGCAGCGCGCCCGCACAGATAAAGTGCGCGATCATGTCGTCCCACGGCGCCGGCAGCTGCGCTGCGCGCACGAGCGTCTGCACGACGGGGAACTGGGTCAGCGGCATCGACGCACCGACGGATCCGCGACCGTCGCAAGCTTGCGTCGCGTATTGCCTGTCTGCAGCGACAGCGCGCGCGCGAGCAGCGCGCCGTCCTCCCGCGCCAGGCTGGCGGCCACGTCGCGCGCGAGCGTCGACATGGAATGGTAGGAGGTGTTCGGCCGAGCTCCACCCTCGACCCCCGCCGCCACGTCGGACGACGCCATGACGGGTCGCGCGGCTACGCCGCGACGCACGTACAAGCCCTTCCTGGCCGTGCTGGCCGTGCTGGCCCTCCTGGCAGCATGGCACCTGGCCGGCCTGTTCCTCTTTACGAGCGGGTTCTTGCTCCAGCGCGTCGAGCTGCACCACCGTGCCCCGCCGTGTGCCGAGGCGCCGCGCGCGTCGTGGCGGATGCCGACGCCGCCGCGCGGCGCCTCGAGCGGCGATCTGGCGGCCCTGGAGGCATGGGACGATAGGCTGCGCGAAAACGGCGAGTGTACGCTGCCGCCGCGCTTCCAGCGCGCCGTCGTGTGGATCATCGATGCGCTGCGCTACGACTTTGTGGCCGAGGCGCTCAACTCGAGCACGACACCGAACGCGTACATGCACAATCTCCTGCGCACGCCCGCGGAGCTCCACAAGCGCGAGCACGGCGCCTCGATCATGGCGCACTTTGTGGCGCACCCTCCCACGACGACGCTGCAGCGCCTCAAGGGCCTCACGACCGGCTCGCTGCCGACGTTTATCGAGGCAGGCGCCAACTTTGGCGGCGCAGGCCGCGTGCTCGAAGACACATGGATTGCGCAGATGCGCGCACAGCCCGGGCGCGAGCGCCTGGTGTTCGCGGGCGACGACACATGGCAAATGGTGTTTGCGGACCTCTTCGACGAGCGCTACCCGTACTCGTCGTTCAACGTCGAGGACCTCGATACCGTCGATGCGGGCGTCGAGCAGCACATGCTCACCGCAATGGACGAGGGACACTACTCGCTCGTGATCGGCCATTCCCTCGGCGTCGACCACGTCGGCCACCGCTTCGGGCCGGCGCATGCGCGTATGCCGCCCAAGCTCGAGCAGATGGACCGCATCGTCCAGGATGTGCTCGCGCGCCTGCCGGAGGATACCCTCTTTGTGCTGCTGGGCGACCATGGCATGGACGCCACCGGCGACCACGGCGGCGACTCGGAGCTGGAAATCGGCAGCGCGCTGTGGATGTACGGCAAGCGCCCCTTCGACCCCGCCGCGCATCCCGCGCGGCGCGCCAAGCAGTCGCTGACCTTCTTCCCGGACGTGAGTGCGCTCCTGGACGTGCCCACGCCCACGCCGGCGTACCAGCCCTTCTCGATGCTGCCCGTCGCCGAGCACACCGGAGGCCACCGCTCCCTGCCGCAGATCGACCTCGTGCCGACACTGTCGCTGCTCCTCGGCGTGCCGGTGCCGTTCAACAGCCTGGGCACCATCATCCCCGAGGCGTTCGCGTCGGCACAGCAGCCGCTGGGCCACGCCGATTCGCGCCTGCTGCGGGCCCTGCGCATCAACGCACGCCAGGTCCGCACGTATCTCGACGCGTATGCGACGCAGTCCCGCGATCTCGCGCCGTTCGAGGCAGAGCTGCGCGCCCACTGGCACCGAGCGCTCCAGGCCGACGCCGCGTGGGCCGAGTCGCCGAGCGCAGAGACCGCGCGTGCGGCTGCCGCGCAGTACACGGCATTTACGCGCGCCGCCCTCGACCGCGCACAGAGCGTGTGGGCGCAGTTCGACCACGCGCGTATCGGCCTTGGCGCTGCGATCCTCGTCTTGACGGTCCTTGTCACATGGATGCTGTGGCGCCGCGCCGCGCACGAGGAGAGCTGCGCGCTCGCCGCGCGCGTCGGTCGCGCTGCGATGTATGGCGGCGCCGTCGGCGTACCGGCCGGCGCGCTCGTCGGTGCAGCGACGCACATGAGCCTGTGGGAGGGCGTCCTCGCGGGGGCCGCGCTCGGCGCCCTCGTCGTTGCGGGCCTCGGCTTGCAGGCGCCTGTCGAGGTCCGGCCGCATGCGGTGCCGCGTGCGACGTCGCCCGGGTCGACGTGGCTCGCCGTGCTCGTCGTGGGCGTGCATGCGATGCTCTTTGCGAGCAACAGCTTCACCATGTGGGAGGACCGCATCACGCTAGCGCTCCTCGCGGTGCTTCTCCTGGGCCGAGGCGTGCTGGGTGGGGGGGCGCCGCTCGTGCGTTGGCAGTACCGCATTCCCTTCGTGGCCGGCGCGGTGCTTGTGCTCGTGCGCCTGGCGGCCATGAGCCGCGTGTGCCGTGAGGAGCAGGCGCCGTACTGCACGCCGACGTTCTACGCGCGGCACGTATCGACCGAGTTTGCCGATAATCCTGCGTATGCGCTCTCAGGCCCTGCGACCAACAGCCCGTATGTCATGGTCGCGACGTACGTGGTGGCTATGGCCTTCGCCGACGTCGTGCGCCGCCTGCTCATGCCAAGTCGCGCGCATCTCGGCAGTGCCGCGACGATGCTGCAGTGGATCGTGCGTCCGGCCATGCTCGGCGCCGCGGGCTTCTGGCTCGCCGACTGGGTGCACGGCCTCGAGCGCTGGGACGAGCCGACGCGCGCCACGTTCCTGCACATCAAGATGGGCGTGGCACGGGCTGTCTGGGGCCTGCTCGGGGTGGGCGCTGTGTTCTGGTGCTACACGCCGCTGAGCCTCTCGGTGCTGCGGGAGCCGGCGCCCGAGGGTGGCCGCCCACGCGTGATGATCCTCGGCTTTGGCAATGCGCTGGGCAGTGCCTTTTTGCTGGGCGGCTCGCTCGTGTTCGCGTGCCTGTTCCTGCTGGCGCAGCCCATGGGCCAGCTGGCCCTGGCAGCATGCTTCCTGGCTACGGTGCTCCTCGCCGAGCTCGGCGACCACGAGCGCGACGCTCGCATGCTCGCGGCCGTGAAGCGCGCCGAGGCGCAGGTCGAGCCGCCCACCTCGCGTCCTCTGCCGACGCTCCTGGAAGTGGCCTGCCTCGTGCTCGTAGGCTTTGTCGCCTTCTTCGGCACGGGCCACCAGGCCACGTTCACCGCGATCCAGTGGCGCGTGGCGTTTGTGGGCTTTTCCAGCGTCACATACCCGTGGTCGCCCCTGTTTGTGGTGCTGAATGCGTTCGGGCCGATGATAGCCCTGCCGGTCTTTGGCGCTGTGCTTCTTGCGCTATGGAATGTGGCGCCCCACCGCGTCACCAAAGACGCAGTGCCGCCCTTGCCGATGCGTGTGCCGACCGACGCGCTGTACATGGTGCTGGGCACGCTGTGGTATCTGAGCGTCCTTGCCCTGTCGGCGGCCGGCTGGGCCTACTATTTCCGTCGGCACCTGATGCTGTTCAAGATCTGGGTCCCCCGATTCATGACGGCCGCGCTGGGTCTCGTCGTGGCCGACGTCCTTGCCATGTGTGCCGTCGGCGCCCTGTTGCTGATTGCGTCTCGCATCCGTAGGGCCTTTGGCTCGTCGTTTGTCTAAAAGTAGCCCTTTCATACCTCCACCGACTTTTCTCGGTCGGCCATGGCGACAGGTGACGGCGCCGACGTGCTCGTTAAGCGCCTGCACATCTCAGGCCTTACGCCGAATTTTTCGCGCGAGGCCTTGCGCGAGCGCCTCGAGTCGTATGGCCGTGTGCTCGACTTGGTCGGCTGCGACGACTCGTTCACGAACGGGGTCGGTCAGCGCCGACCGTATGCGTTTGCGACGATCGAGACGACGCAGCCACAGCTTGCGCGGTGCCTGAATACCCTGAGCGGCGCTATTTGGAAGGGCGCCAAGCTGCGTGTAGGCGAGGCACGGCCGCTGTGGCACGAACGCCTCGCCAAGGAGCGCACAGCCGCTCACGCCGAATCACTCCGTGCGAAAGAGGTGGACCGCCGCAAGCGCTGGCTCCGAAAGCGGCCATGGATCGGCAGAGAAGCCGCAAATATGGAGCCTGTCACATTACAGCGTGTGCAGGGCGGCGAGTGGGGCTGGAAAGCCACGCCGGCGGGCCATCTCGTCCGGCCCATGCACATGCGCTGGACACGCCCTCTTCCGCGCCCAGCCGACGCGGATCCGCCCAGCCACCACCCCCACACGCTGCGGCACGCGCCATGCACTACCATTGACCCGACGCGCTACCGACGTGAGCATTTGTCAGGTCCCATGTTCGATGCCATGTCGTCGGACATGGCCTCCTGGCACTGGACGTGGGACGAAGATGCGAATGTGTGGCGCGCCTACGAGGATGGCATATGTGTGTCGACCGAGGCGCCGCCGCCACGGCGGGCTCCTCCCACGGCAGAACCCCCCGCATCGGAGCCCCTGCCGGAGGAGACACCAGCCCGTCCTGACATGGAGGCAGAGGAGCTCCCTGATACCCTATTTGAAGCTGAGGCCCCCCCTGAGGACCTCTTTGATGCCCCGCCCACCTCGGGGGCCTGGTGGGATGACGACGAGGCCGCCGAATCCCAGCCGCAACCGGTCGCGCATGATCCGGCGCCGCGTCCTCCGCCGCGCACGGCCTCCGCAGTGGCTCCCCCACGGGAGGACCCTGGCCTCTTTGATTTGTCTGACTTTTCCGATGGCTACGAGGAAATGGATCATGCGGTGCCTGCTGAGACGACGGATGAGCATGCCCGTGCACATCATGTTCTGGACCACTTGTTCGGCCAAGACCTGTCTGCACCCAGCCCACCGCGTGTCACTTCGATGGACGAACCAGAGGAGCCGAGCGCTTCTGCACCTTCCGCGGATCCGCCGGCCTTTGCACCGTCCGGCGAGGAGGCCGAGGAGGGTGCGCCGGCGCCGGTGCCGGCGCCCACCGCCGCCGCCGACTCCGACGTGCATATGGCATCGCTCAAGTCCATGTTCCAGCCGGCCGAAGAGACGGGCGGCTTCACGCTCTTTGGTGACTTGGGCGCGGATGTGGAGCTGGATCCTGAGCTGGACGAGGCCGTGACAGGGTCGGCCAGCGCGGAGGCGATGCCGGCCACTGCGCCCGAGGTGCGTGCGCCTGCTGCGCCTGTGCCCCCGCGCATCACGTCCAGGCTGCCGCCGCTCACAACGCCGCACACGCTTGCGACAGGCGAGCCGAGTCTGATCCCCGCGCTGCTACAGCTCGGCTCGTCGCCGTTCTGGAAGGTGAGCACGGACGACGAGATCGAGGCTGCATGGATCTCAAAGCGCGCCGAGCTTACGCAGATGTATCGTCGTCTGCACCGCGAAGGCGTGAAGAAGCGCCGCCGCCGCGTGGTTGGCGCGCGCGCTGCGTCGGCGGCGGGTGGCTTGGCCCCTGCGCGCGGTGCGAGGCCGCCGGCCTAGTTCGGCCGAGGCCCCACTTCGGCACTGGTGCGGGGACGTTGTCCCGACTCTTCCACCATGTTGGCTCTGCGTGCTGGTGTTCGTGCTCTTGCTCCCCGTGCCGCTGTGCCGCTGTCGGCGCGTGCTATGCTGTCGACGTCGCTGCCGCGTCTGTCTCCGGTTGCGGAGGGCACGTACAGCTGCATCGAGGTGAGCACGCCCAAAAACGGTGTGCGTCTGGTGACACTGAACCGCCCCAAGGCGCTGAACGCGCTAAACTCGCAGCTGTTCCATGAGCTGAACGATGCTACTGAGAAGGCTGACGATGATGCGAACATCAGCGCGATCGTCATCACCGGCAGCGAGAAGGCCTTTGCGGCCGGCGCGGACATTAAGGAGATGCGTGACATGAGCTACGCGCAGGCCTACAAGACCAACTTCTTGGGCCACTGGTCGAAGCTTACGCAGATCCGCAAGCCGATCATTGCCGCTGTGAACGGCTACGCGCTCGGCGGTGGCTGCGAGCTCGCGATGATGACCGACATTGTTCTTGCGTCGCCCACTGCGGTGTTCGGTCAGCCGGAGATCAACCTGGGTGTGATCCCCGGTGCCGGCGGCACGCAGCGCCTGACGCGTGCGATCGGCAAGAGCCGCACGATGGAGATCGTGCTGACGGGCCGCAACTTGACCGCCGACGAGGCGGAGGCGGCTGGTCTTGTCGCGCGCGTGGTCCGTGAGGGCAGCGTCGTCGAGGAGGCTATCAACGTGGCGAGCAAGATCGCGAAGAAGAGCCAGGTGGCCGTGCAGGCCGCTAAGGAGGGCGTGAACGCTTCGTACGAGCTGACGCTCACCGAGGGCATCCACCTCGAGCGCCGCCTGTTCCAGGCACTCTTTGCGACGCACGACCAGAAGGAGGGTATGACTGCGTTCACGGAGAAGCGCAAGCCCGTGTTCAAGAACGAGTAATTAGCGGTAGTAGTCGTCATCGCTGTCCTCCTGGTCGTCGATGTCCACACTCTCGTCATTCGGATCGTCGGCCGGCGCACGGAAGCTGTCGTCGTCATCCATGTCTGCCGAGTACACGGGGCGCGCGCGCGCTGCCGCCCGGCTGCTGGCGGCGCGGCGCGGCGGCGGAGCCGCAGCTAGCTCGTCGTCGTCGTCGTCGTCGTCGTCGTCGTCGGACGGCGCTGCTTTTGCACGTGACTTGGGAGGCGCCTTCGGTTTCGGCGCCGCCTTGGCGCGGGGCTTGGCGGCGGGCTTGGCAGCCTTGGCAGCCTTGGCAGCCTTGGCGGACTTGGCGGGCGCCTCGGGCTTAGGCGGCGGCAGGCTCAGCTCGTCTTCGCCCTCAGGCACCGGCTCGTGCGCCGCCGTCATGGCGGGTGGCGCGCTTGGTATATCTGCGAGCGGCACCGGTGTGCCCTCCTTGAGGGCCTTGGCCTTCTTGACCGGCGATGCGCTGCCCTCCTTCTTCTTGACAGGCGCGCGGCGCTTGCGGGGCCCGACGGTCACCTTGGTCGTCGTCAGCGCAGCGAGACGAGCGTCCTCAGCGAGGACCGCGTCCCATGCCTCGAGGAAGTTGGTCAGGTCCTCGTCCCACAGGTTTTGTGGCGAGCGGCCCAGGAGGATCTTGAGCTGCGTCTCAGCCTCGTCGCGCTCCTTGACGAGCCGGTCGACCCGCTCCTTTGTCAGCGAGTAGATCGCCATGCTCAGCAGGTAGTCATAGTCAGTGATACGGCTCGTGGGATCAGCGTCGTCGAGTGTCTCGCCTTCTGCTTCCTCCTCGGCGACCTCCGCCACGCTGCGCGCCTTGGCGGCGACCTTCGGGAAGCGCTGGAACTGCAGCTCGCCCAGCTCCTGCACAATGTCGGCCTTTTTCTTGTTCGACACACTCAGCTCCTTGGCAATGATCATGCTGACGAAGCGCGCCTGGTTCGACAGCCGGTCGTACACACGCTTCAGCTCGTCGATCATGTGCTCCTTGCGCCGCTGGTAAAAGCCGAGACGCAAGAAGTAAAAGTCGTCCAGGATATCGAGCGGCGTCGCGTACTTCTTAATCTTGCCCTCGGGGTTGAACAGCACCATGTTGCCCGTGCTGATCACCGTCGACAGCTTGAAGAAGGACTCGGGACCCACGCGCTCCATCTCCTCCTGGCCGCGCGCATTGAGCTCGACGATGAAGTGCACTGTGGTATCCGTGTGGTACTCTTTGTACTCGCGGAGCGTGGCGGCAGCCTTATCGCTGCCGACCACGCGCTCCTCGAGCCACTCCTTGTACGTCGATGTCCACACGCGCACCGGCAGCTCGGTAATCTCCCACGTCGCCTCGTCCAGCTGCGTCGCCTTGCCGAGACAGCGGAAGCGGTCCGGCGCCGTCGGCTCAATCGTGCCAGCAAAGCCGCGGTACCACGGGATCATCGGCACATACTCCTCGCCGACCATGCGGCGGCGCAGGTTCGCGACGATATCGCGGGGGTTGTAGTTCGGCACAAACGTGCTCCAGCCCGTGCCGATACCGTCGGCGCCGTTGAGCAGCACCTGCGGCACGACCGGGACGTACCACTCGGGCTCGATGCTCTGCCCGTCCTCGTCGAGGTAGTTGAGGAGTGCGTCGTCCTTCGGGTGGAAGAGCTGGCGCGTGATGCGCGGCACGGCCGTGAAAATGTAACGGGCGCTCGCCGCGTCCTTGCCGCCCATGCTGCGCGTGCCGAATTGGCCGTTGGGCATGAGCATATTCACGTTGTTGCTGCCGCAAAAGTCCTGCGCAAGGCCCACAATCGTCATTACCAGACTCTGGTCGCCGTGGTGATACGCCGTGTGCTCCGACACGTAACCCTGCAGCTGCTGCACCTTGATTTCCGTCTTGAGGTTACGCTTGAAGCAACCGAACAGGACCTTGCGCTGGCCCGGCTTGAGGCCGTCGACCACGCTCGGGATCGAGCGGATATTGTCCGCCATGGAGAAGAGGATCAGCTCCTTGTTGATAAAGTCCGAGATGGGGATCTGGCGGATGCGGTGGTCCAGGTAGGTGCCCGGCACGAACTGGCGCAGCCACTCCTTGCGGTCGTCCGCCTTCTTCTTGTTGAAGGCCAGGTCGACGAGATCGCGGTCGCCGGGGCGCAGCGTCTCGAAGGCGAGCAAGTGCGTGTCCATATCGTGGAAGTACTTCTTCATCTCCTCGGGCTTGGACGTACCGAGACCCTTGTAGTACTTGACCGTCCATCCGCGCCCGCCGTCGCTGCTGTTCTTCCACTGCTCGTACTCGGGCATCGTGAAGAACGCCTTGACCTCGCGGCCCTTGGTCGCCTTGATGATCGGCGTGATAAACTCGACGAGGAAGTTGGGGATCTTGAGCAGCGACGGGTAGAAGTGGTCGAGGAAGTTGATGATCAGGCCCTTGATGTGCGAGCCATCAAAGTCCTGGTCGGTCATGATCATCAGACTGCCGTACCGCAGGCCATCCACACTGTCGTAGACCTTGCCGTGCTGCAGGCCGAGGATCTCCTTGATGTGCTTGATCTCGGCGTTCTTCATGATCTGGTCGTGCGATGCCTCCCGCACGTTGAGCAGCTTGCCGCGCAGCGGGAACACGCCGTACGCGTCGCGGCCGACCTCGCTGATGCCCGACACGGCGAGCGCCTTGGCCGAGTCGCCCTCGGTGAGGATCAGCGTGCACTCGGCGCTGCGCTTCGTGCCGGCCCAGTTGGCATCCTCGAGCTTGGTGACTGAGACGCGCGAGCGTTTGCGGCCGTCACTGGCCTGCAGCTGACGGTCCTGGTGGTACTGCGCAATCGACTGGACGTTGTCGACGACGCCGGAGCGCAGGACCTTGCGTGCAAAGTCGTCCGGCATCGTCCACTTGGAGCCGAACGCGGACGGCTTGAGCGTGAGCGTCTCCTTCGTCTGGCTGTCGAACGTCGGGTTGACAATCTGGCAGTTCACAAAGATCCACAGCTGCTGGCGCACCTGGTGTGCCTTGACCGCGGTGCCCCGCTTGCCCTTCGAGACGTGCTCCATGATCTTGTTCACGATCTGCGCCTCGACGTGCTCGACGTGCTTGCCGCCCTTGATCGTGGCAATGTTGTTCACGAACGACACCTGGCGCGCCGAGCCGTCCGAGACGGCAAAGCCGACCTCCCACACGCGCCCGTGGTCCTCGGACGCGTCGTACACGATCGTCGGCTTGGGCGCCGCGGACGCGCTGTCCGCCACGCCCTCTTCTTTCGGCACGCCGCTGATCTCCTGGATCGCGCTCACGTACATCTCGACGTACTGCTTAAAGTTGCGGATCTTGAGTCGCTCGCCGTTCAGGTACACTTTGGTGCCGTGGACCGTGCCCGCCATGTCGTACACACGCTTCATGAGCAGCGCCTCGGTGTCCGCATCGATCTCGTCCATGTGGAACAGCGCGAGGTCCGGCTTGAAGGTGATGCACGTATACTCCTCCTTGCGCGAGTTCTTTGTGATCTTCGGCTTGTCCTTCGCGTGCATGTGCTGGCTGAACGTCTGCCTGTACTTGAGCTCGCGCTCCCTGTCGGCCGTCTCAACGGTGAACTCGCTCGAGTAGATATTCGTGAGCTTCGCGCCGAAGCCGTTGCGGCCGCCGGTGACCTTCGCCTCGTCGTCGTCGTAGTTCGACGACGTGAGCAGGTTCCCAAAGATGAGCTCGGGGATGTACACCTGCTCCTTCTCGTGCACCTCGATCGGGATGCCCTGGCCATTGTTCCACACCGAGATGGTGCCGGCGGCCTTGTCGATCGTGACCTTGAGCGTGTCCATCGCCGGGTCGCGCACTTTGTTGTCCGCGGCGTTCACGAGGATCTCGTCAAAGATCTTGTAAAAGCCAGGCACGTACGTCGTGTCCCGGTAGACCATCTGCTCCTTCGCGGCGTCATACACCCACATGGTCTCGGTGCGCTTCTCGACGCTGCCGATATACGTGTCGGGACGCCTGAGCACATGCTCCAGCTGGCTCAGCTTCTGGTACGTGTCGGACGCCGACTTGGGCGCGGCGCGCGCGGCCGCCGAGTCTGTCATGCTGCGCACGCACGTCGCAGGCGGAGGGACGACGAGGGTTCGAAGGCGCACGCGGCCGCCCTGCCAGAGCGCACGCGGCCGCCAGGCGATTCGCCGCGCCACCGCGTGCATAAACACCGCGCCGCCGACATGTCGCGTCGGTCGTGCCCTGGGCCACGTGACAACGGGCGCCGCCGCCGCGCACGGCGAGCGAGCCCGCCATGTCCGACGACGCGGCCGCCCGGCGCGAGGCGCGCAAGCGCCGGATCCTGGAGAAGAGCGGCGATCGCCTCTCGCGCATCACAAATACCGGCCGAGGCAAGGACTATGCGGGCCTTGACACGGCGCCCGTGACGCCGCGGGCCGACTCTGCCCCGGCCGCGGCGCCGCCGCAGCCGGCGCCTGCGGCGCCGGTGGTTGCGGCGACGGCCGCGACGGCGCCTTCCGAGAAGCCGTCGGCCCCGGCTGACGACGACCAGGACGCACTGGCGCGCATGCTCGCGTCTATGCAGGCGCGCATGGGACCGGGCGGCGCGCCCGCGGACGGCGCGCCGGCGCCCATGGCCCTTATGCAGCAGCTGCTCGGCCAGGCGGGCGGCGCGGGCGCGCCTGCGCCTGCGCCGTCGAGCGACGTCGCATACACGCAGCGCATGGTGCGGCGCATGCGCCTGGTGCAAGCGACGCTCGTGTTTGCGTTGGCGTTCTACGTGGTCTTTTCGTCGATCTTTTCGCACGCGCACGACACGGGCCTCACGGGCCGCTCGCTGCCGACCGACGCGGGCACGCAGTTTGCGCGCGACTCGTACCGGCAGCAGTGGGCGTCGCTCGCGCAGGCGTACACGCCGACGAGCGCGTGGCTCAGTGCGGACGACCCCGCGCTGTTCCCGTGGAAGGGCGTGCAGGGCCCGCTGGCCGCGCTGCGTCCGTTCGTGTCGCACGGCATGCTCGACGGCGCGTGGCCGTCGTGGCCCGTGTTCTGGGTGTTTGTCTCGCTGGAGATCGGTCTGCAGGGCGTGCGCCTCGCGATGCTGCAGCGGGTGCCGGCGGCGCTGCCGCGCGGCATGCACTCGGTGGTGTCGCTGTATGCGCCGCAGCTGCTGCCGCTCGCGGGGCCCGTACTGGGCGTGGCGTCGCTCGCCAGTGCGCTGCTCGATGACCTGTGCATTTTGCTGTTTGCGATCGGCGCCGGCGTGCTGTTCTGCCAGGCGTGGGCGCCGCCGGTGCCGTAGGCTATAGACTCCACACTTTGATGCAGCTGTCGCGCCCGCCGCTGAGCGCGTAGCGGTCCATGTACCGCACGCGCTCGGCCGGCGCCGTGTGGCCGTGGGTCGCGAGCGCGCTGTGCTGCTCGCTCGTGCGGTTGTACACGTCGAGCGCGCACGTGCCGACCGCCGCGACGATCTTGCGCGAGTCGAACTGCAGCGCGGTCACGGGGTGGGCATAGGAGAGCGTGTCGCACACGCGCCCTGTGCGCAGGTCCCAGATCTGTGTCAGTCGGTGCCACGTACGCGGATCGTCCGGTCGAGCGAGCCTGCGACGAGGTGCGTCTCGTCGAACTGCAGACACGTGACGGGCGCGGTGTGGCCCTGGAGCGTGCGGTGGGCCTGGCCGGTGCGCACTGTGGTGAGTCGTGGATACGTACGGTCCCAGAGGCGCACGCCGCCGTCGCCTGAGCCGCTCGCGAGTGCGTAGTTCCAGAACTGGACGCCGCCGACAAAGTCCGTGTACATCTCCCAGCTGCCGTCCTCGTACGGCGGCATCGGGTACGAGAACGGGCCGGTGAACTGGCTCGTGACCCCGAGCGCCTCGGGCGATGGCGCGCTGCCTGCCGCGCGGTCGAGCGCGGGCGTGCTGGCGTTCGACATCGCCCACAGGATGTCCATCGTGAGCACGCACTGGCCCGTCTCGAGGTCCCACTGCCGGAGCGTCTTGTCCGCGGCGCCGGTCACGAGGGTGTGGGCGTCAAAGTAGAGGGCCGTGATCCCGCGGCTGTGCCCCTCGAGCGTGCGCACGCACGGGTTCTCGGCGTCCGCGTCGTGCCCGTCGATGCGCGCGGTGCACGCCGCCTCGAACGCGTCGACGCGGCGCAGGTCCCACATGCGGCATGTGCTGTCGAGCGAGCCGCTGACGCACAGCTCGTCCTCGACCTGCAGGCACTTGACCGTGTCCGTGTGGCCGCGCAGGCGCCCGACGTCCTCGCCCGTCGACAGGTCCCACACGCGCACTGCGTCGTCGAGCGCCGCGGAGATGAGCGTGCCGTACGGCTCGGACAGGTCGAGCGCGGTCACTGGCCCGGTGCCGCAGGGCAGCGTCATGAATGCGACGCCCTGCGGCAGCTCGTCGTGCTCGCTCGGGAGGAACACGGGCCCCCTCCTGCGGCGGCTCGTGCCGGTCGGGAGCACCGTCGTCACGTCGAGGCCGCGGCCGCCGGGCATCGCGCGGCGGAGGCGCTGCAGCTCGAGCAGCTCCGCGAGGCCCTGCTGCTCGTCCTCGAGCTCGAGCTCCTCCTCGCGCACCTGCAGGAGGCCCTGCTGGAGGCGCGCCTTGGTCGCCTCGAGCGCCGCCATCTTCGCGTCGACGTTGACCATCTCGCTGTGGTACAGGGCGCGGCGGATCTCGAGATTGCGCATCTCGTCCTGCACCTCGCGGTCCTGCGCCTCGAGCTCCTCGAGCGAGAGCAGGTGCTGCTCCTTGCGCCGCCGCCGCGCACTCTGCGTCGCGCGCACCTGGCGGCGGCGCACCTTGCCGGCCGACGCCTGCGGCACCGTCGCCTCGTAGCCGCGCAGCAGCGACACCGGCACGGCCGCGTCGCTGGCGTCGCCCGCGTCGCCGACCGCCGCGTCGAGCACGTCCGTGTCGAGCGCCGCATCGAGGTCCGCCGCCGCATTCTCCAGGATCCGCTGGCTCTCCTCCAGCACGCCAATGTCCATCGACGTCACCGGCACGCGCTCGCGCCCGCCGGTGCGCACGCCCTTCCCGAGGCCCGCAAACTGCCAGATCGAGTGGCTGATGCGCGCGAGCGAGCGCGCGGGGTTCTCCATCGAGAACCGCGGCGCAAGCAGCAGCGTCGCGCGCTGCAGCGGAAAGGGATCGCGCGCCGTCGCGAGCTGGCCCGCCTGCAGACTCACGCGCGCCAGCGCATTCACCATCGCGGGCGTCATGAGGTGCGGCGCCATCTCGGCGAGCAGCCGGCTCGTGTCTGTGGGCATGGCACGGGCATCCACCGGCGACGACGCAGCGGCCGCGCCCGCCGCGCCCGCCTCGGCGCCGGCGCCGGCGCCGCGCGCTTC